TTAAAAAAATTCTAATTTTATATTTATTTATATTTAAATTAAAATTAAATTATTAAAAATAATTTAAATTTTAAAAAAAGTTTAATAAAAACTAAAATAAAAATTATTTTTATTTTTTTTAAAATATCTATATAAAAAATTAAATCTTTTAATAAAAACTATTAACTTAATTTAAAAACTTTATTAAATAATTATATTAACTATTTAATATATTATTTTTAACTTTAGAAAATTAATATATTTTTCTAGTAAATTAAGAAGAAATAATATAATTAGTAAATTCTATTACTAGAAAAATCAATCTAGCTTACTAAATATTTTAATAATTATTCTAGATTTAAAGACTATAGTAATAAGGAACATACTATTATTAATTAATAATCCTATCTAAGTCGTCGACCTTTAAGTTCGTTAAAAATAGTTTAATTAAGAAGAGAACTATCTATTCTACGTCGCTCTCTATTAGAGGATAATCGATAACGTCGACTGCTAGCTTATTACTCTACTTCTCTGCCACCGCGTATCTATATCTCCCCTGACAAATCCATCTACCATAGTAGACCCAGTAGATCAACCCCGAGGCCAGCCCACGATGAGGCCGTTGAACTTTGGCAAAGGCGAACGAGTTCACGCCCCGGGGACGATCAGACTGCAATTGGGTGAGGTGAGGAACCTGGTGACCGTTTCTCCCCATATGCTGTCACCGAATCGTTGGTAGAATCCGCTGGGTCTGGAACGTCTAATAGGGGCTCCCAGAGGAGCGCAATAATTCCCCCAAAGCCTGTTAGCCTGTGCGGCGAAAGACAACGCTATAGCCGCGGAGATTATATCAACTCCTTATCCTATACCTACTCCAAAAAAAAATTCGACAATCCGTTGACCAACCAATCCATTTACAGGTGACCGGCAAAGATGAACTTGGTCGTCAACGTCCGTAGGTCCCTAAACGTCCAAAATACCGAATAGCCATCAATCTCATCAACCGCCCAGGGCCCGAACCCAATCTCCTCGCGAACCTGCCGAGCCAGATCTGGAAAACGGCCGCCGGGATTCTCCCAGAGATTCAAAATGGCCCGAAAATTCTCGAAGCCAGTCTGGTGCCAGAGCCGTAACATGATGCGCGCAGTTTGGGCCTGAATGCTGACGAGCAGCGACATGCGGTCGAGTAATTGCCGGGGGCAAATGAACGTGCTGCGAGCGAGGGTGCAGAGAAAGAGCAAGACGCCCGGGACGGGTCGTAGGGCTATCAGCCTGCCCAAGGTGTCTGTGCGTTCGAGGACGTAGCTGTAAAATGATAGCAGAAGGAGGCTCGATAAACAGTGGATGACGACCGACTTGGGGGTAGCCGGGAGGTCATCGCGGGTGTCCAGAAGCGACGGTTCCAAGCAGACCTGCCAGAGGAGACACTCATACTCCAGCTTCGACCAGGCCGACGCAGTGTCGACCTTGACGCCCTCCACTTCCATGGCCATGCGGCGCTGGTCGAACTCGGCGGCGTGCCTTGAGAGGCGGAGGTAATGGTGGCCAAAGGTGGCCGGATCGAGTGTTTCAGCGTAGCTTTGGAGGATCTGGGCTGGTAGGTGGAGCGGCTGGTGGAAGTGGCCGGCAAGGCGTCTCCAGACGTTGGTGAGTAGAGCGCCGGATAGAACTTGGGGTGGTACCGGGACTGTAGCAATTGCGAATTCATGCTCGACGGTATCGAGAACCTGGCCGTTTTACGGTGATTAGCTAGGTACTGGGCACATTGAAACGCGGCAAAACTTGCCTTTTGGAGAAGCGTGTCATCGTAGTTGACAAACGGGCATAGGAGAAGAGTCCCCGCAATTAGCGACATGGACGGTCGACTTTGATGTAGAGTCGACATTAGTCGTTCTGTACGTAGAGAAATATCCTCGAGCTCTCTCATCGAGTTCAAAGACAAGTGGCAAGCCAGGTCGATGCAGTGTTTGAAATCAGGATTTCGGCCACACTCGCCCTCCGCCAGCATCTCCGAGGTAACGAACGGCCAGAACGGATGGACATCTCGCCAATACTGCTCACTCATCGACAAAGGGCCGTCCTGACGGTCGTCAGCGGAATCTCTCGGCTGGAATAGGCGCTTGTTGGCCATGTCAGGCCGGCCGGCGAGCCGCAGTTGGCAATCGCCCGCCTTTAGATTGGCCGCATCAGCGTCATGGTCATTATTCACTCTGTCATCCCCGGTTTCGGGAACTTTCGAAGCGACTGCTTTTATGCGGGACGCGATCCGCTTGGACGTTTGTCGCCGCTTAAGGCTGGGGAGTCGGAGGCTGAATGCGCACGGCAGGTCGAGGTGCTCACAGTCGGAGCACCGGGCTGAGGCGGGTGGCACCACGCATTTCTTCTTACGATGGCGGCAGTAGTCGCACGACTTGAACATGATACGATAGAGTGGTGGGGTGGCACCAAAATCCCGGGTCTCAACTTGGAGTGCTGGTCGCGCGGAAAGATGCGGGAAGAAGTGCGGGACAAAAGGCGGAAAAAATGTCGGGGAAAGGGGCTGGGGAAAAATGCGGGGAAGATGCAGGGCTCCACGTCCATTATGTACCTATTGTGTTTCATGGATCCGGGGTATCTCCAGCACGGAACATGGCAGGTGGACATCGGCAGTAATGCATTCTTTACTTCGTAGTAGTATCGTATTTCCAAAAAGAGAAGATTTGTTTTGTACGCTTTCTGATGTTTTCTTTATTCGTATCCGGAGGTCACGCCCATACGGATAGTCTGAATGGTGCCAATGTACCTCGGTACATTTTCCCCATATTTTAGAGGTGATGCAGCGTTCGGTGAATTCGTCGGCCCCGGTGGGGGCAAGTAGTTGTACAAGGGGTCTTCATTTCGCTAGTAGGCGCTAAGTTCCCATCTAGACACTCGACTCTGCATGGGTTGGGCTCATAGAAATGGCATCCCTGCCAAGGGTCACCCACCAAGCCGAAGGAGTGACGAACAGGACGAAGCTCTCCCCAGATTTCGCCGATCATCACTTAGTCTCCTCGGCATAACCGTAAAGTATTTATATCGACCACAGTCCGAGCTTGAAGAATTCTCTTGCCGGTTGAGGGCCTGCCCACGACTCAAGCCTTGCCTGAGAGAGTGCCTACTTTTGTTCTTCTTCTTTCCCCCTTCATCTGAAGTAGAATATCAGATCTCCGCTGTCTTGTTTTCTCTTCTCCTGAGTACGACTCGTCATTTTCACTGCACCCGACAGGCAAAAACCACCTGCACCATGCTCGTCAAACTGGAGATTCTCTTGGCCGTCCATGCCGCAGGCTCCGTTGCTCTGTCTGGGGAGGCTCGAGCCATGATGGAGGATTCAATGGCCTGGATGGACAAGTTCTATGATCCGAGCCTCAGTCAGCTTTACGATCTCGAGTCCAAGGCAGCTATGAACCATGAGACGCTGACTTCGGCTTGGTATGCCGTCGGTCTCCTAGCACGCAACGGGAACCATGGGAAAGACGTTTCCGAAGCTGAGTCCATCATCTCCTACATCATCGCCGATCAACACGATAACCCTACAGACCTGTGGTATGGCGGCTACACCAGGGAGCCCGAGGAGCCGGACGTCGGTACGGCTGTGTACCCGGCTAAGGCGTACGGCTCTTGGGACCCGAACTGGCGAGGCTTCGTCGGCCTTAGCTTTATCACCATGTACGAGGATTTCGGCCATCTGCTGTCCCAGCCGCTCAAGGACTTGATGCTCGAGAGTCTCCACAACTGCAGCGTGGGCGACTCATACCGTGAGGGGGGCGTCAACAACGATAACCTCTACCCAGCCTACAGTAATCCGGCTATTATGCGCGCTATCGGGACTGGCTGGACCGGCCGCCACACCGGCGACGACAACATGACGAAAGCCGGAGAGGACTACGCTAAGAGGATCATCGAACTGTGGGACATGCACGAAACCCTCTCCGAGTTCAACTCGGCCACCTACACTGGCATCTCCCTCTTTGGCCTCACCCTCTGGAGCAAGTACATGCCCGAGGACTCCATCATGGCCCAGCGCGGCCCAGACATGCTCCGCGGCGTCTGGAACACCACCGCCCAGCTCTGGCATGCGAACATGCGCAACCTCGCCGGACCCTGGGACCGCTCCTACAGCTTCGACATGACTATCCACCTCGGCCATCTTTCACTGTTCCTCGCTCCCATCATCGGCAGGAGGGAAGCCGGACTCCACCAACACCCAGAGATTATGAGCCACGCCCGCGACTGGGCATGGGCTCCGCTCATCGCTGTACACTCCGAGTTCCACAACTCCCTGTTATCGGATGAGCTGAAGGACTCTCTCAAGACGTTTGGCGGCGAGAGGACCTGGAAGGGCCAGGCATACTATCCACCCTACGACCTGGAGTCGAGGAACATTAGCGTTTGGATGGGCGAGAAGCTGATGATTGGCGCCCAGTCCTACCGCACCAAGAGTAAGAATGGGCCGTCCAATAATAACGGGCAATTTCACCCTGCCGTTGCTCAGTGGATGTATGGCGACGGCAAGATCGGTTGGCTCTCCGTATGTTGTGCACCTGCCATCACTTTTCTACAGCCAACCTAGGAGTCGAGAAAAGAAATAAAAATTATTCGCTAACATCCACGTTTAGCTTCGATCCAGCCAAGCCCACATGAAGGTCGAGGTCCTCCCCAACCGCCTCAAGCTCACCTACCCCGACGGCAGGGCCGACTCCGTCTTTACCTTTTTCGTCTCCCCGTCGCTGCGTCAGCCCAATGTCAAGACTTGGGACGACATCCAGGGTGTTTCTATCACCGTCTCCGGCAACGTAGATGAGAAGTACGACTTGAAGTTCGCCGGGCGCTACGGCGGTTCGGCTGGGCCCTACTACGACCACAACTACTGGCGCTTTGAACACAAGATGCCTGCGGGGTTCGAGGGCACGCCGGAGTTGATCATTGACTTTGCCTCGGAGGAGTGAGCGAAAGTAAGAATTGAAGTGAGGGGATTGATTGACACTAGACAAGTTGACTCACATCAAATGAAAGTTGGAGGAATACGCCAGTCATAGTTGCACTTCAGGAAATTAGTATTGAGTTGTGTGTGGCAGAACAAGGACACAGTGACTACAATTACTCCCAAATCCCTAGACTCCAAAGCGCGAACTCTCTAGGCACCAGCGAAAAAGCGATACTACAGGTCCTTCGACCGAAATAAAAGGGGTTTCTTACGGATTCTCGGATATTTTCAAGGAGCATGTGTTTCTGCAAGGACAGCGTAAAATAAGGAGATAGATTTTATTCGTCTGTGGGCTTCAGCGATGATGCTAAATATTGGTCACAGGCGCGTCACCTGCATAGTACGCAAGCTGTGGCCAACAGCGCAGCTATTAAGCATTGATCTCTAAATAGCATCAAATGTTATACACTGACGGGGAGGCACTGCCTGGCTACAAGTATATGCCGGCGACCGTTGAAAGGCCCCCTTAATTGTATCAGTCCGTCTTACTCATTTAACCACTATCCGGGGCCTCAGCCGATCCGTTCACCCGAGCTCTGCTCAAATGGTTCGTAAGCCCGTTATTGGAGCAATTCACGTTATCCGTCTTGTTCATCCCATCGTCGTCCTCTATCGCAGACCCATCATTCAATTGCGCTTTATTCGGCACCCAGTCCGCCCCATAGTAGCGTATGCGCACGTCATCCCCTTCCCTCAGTCCGGCTGCATGAACGACATAAGTATCACCAGGGAAAACTGAAATACCATTGTCATCCCAGCAGACCTTGCGCTCTTCTTGCGCCATGTACAGCTCAAGGCATTTGACAGGAGCATTCGAAGTGATTTCGACCTTTCGGTCCAGAACCCGGAGTCTGATATCGTACGAGCGTGGGAGATGAACATATTTCAGCGGCTGCGGCCAGTCCGACGAGCGAGCGATGACACGCCCTTCGGCATCCCGCATGATGGCTTGCACGGCAGTCTTGTCGTCCACCTTGCAATCCTCGATTAATTCCAGGGAGCGGTTTGACGGAAGAACTTGGGGTTCCAGGATTCTCCTCTCACGAACTTGACCGGTCACCGTATCGAAGAGCCGTACCTCTACTTTGACTTGTGTGTCCTGAAGCGTCGTGTTTACGGCCCAGGCATCGAAGACGTAGGACTTTTTGGAAAGGTCATGGGGGGCACCTGGGATTTGTGGTGGCGCGGATTTAAGACGTTTAAGTTCGGGGTTGGAACGATGGATCCCGACGGCAAGGGGCGCGGACGCCCGCTTGGTCGAGTAGAAGGCGAGCTTCCGTTCCCCGTAAAAATCAATCATCCCCCAGCTAGAGACTGGCCAGCAGTCGTTGAGCTGAGAACAACGTTGTCAGTGCAATTCAGGGAGAAGATTCAGGGCAAGAGAAAAAACACACCTGCCAAATGAGTTGACCCCCGCAATACTCGCGACTTGGGCCCTTCCACTGCCGTCGGCAGCTGCGCACAGCGAATGCGAGGCATTCAGCCTGGATAAGCTGGGTAGCGTAGATCCAGCTCTCTAGGCGCATCGAGTCCACACGGATATTCTCCAAAACGTACAGGGCCAGCCTGCGCACCCCCCCTTCGGCCTTGTTGTGGAGTTCCATCACTGCACTTTGGGGATGGCGCTGTCGGGGATCCGTAGCGAAACGAGGAACAGATCGAATCGAGGGATAAGCAAGCATACCAAACTCGGAGACGAATCTGCCCGTAAGCTTGTCCCACATTTGATACGGCTCCTGAGTACCGTGCCAGACGTTCCACTGATGAATGTCGCCGATTGTGCGGTCGTCCGTCCTGCTGCCACCCCATGGGGAGCCGGGATGGTAAGGAACACCGGGTGAGTGCTCGGACATGGCGGCTGGAAGAAGGGTCTCATAGATGGTTCTAGCGGGGAAGGTGGTGCCGGCCCAGTCGCCCGAGTGGTCGTCCGGATTATAATCTAGCCCGAGCGACTCGATGACCTGGTAGTCTTCGTTGTTCCCGGCATAGAGCACGATGGAACAGTAATTTCGCAGCCGCTTGAGTTGGTCCGCGGCTTCCTTCTGAACACTCTGAGCGAATTCCGGGTAGCAAGGGAACTGGCCGCAGGCAAACATGAAGTCTTGCCAGACAAGTACGCCTCGGCGATCGCATTCGGCGTAGAGAGCCTCGTGCTCGTAGATGCCGCCGCCCCAGATTCGCAACATGTTCTGGTTGCCTTGCACGCAGCTCTCGACTGTCGCCGCATAGTCTTCCGGCGTTAGCGTTGTTAGGAATGAATGGCCCGGGATGTAGTTTGCTCCCGAAATATACACTGGCTGATTATTGACTTCTAGGAAGAAGCTGGTTCCGGGCTCATCAAGCAGGGCCTGCTGTACTAGGCGAACTCGGCGAATGCCCACAGTCATCGTGCTGGCGTGGACAGCATCTCCGTCTTTGCTGCGAACATGCAACTCAACAGTATAAAAAACTTGTGACCCATGGCCAATGGGGTACCACAGCTCTGGTTGAGTGATGCTGAAGGTGGTTCTACCCTGGCTGTCACCAGAGGCTAATGTAGAGAGTGCGTGGAAAGAACGCTGGCTAGGAGATGTGACGGTGACATTGATGTCAACGTCTCGGTCGAGAATAGCGCTCCATGACACGTCTAACGAAGCTTCTTGTAGATCTTCAGCAACAGCAGCGCAGGCGAACACATCGTATATTATGGACGCATAAGTCTCGAGACGGATCTCGCGGTATGGGCCACAGGAAAGCAGAATTGGGCCCCAGTCCCAGCCGTAATGATATGCCGCCTTGCGAACGTATAGCCGTGACCCTTCCCCATTGAACGCACGGAACTTGCCGTGCTTGGCCTCGAGGGCGCGGCCCTCGTGGAGTGCGCTTCTAAAGACGATGCGCAAAACATTGACGCCGCTCTGCAGGACATCTGAGACGTCGATACGGTGGCGGTGGAACATGTTGGAGGAGATGAGGATGAGACGGTCGTTCAGGAAAACGGATGCGTACGTGTCGAGACCTTCGAAGACGAGGTCTCGTCGCGAGTGTTTTGCGTTGGGCTCGTGGACGAACTCGCATTGGTACTCCCAGTCAGTTTCGCCTACCCATTGAACGAGCCGCTCATTTTGGTCGAGAAACGGATTTGGGATGCGCTTTGCATCGATGAGGTCTACGAAGATCTCCGTTGTTGGGTTGTTATGGGCGCAGGCGTGCCATTCCTCGTCGCTGCTGTGGCGGCGCCACTTCCATCCAGCGAGGGTCTGTGTCTGTGATGCCATGATAGATACAGGAAGGCTAAAGAGAGGTACCAGGGCGTAAAAAAAAGGTGCTAAGGTACGGAGAGGCCATGCAACAAAGAGGCATGATCAAATTTCGGTGCGCAAATGCTAATCCAGGCCGTTGGCTTTTGTATTGATAGTTTGTCCGGGCAGGCCGAGGAATCGAAATGGGACCCCGACGTTTTCTCCGATTCGGACGCTCGGAGTGATGCTGGCGGTGCTGGCAGTGCTCGGAGCCAATGACACGAGGCGCAATCCAATCCACTCGGGCGTCCATTTGGCATTTATGCGGGCCCATTCACCTGATACCTGATTTGCAAAGAATTGATCTACCTACTATGTTTCTAAGAAACAAAAGGTCATTTCTATAATCTCATCGCATCTTCGCTGGGTTGCGTAGACAAGCATGGTACTGCTCGAGTTAACACGGAATGTCAAGATACATGATCAGGATACTGTGCGTGAGGCCAGGCCATGTGGAGGTAGTAACGAGCCGGTGCCCACTTTAGAACCATGCTCGTCTTCTACTACAAATACATTGAGCAATGATTGAAGGGACAACCCTAGCTTGAAGCCCATATGGGGCCTCGAGATTCCTTGACAACTTCCATCCCTCTCGCAGGCGAATCAAACGCCGCCTGTCGGAGAAAACGTCGGATTTCCTCATGCCACTATCAACTCATCCCAGGGAAATGGAACCGCAATTTTGGTTGTTCGTCGAGTTTGCCGGTCACATTCGCCCCGCACTTGCCTGCCATCTCCTGGCAGAACCATGCATCTATCGGTCCGTGCCCAGGAAAAGGCAGACAAGAACATCAAGGTAGCAGCCAATTGATGCTAGTCCCGGGGACTTGGTCCCGAGAGCAGCTCATGGCAAATTACAAGCTAGCGAAGCGGCAAAATCTTCGGACTCGGTTAAAAAAAAAAAAAAAAAAAAAAAAAAAAAAAAGAGTCTTCCCAATGCTGGGGATCGCGGGGACACTCCAACACATGAGACGTTTCTGGGGCCACGGCCGCTATACGATCGGCATCTTATAAATCTCTTTTGATGCGCCTCGTCGAAAACATCCAGGCCCTTTACCCACTCCCACTTTATTTCCTCCCATCATCCCGGAAACCTGACTTCACCATGACTGCCTCCGAAGAGAAGCGAACCTCCGTCGACATCGATAGGCCCGCCGTGGCTGTCGACACCGCGATGCGCCAGACGGACGTGGCGGCCCTCGAAGTTATTAGTAGATTGGAACCCATCCAGACAACTAGCAAGCGCATGATCCAACTGTACATCATCTGCGGCTTCATGTTTCTCGGCTCTACCATGAATGGTTTCGACGGCTCGCTGATGGGTAACATGTTGGCCCTAGATTCCTTCCAAAAACAGTTTGACGCGACCATCGTCGGCGTGCAGACCGCTTTTATCTCCAGCATGTACAACATTGGCTCAGTCTGCGCCTTGCCCTTCATCGGACCGCTGACGGACACCTGGGGCCGACGCGTCGGCATTACCATCGGCTGTGCCTCTATCATCATGGGCACCATCATTCAGGGGACCTCCACCGCACTCCCCCAGTACCTCGCTGGTCGTTTTTTCCTAGGCTTCGGTGGCTGCATCGCCAACGTGGCCTGCCCCTCATACGTCGTCGAGTTCGCCCATCCCCTGTATCGCGGCGTCATCACGGGTCTCTACAACTGCTGCTACTATCTCGGCGCTATTCTGGCAGCTGCCGCCCTGCGCGGGAGCGTGCATTACGAAGACGGCAGGTCGTGGCTGATCCCCACTTGGGTCCAGCTCGTATTCCCCGTCATCCTGCTTCCGCCCTGCTACTTCTTCCCCGAGTCCCCTCGCTGGCTCTTCGTGCACGGCAAGGCCGACAAGTGCCGCGAGATCCTGGTGCGGTACCATGGCAACGACAACCCCAACTCTCTATACGTCCAGCTCCAGCTGCGCGAATTCGAGGAGGAGCTAGAACTCGACGGTGCCGACAAGCGCTGGTGGGATTACCGTGTTCTCTTCCACTCCCGCGCCGCCGTCTACCGCGCCATTCTCTGCGCCGTCGCCGTGTCCGCTTTCAGCCAGTGGACGGGCCAGAGTGGCGTCTCCTACTTCCTACCCGCTATGCTGTCCACCACCGGCGTCAAAGACTCGACGACGGTCCTCAACATCAACCTCGGCATCACCCTCACCAGCGGTGCAGCAGCTTGCTTCGGCGCCAGTCTCATGGACCGCTTCGGTCGGCGCAAGATGCTCATCTCGTGCTGCATAACTATGGCCCTGCTCTGGGCGGGCATGCTCGGCGGTACCGGAGCCTACTACGAGCACGACAACGAGGCGGCCGCCAAAGCGTCCATCGTCTTCGTCTTCCTGATTGGCATCGTCTTCTCCGCCGCGTATACCCCAATGCAGGCTCTGTACCCTGTCGAGTGTCTCTCGTACGAGCAGCGTGCCAAGGGCATGGCCCTCCAGAATATGGCGGGCAACGCCGCCGCGTTGGTCAATCAGTTTGCCTTCCCCATTGCTCTGGGCGACATTACTTGGAAGACCTACTTTATTTATCTGGCGACCTGCACGGCTGAAGCTGTCTACTACTACTTTATCATGGTGGAAACCAAGGGCCACACCCTCGAGGAGCTCACCGAGATTTTCAAGGCGCCCAATCCTCGCCTGGCGTCGCTGACGAAGAAGGAGAAGGTGGAGGAAGCCGTGGCCCAAGTCCAAGAGATTAAGACTGTATAATGCACGTTCCTTTCCCTGTGTAGGTTAAGCTTCGCAGGTGCCGCACCATTCTGACTCAGTACTGGCCAATATGGCTCTGGACTAGTATTTAGGATAGAACCCATTTTCAAACTAAGTAGTGTAATATCTATTACTACTCTACCACTGGCCCCCGCCACTGCCTGGCTAAGATGTTCGTAAAGCGCTATGTTTCTAGCTTTACGACCGATGATCATCGCGAAATTCGTTAGACAGTTATTTTAGGCCTATCCTCCTATTATCTAATATAATGCCCTCTGTGTCAACATCAAACTTTACTTAAATGGCGATACGCTTCAAGATACGATGAACGTATCAAAGGATTTAGAGGATTTGGCCACCTACGTCCTCGGCATGGGCTCGGGGCACGATCTCGCGCGGGCGTATTTCGTGGGCAGCGGGAGCGAAGCTAACGAGGCGGCGCTGAAGATGGCGAGGCAGTATTTCGTCGAGAAAGGATACATGGGCCCGCAAGCATTTCGTGGCGAGGAGACAGGCATATCATGGGAATACTCTCGGAGCCATGACTGTCTCGTCCAACTTGGCTCGGAAGGTACCATATGAAGATATCCTCATGACGGACGTCTCATTTGTTAGCCCCGCCTACGACTACCAATACACAAGAGAGGGCGAGACGGAAGGGCAATTTGCCGCGAGATTGGTGGATGAAGTGGAAGCCGAGTTCAAGAGGATCGGACCGGAGAAAATTGTGTCGCTTATGTAAGTGCCCACCAGGCTTGAACGGCGCCAGAGAGGAGGATGACCTGCTAATCGTACGGTTTCAGAGCTGAACCGGTCGTTGGTGCGACGTCGGCCTGCGTCGCCGCCCCTAAGGGCTATTTCAAAGGTATCCGCAGACTCTGCGACAAGTACGACAACCTCCTTCACTTGGATGAAATCATGTGCGGTGTTGGTAGGACGGGTTCCTACTTTGCTTTTGAGCAGGAGGGAGACATCTTCCCCGACATTGTCACCATCGGTAAAGGTCCGGGGGGAAGGTACATTCCCATCGCCGCCATGCTCGTAAGTCGCAAGGTCGTCGAGGTGATACGACGGGGAACCTCTGCGTTCAATCATGGCCAAACGTTCCAGGCGCATCCGGTTGCGTGTGCGGCGGGGCTGGCGGTGCAAGAAATCTTGAGGAGGGACGGGCTCGTCGCGAGGGCTAAGACGATGGGGACGACGCTCGAGAAGCTTTTGAGGGAAGCATTCCGGGGATGTAAGTACGTGGGAGACATCCGCGGGAGGGGGTTATTCTGGGCCCTGGAATTCGTCCGTGACAAGGAGACAAGGGAGTCTTTTATCCCTTCCGTCAGGTTTGGACCGAGGGTGCAGCACACCGCATTCGAAATGGGCGTAGCCGTGTATCCTGGCGTGGGGACGGTTGACGGGCTAAGGGGGGACCACGTCCTAATCGCACCTCCGCTTAATATCTCGAGCGAGGACTTGGGAAAAGCCGTGTCGACGATTCGGAAGGCATATGGTAAAGTGGAGAGGGATTACGACAGTGTGGTATATAAAATTTAGATGTGGGAATGGCTCAAGCAAGTTCAAAACGTTTCAAATCAATGAAGAGATAGATTAGACACGCATTTTGTAGACCGAATAACATCAGGTATTTTCAATGTTAACTCCCCCTAGAGCATATGACATGGGGTTCGTTACTTAAAGCCTAATGCAGATAAGTTCGTACCGTCCGCGTTACCCTCCCACTGAACGCCGTCGAACCCGTAAGGGAAAGCCCGCTGCTCCCCCCACAGAGGCCAAATATCGTTCCAGTCGCTCGCGGGGTCAGGAAACACAGGAGAATTCAAACCCCAGCCGGAATGTGGGTGTGAATTCGAATGCGAGAGATCCTGAAGACTCATAGCTGCGGCAACAATATTATCCCCATCCAACGAAATAGGACCGCTGATATCCTCTGGCGGCCCATCCTCGTGCGGGTCACTGGGGAGCCCCGTCGTCGTCTCGACTCCTGCAGCCATCGTCTTGGTGGCAGTTGCGTCCGCGGTAGCTGAGCTCGGCGATATGCCCGACGAGTCATGCATGGACGATTCGAGAGCAACGAAGTCATCGCGAGTTTTACCTTGATACTTTACCCGGTCCCTACTCGCTCGCTGATATAGTGACTGCGTTTGGCAGATAGTATCCCACCATCCCTGGCCCACCCGCCGCCAGTGGGCCCGGAAGCGATCCAAGTATGCTAGGTTCGCGTCGCTGTCGGCCTTGGAGGAGCCTTCGCTCCGACCGAGGTTCATGCGCGGGAAGCAGCTTACGTAGATGTTCATGGTGGCGGCAGAGAATGTGCAGAAGGCGGCAAAGGGGGTAAGGAATGGAGTAGAGGCCGAGTCCATGAGGCGAAGGATCGAGGTGAGGTGGGATGCCGAGGAGAAAAGCTCGTCGGCGCGGGTTGACCACCAGTGCAAGAGGGGGTTCTTGGGGAAGGAGTGGAGGATCGACGGGGCCTGATGGCTCCGAGGTGGGCGTGGGGAGGAAAGGAATGTATTCCCTTCCTAAAATAGTAGACTAGAAGACTGGTTAGCGGTTACTATTTAGCTGAATACGTTGGGCTTTTCGCCCCCGCATGCAAAGCTATATGCACTGAGGTATTGAAAAGAAGGATAACAGAATATAAGGAAGGGCTAAGGAAGGCTCGGGGGGGTTTGATCACCTGACATAGTAAATAAGATTGATGTACGCAAAGGCGTATCCTTGACCCAGACTGACGTGGGCTTCGACAGTAGTGTCGGGGAATCGAATCCGACTCCCATGGGTGCTTCGCCAGGCCTGCAACTGACCATGCAATGAACTCCACAGAGATCCGGCTGCCCAGGGGACCCCACCAGCCGAGCATAAGTCCTCGCGACGTCGACCGCCAACAGTGATCCACTTGAGGATTTGCGCCCAAATTTCGTAGCCCTGCAGTAGAAGCCGATAGTAATCGTCAAGGTCGTTGCACACGGCGGCCCTCCCATCTTCCCCGGCGGGGCATGGTCGGTCTGGAGCGTGGCCGAACGCGAAGTCGCGCTGTCCAACGGGCCAGCAGATTTCCATGGCGTCCAGGGGAAGTGAGAGCGGTTGAGGTTTACCACAGACGATGAGACGGTCCATGACGTAGCAACTCCAAAAGGTGCGGTTTAAGCATTCAAGTTGGAGGTCTGAAAGATCTCCAGACTTGGACATTGTGTGCAGCAGCTGCACCATTCGCGTCGCCATGCCTGGGGAGCAACTACTATTTAGCGCAACCGCGTGGTTGATAAAGTGGACAGTAAAAATTAATGAAATAAACCGACCACTATATACCCAGGCCCTATATGCCCGGCCATTGCCCCATTCGTACATGGCGAGAACCAAGAGTGTCTGGACGGTATGCCTGTCGGGCAGATCAAACACGGAGATGCGGGAGATGGCCGGCGCGGCGTAGCTTTCGCGGCAGTGGATTTCTTCCGTCATTAGCGGGGCGCACAAAGCCACGATGCCTGAGCACAGGGCTTTGAGTTTGACCCTGTAATTCGAAGGCAGTGACAGATCCGGGCCGTTGACACCATCGGCAACTGGCTCCTCCAGCTGCTGTAACTCTTGCGTGAAGCTCGGCATATGCAGGAAGCCGAGCTCGGGAAAGTGGGTCACAAAGACGGCAGCGGCCCTGCGGACTAGAGGGACAAACCCGATATCCGGTTTATGGCCCGATACTGGTGCCAGTGCCACGGTGGAGTGGTGGCATCTTCTTGATTTGTCGTCAACATTGGGCCAGGACCGCTGTTCATCTCCGGGCTTGGTGGATCCAATACGGCGTCGTCGGTGGTTTGTTTGATGGGATCTATGATGGCGTGTTGGTTCGGACAACCACAAAACACACACACACACACATGAGGCAAACGTAATGAGAGGTGGGCCTTGTCCCAACTTACCTCACGGGTGACTGTGGTGACTGTCTGCATTCCAGGACAGGCCTGGAAAGGACGCACTCGGCCGTCGCGTCGCGCTTGGAGCAGCCACGGCAGGGTGGTATGCCATCGTGGACGCACTTGATCTTGGCCTTCCTTCGGCAAAGGGAAAACAAAAGACGTTAGCGAGTCGGGTAGAGGGTCGCTTTGCAGTTGGAGAATGATACCAGCAACTCATACCTACAACGGGCACAAGCGATCGTTGTGCGAACCATGGCTTTGTTTCTTTCTTGGATTTTTTTAATTTAATTTCTTTTTCTTTCAATCTTTTTACTATTATTATTGTTATTACTCCCTTGCCCTAGTCCGACTGGGCTCCACAACATCGGAGCTCCAAAATCCGGGGCCCCGCGTTTTGGGTCGTGGCTCGCTTACACAAAGTAGAAGAGGATTCGCTGAGTTCTGGTTGTCTTCGTGGGGAAAGTAAGAAATGGGTAGGCCGTGCACGGGGTGCGGGCAAACCTAATCGCCCAGAATTGAAAGTAGAGTGAAGAGTGGGGCGTGGTTTTCGGGTTTCGCATCTAGGGGGAGGGGGCTTCGCGTTTGCTTTAAATACCCGAGCTCAGAGCCGAAAAGGTGGAGATTGAAGCTAGTTTAGTGGGAAAAACTGACATGCTTTCACTGGTTGCTTATCTGTGGGGAAGCAACCCAAATATAGGAAGAAAGCTAAGAGGTTCCCGGGCCATGCGGCAGGTCTGCATCTTGCTCCTATCGGCATCTCGGTCTTGTGATAGGGAGCAGGGAGCAGCGTCGCGTCTGCATAGTTAAGTATTCCTTCGGAACTTCGATTCGGGAGAAGTCGACTTGTTCAGTCTTGGATGCTTTGGTGAATAAAACAGCCCAAACCCTTCGAGGTTTTTCAGCTTTTATATTGTTCAGTTTCCCGGCCCAGTCTCACGCATTTCAATACCAACCTCTTCCTGTCCTTGCACACAGGCTTGTATAAATCCAACGAAAAGAAGGAAGAAAAATCAGTGATAATGGGCGAGCACATGTTCAAGAAGTCTGCATCAGAGGAGAAGGCCAACGCTGTCGACGAGGTTGAGGTCGTGGACAAGAAGGCCGACCTGGGCCTCCAGTTCATCAACCAGCATGGTGGTGGAATCGAAATCACCGAAGAAGAGGACCGTCACGTTCGACGAAAGCTCGACCTCTTCCTGATGCCCATTGTAAGGCCATGAACCATGAAACTCAAAATCAATTAATTTTTATATGGTACCAGATACTAACACTATAACACTATTCCCAGCTCATGCCGACCTTCGGCCTCCAATACCTTGACAAAGTGACCATCTCCTACGCAGCCCTCTATGACTTCCGCTCCGACCTCAATCTTGAGGGCCAGCAGTACAGCTGGGCCGTCTCTCTCTTCTACGTCGGCTACCTAGTGGGCGAGTTCCCCGCCAACTACCTCTTGCAAAAGCTCCCCATCGGCAAGTTTGCCGCCGTGAACCTCTTCATCTGGGGTGGCATCGTCATGCTCTGTGCCGTCGCCAAGAATTTTGCCGGCATCGCTGCCTTGCGTTTCCTTATGGGCTTCTTCGAGGCAGGCATCCCCCCTTGTTGGATCTACATTACCGGCATGTTCTACAAGGCCTCCGAGCAGGGCGCCAGAACCCCGGATGGTACTTCATGGTCGGCGTGGCCGCCATTGTCGGAGGATTGCTGGGATACGGAGTCGGCCACATCGAGACGGCCGTCAAGAAGTGGCAGTTCGTCTTCCTCATCTGCGGCGGCTTCACCGTCCTGTGGTCCGTCGTGGTGTTCCTTTGGCTTCCCGACACCCCCCTCAACGCGAAGTTCCTTAGCGACAGGGAACGCGCGGTGGCTATCGAGCGCGTGCGCCAGAACCGCACGGGTATCAAGTCCACCGAGTTCAAGTGGTCGCAGGTCGCCGAGGCTTTCCGCGACCCTCAAGTCTAGATCTTCGCGTTTTACCAAGGGATCAGCATGATGCTCAATATCGGTGGGAGCTTCTTGCCCCTCATCATCCGGGACATGGACTTCACCGGCATTCAGACCACCCTCCTGACCCTTCCTGTCGGCGCCGTCGAGTGCGTAGCCATGGTCGTCGCTGGCGCCCTGTCCTCATGGTGGGGTGACCGAGGCCGCTGCGCCGTCATGTTGATCATCGGGACTCCAACCCTCGTTGGATGCATCATGCTCAAGGCTCTACCTCAAAGCGCCACATGGGCCCGCGTGTCAGCCGTCTGGCTCCTCGTCTGCATCCCTGCCGCCTACGCTATCCTCCTCAGCCTCATCGCGAGCAATGTAGCCAGCACCACCAAGAAGACCACCACCATGCTCTTCTGCTTCGTCATGTTCTGCGTCGGCAACATTGCCTCACCTCAGCTCTTCATCTCCCACGAGGCGCCGCGGTACGAAACCGGCCTGCGTGCCATGCTCGTCGCAATGGCCTTGTGTATGGGTCTGACGGCGTTGATCTGGGCATACTATATGTACGAAAACAGGAGGCGCGACCGCATCTTGACCGCCATGTCTCAGGAGGAATTAGATCTTATGGCACAGGATAACGAGGAGTGTATGGACAAGACTGATTGTGAGGATTCTTTAAGGTTTAGGTATAAGTGGTAATTGGGAAGAGGCTAAGAGGGCGGTGAGCTGAGGATACTTGGACCGGGGAGTCTCTTAATATTCGTCAGAGGTAATTATCCCAACAGAACGTGCCAGAGGTTTCGGATGGAATGGTGCCATTAAGTTCATGCCAGTGCTATGGAGAGCTATTATTTTAAATATATATGTCTAGAGTACGGGCGGATATTCCAGCGAAAGAATTTGAGTCGTGGGAACCTCTTCGGCTCTTCGAAGCTGACACAATTTACACGGCAGATGTGACCTAAAGCCGTTCGATCATACCTTCTCAACGAGTCGCTTCACCTCATTAAGATCGGTGCTCCTTCTTTGCTAGCTAGACGACCCTAGACCAGACCGCTGTTGTATTAATGCACTTGATGTATGGGGCTGCAAAGGGCGCCATACTGAGAGTAGGCTCTCACCGGGTGGTGGTGGCGAGTATGTCAGAGGAAAATTCAACCTCAGCAACGAATGAGAGAACATTGAAGTGTTGAGGATTTATTCGTGGTGTAGCCCCAGTATTCTGCATCGAGGGCAGTGTTACTATCAATCTAATCAATCAGATTTATAAAGATGGTCGTACTTCACATTACTGAACAAGGCATATGTAGCCTGTTCCTCGCAAACTCCAACGCGAACAGCTAACTGTCCGTTCCGTCAGAAAATAGAACAAGTGCTGGCGTGACAGTAAGTTTACGAGACATAGCATGGCACCACGGAAGGTTATTCCGAAAAACGGAATCACTCTACAAAAATAGTAAACCCATAAAGAATAGGTAGACTTTAATTCGGCATTAAAGCTAACTCTCAATTACAGGAGGTAAAGAGGGCACCATTCTTGATTTGAAGACTTCATCTCTTTAGCCTTCGCAGCCGGCGGCCTAGGTCTCTGAATTCCCCCCCCCCCCCCCCCCCCCCCCCCCCCTTTTTACATGTAACACTTTCCCCGAGAGGCCGATCATGCTGCACCGACCCAACCGCGGCTCGGTCTTAATATGTGGGGAGAATCTGGGGCAACCCCACACGATTCACCGGAGAAAGTTACCAAGCTGGAAAGCTACCGAGCAGTCGGTCAAATAAGGAGGGCCCCTGTTATGGGGTTAGCAGGTCAGATCGTCGACGTGCACTTAGAGACCCGATTAACTTAAGGAATGGGGAGTAGTTATACGGACATTACCATCTTAAGACTTCACAAGTAACATATCTGTATCGGGACAGTACTAGAAAGGTCAGTGGTGGGACAGGTATGGATAATCTCCCGCTAAATTGGCCCAGAGCCTGGCAGCCACGACACCACTCGTCGTTGCTGATCCTGTTGGAGTTTGCTTTCCACGCTGCAGATTGGGTATGGTGTGAGAGCGTCTACCATTCTGCTAGGATCCTTGAGACTCTTAACGGCGATAGAGCGAATAAGTAAACTGGGCGTGCATAATCTCAGCTATTGGATGCGATCTCGTCGGTTATTCCAAGGCTGTCGCCCGCAAACTGGAGCGTGGGCGGTCGGCGGGCTCAAATTACATGCAAGGTGCAACGAGGTCTAATTTAGAACCGTTCCCAAGCCATGGCCCAGGAATAGGAAAGACGAAGACGAATAACCAAACACAAATTCAAAAGACATATTGAGTCGCCTCACCTCCATTATACTGACGGAAAGTCGTTTCCGAGCCAAAAATTTGCCCGGAATTTCCCATTTACTGTAAATCTGGCGCCGTCCGCGGCGGAGGAATGGCTATTAGCTTAAGCGACACGGGCATTCTGGCACGATCCTTTGTCGCTCTAATATTGACTCTGCTCAGATGCACCGGATATCATCCCTATTAGAGAGAATGGAGCCAAGTTCCCATGCAGCCATCACTCATTGCAGTAGCCACAGAACCAGGGGTATTTCTCGCCTTACCCGGATAGTACAAAGATAAAATCGGCTATCACGATGCTGAATTATCCATCGATGAGGAAAAGTGAAGCGGGAAGCCCTGTCTCGGGGACTCTCGATAGTATCGGTCACCAAGATCGCCCGCATGCGGAGTTTTATGATCTTTCGGTCCCCAAATCTACTGCAGATGTTGCTTGATCCCTAGGAATATTGCTTCTAGCTAATGGCGGTTGACATCGCGCATAGTGTATTGGATCCTAGAGTCCCTAGGGTAGAGGTCAAGGTTCCTGACCAGCTCATCGGCAATTCAAATCAAGAGGTTTTCTTGGTGACGCCGTCACGAGTTCTTGCCGTGTAGTAAGCAATAACAGACTTCTCAGTGTTAATAAAGAAAGCAGGAAAAACCACTACTACAGCCCAAGCAACCGCATTCGAATATCCAATGCGGACCAATTAGCTCTCGGCTGTTTTCCGAGTTTTGAAGTCCTATCCTCCATACCCAGTGTCGGATTGGAACGTATTGCGACACTACCAATTGATGTTGGCCTCTCCGCATTGCATAGGGATGCGAGTTAAAATTACCAAGACCTTTCTGCTTTCGGTAATCCTGGTTTGCGGGCGTGCGTTCTGATGATGTGTTCCTCCTCGGAGACGACTTTCCTTTTTCGTGACCTTGGCGACATTACCGAAATAGGCATGTAGGAATGGAGCTGGCTGGAATGGAGTAGCGTGAGCTCGTCCGGGGTTCTCCTACGACAACGTGCTACGCCGAAGGGGATCTACGGGCTGGCCGACCCGGCACCCATGGCGGGAGGGAAGCCTGACTCGGTATTGCATTGAGAATAGACAATGCAGGTCCGGGTGGGCACGAACGAATGAGATTCGTCGATCAACCCAAATTAAATTTGACATGGCCCACAATGTCCTTTTTGATCGGGAATTCCAGTTGCAGAGAGTTGCCTTTGTATCCTGCATGCTATTTTGGGAGCGCGATACTTTTCCCAATCTTCTTTGCACGTGGAGTAGCATTCTGCAACTAACCATATAAAGGGGGCGGGATCGCCGGTAGCGAAGATATCGCAATATGAGCAGGGCAGGTATTACAGAGAATTCTCGTCTACTGGGTAAGGCTACCTGACCTGGGCGCGATGAAGACTTTTGGAGCTCTCTTATTCGCAGTCATCTCTCGCGCCACGGCGCTGAGCATCGCCGAGATAAACGGCAACCGCTTTATCTCGCCGTACAACGGCCAGATAGTCAGCGACGTTGAGGGACTTGTTACCGCCGTGAGCAGCTCTGGAATCTACCTTAGATCGATCCGCCCAGACAAGGATGCAGCAACGTCTGAGAGCTTGTTCGTCTACGGCAGCAGCGCAGCGAAGAAGGTGGCCGTGGGAGATATTGTGACTCTAGGCGGCAAGGTCTCGGAGTATCGGTAAGTTTCCGTTGCATTGGCTAGTAAGACAATCGAGCGGATTAGGGATTAACAAGCTCGTAAATACAGATCGAGCGTCGACTACCTTTACCTTACCGAGCTCACCTCTCCCCAAAATATTACCATTGTTTCCTCTGGTAACAAGGTCAAGCCCCTTACCATCGGGAAGGACACCTCGCCCCCGCCGACTCAACGCTTCTCCAGCCTAGACAAGGGCGGCCTCTTTGGTGTGCCTAATAATGTGTCTCTAATTTCCGTCGCAAACCCTAAGCTCAACCCCAAAAAGTACGGAATGGACTTTTGGGAAAGCATTATGGGAGAGCTGGTCACCATTAAGGGTGCCTATGGAATCAGCCGCCCGAACCAATACGGGGATGTCTGGGTCCGGGGAGACTGGAAAGTCACCGGTAAAAACAAGCATGGGGGCTTAACTATGTCCGACGGTGGTATGTATCCCCATTGTTGCACCTCGTGAAGATCCTGAAATAGACATGAGCTCGGGAGGGTTGCTGAAGGCTCATCAGGCTTACTTCATGTCTAGACGCCAATCCCGAAAGCATTGTCATCGGCACTCCCCTCGATGGCAGCAAGAACCCCACGGATACGAAGATGGGCGACTACTACGGCGACATCACAGGCGTCGTCTCCTACGCCTTCGGTTTCTATCGCGTTCTCCCTCTTGCACACATCTCCTCGCAGCGTAACTCCTCCGCTGAACACGGTGCTGTGAGTTTCACTAGCAAGGGTTCTTGCAAGGGTATCACCATCGCCGACTACAATGCGGAGAATCTCGCCCCGACAAGTAGCCATTTCCCCTTAGTTGTCGACCAGATCATCAACAAGTTGCGCATCCCGGATTTGCTATTCCTCCAGGAGGTTCAGGATAACTCTGGCTCTAAAGACGACGGCGTCGTCAGCGCCAACATCACACTCGCCACCCTGACCGACAAGATTTTCGAGGCTAGCGGCGTCCAATACGACTTTGTCGAGGTTGCCCCTGAAGATGGCAAGGACGGCGGCCAGCCCGGTGGCAACATTCGCTGCGCCTACCTCTACCGTCCCGACGTCGTGGAGTTGTACAAGCCTAACCAGGGAGGCAGCCTCGACGCCAACGAGGTCCTGGCCGGGCCATCCCTCAAGTACAATCCTGGTCGCATCGACCCCACCAACACGGCATGGGAGGATAGCCGTAAGCCCCTGGTTGCTATGTGGCGGGCTGTCAAGGGCGCTAAGAAGCCCTTCTTCACTGTAAATGTGCACTTCACTAGCAAGGGTGGATCTACCAGTCTACATGGCGATGCACGACCTCCAGTTAATTTGGGGGTTGTCCAGAGAACGGCTCAGGCGGAGGCCACTGCTGTACGTTCCATTTTCGAAACGAAACGGAAGGAAAAAAAGACTAACAGTGTCAATAGAACTTTATTGCCCAGATCCTAAAGAAGGATAAAAAGGCCTACGTCATCGCGGCCGGAGACTTCAACGAGTTTGTCCAGGTGCAACCCCTCCAGGTCTTCCATGATAAGTCCGGCTTGACAGATCTCGATGAAGTCGCCAGGATCTCCACCAATGAGCGTTACACGTACCTCTATGACATGAACAGCGAGGCTCTGGATCACATGTATGTGAGCAACGCCGTCGGTTGTGGAGGAGTCAAATACGAGCACTTGCATCTCAATACCTGGCAGAACTATGACGACCAGGTGAGCGACCATGACCCCAGCGTCGCGAGGTTCTCCCTTTGCTAGAGGATGTTGTCGACATGCGTTGCACGAATGAGAATTCCTCTTTGCCGACGATTGTCCGAAAGGGTACGTAATTATTCATAATTAGACTCAGTATAATAGTATTTCATTTCCTTCTTGCTTCTATGACTCAATAGTTTCTTTTTTTACAGAATAATATTCTACTTCTTATGGCCTTGCTTAATCCAGAGTGACTATGTAACCGCATGCCTCCTTCAGAAGGAGATCACAGATTGTCGCAAAGACACCGTAAGGGCACTTAACCCATATAGCAGCGGATAAAAGAATTAACTTAAAGAGGGACTGGCAGTGACATCACGGCATTCGGCTTCGGTTCAGGCCAGGAATGGAATATTATTACAGGGTAAAAGAGTATCAAAATTTCCTTTTGTGGTTTTCTGCACTTATTTACTTTCCGGAAGCAAGTCTACCAGGCGCAGGCACTTGAAGCACAGGCGCTGAAGCCGGGGTCAAGGCCGCGGGCTATTTTCAAGTGCAATGATCCCATGGCCTAGTGTCGCTTGGCTCGTCGTTTCTTTGAACCGCTAGGATGGTACGCGAACTGTCGTGATAAATAGGCTTGTCCGTACATTTTCATACTAGTACGAAGCCTTTTCCGTAATAAGACACCAGTCAGTGATATGCGTCCAGGTCTCCGGTTCCTAGGACACTTTTTATTAGATCTAAAGTTTAGAATATGGACAAAATATCAAATAAGTCAAATGTCATTCACCCACCCTAGCTTCTTACCAGGTCTGCTGGGGTGAAGGGATTAGGAAGGTTCATGGAGACGTGGCGTGGTTTCTACGGACAGCTCGTTCGTAGAAAAATCGGGTTAATGCGCCGAAGGTTCCTCTTAGACCATACATTTCCCGGCTGGAGGAGTCAAATAGTGTTCTGAGCCGAGCCTCTCTCACCGCTTCAACATATGTTCGTTTCTACTGCCACAGTTGAATCCTTGCGATGCGAGGATGGCAGCCCTCAATAACTATGTCTCTATGTGACCATCAGTGGCCTTCAGCCATAGGTCTTCAAGGCAACTGCGCCGAAGGGAACATAATACGAAGAAAGCAGTCTCATTGACTCATCACCCTTAGCGAAATCTACACCCAGCAAGAGCAGATCGAATAGACCGCACTTCAAGTCGATATCGACGTTAAAGACAGGCAACCTCCGAGATTAGATTGTAAATCTCGAAAATTGGTAATCCTATAGATAGCAAAGAAGGTGTTCAGAAGTGAAATCCAGGTCATTGGTCCCTCGCCTTTTTCTTTCCCTTTTCTTTCTTTTCTTCTTTTTCCCTTCTTTTTTCATGGCACTTGTAGACAGTTGTTGTCACATGAGTGAGTCTATTTGCCCCTGATGAACCAGCCACGATTTTCCTTCAGCAGATTTCTCTTCGAGACATCATTGTGCTTCAATCTTCAATCCTTCAGTACCCCACAAACGGCGGGCTGATTTCATCCAAGATAACGATGGCTCTATCAAAGCAGTCATGGCTCCAGCAGCGTGTGGTCACCACCGCGCTGTCGTCAATCACCCTCTCATCACACCAATCGCGCTGCTTGGCCTCGGCCCAACGATCTCTGCCCGCGGCATATTATCGCGGAGGCACATCTCGAGCCATCTTTTTTAATCGGGATGACCTCCCAAAAGATAAAAAGGAATGGGACCCGATATTTCTGGGCACGATTGGCAGTCCCGATCCATATGGACGCCAGCTTGATGGGCTAGGCGGAGGCATTTCGAGCCTCTCCAAAATCTGCGTGGTGGGCAAGTCGGACGACCCGGAGGCCGATGTCGACTACACTTTTGTCTCCCTTGGTATCTGTGACCCCAGTGTGGACTACTCCAGCAACTGCGGTAATATGTCGTCAGCCGTGGGACCCTATGCTGTAGACACAAAAATGGTCCGGCCGACATTGAGGAAGGGCAAGGGCGACGTGGACCTGGCTACCGTTCGCATCCGCAACACCAACACAGGGAAGCTGATCCACGCCACGTTCCCCGTTGTCGACGGCGAGGCGGCCGCGTCTGGCGACTTTAGCATCGATGGCGTGAGCGGCACCGCTGCGCGTCTCCAGCTCGATTTCATTGACCCTGCGGGCTCCCGAACGGGCAAGCTGCTACCAACAGACAACGTTATAGACGAAATCGACGGCGTTCGTGCCACGCTTATCGATGCCGCGAACCCGTGTTGCTTCGTCCTGGCGTCAGACCTTGGCGTTTCCGGTACCATTTCCCCAGCCGAGATCGATGCCGACAAGAACTTGCTCGCCCGGCTGGACAAGATCCGACGGCTAGGCGCTGTTAAGATGGGTCTTGCTGAGACCGTGGAAGGCGTACCCGGTAGCGTGCCCAAGATCGCCCTCGTCTCTGCCCCCCAATCTCCATCCTCGGCCCACATCGTCGTCCGCGCCATGTCCGTTGGACAGCCGCACAAGGCCATCCCTGTCACCGTCGCGCTAGCCGTCGCCGCGGCGTCCAAGATCCCTGGTAGCACCGTAGCGGAGAACGTAGTCAAGGCCGGGGATGGCGAAGATCTCGGTCTCGTAATCAACCACGCCAGCGGGCAACTAATGGTATCCGCCGAATGTGACGAGCAGGGCTATTTGAGCCGGGCCAGTGTATTCAGGACTGCAAGGAGATTGATGGAAGGAAGAGTCTTCTGGAAATAATGTACAGGCGGTTAATGTATATCTAGAATAAAAGTGTTGGCCTAAGGTTTATTATAGTTAAAAGTCTGTTTCCAAAGAGATACAAAGGTACCCTTATCATCATTAAGGGAACGAGGCTGTTGAATAACTTTACTCAACGTTCTTGTTCGCCTCGCAGAGTTTAGTTAAGCTGGGCCCATCGATCGCGAGAGATTTCGTAGTTGTGATACCTGAAACGCGAAACACGAGAGGAATACGTCCACCCATGCTCTTTTCGCCAACTGATTTCATAAAACCTCTATTCCAAGCACTAGAACGATGTGTTCCTAAAAGAAGATCGGCTACTGGTGTCCAAGCTGTCCGGGCCATGAACACACGGTACCGTGTACCGTCGGCCTTTTGTTAATACCTGCTTAGGTGCGAGCGGTGAAGGCATTCTCTAGATTGGGGAACATGCTTGCTAGTTCCTCTTCAGTGACATTCCTCTGGATCCGATTGCCAACAGTGATGAGGCCGGATGCGCCCGGCACCGATGTTAGACAGTGTCAGTAGTACAAGGATAATGACCAAGGCCAGGGTTCCAGTGCTTGTCGCTTGCCTCGTGGTCGTCTCCTTTGACTTTCTCACCAGTATTATTTAGGGTTGGCGATTTTCGTTCACCCCAGACCACAACGACAAGATTAGTCTTCGTTATACCACTGCGTTCTTCTCCCCTCCCAGTATTTCCATCCCTCTTCCTCGCCGTCGTGTCTGGTGGTAGCCCGCGCAGCTCTCTCCGGGTTTGGGCCCTCCGATACCCCATCCCCGCCGAATCGAGCGCGAACCTAGTACGACAGTACTTTACCTAATGATCAACACTGAAGAGCCTTGGTGAAGAACAAGGCATGGTTCTCCAGTTCCATTTGAACTTGGAGGGCTGTGTCCCAGGTGCCGGTGTCGGTGCCCGGCAGTAGGCGTTGCGGGAGAGCACTCCGGGCCCGGAAGCCTTTGTAGCGGGCCTTAATTTCATATGCTTTCAGATCTACAGGACGCGTAGTGACGACCTTATCCGTACGTGGGTGGTTAGAGGGTTGGACCTTACCTTGTCTAGCAATCAAAGAGGGGACGCTGAAGTATTGTTGGATAAAAGCAGCATCGACGCCGATATCTAGCCGTGGATCTCGGTGGTGTCGGTTTAGTGGCTCTGGCTTTCAAAGCATTGCACTCGCCCATGGCCCTTGGGGCGTATTCGTATCCCTTTTACCACTCATGGACAGGCGTCGAAGACATTTTGCACTGGCAACACCTCCGGCCCCGGCGCCATAAGCAAGACTTCCTTGAAAGGACATGGAGGGATGTGGAGGTTTAAAAAAGAGAGGGAGTATCCTTGGACAGAATGTAGCTCTGCGCCACGGATGTCCTCCTGCGAGGAACGTCTCAGCCGTGCTTTACTATCTTAACTAATACGTTGGTTAATAGAGCAACACCGTTCGGAGGATGTGTCAATGTGGGGCACGACCTTTGCCTGACAATAAAATAATATCGGTGATCGAGGAGATGCATTGATCACATAATTCTCGACTAAAGGGAGACGAGAAAAGAAGAAAGAAAAATGAGAGGAAAACATAGGAATAACCCTTTAGAAACCTACGAATCTACTACACATGACAGCAGGATTTGAACGCAAAGTTCAACTAAATCATGGCTTGGGTTACTTGATGCGGGGGTTTGTTGTACCGATGCTGACGTGAGTCATGATGATGACTGTGTTGGCGTGGTTGGACTGGTTCGTGAGGAGTTTTGACCCTCTCAGCAGGGCGGGAAAAAAAACGAAATGTTCTCTCTTCCGTCCCCCTCCCCACCGCCCTTTGTCCTCCAACCAACCACTCTGGGAAACACAACAGCTGCCACTGTTATTCGGGCATTGACTTGAGGAGGCGTTTGGCGAGTATGGCATCGAATCATGCTCGGAAAGTAGACTTAATCCCGTGGGACTTCAAGTCTACGGAACAAGTGAGGCGGCTACATGATCAGAGGATAGCCTGTGGCTGGAGAGCTGAGGAAGTCCCTTCCTGGGTCGAATCGGCGAGCAATGGTGTGAAGGCCTTCTACTGGGTGGTCAGTCGTTAGTATAATACCTGGCAGAGCACGCATATTATTAGTGCTAAAAAGTTATATCAGGTTCTCTCAGATGATGTCCCTGACCGGGAAACTCTTCTTGCAACGCACATTGCGAGATACCCCGAGGTCTGTAGATACGCGGCCCCAAACTCAGTAGTTGACCTTGCTCACGCTGCACAGGAGGCATTGCCTTTGACGGACACTGCGAGCGAGGTTCGCCTCGTCCTCCGAGCGCCAAGTCAGTGCCGATTCACTCCTATCGGGCACGTCGCGTTGGGTGTCCACCCACCCGATGAGGATGAGAAAATCGGCCTCCCGCGCTCGGGAGTTACTTGGCTGCACCAGCTGTATATCTCATACGCCTTGCAAAAGGGTGGGCTGGGGGTAGCTGCGATGTCGAAAGCCGAGCATCTCGCCAAGCTCGATCCATTCAATGCATCAATCATGGCACTCGACACTCTAGCCAAGGAGATGCAGATGGACGATTCGATCCAAAAGATTGTGTATGACGATAGGGGCGTCCCACGACCGCTTGTAAGTCTGCTTGTTCCCGTAGCTTATAAATAAAAACCTCGCGGTGATCCATTCCTGACCCCATATCTGGCAGAAAGCAAACGAAGATTGGTATCTCGGGTTAGGCTATGAAGTGACGGCGCGGACTAACGAAGGGTATATATATAAACATCCCAATGGGGAAATTTCATTTGAGGTTATTTTCATGAAAAAGATGTTGCGCTAGCCCTGGATTATAGTTGGTCGTCTGCTTCGAAAGGCGCAGTAGATCTAATAGACTTTTAGAAGAAACCAAACACAAGTCGACAAGCCACCTCGGTCTTAAGGATGGCCGAAGAGTAGACTCTACTTCCGACAATCTTTGAGGACAAAGGAAGCGCAGCAGAGGCGGCGTATCTCACGATATTTATTAAAAATGTCGGTGCGTGAAAATGGGAAAACAGAAGAAAAGAAAAGAATAGAGAAATAGAAATGAAGTAAAGAAAAGCTAGAAAGCATTATGAATATATTCTATATATCCTCAGTGAACTCCTCTCAATCACATTAGGCTGGTAGGGAAAGTTCACACCTATACAGTTACAAGATAACAAATCCGTGGTGAGTGGAGATTCTATTTGCTGTCTCCTTCTAGCTTACTATTAAAACCAAAGCACAGTTACAACCGCACAACCTCGGTCTCTGGCGTTATGGCCCGAACTCACTCACCATCCTTCTTCCTCCTGGCATACTCGTCTTGTGGGCAGCAGTACAAGACGATGTTCGGCTCGTCACTATACGCAATGGTCTCCCCCTCCTCACCGCCACCAGCGCTCATCCAGCTTGACGAGTACACGAGCATACCAGCATCATCCCGGTAGGCCCCGTCCGGTACTTCTACATCTTCACCAGTTGAGGCGCTGGCTTCCTCCTCACGAAGAGGATCCGGCTCAATGTAGACGCGCGGCAAGGCATCTCCATACATACATCGGATGAAACCGTTGATGAGGTCACCTTTCGTTACGCCCTCCTTGTTTTCAAGCACAATATTAGGTTCCACATCCGGGTGGCAGCATGGGCAGTTCAGTCCGTGTATGGCGTCGAACAACGTGACAGTAAATTTGGGGACCGGTGGGCTCGTCAAGTACTGCGGGATCTGGGGATCGGCCAACATAGAGTCTCGAAGGCGAGCGAAAATATCGTGCCAGTAGGTCTGGAAGGTCGAGGGCGAGGAGGGGTCAAACGCCGGGCTAGCGGAGAAGGCTTCTCGCGTAGTTTCCTGAATGGCATCAACGGCATCATGCCACTTCTCAACAATGGGCTCTTCCTTGTCGCCCGAACTCTGGTTGTCAATCGACTCTTCCCTTCTTGTGTCGTCTTCCGTTGTGGAATACTGTCTCAGTGATGGCGACATGCTGAATGCCTGTGGTTGAAAGGTAGGGATTGGAAGAGGACGAAAGTCGCGGTCAGATGTCAAAGCCCCAGTTCTTCTTCCTAAATACTTTCCTATTGTTATTTGTGTGTCCCTGCTTATGTGGTTTATTTTAGCCTTGCAATTTGACTCACCCGCCGACTGACGCGGTTGCCTAAAACAACAAACGGACGTTGGCTCGCCCCAACATTGCACACACGTGGTCGGATCATGTTCAAAAGCCTGCCTGTGATATCCTCCCTGCAGGTATCCAGCGCTGAGTAGAAAAACACGTGTCGGCGCATTTGATGTGGGAGGCGAGACTGGACAAACAGTGTTGTTCGGTGACAGGAGCGATCATGCGGCCAGGCATCAGCCACACAAGCCACACAATTACCTGGTTCTTCTGAGTCTTCGCTCTCACCATTCAGCTTGGATCAAGTTTCAAATGGTCGGTTTACTTCATATATAGCCATTGTGATGCTTCAGCCGTTCATTCTCGGCCTCCAATTCCCTCATCGTGGGAGAGCCTTCAAACACATTCCCTCCTCTACAACGATTGTGACGATGCAATTGGGGAGCGAGGCGGCGCTGGGCACTTGTGACCGAAACTACCTGACGCAGCTCTTCCCGTGGACTTCTCTTCATAAACTCGGCTTTCGGATTTCACTATTGCGGAACGTTCTCTTTTGCCCGGCCTCTCGGATCCTCAAGAGAAGTTGTGGAAGGTGTGGTGCAGTATCTTCTTGGATATTTTAGACGTTTATGTCGGATGAACGGCATCTCCTCTTAAGTCTTGACGAGCGGTAATTGTTGCTGGCGGCCCGGATACATATGACCCAACGGCGGTAGCGTTGGATGTATAAAGAATGCCTCCTCCGTTGGTGCCGAAGCCCGCTTCAGCACAACTTCAAAATGCATCGACGAATGAAAGGTCCGTAGCATTCGAAACAATTATATCAACCAGGGAAAGAAAAGAAGGGTATCTTGTATGATTGTCGCCGTGCTTTTGAAGAAACCGCTCGAAAGTTGGGCAGTTTTCTGAACTCAAAAGGAACGATCTTAGATAGTTTCCCTAGTCATCACACTCGAGATACATCGTCTGAAGGTCGATTGAATTCCTGTTGGAGTACCTCCACAGTTCGATCCGTTGTTGCCATATAAATATATATTCATGCGAAAGTCGGGCCTTGCATTTTGCTAACGCCAACAGATCCAGCGGAGCTCGACTGCACCGGGTGGCTGAGACATGATGAAAGAGATAACAGCCGAAACATGATAGATAGGTAACGGTATATTATCTCATGGGAAAGAGGTAGTACAAGCTGTCAACCAGGTTAAGATATGAAGTTCATGCTACGATAGAAGAAACCGCTGTTCCGTCCCTCGTCAGGTATTGAACTTCTAATAGTACCTCTACCAAGGTGGCTGGCTCTAGCTCCCTTGACAGAGTGGGAAATGTCCAGTCGCCTTGCTCAACGACATACAGTCCCAGCAGCAGAAATCTACTATAGAATATAAAATACCACAGGCATAGCGAGGGGACACAAACGGTCTTAGATGTTTGCATTTGAGGAGTATTTCTTTTATTTTTTTTTTTTTTAACAAATATTTACTTATAGATAAAAGGTGGTTAATACCTAGATGTACGCTACCATTTCTCTCATAAACCGCGTAACATTTTCTGAGACGCTTTGTTACCAGCCAATCTAGAACTTGTTTTGGTTCGCATTCTCCATCAACATGGTAGAGTCGGGCTTGTACTTCTTTGGCGCCATACGGACGTTGTACTCCACATCAAGGACAGCGCCGTTGGGCTCATTCTGAACAGGCTTGAAGTCCAGAAGCAGATCATCCTTGACGGCACACACGGTATCAGTGGCAAGGTAAGGGTCATCCTTGGGGTACAGCTGGGCGGTGACACCGATGTAGTCGGGGTGGGTGACCATCATGTGGATGTGAGCGGGGCGGTAAGGGTGGCGGCCCATGATCTTGAGGAGCTCAGCAGAGGGTCCGGAGGTGTCAATGGCGTACTCGGTGGGCTTGAGGCAGTAGAACCAGAACTTGCCGTTCTCGTCGGTGCGGAACTTGCCACGAAGGTTGTGGCGGGTCTGGTTCTCAGGGTCGAAGACGTCGTACTTGCCGTTGGTGCTGGCCTGCCACATGTCGAAGACGGCACCGGGAATGCCCTTGCCGGTGTCAACGTCCTTGATAACACCATGGAAGAAGGTGAGTTCGCCGTCCTTGGGCATGTTCTGGACTACGCTGCCACCGAGTTCGCGGAAGGGAGTTTCGGGGGACCAGAAAGGTCCGAGAATGGTGGAGGAGGTAGGAGCGCGGCCATCTTCGAGAACGAGGCTGTGGTTGATTTCGTCGACGAGACTGCGACGAGAGCTGGTCAGCGATTGATCCGAGGAGGAGGAGGAAAACAGACAAAAATAATTGTTAAGGAAAAACCGATGAATTGCGGGGCTCCTGTCAACTGCCGTTGCTGCAATTGGCGACAATGGCAATAATGACGGTTTGGGGTTGGGGGTCGATGACGTAATTTAGGAGGGGTGACAAAGTGAGGGGAACATGCATTCAATTGTAAGGGGGAAGGGGGACCAGGGGGGGTTGATGGTCGGACTCACGATTCGATGCCCAGAATATCCATTACCCTCCATGTCTCATTGCGGTTCTTCTCATAGGCCTGACCAAGAGCGTTGATGTAGTTGACACCGAGAACCCATTCGGATTGCGTGAGCTCAACCTCGCGGCAGAAGTCGTGCATGTGCCTAATCAGCGAAGTAAGGATCTGTCGATGTCTGGGCTTGGTCTCGGGAGCCATGAGGTCAATAACATGTTGCGTGAAGTTGGGGTCGAATCTGCTCGCGGCAGCGTTGGCGTCGGTGGTGCCGTTGGTCGCGTTGGAAGCCATAGTGTTGCTTTTTTTTTTTTTTTTTTCTCTTTTTGGATTTTCTTTTTTCTTGAGTTCGGGGAAGCTAACAACGAAGTATTTTGATTGGGACTTCAAAGATCGTTTTTTGTTTCGAGTGGATGAGTTGGAGAGGTGATGATGGATGTCTGGTTAAACTTCACTGGTATCAGGGTCGGGAACCTGGGGTCTTCAAGTATAGATAAATTACACAGAGGGGTCCCTCTTCTGGAGAAGCAGACATGAGCTTGATTGAGGTCGGGTCGGTATGTGGGCACGAATCGTACGACGGAGAGAGAATGGACGGCAGTAGTGTTCGGCACGGCAATTACAGGCGGGGTGGGTATTTTTTGCGCTTATTATGCCTACCATCCTAGTGGAAGTTCCTGGCAAAGCCCGCGCCGAGTCGCGACGGAGAAACAGCAAGGAGGGGAGCGAGCTCCATCGAACACTGCTGCGGTGCACGCTAAGAAGGGCTGATGGGACCAGGCACATTGGGCGGGTAAGGTCTCGTGGACTGGAGTCTGGATTGACCAATCCACTACGTCGGAGGAACGGGGGGATTGGGGTTTTGCAGGCCACGAGTCGATTGGCCTGGCCTGGCCTGGAAGAACCCCACCAACGTCGCAAACAATTGAACTTCCCATGACAATGGAGGGCCAGGCCATGGTCGCAAGCTCGCGTTTTCGCGAGTCGGCGCAAGAGGTGGGGGGCTGCTTTGTGCACTAGGTCAGGCCAGCAGCCACGCGCTAGCGCAAATTCGAGACTGCCGACTCCAGTCCGAGGGGCAAAAATGCAAAGCCAACGGAAGAGCTATCGGCAAAAGAGGAAGAGCAGGGAACCAGGGCAAAAAGTGAGCTAATCACAGATGTGGCTTTACAAACAGCGTCCCTTGCAGCAATGCATGTTTTGACGTCAACCACGACCTCAACATTACTACATCAAATCATCGGCCAAAGATTAAACGTCAATAATATTGCTTTCGGCGTAATTGGACCAACCATGACCTAAAATTTGTTCATTAGCATTGCATTCGCGGTTGCCCTTAACATGGATACCAATTCATCTCAAGGGAGCCGTGAAGATCCCGCCCTGGACTTCCGCTTCATACGATCCCAGCAGAAACTTTGGCCGCATAGGATCACCATCTCACGTGTTCCGTCTCCGTGATGTTCCATTACAGCGGGGGCCGCCTGGGATATTATCAGTCACGGTCGGAGTCGGGATTCGGCTACTAATATCGTTTGATACTGCCAGTTGCCCTTACACACACACTCTCTCTCTGTGCATCTGTCTCTTCGGCTTTCATATACCTCCTGATCCATGGGGTCTTGTTCCGGCTGCTTCTCCCCATGGCGCACGTCTTTTGAGTCCGAAAAGAACAGAAAGGGTGGGGCGCGGCCAGAAGCTCTCGTTTCTCTACAGACTCGACAGACCTGCCTGCTTAGCGTGGCTAGAACAACCATCTCGAGTGGGAAGTGGTGTGAAGTCAAGGCAATGCCGTCCGAGCCAGCTGCGTGGTCTTTTGCATCTTTCACGAAAGGACGAGCGTGTTAGGATCACATAAAGCCCGCGATACCACTGATCTAATTACCCTTTCTTCCTCTCTTAGGCTCGGTGACTAGTACTAGTACTTCGGACTGCGAGATCGAGCCATCTAGCAATTATATTGTGCTGTCAGTCCACGAGGCGCTAGGCTTGCCGTATTCCTTTCTAAGAAGGCTCATCTGACGTCGACCCTTGTCAGGGAGTCCCTTGGTAGAACTGATTATTCGCAATATCGCTCGTACATGATGGCGCTAGTCTTGGGGGATATGGGGGGGGCCAGACACGCCGGCAGAAGAGAGAGAGAAAGTGTCCGCAGACGGTAATAGCGCCAACCTACCCTCATTGGGCCACTTTCTTGAGGCAGGAGCTTGGTACAGATGTGGGGTTGAGGGGCTAGACAACGGCCCAGGCCACCAAGCGCGCGATTAGATCCTGCAGGCACAGCGACGGGTCACTACCAGAGAACCCTGTCGTACAGACCATTGGACAGGGTGATATTAATTGGTTGCGCCCTGGAACCGTGCCCGCTGTGGGTTTAATTTCCATCCACTACCTAAACCGTTGATCCTTGTTCGTCTTGCCATCTACTGTTTTGCAGAAGGCACACCAGTGATCGAAGTGTATATCAGACGGGCACGGTTTTGGGAGATGAAACGATAACAAGGCCTATATCTGGTTATTAGCCGAAGCCTCTGCTGCCGCATTATGCTAAAGTTGTGCTAAAGTGTACAACACTAGGTGAACGGCCACCGAGAGACAACCCTGGAAAGATGTGCCCTTCTAAACCCCTCTCGAGTTCAGTCAGTTTTGGTCATCGATTGTGGGTCGGTAAGTATCTCCGATCTCGTTCGATTGCCCAAGGTACTGCTAGCGGTCGCCATTTTATAACTGATACTTCCAGGACAGCTCCAGCACCGCTGGTGACGTTTTTCGTCTCCCCTTCTAACAACCGGGAGAGTTGGTTGGAAAAGTCATATTGTGAATTATCCCGCTCCCCTATTATAGCATCAAAAGCCCGTTTTTATTGTTAATGGATCTTTTTCGACCAACTCCTGTCTAGACTCCAGACAGTGCTGTCGTTAACTAGTGGCTTTGGCATTACCATTTTTCTTGAAGATTGCCATCCCGGGATCAATAATCATGGGACTGGTTGATAGGGTTCGGCTATCCTTAACTTCATCTTCCAGGTGTTATTATTCAAGATCATCATGTTTGTCACCACTAATCCAGGTCTCTGCCTCTCTTGTTGTCTTTTGTGCCATGTTGAATAACCCGAATTCTTCGATCACGATATGCCCAATTATCGGACTTCAGTCCAAGCCAGGGCTGCAGTCGACTCAAAAAGTGTCAAAATCCCAGCTCAGGCCCAGCTCAGAGGAAGCTTGGGGAACCGAACCAAAATGCCGGCTTCTGTGGGTCGACAGTGGACACCCCACCTACGACCACCCACCATCAACGGTCTAACCGCCTCCCATGCCGCATCCACCACAGAGGCGGGGCAAGGTAAGGCGGTTTATGGTGGGTTGGGTGGGGGGCCGGGTCACAACGCGGGCCACCGGGGAAATAGGCTGTCGATCGGGGAAATAGGACTAGAGTGAGAGAGAAATGATGGGAAACGCACAAGCGTCAACGTTCTGTCATCCGAGGGGATATTTTGCGTGGTTGTTGAAATATCCAATGGGCATTCCTTATCTAAACGGTCGTTTTACTTCAGATGGGGACAAGACGTATGCGGCTCAGGTCGGGAGCAGAATGAAAAAAGACCCAGCGGCAGGAGGTGACACGATTCTCCTTCTCAGTCTTGATATAAGAAGTGTCCATGTAAGTTGTTGATCTCAGAGGAATATTGAAATGATGTGAGAGACGGAGATAGGAAGACGCGAATATCTCCTCTCATCTCTAATGGACAAGCTATGAAATACGGGGGGACCGAATGAGCCTTGTAAACGTTGATTCTTTTCCCGTTGTACGCCTTCGGAGACGCCAAGCTTGTGGATATTGATTGACATCAATTGAACGGAAATGTGGTGTTCTATCCTGCGGTACAATTCATCATCACCGGTGCCTGCAAACGATGTAAGGGACTTGCAATTCATCCTCTTCTCCGTCACCTTCTCCGAACCCGATTTTTTTTTCTCCTTTTCTTTTTCTCGGAATATGGGCTGACTTTACGAAAAAACAACTAGAGATCAAAAATCTATCTGAGATTCCGGAACAATCAATGGATATATACGCGTTTATCGCTTTCGCGGTCTTACGACGTTCGGGACAGCTGTCGGACGACGATGAGAGATTCTTAAGCTTTGTCCGAGGAATATCGGCTATATTTGATGGAACCGACGTGATGGAACGGGATCAACCCGAGTATGTTCAAAGTCGACTCCGGAAGGAGACGGAGCATCTCCGCCGGGGGGGGCTAAAGAAGTTACGATCGCTGGGTCATGCCTAGGCACGATAAATATGAGAAACTGGGAAGAGAAAGAGATTCACTACCTTAAATGACCCAGTCTGGGGCCATGCGGTACGAGCAGAGTGGAATCGCCAAGGTCACCAGCGATTCATGAACGGAGCGCAACCAGAGGAGAGGCGTTACATGCCAGGGGGAACTCTCATTTGAATTGTCGTCTTTACCTCGTTTATGTCTTCGCATATTCTTCTTCCTAATTAGTCAGTTCATAAGGAGTCAATTGAAACAGCTCTGCCTCTCGACAGCCATCAAACTTCGTGAGAACAATGAGTCGAGGCGGGTGGCACCCGGTTAAAAAAAAAAAAAAAAAAAAAAAAAAAAAAAAAAAGAAGGGAGTGTCACCAGCGGATTCCTTCCTCAATGATCTCGTCCAATTTCCTGCGCCACATCCGAGGCATAATCCTTCAGGAAACGAACGTCTCGGTGTCCGTCAGGACGATATCTTTAATTTCGGGAATGCTGAAGTAGGTGAAGATTATACCGTTCACTCGGAACTGGCCAAGAGGAAGAGGGCTCCGTTGGTGATGTTTAGTATCCTCATGTAAAGGGCTGAGCAGGCGATAAGGAGCCGGCCTATCCATTGCGCGCAGGTCGCGAAGACAAAGAAAGCAGGCGGATCGGGGAGGGAAGGGCGGATTTCGGCACTGATTCAAGTAAAGTGGGAGTTGAAAACGAATCGTGACAGTAGGTAAGAGAAGATCAAAAGAACTCACTAAAAGGTTTAGGATATGCCATGGAAATCTCTAAAGCTCTAGGTCACGACGAAGTGACGTTATAATGATTCAACACGCCTCTTTATGCAAAGAGCTTGGAGGGCTCGCGGGTTGGTGTTTAGGAAGCTTTATATAGGCGCTGCCACAAAACCAATGGAAGAATGTCTTTATGTTAGCCTATATTAATAGAAGCTTTCATGTCTGTTAGGTTTAAGGTGGCAGGTAGACGACTTTCAATACCCTTGCTTGCCACGATTTTGTTTCTTTCTCTCGTCAAGAAATCGAGGGACGGCTCTCAGAGACGACATGTGAGACACCATATGCATTGGGAATTTCGCATTTTAGTGAGGATAGAGCCGCATCTGGCGGACGGTGCCCATTCCATGGCATGTGAGTGTAAATGTGTCCATGGCGCTTGGCATGTGCAGAGCTTAGATGGGTGGGCTAGGTCTTAGAGAGTGTTGCCCGCTAGAAAAAGGGAAAGGAAAACTTCTGATGCCCACATTCATGTTCAGCCTGGTGTGCATTACGCCGTATCTTATGCTCGCGGGGCGTGCTACACTCGAAGATCGACAGCTTTGGGTGCAATGGCAGCTGCCGAGAGTGATTGTCAGAATCTTCCCATAGCGCTACCCGCTTTAATAGCTTATACGGGTGTGACCTACTCCGATTAACTCCGATCTTGATTGTAGTATTTAGTGTATCCCTCAGCTGGGCTCATAGTTTGGGGTCGGACTTGCGGCAAAGCACGTACTTCGTACTTTCTTTGCTGAAGCGCACATGGTATTGCTCCAACTGGAATACTTCGGAGACGGATCCGTCCGTGGATGATGTGGATGCGCTTGTTTACTGCACCTCGCATGTCTCCATTGTATAGCATTATGACCCAGCCTTCTCGATGTATTCTTCTTAACTAGAATCTACATGGAAACGTACCTTGTAGATCCACCTCGAGCCGCCTGAGAATCACAAATAATTCGACTATTCTCCGACTTGCTTTCTAATCTTACGAAGTACAGCTGCCGTAGCGGTTCTCCGTTGCAGTGTTACAAGTCGCGTGACTGCAGGCACGAGACAAGCTTGGCCTAACCGAAGTACGGATGTATCTCTACTAATATCTCCAATGCTGCGCTCCTGATTCTAAATCCCTGATGGTCGCATATGAGGGCGCGGAATCCAGCGGGATGTGTTAGAAGCTAAAGGTAAAGTGAAAAAAGGAAAAAAAAAAAAAATCGACAACCCGCCGCGCCGAAAATAACCTTCTGATCCTGGCACCATTGAGTAGTGGATGCTACTCTACCAGTGGAGATCTCGCCAAGTCGCTGATGTTGTGTTCTTAGGTACAAGAAATTGGACCAGTTCGGGGGAGAGTGGACAAATAAAGGCAGAAAGAACAAACACGTTCCTGAATTGAGTCACTCTATTGGTCAGTAACGAGAGTTCTTTCTGTGGCGAAGGTCTGCAAATCATCTCGATCCCTGCACCCTTGGAATGCAAAGTTGACGCGCTAACCTCAGCCAGCAGCCACTAAAAGCACGCTCATCCTCTCCTGCCCCCTGTGAGTCTGCAACCCCGCCCCCGCCAAGTCAAAACGCCGACCGAGCTCGCCAAATTGAGACATGTGTCGCGTGCTCAATTCCCTCTTCCATCCCTCGCCAGAATCCTACTCATGCTGGCATGACATCTCGGACTGGATATCACATCGGAGGGTATCTGCGGTCTAATATATAAATATTTAGGCAATGTGTGTCAAGAAACGTCGTAATGGTTTCTGACTGCTGTGGGGGTTATCTGAGAGGCAATTCCCATTCGGCGGTGTACTCTTACTCGGAGAACATCGAGCCAGAAGAAAAAAGAGCGTGGGAGGAGCGGGCTAGGTAGTCTTGGCCTCCCAGCCAAAATCTGCGTCTCGCATGGCTTTTTATCGGAAGCTACCCTAGCTTAGTACGGTACCAACAAGCTAGACCTGCCGGGATACGATGGAGACCCGCGGAATTGCCTCTCTTTCTCCTAATCAGGGTTATCTCGATACCCACTGCCTTCAACTCTTGGCAGCCGTATAAAAATCGAGCCCCCAGACACAGGGGGCAAAGGGCTGCTCCTAATACATTCCACATCACTTCCATTGCTTCATTATTATAACTTACCCACTCTCGACGAGCATCAAGAGTTGTGGCTGCCTTCACTCGTCGGGCGTGACAGCCGTGCCAGGACAGGTTCTACCCACTCCAGCCCAAGGCAATCCCAATCCTACAACTCCCCTTCTCTCCTCCTTCTCTTCACCTTCTCCCTTCAACACTTTTTCTTCTTCCGTTGTTGGGCTTGCGAGTTCTCCGATCAGCACTGCCATCTCTCTTATCGGACCCCCACCCCAACCCCTTGAATCTCTTCTCCCCCCTTCCCTCGCCGTCTATCGCCCGTGCGACTCTCGGTTTCACCTACGTATCTTGGTGTTCAGAGGCCCAACAACTCTGCGCCCATCATGACTCTCCACCAGTACGATTACATTTTTGCCATTGGGACCATCTTTGCGTTCCTAGATGCGTGGAATATCGGTTCGTCTCGTCTCTTTTGTTCCTTCTTTTCCCTAAGAAAAATATCATTACAATCCCCTTTCCTACCTTGTTCAACACACGCCGCTCGAATACACAACTGATTAACACTCCGTGTTATCGCCTATAGGTGCCAATGATGTTGCCAACTCTTGGGCAAACGCTGTGGCGTCCCGCTCGGTCTCATATATCCAAGCCATGCTGATTGCCTCTGTCATGGAGTTTACCGGTGCCACGGCCGTGGGAGCGCGTGTCGCCGACACCATTCGCACCAAAATTGTCGACACAACACTCTACCGCGATGACCCGGCTATCCTCATGCTCGGCATGTGCTGCGCCGTCATCGGCTCGTCGTGCTTCCTCACCATGGCCACCAAGCTCGGCTTGCCCATCTCCACTACCCACTCAATCCTGGGCGGTGTTCTCGGCATGGGAGTAGCCACTGTCGGGGCCGGCGGCGTCCTTTGGGTCGGCAAGGGCAGCGGTACCGATAAGATCACCGGTGGCGTCGTTCAGGTCTTCCTTGGATGGATCATCTCGCCAATCCTCGCCGGCGTCATTGCTGCGGCGCTCTTCCTGCTAAGCAAATATGCAGTCCTTGTCCGGAAAAACCCCGCCCTGCGGGGTCTGACACTCGTACCCGTCTTCTTCAGCGTTACTGCCATGCTCATTACCATGTTGCTCGTTTGGAAGGGTGGCTCATACAAGGTTAATCTCCCCGATGAAGCCATCCCTGGAGTGATTGTTGGCGTTGGCATCGCCTTTGGGATTCTTACCGCCATCTTCTTGGTACCCTGGCTCTACAGGTACATTGTCTTGGGTGACTGGCAGCTGCGCTGGTACCACATGTTCCAGGGGCCTCTTGTCCTCCGTCGCGGCGAGATCCCTCCTACACCTGCGGGCTTCAAGGGTCTCGTTCGCGACTTTTACGAAGGGCGACTCACAAAGGAGCAGCTCGACGCCAAGCGCACTGCCGAGGTTGCATCCGGTGGCTCCCCGGGACAGGATGATCTCATCACCAATAGCGCTGAGAAGGGCATCTTTTCGTCAGAGGCTCAGAGCGCCCCGATTAAGGGCGATTCGTCCGACGCGGGTGTGGTTGTGGATGAACCGGCCCAGATCAAGTCGCTTGTCGGTCCCAAACCCGAGGGCCTCCCATGGCACCACAAGTCCATGCTCTGGTGGTATTTCAAGTTTGCCCTTTTCCACGGCGTCGATAAGGATGTCGTCAACTCTCAAAACGAGAAGAGCGCCCTTGGCGGAGACGTCGAGGAGATGCACACGCGTGCCGAGCGGTACGACAACAAGGCCGAGTTTCTTTTTACCTTTATGCAAGTGTCGACGAATGCGGCGATGGCGTTCACCCATGGTGCTAACGACGTTTCTAAGTAAGTAAAGTCCCGGGATCTCCAGTTCCCATATCCCATCTATCCCATTTTCCATCTATCCCCTCTCCCTCTCTATCCCACGTCTTCCTGTCCCCCCCTCTCCAACGGCTTCCCCCGCATCTAACCTCCCGCCCCCGACAGCTGCATCGGCCCCTACAGCGCCATCTACCAGATCTGGAAGGAAGGCCGCCTCCCCGCCGACGGCAAATCTCCCGTCCCCCTCTGGATTCTCTTCTTCGGAGGCGTCGGAATTATTGTGGGCCTCTGGACATACGGCTATAACGTGATGCGTAATTTGGGCAATCGATTGACGCTTCAGTCGCCGTCTCGTGGGTTTTCTGTTTCGCTGGGTTCCGTGGCGACTGTGATTCTCGCGACGCGGCTCAAGTTGCCTGTTTCGACGACACAGTGCATCACGGGCGCCACGGTGGGAGTTGGCTTATGTAATGGCGAGTGGCGTGCTGTCAACTGGCGAATGGTGGCTTGGATCTACTTTGGTTGGTTCATCACTTTACCCGTGACGGGGATCATCTCGGGGTGCCTCATGGGCATTATTATCAACGCTCCCAGGTGGGGCATGGGTAATGCATGATTCGAGGTTTAAGGCGTTGAGGAGTGGATCGGGAGGGGATTTCATTTAGCGGGAGTGAAAATTTGGCGATTTCGATTTCGATTCATGGAACAGAGGGATAATCTATAGATATGATGTGATGAAATACGAAGTACAAAAGGGATACAATACAGGGACCCCTGATGATAATCATTCCGCTTATATTCAGAACGTGGTCACCTCGCCGTCGAGCCCGTCGCAAGTTCTTTGCAGTTGGGTCATGGATTGGATCATATCAATGGAGATAACGGTAAACGCGAACCAAGTGACCTGTGTAAGCTCACGGCTGATATACACCGGGTACAGCCTAAGTCGACACAGTAAGAGGATCCCCGAACTCCTCAGCGTCGTTCTGCTCGGCACCTTTCTTCGCTGCCTCGTCTGTTGCCACGTTTGCACCCCCGGAGATTCTCCACATCTCAATTTCTAGCGAGCATTCGCGATACCTCTCCGCTTCCCAAAGTAGAGGCTCCCAAACGCCCTCCACCCGCACTGAATCTATGTCCTCGCCCATTCAGTGGCACCCTTGACGACGTACTTGGAGTCGGTGGCGATAGGGAGGGTGTGGTATCCCTCCCTAGCCCTGTATCGTACACGCATTGCCACTACGACACCCTGCAACTTGATTGCTCTCGTCCGTTTCGCAGTATCGCTGAAGTGACCCTTGAGTTCTAGGCAGCTGATACTAGTTGGTTTGCTGCGGATATCCAAGCGATTGCCGCTGCTGGATACTTCGTGTTCTACGTCAATCCTCGGGGGAGCGAGTCCTATGGCCAAAAGTTTGCTAGCGCTCGCTCTGGTGAATAGCCTGGGCCGGAATATGATGATATACTGGCGGGGATTGACTACCTAGTGTCTTACCCCGATATCGACAGTAAGAAGCTGGGCATATCCGGTGGCGACGCCGGCTGTATGTTGACGGATTGGGCAATTACGCATACGAACCGGTTTGGCGCAGCGGTTCCAGCCAACGGTATCGCTGATTCAACGCTTATTGGTTTCTAGGAGGCCAGCCTGACCTAGCGAAGCCAAGAGGAGAGCCCTGGGCAGATTCCAACGATAAAAGGTTGTCGCTCATTAAGTATGCACGGAACATCACAACTCCGACTACTTTCCTATCCGGTACTGCGGACGTCAGAACTCCTGCTGCAGTTGGCGGAGAGCTGCTTTTCATGGTCTTGAAGTACTTGCGGGTACCTACAGCCTTCATCCATCTTGAAGGAGCTGGTCACGGTCGTTGGTGGCCGCGATGCCCGCCATGCAGGTTTGGCCACTCGATACTTAATACGCTGGATGGACCTCCATTTGCGAGGTAAATCAGCGCCGGTGTTCGATGTCCAATGGCCGATCTAGAGGATATTAAAAAGGCGAAAAAATATTTAATTTATGTTCTCTTGTCAAGATACAACTTACGAGGGTTTATATGTATATATACTACTTATTTATATTGAACTTAACAACTTCCATAGATCTTCAAAGAATGCCTCTACTCACTCTCCCTTCCCGTGCTCAGAAGACCACTGTGCTACAATCCCCTTGAAATCCGGCTCGTACAACCATCCAAGGTCTAATTCTTCTCTCTCGACCGTTTGAGCTCTATCGTCGATAGGCATCCGTCTTTTATCGATTTGCCTATTAAGCTCCAGAATCTTATCGACTCTCTCCTGCCGGTACTTCTGCCAGAAGGACAGCGCATCCTGCGTGCTGGTATTCTGGCCACCCTGGCTCAGCACTAGGGCAAGCATGTAGACATCCTCAAAGGCTTGGTTAATCCCTTGACCAGCAGAGGGTGGTATTGCATGGGCTGCGTCGCCAACAATGATAACCCGGCGGCTTTCCGACGCCCAACGTTCGAGCTTGGGCACTACGAAGAACGGCCACTTGTTGACCTTTTCCACACTAATTCTTGAAACAGCATTGTGCACAATTTCGGGAAACTGCTGGTTGCCCTGTTGAAGAAAGTGGAGGGCACTATCCTTGTCCGCCACGAAGTCGCGATCCCACCCCTCATAGTCACCCTCCACCACCCGCTGCTGCTTTCCGATAAGGACCTCAGACCCATCTGCTTTCTGCGGAGCGATGACAAAGGCGCCTTGTGGAGACATGATTGTTACCGGGAGATGGTAGCCAGGCGGGAGCTTCAGCTGGGCAGTCGGAACAGAAGCAGTGATGCCAGCCATGCCAATGAATTTCGTCTCGAGATTTGGGTACAGGTACTGACGGACGGTGGAATGGATGCCATCGGCGCCAACGAGGAGGGAACATGAGACGGTCGCGCCGTTAGTGAATGCAAATGTCACGCCTTTGTCGTTATCCTCGACGACGTGAGAAAATTTGTGATTGTACTGAACGGAGACGCTTTTCTCTTTCAATGCCGCCACTAGTTCATCAATGAGGACATATCGGTAGATGCGCAGTCCCCGGTAGCCGTAGTTTTCCTCACTACCAAAGGGCTGAGTTTCAATCAGATTGCCAGCCAGATCCCTGTATTCAAGAGTGTCGAAATTGTAGCCCTTTATTTTGACAATATCGTACAGTTCCAGGGCATCCAAAACCCGGAGTGCATTTGGCGATAACATAACTGCCCCGCCGATATCCAGTGGGGCTGGTCGAGACTCATAGACGATGACGGGGACGGACTGCTGGTGCAGGGCGAGGGCGAGGGTGAGGCCGGAGAGGCCGGCGCCGATGATTGCCACATCAACCTTTGAGTCGGGCATGTTGGCAAGTTGGGTCAATCACGAGCAAAGCTTCGATGGTAACAAAGAGCAGAAGTCGAGACTGTCAGACCAGAGCCTCGAAGGATTTTAAGAAGGTCTCAGAGCTGAGGGAGGGGAATAGACAATTTACAAGTACGAGATGAATCCTTCTACAGCGGGCGGGGGGCGGATTTTCGTTCACTTCGTGTGAGAGAGTGGCACAGCCTCAAGTAAGCGAGATGGTGTCAGATGCTGTAACAAATGAGATTGGAGATATGGCCATCCCTTCACTCCAAGTTTGTTCAGTTGTCCCCTGCGAGGTCACGGCCACATGTCAGCATCAAGTGAATTAGGTGAATTGGGATGAATGGCAGGAGCGGGGATAACTGCACTCGGGTCTTCGGGAAGCCGAAATGGAGTGCTCACCGCTCACTTCTTACTCGTCCAAGGAGTGAATCAGAGTCAAGGCATTGTCTGAAGGATCAATCCGGCGGTCGCTACGGAAAAGCCACTGACTGCGGTTGTTACCGCAAGTATTATTGAAGCTAAAAGTCGAATTAGAAATTGGGTACCGTTCAGAGTCTAAGATCCTCCAGATAATTGGATAGAGTTAGGATCTTAAGTGCTAGTTGTAGGAAAACCCTCATTCCAGTACGTAGCGCTGCATGGCATTAGCGTATAAATATTCACAGGCTTAATGCTGGTACAGATGTATCAACAGTAGGAGGGAGGGTCGGATCATTTGGGCAGCCAGGCGGATTCAACGCAAGTGCTCGGTGTGCCAATGATTCGACCACGACTCCACATACCACATTCCACGCGATTGACAAGCCCTCCTGAGTCCTGACCTCAGGACGGGTTCCTTTCTTTTTTTTTTTTCTTTCATTCTTTTTCTCTCTCTCTTTTTTTTTTTATTTTTTTTTTTTTTACCCTTCCTGAGCAACAACCTCTAGGAGCTGGATGACTGCGGCTTGATGTCGATTGTTTGTGAATCCTCTCTGCAGACGGGAACGAAATTAACTGCTTTAATTAGCAAAGAACTGGCTTCTGGAGAAGACCATCCGCCACTAAAACGTGGGGCGACTTTCAATGCTATCGACTCGTCTTAATTTCTGCCGAATCACATTGCAATCTTGTTCACCCAGCATCCGATGAAATCGAGGGAGACAATGTTAAGCATATATTAGTATATTTAGATCCGCTGGGACTCGGCCTCAAATCTCGAGAATCCATTTGTCAAGCTGTCCAACTCTGCTGCAGAGTTGAACGCTATTCCGGAGTTGGTTTAGGGAGAAGTTGGAGATCGACAGCACAGAGAATCGAACCAATTGAGTCCGATGTCGCAAATGTTCTTCTGCCTTCGTCATCCCGTGCTCTGGCTTCAACAACGTAGTTTACGTTCGAAAAGCCGATTGTCCTAGAGATCTGGTCCGTTGGGAGGGGATTCTGGAAATCGTCGAGATCCTACAATAGTTTCCTCGAATTTTGCCACCAGACCCCTTTCCTGTTTTTCGGTCGTGAGACCGTTGACATGCAATGTTGAGGATACATATATGACAGTCCTATAACTTGATGAATTCTCACAAAGTCTCTTCCTCACGAGATGTGTAAGGAAACATTTCACTTCCATTTCAACCATATCCGAAAAGCCCTTGGTCTTCAAGATGCGAGAAGCCGTGTTGAGTAAAACTGGTCCTGCGCTATCGTCCGGGGGGGGGGGGGGGGGGGGGGGGTCGCCACTTGACACAGGTTGCGAACATTCAATGGAATCTTCCGCAATCTGCTCATATTCGTTTCATCCTGAATCTATGAGGTAACCGGAAGATAAGCGGTATTCTATTCGCTTCCGTCCCGGCACTAAGCACCGCCGAGTCGAATGCCCAGCTCAGCGGAGCGGATGTGATGGCTTCAGCCCCACTTGTTCAAAGAAGTTGGGGTGACGTTGTTCGACGCGGTTCCATCAATCCCTTCAAAGTTTAAAAACTAACTATATCGAATGATGCCCCCTGCTCCCTTACCCCTACCTCTCCCCTTCTGCTTATCAACCCCGTCCCGGTCTCATTTCTGCGGCAGACCACACTCTCGTATCCTGGCCTACTAAGACTAACGGCGGCGACGCAACTGCACCTCACCCACACGTCGTCTTGTCTAAGACTATCTATATTACGGGCGTTGAATAACCCAAGAAGAAAACTTTTATACTCCAAAAGGGGAGGACAATGTATGCAGAGGAGATAACAGACTGCGGAAACAGCTCCCGCACTGTCCAAGACCATGTCCTTTTCGAGTTCTGTTCTGAACTTGGTCGCCAAGGTATGTTAGCTTCCCCTGGACTGGCCCTTCTCAAGACTTTTCAAACCTCTAGAACCTGCTGACGGGACCTTGGATATGTAGTCGGTGGTATCTATACCGTCCTTAAATCAAAGGCACCTTATACTAAGAAAGAGTACGGGGACCGTTACACTTTAGTTGGACCTCTAGTCCCCCAGTCGGTGTGTAGTCCTTTAAACTGTGGTTCCCTTGCCTCCTAGATATATCTTCCGCCTTGATATCAAGTTTTACTAACTCATTGAGGCAGGCTTCCATCGAAGTTGAGGAGCTGAAGCCGCCAACTCCAGAGTTATCGGCTGCAATCGAAGCTATGGAGAAGCGGGGAATCACAACACTCTATGGCAGATGGCTGATTGAAGGGTCACCACGTATACTGCTTCTGGATACCGGGGATGTCCACGAGTACCTGGATCAGTGGAAGGAAGACTTTGCCCGCGTAGCCGACATCTCGTCGCCGTTCCCCGAAGACGACGAACTGATTAATGAATCCATCTTATTTGGGTACTTAACTTCTTGGTTTATTGAAGACGTAAGCTTTGACAGTTGAGTTTCATGAGTGTTTCAGTGTCTCGAATTAGAAAGCTAACCCGCCCATCTAAAGTTCGCGAGATACGAAACTCAAAGAGTAATTATCACCCATTTCCACGAGTGGCCAGGCGGTCTTGCATTGCCTTTGATCAAGGAGCGCCGAGTCGACGTCACAACCATCTTCACAGCGCATGCTACTGTGCTAGGGAGGCAACTCTCCCGCAAGGGCATTGACTGGTATGACACGTTTGAGACCCTCGACATCGAAGAGGCAGCGAGGAAAATTGAGCATTACCACTGGCACTGTCTTGAAAAGGCAGCAGCCCAGTCTTGTCACCTCTTCACAACTGTTTCCCAGATCACCTCCCAGGAGAGTGAATTTTTTCTCCAACGAAAGCCCGATGCTGTCCTGCCCAATGGCTTGAACATTGGCCAGATGACGTCGGCCAATGAGGCCGAGACTCTGCGCCGCACCTCATCGAAGCGCAAACTCCAAGACTTTGTGCGGTGCCACTTTTACGGACATCTTGATTTCGATCTAGAAGAGACCCGTTTCTTCTTCCTCGCTGGGCGGTACGAGTTCAGAAACAAAGGTGCTGATATCTATATCGACGCCCTCGCGGGTCTCAACCAGCGACTACAGGCAGAAGGAAGTTCTACGACAATAGTTGCCTTTATCATCATGCCAGCCGAGACAACATCTATCCTAACCGAAACCCTCAAGGGCAAAGCCGTTGTCAAATCTCTTCGGGATTACCTAGCAGAAATCAACAGAAGCATTAGCGATAAGCTCTTTGAGAAATCGCTGCAGTGGAAAGAAGGGGACACGATCCCTACTCAACTAGAACTCATTACTGAACAGGACAACCTTGAGCTGCAGCGGCATCTGCTGCAGATGCAACGGGTCGATCTCCCGCAAATCTGCACGCATAACCTCGCCGACAGCGATAGTGACCCGATTTTGGATCGCTTAAAGAAAGTTGGTCTACGGAATGGGCCAGAAGATCGGGTCAAGGTTGTCTTTTATCCTAGCTTTCTGAATTCCTCTGATCCAGTATTGCCCATGAACTACTACGAGTTCATCCGTGGAACCGACCTCGGCGTGTTCCCCTCAGTTTATGAGCCATGGGGATACACTGCCGCTGAATGTGTTGCCATGGGCATCCCGAGCGTTACGTCGAACGTGTCTGGGTTCGGATTGTACGTGAAGGAGTTACTGGGGGAACACACGTCTGACTATGGTGTCTACATTGTTGACCGCCGCTCTCAAGACTATAAGAACTCGGTCATGAAAATGACAGATTTCATGCACACATACTGTGAGATGACCTGCAGAGAGCGGACTAGTCAACGACACCTCACAGAAGACTTAGGTGAGATCCTGGATTGGGAGCACCTCAATGTCGAGTACATAAAGGCCCGGCGAGCGGCCCTACAATTGGGATACCCGGAGCAGATTCCCGCTGAAGAAGAGGCTAGTAGCGACGAGGATGAGCTGTGGAGCCCGGCCTTGAGTATGTGGCCAAGATCCCGAAACCCATCGCCAGCACCCAGCTCATCGGCTTCAGGGCTTGGTCGCAGATTATCCTCAATATTCTCAACTTCTCCAATTCGAAATAGCCGCAGGGGTTCATCTGTGTCTTCCATTTCTCCTATTTGGACGCCGGGACTGAAGCTGACGGCGGCGTCTGGTGCAACTTCCCCTCTTACAAAGTGGCCACGCAAAACAGCCCTTCATTCTCGCTTCGCACTTCGGAACAGAGGGTGCAGATCGCCTGTCATAGATTCCCAATCTGTTATAAATCCGTAAGCACTGGATTTTCTATCATTCGACTCAGATTTCGGGAGTGTTAATCTCAGGTTAGTTCGAAAGGTTTAATGAAAAAGTGAGCAAGAGTGGCAAATAACTAAGCTAGAAACGGCGATAAATTTTAGTCCCAAAGTAATGGAATAACGCGGTCTTGATGTATAGACGCCATGTGCAATTTCTACATTTGCCATCTCGCGATGAGTCTCCAGACCGTCTTTCGTCGAAACAGTTGGATCGGACGAGCATAAATCTCGGATAATTGATCGGTTCGCGGCAGTGTACAATATCAGAGGCAGGAGAAACAGTGAGTGGTGCAAGGAAGAGCTCTTGACCTCGCCACCAGAGACGCGGAAGTTTGGCGAGTTCTTGTAAACTACATTGCATAAAGGCATTTGATTTCCTCGACAATTGAAAACGCGACAATGTCACCGAGAATCGAAGTTTATCCTTATGTTTGACATGTGACGAGCAATCTTCTTGTGTTTCGCAATGTGCTGGCAACAGCTGGCAAATCTTCATGTGACCGGGGGCCGCAGAGCAAAAAAAAAAAAAAAAAAAAAAAAAAAAAAAAATTAGCAAAGAACGTTAACAGAAGATGGATCAAATTGATGTCGTGACCGCTGCAGCACTCCATTTTCTATTCACAAATTCTGCCGGCCTAGTGACTCTTGCGAGTGGGCAACCTCGAGTCGCCATGGCGAAGGCGAGGAAAACGAAGCGTCCCAGGCGCAAGGAAAAAACACCACGGCGACCCACCCCTCCAACCAATCCGCAGAATGGAAGCATGTTCTTCCAGTCCCTCCCTCTGGAGCTTCGCCAAGAGGTATACTCCCAAGTCTTCTTCTCCACGCGGCTCTCCCGCGGCAAAAGGGCAATCGACCGATTGGATCGCGTCAGGATCAAGCCCGCTCCAAACGCTCGCTTTAGCTATTCTCGAAACGTGTCGCCGTGCACACGAGGAGATTGGAGATAGTTGGATCAGCCAGATTCTTTTTAGCTTTGAAGACCCTGAGACCATGCTCCACACACTGACAGCCTTGCCTCCTAAAACCCTCTCCAAGATCCGCCACTTACGCATTGTGGGAGATACGCTCATGCTGTCGTATGATGAGGATGACGTTTATTATCGTCTTTCTTCTACCTTGAAGCTCCTCCCCGGCCTTCGCCTTGACGTTCTCACGGTCCTAGGCCTCCGAGTACATACAGTTAGTTACGAAACTCTGGACGGTCTCATAAGCAACAGCTGTGGCTGGAAGGAACTCCGGTATATCTGTCATAGCTCGGAAACACTGGGTTTTGCTCGGTATGAGCATCAGTCCTTTTCGCTGGAGGACCAGATGTGTAGATACTGGCGTAAGCCTCAACCAGCGCACTGGCAACGTGTTTTGGACGATAGGGATGGCGCTCTATCGAGACCTTTAGTTGTCATCTATCGTTCGACCATCCCTGACAGTCCCGGTTCCGTCACTAATCCAACAACACGGGTACGATTCGAGCAGAAAACATCCGAAGACACGCAAGCGCCGGAAACCTTCGGCATAGAAATAGATAAGGAGCTAATGGCGGATGGAGAGAGGGGAAAGGAGATCATGGTCCTTGCCAAGAGGGGGTTCGGTGTGGATTATGAAGAAAAGAAAAATTCGCCCTTCTTACCCAGTGACATTTGCCGGGATATGCCAGGAAAGAGTTGGAAGGAAATCCATTACGAGTGCTACGAACGCTTTCGCGAGATGTATGATGATTCGATATCGGGTTCTGACGAAGACGACGGCGTCCCTGTAAAGATGGATTCGTATGAGAATGTGGACGACTACGTGTGGCCTCCCTTGCACTTCATAGAGGAGTGATGAATTTGGTAGCATAATTTAAGTAAGGTCCACTGCTTTAAGGTTTCTCGAGTCATTCGACGTCTCGTCATTCTGCCCAATAACTGAGGGCGGCACACTCGTAAGAAGTAAACAAACAAAATTAAAAGAGGAGCCTACAACAGAGGACTGCAGTGTGAGATCGGTCCATTGAATGCTCAGCTAATCCTAATCCTGGAGCTCCATGTGCAGAATGAACCTACACGTGTTACCAGCCATGACTCTAATACAGACGAGGGAAGAAGAAGGGAGAGGCAGGGAAAAACGAGAGGGGGCTAGATGGGAAACCGCACCACTCGGACACCCTATGTTGAATGAGTAGTCCAAATGTGCCGCGAGAGTACATGTCTTTAGATTATTAGCGTATTCTGCGACAACATTCCGGATCAGTCATTACATAGAACAATAAAGATGTACCATAAGGACGATTCCCAAACGTAGGATCGATACAGAAGATAGGTGGCGATCACCAGACATCAGGGCTCGACACTATTCTAATAAGCCATGCCCAGATTCCATCCAGTCCTGCTTCCTCCGTCCAAAGGGTCTTTAAAATCCCCTGATGAGCTCTACTCTAATGCCCTCAATAAGGAGAGCTTTACGGAATCTCGTGATGGTGGATGGCAAATAACGCAAAGAGTGACTAAATAAGTCTCGATATTTCATGTAGTTGATAGAACTAGTCCAAATCGGCCAGAAGATGTATCGATAACGGCGCCTCGAAATGAAAAGGGTCGTCTTGCATGGCTCCAGTTGTTCGCAACACCCACAGTAAGCATCATTGACTGCCAAGGTATGGAATGTATTGCGCCCAAATAGCATGGAACGACACCCAAGTACTCAATGTTGCCCAACGCGAAGCGTGCACCGGGATCGAGGTCCACTTTGGAATACAAAACTTGCGCAGAATATATTACCTTTATGTATGTCTGAAATTCCTGCAAGAATCGAGGCATGACCTAAACAATCAAACAATTTGTGCGCTTCGGTAAATGATCATCCGCTGGGCACTTGCTTTCGGCTACACGGCTAGTCATGGCTGGCGGGAAACCTCCCTCCCGCGGCACCACTGTCTTCGATCCGGTTCCTCCGAAGGAAGGCTTGGATTGCGGGAGGCGAATTAATAACGAAATGGAATCTCGGTGTTTTATGGGCGGTACTGCGAATCCGGCAGTTTATGTGAAGCAGGTGCTATATATTAATATAATCACCTCCTGCAAAGGCCCTTCTCCCAATCCCGGTACAGGAAAACCATCATGTGCAGATCGAAAGCACCATAATGAACACCATCAGGATATTTAGCCGGTAAATGACAACTGGGCCTTGAGCGGAGAACCTGGGGAAAGCGGCAAGGATTTTGATGATGTCGCGTCTTGGAGCAGACAGAGCGAGAGAAATTATGAAGGCGATATATAAATTATGTCCACGTCCTACTGGCCCGGATCACCTGGGTTTACCTGTCTCTTCGAGTAGCGCGAGTCCTTCCTCTAGCCTCTGGTTTTCTTAGATTTTACTAGGTAACGACACATCCAAAATTCATCATGCTGCTCGACTCTGTCCTCGCTTCGATTGCCCTCCTTGCAGTGGGAGCCTCCGCACACGGCGCCGTCACTAGTTACGTTATTGCCGGTGTCGATTACCCAGGGTGAGTATCTTGAAGTATTTGGGTAATTGCTTGCTGCACCGGAAGAGATTAACAAGTTTCCAGGTATCAAGGCTTCTCCCCTGGGAACTCTCCCAGTGTTATCCAACGACAATGGTCGGATTATAACCCGATAACGTCTGCCGCCGACCCAAAGCTCCGCTGCAATGGTGGCACCTCCGCAGCCCAAAGCGCGACTGTCAAGCCAGGCGATACCGTCGCTGCTGTCTGGGGACAGTGGACACACAGCCAAGGGCCGATCTTGGTTTGGATGTATAAGTGTGCCGGCGAATTCAGTTCCTGTGACGGTTCCGGCAAGGGATGGTTCAAGATCGACGAGGCCGGCTTCAACGGAGATGGCGTCAAGGTCTTCCTAGACACTGAAACCCCCTCCGGATGGGAGATTGCCAAGCTTGTGGGTGGAAACAAGCAATGGACCAGCAAAATCCCTGAAGGACTAGCCCCCGGCAACTACCTGATCCGGCACGAGTTGATCGCCCTTCATCAGGCCAATGCCCCTCAGTTCTACCCCGAGTGTGCACAGCTCGTCGTCACTGGTTCTGGTACCGCGGTGCCAGATGACTCTCACTTGGCCGCTATTCCTGGCTACTGCAGTCAAAACGACCCCAATATCAAGGTAAATAACACGAAATCCCCGAGGAAGAATGATTTTTGGACCTTGCACTAACGCATTGGATCAGGTCCCAATTAACGATCATTCCCTCCCTCAAACATACGCCATCCCCGGCCCTCCCGTCTTCACGGGGACCGCTACTAAGAAGGCTCGAGAATTCACTGCATAAAGAAGATGGGAAAATAAAGCATGGGTAGCGCGATAAGAGAAGGAATTATGCTATTTTAACGTCATAAACATGAGTTCATATCATATACACACACATATATATATAGTCTTGCGGAGCAATAATACGTTTGCCATTAGGGCGACTGCTATTGCTAACGGAACCAGCCGCTTTCCACCTCTCCCCTTCAATTGTATGAAGTCTCTGAGGCGTACCAGTCAGGGTTACTGTGAAGTCAACTATACCTGAACTCTGGGGGATTTAAATCTAAATCGTCGCCCGAGACATCCGGAGACCCAAGCCACGACTGGTTTGTTGCCACCAACCCTAAGGACTTAAAATGACGTAAATAGTTGGCTAGCTCCAAGGTCAATCGGTCTCTGTTGGGCTAAGGCTTGTTACCTCGTCCAAGCCGCTGAACAGATCATCTGTTGAGAGTAGTTTTCGAGTAGATTCCGCATCGATCATGAAACGCGACTGGAACTAGGGCTTTAAGGAATGGAAATCTTACTGCCGCGACGGTGTGTGGTCGCAATGTCAGCCGACCACCGACCAGAGCCGCCGCAATGATATTGGCACAGGTATGCAGCATCATTCCACAATAAGGGCCAAATACATTCCACCCGGATTGCCTTAGCACTCATAGAGGTGTCGTATCTACCCGCCGCCTACTAGATTGTAGACTAAAGGGGTATAAATTGAACTGACTTCCAAGAGGGATCTCGGTCATTGGGCATGGTAACCAACCGAATCTCAAAGGGGTTTACTTCAGTAAGAGCCGCAGGTTTTACAGCACAGCTTCCTAGTCCATGTGTGGATTCTCTATCAGGTCATGCCATCTCTATCTAGTTGGCCCAGGTGACAAGTAGATTAGGCCATGGCTGTAAGAGGAACTACGACCCAAGTGATTAATAGGGTTATTTAGGGGAGAGGAGGAACGTCTGGCGTATGAATAAGGACTCAGGAGGGCGGCTAGATATGATCGCCAAAGGAGAGACCGCGAAATGATTCTAATTCCGGACATTTTAGAGCGTGATACTAAGGACAGGCTTAGAAATGCTGCACTGGCCTCGGCAGCTTTTATCCGCCAACAGGTCGGTGCGTATCCTACGTTCCAGTGTATCGATGAGCTTTGGGCCAGACAATTTCTTGGGCTCGAATTAATACTACAGGGGGGCAGTAGTTTCATAAACAGTCCAGTAATTGATTGATACAGCAACCAGGGATGAGCTTCGGATGATTACACAAGAACCGAGACTCAAGATTGAGATTGACTGCCCTTTTCTCTTGCCACGACTGGTTCGGTCCAATCCAATCAATACTCACAATCTCACGCGAGATACACGACTTCCGTGTCCAGTCTTTCTAGAGTACCTCGTGTAGGCTTGAAAGCCTCTACTTAAGATCAAAACGGTCCAGATTCATCACCTTAGCCCAAGCCGCCACAAAGTCCTTGACGAACTTATCCTGGCCATCTGAGCTTCCATACACCTCAGCAACCGCACGCAGCTCGGCGTGGGAGCCGAAAATCAGATCGGCACGAGTAGCAGTCCACTTCTTCTGACCGGTCTTGCGATCGGATCCTTCAAAAATTTCCCCATCGACAGACTTCCAGGCCGTGTTGAGATCCAGAAGGTTGAGGAAGAAGTCGTTGGTAAGTTTCCCGGGACGGGTAGTGAAAACACCGTGGGAAGAACCATCATAATTGGTGCCGAGAACACGGAGACCGCCCACGAGAACAGTCAATTCCGGGGCGGAAAGAGTAAGAAGGTGCGCCCGGTCAACAAGGAACTGCTCTGTGCGGACACGTGAAGTTCCCTTGCCGTAGTTGCGGAACCCATCGGCGAACGGCTCCAAATCAGAGAACGAATTCACGTCCGTCTGCTCTTGCGAGGCGTCCATGCGGCCCGGCGTGAAGGGAACCGCAGCTCCGGCCGCCTGTTCCAGGGCGGCAGAGCCAGCCAGCACAATCAGATCAGCAAGAGAGACCTTCCTCCCACCCGAGGCGGAAGCGTTGAAGTTCTTCTGCACACCTTCCAGCGCCGCCAAAACTTCGGCCAGCTGCGGCGGGTTGTTGACCTTCCAGTCCTTCTGAGGGGCAAGGCGGATGCGGGCTCCATTGGCACCACCACGCTTATCGGAGCCACGGAATGTGGAAGCGGACGCCCAGGCCGTAGAGATGAACTTGCTAGGATCAATTCCAGTGGCCAGGATGCTTGTCTTTAGTGCAGCGATATCGGCGTCGTCGATCACGGGATGATTCAAGACTGGAATGGGATCCTCCCAGATCAGCTCTTCGGAGGGAATTTCCGGGCCTAGCCAGCGAGATCGGGGGCCCATATCGCGATGCAACAGCTTAAACCAGGCGCGGGCGAACGCATCAGCAAATTGATCAGGGTTCTCGAGGAAACGGCGAGAGATCTTCTCATAGATTGGATCAAAGCGGAGCGAAAGATCGGTTGTCAGCATAGTAGGCAAGCGCTTCTTGTTAGGATCAAAAGGATCCGGGATAATGGGCTCGGCATTCTTGGCCACCCACTGGTTGGCACCAGCGGGACTCTTGGTGAGCTCCCAGTCAAACTTGAACAGGTACTCGAAGAAGAGATTACTCCACTCCGTTGGTTTAGAGGTCCAAGTGACCTCCAAACCGCTAGTGATGGCATCGGGTCCCTTCCCAGAGCCGTACTTGCTGCTCCAACCTAAGCCCTGCTGCTCAAGGGGGGCTGCCTCCGGCTCTCTGCCCACCTGATCTGTGGGTCCCGCACCATGTGTCTTGCCGAATGTGTGGCCGCCGGCAATCAAGGCGACGGTCTCCTCATCGTTCATGGCCATGCGGCCGAAGGTCGTGCGGATGTCCCTGGCCGCCGCCAGTGGATCGGGAACGCCATCGGGCCCTTCAGGGTTGACGTAGATCAGACCCATGTGAGAAGCTGCAAGTGGCTTTTCGAGATCACGCGTATGGATATCCTTGGGGCCCTGCTTCGACTCGTCGTAACGGTCCTCGTTGCCCATCCAGGCGCTCTCGGCACCCCAATAGACTGACTCGTCAGACTCCCAGGTATCAGGGCGGCCACCAGCGAAGCCGAAGGTTTTGCCGCCCATCGATTCGATGGCAACATTGCCAGCCAAGAGGTACAAATCAGCCCACGAGATCTTATTGCCGTACTTTTGCTTCACCGGCCATAGAAGTCGGCGAGCCTTGTCGAGACTGGTGTTGTCAGGCCAGCTGTTGAGGGGGGCGAAACGCTGCTGGCCTTGGCCACCGCCACCACGACCGTCGAAAACACGGTAGGTGCCGGCACCGTGCCAGGCCATGCGGACGAAGAGACCGCCATAGTGGCCAAAGTCAGCGGGCCACCAGTCCTGGGAATCCGTCATCACCGCCGTGAGATCCTTCTTTAATCCTTCATAGTCCAAGCTCGCGAAGGCCGCCTTGTAGTCGAAGTCCTTGTCGTATGGATTGGTCACGGCAGTATGCTGGCGGAGGATGTTGAGCTTCAACTGATCCGGCCACCAGTCGAAGTTCCTGGTGCCGCCGCCACCAACGTTGGATTTCTTAACAGGGCACTCAGCCATGGTGATGTTGTTGGTTTCGAGCGCGAGGGATAGATTTCCTCTTGGAAAGCTATGAGACGATGGTGAGTTTCAGTAGATGTCTTCAGTAGCTGGCCCCACAGCCCGAAGCCCGAAGAGAGTAATAAAACTCACTATTATTTGTTGACCTGGCAGGAAATCTTGAGTTCCTGCTATCGTCTTGGTGATTTTTTTTTCTTCCCTCAAACGCGTGTATTTTGTATCCCACCTTTTCTTTCTAGTGGAGATAAGACTGGAAAGAATTGAATAAGTCGTGAAGCCATTCAGTCCGAGCAGAAGAGCAGATAAGCTCCTCGGAGGGAGGTTCGGGAGCTTGGGACCTATTTGACCGGCCCCGCCCTCACCTCCACTTCCTGGAACGCGTGCCCAAACGTGCCAAACTACGGCAGTTAGCTTATTTACCCCGCCGAAACTAAGCGGGGGGGAGACGGTGGCATCATTGCTTTCAATTTGCTGGACTCTGAATGGCTACAAACACCCTCTGTACCGGGCTAGGCCAATCGTAGTTTCACGGGCGTTAATGCGAAGACTCCTATTAGTAGATGGGACCTGCGAGGAAACGTGTGCTCGGATGCGGGGGAAGATCCCATCAGATCATCAAGTGGCTGCACTGACTGGCCTGGCACATTTTCGGAAGTTGGCATTAACAATCCGAAATCATCGCGGGCTCGTCCTCGGCTATACGCTTCAATGCTGCATTGATTGCTATTGATTGCTCCGTTGGGGTGTTGGTCTGTTGGTATCCAGCGGGAACGGGACACGCAACATCCGACCGCGGCTGGAGTAGCAGGTATTACTTCCGACGACCGAGGATTCTCGATGTCGCGTTTTCTAAAGAGCGGGGTAATGCCATCTCACGTGGAATCGCGACAGTCAAGTGAACGCTAGTCTAGATTGCAAAGCTTGATGTGGGTGGTGTCGGAAGTGGAACGCGATTTCCCCTTTCGCTACTCCGCACATCGCGACACCGACTCGACTGGCATCAATGCAGCTCAAGACCATCATAAGCCAGCAGCTGCCCCTCAGTAGAAGTCTTGGCTAAGCAGTAGCCTACCTCCGCTCGGGCGTGCCGCTTGCATACAAGTACCGTGGGAAGCTTTGCTGAAGTATTTTGTGTACACATAGGCTCGTCAATATTGGTATCGGGAGCCAGCCCATTCGCGATACGAACATTCATGTACCCGGATATCCCGGGCTCCTGGTCCAGATATAGCTTATTCCGTTACATGCACGAATGTACCTCGGTACACGGATGTGGACTTCCTTGAAACTTGAGACATGAGCTGTCTCGTAGGTCTCTATACAGGCATGTTCCATGACATTACAAATGACGACCTCGGAATAAAACGAGATTGGTTACCTTCCGAGGTCGTCATTGAGTAAAACACCTTGTATTGCATTGTTGACGATCTGTAAGGAGCTCCCCTTATCGCTTTTATCGCTTTTATCGCTCATTCGAACTCCGAGCTAAATTGAGTCGTATCCTCGAGAGAGTGCCATGAATAACTTAGTTTAGCGTTTGTCATTCATATAACCCAGCGATCGTCAGTCATGCCGAGTCGCGATTCGTAAAGGGAGCATAGATGGTGATAAATCAGTTTTTATCTCACATGCTACCAAGTCCAAAATAGAATAGATGACGGGACCTACGAATATCATGTCAAGACTGCGAGGCAATTTCATCAAGAAGAGAACTGGGACCGCCATTGGGGACAGCTGATAAACTGAAAAGATGAAGCTGTGGTTCAATGTTTTCTCAATAATGACTTGAGGTTGTTGACTTATAAGAGAAAATTTTTGAATTTATCTAAATATTATTTAACGGAAAGCGTTCCTGGCTATCCTAATTCCCACCATGACCAGGGCAGATGACGACAGATATCTCCTACGTCCTCTCGTTGATGAAGATAAGTGCGCACAGTCGATGATCCCCACCAGTTCTCCGCTAACTATGTACGATTGAGTTTAGCTTCCAAACTCGACTGAAGCTTTGACGCCAGCTGGCTGCGGGGTTGGGGCGCAATGAAAGGGGTGGGACGCAACCTGACAGATTCTCATCTCGAAAGAAGTGTGCATTCGAATCTCACAAATAGCAACTCTTTTTTTTTTTTTTTTTTTTTTTTTTCGGCTCGTAATTATTTCGATTATCCCAGCTCCAGTCATCCTGCTTCGCATGTTTTTCCTCCTTTCTCAACTCGGGCTAATCGTCCTCGTGAAAATGGGAATCAAATTTCGACCAGAACATGGCTTCTCACCACCAAGCCCATCCAGAAAGGCAGATCCGGCTTCCTTGTCTTAAATCATAACACGGTGATTTATCCCAATTTTCTGGAGACCGAGGACGTGTTGGTCTTCGATTTGTCCCTGAGTATCACAGAAATAGCCTTCTTATACTTAATCTGATTACATTTTGCAGACGCGTCGTTAATGTTTTAATTCGACGTCGGTAAGTGGCTGCGGTCGTTTCAGCCAGCTCGCTGCCACTGTCCATTTTTCCTCCGAGACACCTGTACATGAGGCGTTGGCTGGCTTCGAGCGTAATCCTCAAGACGCAACATCAAACCCACTCCGGTCGACCTACTTTCACGACACGATGTGAAGAAATACAATAAACCGCCGGCGATTTCTTACGGCCCCCAAGCCTACTTCGTACTTGGGAAGTCGTCCTTTCGTGGCCATCAGTGTCCAGCTAAGTGATTTTGCCATGTTTCGACCGAGACTGCCACGGGTGTCCTGTGGCTTGCGTCGTTAGTAGGCGAGACAGCAGTTGAGGCCGGATCTACAATCGAGCGACTAATTTGAGCCATATAATATTAAGCTATTTCCGAGCTGACGTTTGAGCTGGGCTGAAATGCTCATATTTGGGTTATTCTGGTTGGACTCTAACAGGGCGTGGCGCTTCTAAATCAGAAAGATCTGTTCTGAAAGACATGGATCCGGACTTAGCGTCTAAGTCTTCCAGCTAATTATCGGGCCGAAATGCGGTCACCGCGATTCCTCATCGGAGGATCGACGTCAATTCTTCAATCCAGGCAGCTTCTCAAGAAACCAAGTCCGACGGTCTTACTCTATGGACATGATGGAATTCTCGGATGTCCGTCTTGTGAAGCGATGCCGCGTGCATAAGCATCTCCGGCTTAGGAGTACTTAAAGCAGTCGATTTCTCGTCCTGGGCGAGATCTGATCATCCATTTTCTGCACTTTGGCTCTCAATACGCTAATAATATTAATAATACCAAATGGCGGCTCGCAGCATATACTCGCTCTTCCTTACGGTTCTCCTTGCCGTGTTGTGCTTTGCGGAGACGCCGGCCGAGGTGTACGACGACGGGACCAACAAGAACGCACCTGTCCTCTTGAACATTGGCACCGGAGGCGCAGGGCAAAGCGGTCTGGTCAAAGGTGTGTTCATGATGACGATTCTTTTTACCAAAATGGCCGGCCCAGGGTTTGGAATGGCAAACTGATTGTTAGTCTAGAGCTTGCCCAAGCGTTCATCAAGTTTAGCACTGGGAAGGGCAAGAGTCCTTTCCGGGTCGCCTGGTACAAGAGCGACACGACATATACGATTCAGAACCTCGAGACCGGCGCAGTCGATGTTGGGATAACTTACAATATCGCAGCCGAAGAAATTGCCATCAAGCAAGGCATCGCTAAAGACCCAGCCTATTACGCCTTCCGCGATCATTTCCTCTTGGTCGGACCCATGTCCAATCCCGCCAACATCGATGGGTCATTGAATATTACGGATATATTTTCCCAGCTTCATGAAGCTGCCGAGGACCCCGCAAATAATGGCACCGTAAGGTTTCTGAGCCGATACGACAAGTCCGCTACGAATATCAAGGAATCGGAGCTCTGGGCTCGCATCGGACAGGTTCGTCGTATTATTATTGGGCGCTCGTTCTATTCTAGTGTAATCCTCTCCTGACTGACGCGTTTCGGCCGTTCAGGTGCCGTGGGCGACGGCATACTCGACCTGGTATCATCAGTATATTTCCTTTCCCATCCAGGCCCTCACTGCGGCGATTCTCCTGGACGAATATACCATCTCCGACCGCGGTACGCTCCTATCCCTTGACCCCGAGCTGGCCAACCAGACCACAGTGTATAAGATGGCCACGGATGACGCACACGATGACCTCTTGAATCCGGCCCATCTACTAGTTGGGGCCAAGGCAGTAAATGGCCAGGAAGCACAAGACTTTGCCGATTGGGTGGTGTCGAGTGACGGGCAGTCAGTAATCAGTGGGTTCAAGAAGAACGGGCAACAGCTGTACAGTCCGGCGCCGTAAAATCCAGACAGATAATGAGATGGGGAGCCACGGAGACGATTCTATTAAATATTTGCTCGAACATCCTGATAGAATGGAATAATATCAATTGATCCCGGACACTATCAAAACGCCAATCTGTCTCTCAAACTGCGTGCTCTCCAACTTTGAGCTCCTCTTTTCGCTCCCGCTTTTCATCAAAACTCTGATGATGGGTCTTGGACTCGAAGGTAGCTAGCGGCTTGCCCCTGATCGCATCTTTTAGGCTCTCCTCACTCCGTTGAGTCCAGCTGGTGAATGGTGCTGAGCTCGTCGGGAATAAGACTCTATTTTCATGGCTCTCGACGTGGGAAAGCAGATTCTCAAGCTCTATCGACTGTGCTGCGATTATATCGAGGTTATTGGCAACCTGCTCGCAATATGACTCCAAGGGTAAGTCATTCACGTCCTCGCCGAAGGGGTTTTCGATTTCACGACCAATAAAAAGCAGGCCTAGAATGATATAGGATGCGGCAATGGTTGCAGGAATTGTCACCCATTCCAAGGTGGCATAGAGTTGGAAGGGTAAGAGCATAACATAGACCCAGGTGATTTGGCTGAAGGCGATGGTATAGGCGATTGGTAGAGGGGTCGATAGGACTCGCTCGGTTCCGGTGAGAGCATCATTCAGCGAGGCAAGGTTGTTAACTGGACCCTCGACGTCAGCAGGTTCCGATGAGGTCTGAAGCTGTCCCGAAGTACTTACAGGCAATAGTTTGCTGGATCGACACGGACAGTTTCCCTTCGGCGATCAGCTTGTCAAGATACGCGCCGAGGTAGTTGAGTATTTCAAGCGGCAAGTTCCCAAGCGGAGCATCCGCCTTCTTTAATGTCTTGCGGGGATTGCTTGCCGCAAACGATAGGCCGAGGTATTCCCCCATCTCTTTGAACCAAGTCTTCTTAGGAATGATTGATTTGGAAGGGTCTTTCTTGGTTGCCTCGCCGGCAAAGGTATGTAAGTGGGAAACTAAGTGGCTGAGGTCCTCGTATCCGGTGTAAGGTTGGAAACGAAGCTTGTGCTTCAACGAGATGGCAAATGCGACGACGAGATTTGAAGCAGTCCTGCGGAAAGATGTCAGCTCGTATTCCTGGAGATCGTGCACAATCTTTTCAGAGCACCGACATTACATGCAACATGTGCAGTTTCCTTTTCTCGGGGTCTTTTTCCTTGGAATGCACCCAGAATATCCTTCCGAGATTTTGTGACGCCAACATGACTTGCGCCCAGTACTTGCGCCCCTCCGAATATCTTTCGTAGGCTGTCGAGCCTCGGAAGGACAAGCCGAGACCAACGACGAAACCGGTGATGGTGAGGAGAACGGAGCTGACGCTTACTGTCGAAAGAGAAAGGCAAGGACCGTATTAGCACATCTTAGCCAACCAGCGCCACTCGTTTTAAATGGTCCTGGATGTGATTCGGAAATACTCACAATCGTGTACATATTTGGAGATCAAGGTGATGCAAGTCGCCCAGCCGCCAACCCACAGCAAAGGCACGATCATCTTGGGCAAGATGCTGCCGTGAACTCTTAAGAACAAGGGCCATTTCGAATGCCTATCGATGTCACGAGGTCCTTTCTAGATGAGCGCGAAGGTGTCAGTGCATTCAACGTGTAATGTGATCGTGGGACGCTTTGCATTCAACCAGCTTACAAAATAATCGTCGAGATCCAAACTTGTTGCCCGCCGAATCAAAGGATTTGCATCGGGAGTTAATTTCGGAGAGGCAACTCCTCGCTCTATCGATCGAGCTGTGCTTCTCTTTCGCACCGGTACTGTCTGTCCGTCGTCACCTCCATGGCCCTCATCTCCATTGGTGACGGAAACAACCACGGGCGCGACATCTCCGGCATCAGACATGTTTGGTACTTTGTTGATTGAGAGGATTCAACTTCGACTGTGACTCGACCTTGGGCGGTTAATGCTCACAAGTAGGTTCGGATATGAGGGGGAATGAAAGACAAATAGGACGGAATGTCCAGACTGATGGGGAAAGGGACGGCCTCTCTCAAATAAGGGTGCCCTTTCCAATCACAAAATTACCTCCTCATCCCAATAGGGAAAATCAGCAGACGACGTGAACCACCTTGGTTGGGCACGACGAAGTACTGCCACCCTGGTGGATGGTCCATATACCTGGATGGGATCAATTGGCCACAGATATCGGGAGGAGTGCTCAGTATCAAGACAAGATTAGCCAGTACCAAATCCCTTTGTCCATGTGATTTAGGTAAATTGCGTTTTCAGCTGGTCGAGGGTGTCCTGCATCGTGAAACGCGCTTTGGGAAATTGTCCAGAACTCTCATTTGTACACACCGACCAGGGGTTCGAAACTAAGCTTTTCCCAATCCAATAATGGACTAGTTCCCCAGACTGATGCGCATCAATATTTCTCCCAATATGGAGTAGATCGTCTGCCCCTCGACCACAGCCGCACGCATTTGGTTGAAAGAAGAAGTTCAGACCGTCCTCGACCACAAGCTGCTTCGTAAGAATACCATATTTCACGAGGCCCTCCTCCATGACCCAACGCCAGGGAGGATTCATTAAGGGTACCGTTCATTAACAACGACCTGGGGGGGTGTCGACCGGAACTTCGCCGCCTGGGAGTTCGACGCACCAATCAGAAATACATGCAAGAAACTAGAAGGATTGGTGTGGTTAACCTAATTTGTTATCAGTCCACTGTACTGTTAGTTTCTCTGCCCCACGCTCGATAAAATGTTTCAGAGGTTTTAGAACTATTTCCAAGCGCCAAAACGTTGACGCAGGTACGTTTGCTCCTAAAATTCCGTGTAACAATTGCAAAGTATCATTAATCTTGGCACTTCTGCTTTATGAAAGTTAAAGTTTCGGGTCCCCTGCCAAATTCCTCTTCGGGCTTGGTTTCCGCAAAGGCGCTCAAGACGAGGGACAGTGAGGTTTCCCGATGAGCCACCTGCTTTCGGTAACTCCCAGAGCTCAATTTTCCGTATTTTCGGTATTAGTGCGACCCGCTCTGGGCATCATAGTGCTGAAGCTCAGGTCTCTAAACTAAAGGATCCCGGTGGGTGCGCATTCTTAAATGGAGTAAAAGCCACAAGTTGAAAAGGTTCGAAAAAAAAAAAAAAAATGTAAAGATCCCTGCCAAAGAACTCCACGAAAACCCGCTCACATTCTCCGATCTTCTCATCTCCATTGCCATCTGAATTTTTGTGAACTGTTTTTGCATCCCGCTGCAATTAGGTAGAGAGGATCGCTCCATACTGCTGCTGTCCTCGTCATCTAGCATTCTTAGATGAAGCTCTGGACGCTGGGATACGGCACGATAGGCTCGCAGCCAGATGCGGAAGAGATTCGGTGGCAGAGAGTATATTTCGACAAATCGGACCCCATTGACGGATAATACCGAGGTACACCTCCGCCATTCAACAGGGGCTCCTGCTTTGCCTGAGTCCTTCGAGCGCAAGTTTCCCACAGCCGCTGCGTTTGTGGCTATGCTTACTACAGCCAAAGTGAATACTCCCTAGGCAGGCCTGCATAAGATATATATATATACATCCTTTACCCACATTCGCTGTGTGACATGTCGCTCAGCCCTGGATCTGCTTATTTCGCGGTGAAGCCTAAAAATCCAAGTGTTGTTGGAACTTGCAGGACCCCGAAAAGGTTCTCGGTGGCGTGGCCCGATGTCTCCTTGGGGTTGGCATATACCACATGAGCTTGGAGTAATTAGTATCTGAGGCCCTCGAATTTTATTTTGATAATTGGGCGCTGTGAGGTTAAACCTCAATGACTATGGACGTTTCGAGGATCAATTTGGTGGATATTTCCCTCCCACGAGTATAATGCAATAGTCTAGCTAACAAGATATCAGACTCTAAGATACCAGATCGTAGTTTACAGGAGAGAGATTTGGTGACGCTCCCACCGTCGGCTTCGTTAATAGGAATCCTCCGAGCTGAGCCGGGCAATCGGGCAGTTGATTCACCGACCTAAATATTAGTCAGCCTATCATGTTGGCCAAAGGTGTGGATTAAATATCCCTGCTAACCACTGAAACCTGTGAGAAACTCTTCTCTCTGTGCACAAGAGTCGAGCCAATGTCTTTGTAAAGCACCTTCTTTCTCCCATTTCAAATTTTGTTTTTGCCTGTGAGGACATATTGAATGTCCACGATGCCGGAGGTGAGGAAAACAACAACAGAAGTGCCCGATATCACACTTTTTCGGGGTTGGGCTGACTCCGGAAATCACGTCTGGTCTCCGTTCGTGATTAAGCTGGAGGCCCGACTTCGGTTCGCCGGAGTCAAGTATACAACCGACTCTGGTTCTCCTCTGGCGGCCCCGAAAGGAAAGATTCCCTACATCGAGCTCCGGGGACAGGATATCTCGTCTTTTGTTGACTCCGGTGGCGAGATCAAGAGTTCCGAATGGGCCATTCGCACTGGCGATGACGGCTCGCACATAGCGAGCCTGGGTGACTCTGCACTCATCATCAAGGCGCTTACGGCGCCAGGACTGCTCCCAGATATCAATGAGAGGCTGTCACCTGAAACAAAGTGTCACGATATGGCGCTACGGGCGCTACTAGAAGACAAGCTCTATTTCTACCATGTCCGTTTTTGCTCCTCTCTGCAGTTCCCTCCCCACTGTGCCTCCCTGGTCCCTACCCTACGTGGTTTATCAAAAGAGAATGAACTGACATGTGTGAGATACTATTATGATAGACAAGAGAACGCTGGGTTGACAACTACTACACAATGCGTGACCACGCCCTTTGGAGCATCCCTTATCCCATCCGTGTTGTGGTGGGCATTCTAGCCTATAGAAAGCACACTGCCATGCTTCACGGGCAAGGGACCGGTCGTTTCAATGGTCAAGAGGTGAAGCGGTTCAAAACTGAGATCTGGCAGACCATAGACGGCCTCCTTCGGGCCTCGAAAAGCGCCGTCAAGGACAATGGCGAGCCTTTCTGGGCGCTTGGGGGAGATGGCCCGACGGAGGCGGATGCAACTCTGTTTGGATTCGTGGTTTCGGTGTTGATTTGCACTGCGTAAGTCTGATGAATCTATATCCTCTTGGTGATCAATGGGTCGCCCCTTGCGTGGTGGAAGCACGAGGTTGCTAATGAAAGTAGCGGGCCGGAGTCGCGAGAGATAATTCGAGCTTTCCCCACTGTCACCGAGTACGCACAGCGAATACACGACAAGTACTTCCCCGACTACCACAAATGGGAAGAGCCCCGTACCTAGTAGTTACGGGTACTTCGTGATTACGACCCGTTGTTGGTCCTGGACGTTAAGCAGTTTATTGATCTGCGAGAAACTCCCCTAGATATGTTCCCTTATTGTTGTCTTTCTAGAGGGCTCTGTCATATAGCGGTACTTCCCATGCTGTTGTTAAACTAGTTTCCCTTTGTCGAATTAATGCTTTGATTCTTGGGAACAGTCGCCGAGCATCATGCTCGTGGTATACAATATTCAACTTTTCTTTAGACAAGCATGTATGGTTTAAATTACTTTATGTCTTCCTCCCGAATTTTATGAATTGCGGTTGGTGTGACCTACAACACTGCAAAAGATTTCTCCACGCTCCGCCATACCTTCGCTGGAAAATACCCACTGATCCAGTAATCCCCTCGAGTGTCTTTCCCCATGATTAAGAGCAAACCCCGATTTCCGAGCCCCCTCATGTCACAATGCATGTACCCTACCTTCCCCGATGTTGCGCTAATGGTGGGGCCCTTTTCATCTCTATCCTCCACGCCTGCAACGGCCGGTGAGAAATCAATCTCGTCATAAAATCGCGCCCTGCTCCAGTTCGTGAACGCTAAGAAGTCGCTGCTTGGCTCGCCAAAGAGGAGTATGTTTCCGTACTTTTTAATGGACTGGTGCATGAGATATGCCTGGCCATGTGCCTGCTTGGTCGTTGTCTGCTCGGATACGGCCTTCCGAACTTCAGCAGCGGCGTGTCCGAGAGGTTTGCTCATGAAGTGCTTCCGTCTGGAGATTACGAAAGCGCCTAGATATGTGTTTTGGACATAGGCAGCGTTAGGGTCGAAGAGCTCGCCAAGGCGCGTGCGTACCTCGAAAATGTTTTTGATCATGACGTAACGCTTTGAGCAGCTGCTAAGGAAGAGTCTGCTAAGCCACGCAACAAGGATGTCATTGTCGCTTAATAGTGGCAACTTCCCATCTTGTGTCTTGTCAATTGCACCTTCGTTCAACCCGGCCGTGAGCTCTTCCTGTGCTCTGCTTCGAAGAGACGCGATGAATGCTTCCGGGACGCAGATGGTCTTGGAAAGGGCTTTGGGGCCAAAGAGAAGACTAGCGATATAACGGATGTTGAATGTGAGGCCCCTGAACCCCTTGAGTTCCTTGTCTGCCAGTAAGTATGGTTCTCCTGGACGAGAGGCACCAAATGAGGCTAAAGGGTCCTCCTGAAAGCCCTTCAATTGTGGGACCTGGTCCTCTTTGCCGGCAAGCACAAGGCACCATGCTGCAATGAGTTCGCGGCAGCCCATAGCGTCAGCAAGGGTATGAGACCAGTTGAGGGATACCAATGTCGCGTCTCTAAAGGAGACAATATGTAGCGAAAGCGATGGTTCGTCGGAGCTGAGGTAGTCGGCCAGCTTTTGGGGGGCATCAGGCCTAGCACCTAGTTGGCGAAAGCTGGCAGGGCCGTCATGTATGTAGGGGAGGGTGGAGGATGTACACGTAGGGAATTTGGATGCGAGAGGATGTTCCGCGATATCTACATCATGGCTGACGTGGCTATATGCGACGGCTGGGCGATCTTTTGTGTATTCTGCAGGGACGTGGAGTTCGAGTTTGCGTGTCTGTTTCTGGTTATGGGGAGCAACATTGACGTTAGTGGAAGCCTGTTACCAAACGAACACTGGGAACGATGGCAAGGTAGTCTCAACTCTCTTACATTCAAACGGATCCGTGCTCCCAACTTCCTCCAGTCCCCAATGCCCAAGAGCCGGACTAGCGCGTGGTGAACTTTGTCTGGGTCCAACACTTGAGTGAAGCGGAGAGTCCAGCATAAGGTGAAGTCCCGATTCACATACACGTCATCCCAAAAGTGCATAGGGACCACCGTGTCCGAGTCAAATCGGAGAGGTACCGCTGTCCTCTTGGATCTGAGTAGCATTGCGATGGTCTGAGGCACTAGGGAAAGGAGATACGAGAAATTTGTGATTTTTGGTATTATTGGGAATCTTGAGAATCTTGGGGGCATTGGGAGCAGATGTGGTGAGGGATACTTGTCACGACATTCTTGAGCGTCCGAACAGGAAAGAAATTACCACGCTTTATAACCCAACTCTCACAGCTGCCCTGTCCGAACTCTTGGCGGGCTCTGTGCCGGTAAGCCAAGCATGTCCATCCACCGTCGACGTTGTGCAGTTATGGCAGGACTCTGCTTTAAGTGATCACGTGGGATTCAAGCCACTGCACTCAGCCCAATGCCAACTGTGAGGATTGCATTCTTTTTCTGGCATTAGATTCATAGGACTGGCCAATGTGCTAGCCCAGGCAAGACATGCCAAGCCGCGGTATCCTATGAATGAGCTGCAACCCAGCCATCAAGTGAATACAAAAATCAGGGATTGATTGGTCCTACTATGACGCCACATGTTACCGGTTCATTACTTCGGTCAGACGCGGGCTCTTTCCGGTGGGTAAGAAGTACTGATCACAACTCTAACGGCCGGACAAGAGAGGAGGCGACTCGAGGACTTGCCGTCTAGGTTACTGAACGGTGTGTAGGGACGGAGCGTATCCGCTCCACACAAAGCACCAACTCGTCGAGATTGATTGATAAGATAAGACGAACCATCATTTAATAGGTACGAAGTACTTCGTACTTGCATGCGCATCCGTGAGAGTGATCCTTGCCGGGCCGTAATTGGGATAGCGCGGTGAGAGACGCATCCCTCGGATCATTGGAGCCAGGGGCTCTTCGTATTGCCCGAGCTCTCACGAAAGTGACGAACCGATATCGGCCATCCTCAGCTTGGAAATGAACCATCTGGAAATTGTAGATTTTTTCGAGGCACGTTGGAGGGGGAGAAAAAGTCGAGGTTGGCGCTGTTAAGGTAGGACGACTTTTGGAAATGAAACTGCCACGCTCGAGTTCAAGGAACAAAAGAGAAGTTCCCCTTTTTAACATGACACTCGGTTCTCAAGTTGTTTTATTTCATACTTTTCACATACCCTTGACTTTGGAGTGGATTTATTTCGTGGCGTTTTGAGGCTTCAGTTCTCCCAATAATACCACCCAAGTGTAATTAAAGCCAAGGCCCGAACCGATCAGATTATGCCCTGGTCACATATGTGGTCCCCTGCACCGGTAGCCTGTTGGTGAGAATCCCGCGGTTAAAGCCGGTGCCTAAGAGAGCGGAATGGGGTGGCTATTCTTGGCTTCTTGGCTTCTTGGCCTCGTACGGCAAGGCCACTCCTTTCCACATAGTTCTGGGCAAGGTTACATGTAACCCTGATATCTCCCCTTCCACCATCCCGAGTCCCACCATTTCCGTGCTCACTTGCATTCGTTCTATTCATTGACTTTGGCCCACTGGCCTTCGATTCTCGTCGTTTGAGTCGGTCTTATTGTTTGTGATGAAGAACCTTTTCCACCTCCTTCTCGCCACAGCCGCTGTGGTATGGGCGAATAATATTAGTTCTAGCACCTGCGCATCTCTGACTGCCCCCGATATCGCCAATGTCACAATCACCTCATTCGAGGCCACGGAACGTCGTGGAGTGCTCTCTCTTGTCCCAAGCTCTTTAGGGCAAGTCCCCGGGACACTAAACTTCTGCAATGTCACGGCTCGGATAACTCATGGCTCCGAGGGAGATGACGTTATAGTACAAGTATGGTTGCCGCTAGAGGATTGGAATGGCCGATTCCAAGGTACCGGAGGCATCGGATTCAAAGCCGGCATGTTCTCCGAGTCCATGATGGCGGCAGTAGAGAAAGGCTTTGCTGTCGCTACTACCGACGCCGGTGTCCCTCAGAACATTACCGCGGATGTTTTCTTCTCCGGAAGTCAGTTAAACCAGGTCTTTACCAACTTCGCAGAGCTCTCAGTCCACGAAATGGCTGTCTTTGGCAAGACTGTGACGTCGGATTTCTACGGTCGTCCACCAAGCTTCTCGTACATGAATGGCTGCTCGACAGGTGGTCGACAGGGCATGAAAGCGGCGCAAAAGTTCCCCGACGACTTTGATGGCATTCTGGCCGTCGCGCCGGCCCTTTACTGGAGCGAGTTTCTTCTCTCTGGCCTCTGGCCCTTTGTCGTTGCGAACGCCGAGGGTGAGGTACCCCCGCCATGCGTCATGGACTATTTTGTCAACGCGACCGTCAGCGCATGTGACAGTGAAGATGGAGCCTCTGATAGCCTCGTCTCTAACCCGGGCCGGTGTGGCTTTGATCCCCAAACTCTAGTTGGCGGCTCCGTCGAGTGCAATGGCACTCAGGAAACCATTTCGACGCGCCATGCTACTACCTACGGCAAAATCCTGCAAGGTCCTCTCTCCCCGGATGGCGAGTTCTTATGGTACGGTTTCATGCCCGGTGCCCAAGTCGCTAGTCTCGCAGGCAACGAGCCACCGAGCTTGCCGGCTCTTTGGTTTCGAGAGTTTATTGAACGGGATTCATCTTTCGATTTCAAGTCATTAAATTACGAGGATATTCCGGGGCTCCTTGCCAAGTCAAAGGAACTGGCTGGAAGCCTAGAGACCACCAACCCCGATTTAAGCTCATTCAAGACCGGTGGAGGGAAAATCATCACCTGGCACGGTCTCGCCGACCCTCTTATCCCCCCAAATGGCACCTTCCACTACTATGCCGCTGTCGCCGAAGTTATGGGTGGCATGCAGTCTGTTGGTGAATTCTACCGCGTGTTCTCAGCGCCTGGTGTCGTGCACTGCGGTGGCGGAGCGGGCCCAGAACCTATTGGGGCTTTGGATGCTCTGATTGCCTGGGTTGAAGAGGGCGTGGCTCCAGAGTCGCTGGCGGCTTCGAAAGCGGGAACGGGCCAACAAATGACGCGAAATCTATGTCGATATCCTCTAGCACTCGAGTACAATGGCCAAGGGAGCGTGAATGATGCAGAGAACTGGGAGTGTCGAGGGAATATCGGGGATCCTGCGCCCACTGGACATGATCCAGATTCTGGTGCGGCGACGGGGATTAGACCTGGAAATGCAATTGGACTCTTGGCCATGGCTTTTCCGGCATACTGGTTCTCGGGGGATTACCTGCTTTAGAACTAACGGCAAAGGTTCCGCAAGACAATCCGGGCATTCTGGATCTTCTGTCTGTCCGCTACCTTCCACGCTGCGGCGAATTGGATGTTAATCGGAGGGGGCAATGTGGTAGAATTTCGATTTTTCCTTTCTGATTATGCTGTTTCTTTAGCCGAAACTGTCTCGCCGAGTCTGTGGGGAGGTTCAGGAACAAGGAGAAGCACTGCAGGCTTGTCGGTCCGAGTTCTTGGATACGTTTGGGTTGTGGTTGTTCTATGCTCATTGACTCCGGCGTGGCGGTATTCCTTGTTGTATGCCTCGGTAGGATTTTAGTTGGAAGTATTTTTACACCCCCAACTATGGGACTATGCCAGTACCTGGCTGTGTAATTCGGAATAGGGGATATAGCGTTCTTGATCTCACCGTTACCTTCTAGCTTAATATTCAGAGCGAGGTTATTGTATCTATATATACGCTGTGTCCCCCCGAGCCTCCCAACCCCGCCTTTATAATACTGCCTACTATCCAATACATCTTCTAGAAATAGCTATTATATATAAAACTTAACTTAGCTAAGGATAATTATTATAAGGAACTTGCTATCTAGATTAAAAATAATAAAAAGTAGTAAGATAATGTAGTTATTGTCTTTGACAATATTAACCTAGAAGAGGAGTATAAAGTCCTTTGTAAACTTGACTAGGTTATTATGCCTCGGCTTGCCGCTATGTATTTCTTCTGGTGTAAGTTTCTTGTTACCATCTGCGTAACCCTCTGAAACTGACCCTATCTATAGATCTTGACAAGGGCGCTATTAACTATGCCACTATCTTCGGCCTCCGCGACAACCTCCATCTTTCTGGCCTCGAGTATTTCTAGGTTGTTTCCCTCTTCTACTTTAGCCAGCTATGCTCTGAATACCCGGCTGCCTCCATCCTCAGTCGCCTCCGGCTTGTATTATTTGTGGGAATAACCATCGTTATCTAGGGTGGTGTCGAGATGGCCATGGCCGCAAGCCACAGCTTCCCGGGCATCACGGCAACACGGTTCTTTCTTGGGTTCGCCGAAGCCTGCGTGTCTCCCGCCTTCATCATCACCACCTCCAACTGGTACAGGGGGAGGGAGCACCCAATGCAAGTTGCTACCTGGGTTTCTGTGAACGGGATCAGCCAGATTGTGGACGCGTCGCTCATGTACGCCGTAGGCTACGCTGATCTCGCTCTGGAGAACTAGTGCGTAATCTTCTTGATCTTTGGTGGCCTAACCTGCGCATGTGGCTTCGCTTTCCTGGCTCTCATGCCGCGAGACACAACTACGGCTTGGTTCCTAAACGAGCGCGAGCGACAGATTGCAGCTCAGCGTCTTGCCATCGACCGCGCTAAACGAGACAGAGAAGAGTTCAACAAGGCTCAACTATGGGAGGCGTTGGCTTCTCCCTCGACCTGGCTGTACTTCTTTATGGCTCTTTGCATCACCCTCACGACTCCTATTCTCAAGGCTCACGTCTTCCATATTTTTTACAAACGCGTACACTAACTCAAGTAGGTCTCGGCCATGGCCATTAACGGGTTCGGTTACTCCATGTACTAGTCCATGGTTGTCGGGCTCTCCGGTGGTGCAATCAACTTTGTCACTGTTTGGATATCCGCGCTTGGGCCAAGGTTGCCAAGGTTCTGCCCTGGCACCCGCATTTACACGGCGATCGGACTTTCATGCGTGTCACTTGTTGGCTCAGTCGTTCTTGTGGCTCTGCCTGTTGAAGATGGCGCATGCGGTATCGTTGCGACGACTTGACTGGCTGCCTGTTGCTCTTCCTTGATATCGAGCACAGCTTCGCTGATGGCAAGTAATGTTAAAGGCAATACCAAGAAGAGCGCGGTTAGCGCAGGCTTCTTCATTGCCTATTACGTCGGCTGCATTGTGAGTCCTCAGGCGTGGACAGAAGATGACTCGATGACTTTCCCAGATACACCAAGGTTTGCTTTCTTAGTATCGCTAGCTGGATTGCCTTGATCACTTCCTATCTCGTCTACTTGCTCTTTATTCGCAGGGAGAACGCAAAGAGAGATGCTAAGGCGGCCGAGGGAATACTCGAGTATATGGCAGGGGAACAAGGCATGGGCATGGCTACAGGTGTATCGATCGATTCGGGCGTGACTGATGCTAGGGCCAAGGCGTTCAGGTACAGCACCTAATCCTCCACAATTTGTCGGTTGGATGAAGGATTGGTATCTGATCTCGGGCCTCTGGATGGGCAACTAAATTGTAGTCTAGTCACGGCAACTTAAACCTTATCATGGCGTTTCTACTCGCGTCAAAACGGTAAATATGTATGGTTGGTGTGGATGATACAGACAGACCAAGTGAGGGCTGCTAACCGTCACGTTATGGGTAATGAATTGATACCTACCTTGAAGGTCGACACGAAGTTCAGCCTACACACTAACGCCGCTAGCAAACTGCAGCCGTCCTTTTGAATCAGTATGATACAACACGAATAGGGAACTCAAGTTTCGTATTCTATACTACGCCTTAAGAAAATCTTGATTGCGGGCCTGCCGGATCGCATTGAACCATATAGCGGCCATCTTCTTGTACCCTTTGTCATCAGGGTGCGTGCCGTCAACCAGATCCCCAAGTTGAGGTCCCTCAGGGCTATTCATGTCGGCAAGAACTATCCTCTTCTGTTCTGCCGCCTTCGACTGAGCCAATTCGCGGAGCTGGTCGTTTATGCGCAAGACTCGCGAGTTGACGTCCTTATCTGCGTTCACGAGTAGAGTTGACAGAATAACGGTCGAGGCGGGAGATGTCTGCCAGAAATACTCGAGCATGCTGCCCATACGTAACCCAAAACCCTCTAGTTGGAAGTCTTGGATGCAATCGTTAGATCCGGCGTTGATTGTGAAGACTTTGGGGAGCAGTGTTGCGACGCATCTCCTCGCTTTGGTCTCAATCTGGTCAAGTCTGTACCCTCGCCACCCCTCGTTATCGCCATTGCTCATGGAGCCTGACCTACGCGAGCCGACAAATCGGACTTGGTAGCCATCTGCGAGAAGCATGTCGCCGAGGAATTGTCGGTATCCATTGCCATCGGAAGACCCAACACCGTATGTCACGGAACCGCCTAGTGGCATTAAACGCAGGGTTCTTTTCGTTGCCGCCAATTGCGAAAAACGGCCTAATGAATGCTCAGTAAGTAAGGTGCAGTCATCGATTCCAGGCGCATCGTATATGGGCATGAACGAACCATGCTGGGCGTCCAAGGGTGGATACACTTTGGTGCAAATAGAGAACTTCTCGGCACTCGATGCAAGGACGTGGCCGGGGATTAGGGGCCATGCTCCGACCCTGTTTGGCAGGATGCGGTGTGACAAAGGGGCAATTCTTTGTCGCAGCATGTTGAATTCGAAGGGTTGTACCTGGAGAAGGGAGGAGAGATCACTGCTGGGGTGGAGTGGTTAACTAACCTAACCCAACCAACCTACACCGGCCAAGCAGAATCTTGCCTGCACTGATTTGGTGCACGCGTCTCTCGTCCCGTCCACGTGTTTTCGACCGCCGAACCATCCAATTAGCACTTGCGTTTTAGCTTACGTCAGCGCATATAAACCAACGGATCTCGAATCTCAAAATCCACTATTTCTCATCCTCCACCTATTGGCGGCAATTGGCGGCACACCTCGACCACTAGACTCTGATTATTCCCTTCTTTTCCACACCCAAAAAGCTCCGAATGCTGCCACCGAGACGATCCAGAGATATGACATGGCAGCAAATGACTTTCTGAGTTTCGGCGCCTCGAGTGTCCACTCACCCTGCTGACCGTGCCGCCAGTATTTTAGCCGCGTTTCGTCGACCTGACTTGGTCCAAAGAAGAGGCGCTGGGTTTCTTCCAATGCTGCCCTCGAGTTTCCCTCCAGTAAAGTCTTCGCATGCATCTGGCATTGGATCAAGAAATGCAAGACCTCAGCAGCGTCCCATATGACGCCGGCCGCCACCTGGATGATGAAGTCTGGGATGGTATGTGTTTGGACGCTCTGATGGAACTCCTCTAGCACCCATCTCATGGCCGCACCGTCGCCCCATTCGGCGCTCACCCCATGTTCGCTCAGGAACAGATCTACCTGTATGGCGCGGACAGTGTTCGAAACGTACTCAGCGCGGTCGCCCGCGCTGCGGCCGCACCGACTCAGACCCATGTACCCTCTGTACAGCATGCGGAGATCCTTCATCTTGGCTTTAGTGCCATTCATGGCCTCATAAGTCCCTTGGATGCCGCGCTCGAAATAAGGGCGAGCCTCGGAATATAAGTGTCCACTAACTGGACCAGAATCTGTCGGTCTTATCAGCAAAGTTCCAATGCTGCAATTCCGCTCAGCCGCTCCCGTTCCCCGCCAGTCCTGGCCCGCTGCTTCCAGGTCTTGCTCGAGATTAACTAGCTCTTCATGGATTCTCATGGCAGCTCTCACGTCTTCACCTGCTGCGAGGGTGAAGAGTTCGTCGAGACTGGATGCTTCGGCCTTTAGGTCGTGCGTCCGTCTCGCCACCTGGAGAGCGATTTGCAAGGATTCTCGATGCTGCCTTTTGTCTGTCTTGAGCATTTCGGCTTCCCTAAGAAGGCTGCTGGCAGCTTCGAACAGAAAACAGCGTCCGACTTTAACGAAAGCGGAGGCAATTGCTGGTCTGAGCTTCGTGGACCAGCATTCTTCGTCAAGACTTGGGTCCTCCAGATCTCTCAGTACGTCCTGATGATTCGGGAACTCAACACCAGTGAGTTCTGAACCTCGAAATGCGTGCGCATAAAGCTTAGCGAGATATTTGAAAGAAACAGCATCTGGGCCCCCTGCAGCCTCCCCTTCAGACATCAGATAGCGAGTTTGGATCAAGTACCGCGACGCAGCCCAAATATAGGCGACGTTCTTCTCCAGTCCGGCAGGGCGGCCCTCAGAGAGGAGTTGGAGCAGGGCGTCTGTCAACCCCGACGAGGAAGCGACGAAGGCGGCTTGACATCGCAACGAGAATGATAGCGCTCCCAAGTTACGTCGATCCAACACCGATGGCATCAGATCCTCGAGCATCAGCAGCGCTCGTTTCGCATTCTCGTGCGCCGCCGCGTATTCAGCCGCCGCTAAAAGAGTATTCCCTCGCCACCAGACCAGGACCACGATTTGCCCCAAAGCATCTGCTGTCTCCTCCCTTGCTAGAGCCGATCTGTAGTGCTGGATTTGATACAAATGCTCCAGGCCGCGCAGAACGCAGTCTAGGAGTCTTGTCTGAGCTCTGGCCCACATAGAGGAGAGTTCCGTAACCGCCTCAGAAAGAAGGATCCCCAGCACATTCATTGTCCTGTAACCGAACTCCGGCTGCTGAATGCAAGCCTCGACGGCGTTGTAGATATTTATATGTTCTGCCTCGAAAAATTTTCTAACCTCCACAGGAACACCTGATGCATCTTGCGTGCCGTTCGTCAACTCGATGAGCGACGAAATCCGAAATTCGTACAGGTGCCATAGCATTGACGGTAGTTGGTGTAACTTGACGCATGCGACTTCGGTCGAGGGGTTGTTGCTACGCTTAACCATTTCGTATCGCAGCAGGTGCGGTAAAAGAGGGTGTACTTCATAGTACTTCGGCACCGAGCTGCCTGGTGTTTGTGAAGCCAGATATATGAAGCCGAAGTCCACCAACTGCTCGAGAACCCAAGATACGCATCGCACGGCGGGTTCCGGTGGGTGTTCTGGAGATTTCGATGATGTCCCGGCTTCTACCGTTCCTAACGACGCTTCTTCAGCCTCGGACTGATTTGACAGCATGCCGCCGGACTGAAACAGCCAGGTGACCCAGTCTCGAAGATCAAACGGTATGACCCTCTGGCAAGCCGACAAACTCATTGCGATCTGGAGTGCGAGTTTGGAGCGCTGTTCCAGGGTGTCTATGAGGCACTTGAATTCATGGAGAGTGTTGGATGATTCATTCAAATACTCCAAAGAGCGTTCGGCGGAAGGACTGCTCATCATCCAGTTGTCTCGTTTCAACGCAGAGTCCAAACCGAGATAGACAAGCGGAGGGACCCAGAACTTCAGCGCCAGCGTCAGGGCTAGGAACGAGCCGAAGAATGGTTCAAACGATCCAAGCAGCTCCATCCCTAGGGGGTTTCCGTCCTGAAGGTCTGTGAATTCTTCCATTTGCTCGTTGAATTCACGCGTAGACGGGAGCTTCATTCCATCGCATTCAAAGCCGCGTCGCAGGAGCTGCGCTGCTTCGTCCTCTTTCAGACCCTTCAGGAAATACTCGGCAACCGGGATGATGTCATTTGCTGCGGAAGCCGTCTCTGAGAAGCGGCCAAGTAGAAGCCAGGTACTTCGTGGACAATGTGTTTTCAGACGAGTGACGTAGTCCCTAAATGTCTTCCACTGTAGCCGCTGATTGGATCCTTGGCCCGCTTTCCGGATGTTGAAATTGTCGACGCAGACTAGCACCCTCTTCTGGCTCCCTCGAGTTCCGTGAAAGGTATCACCGTTGATCTGGTGGATGAGTGTCTCAATAAGGGACGTCGACAAGTCTGAACAGTCGATCGCGAAGGCGTGGTCGATGAAGCCAGTCTCTCGCCACCAGCGAAGCAGACGATTCGCGAAGCAAGTTTTCCCGACTCCATGATCGCCTACGACTTTCACTATTGCGTTCTCGCACAGCGCTGACTCGATCGAGAGCAAGTCATTTTCTCGGCCGAGCAGCTGTACACCTGAACTTGGCTGTTTATCATCCGATCCTCTCCGAGAGCTGGGACCCGCGATCTCCGGACCTGGCAAGTTGTTATGGTGCTCAAACAAACCACCGGGGCTATGTTCGCTCCGATAAAACACTGGTACGAAGTCGTCGTGGACTCGCACGAGCAGTGAAAACCGCCCTTCTTTAGTCGCGTGGTTCCTGAGGTAGTTGCGACCGTGTTGGACTGCGCCAGCGATGGTGCTTCCCTCCAGAAACAGCTTTTCGTAGAAGGCGGTCATGAAGTCCACTGCAGTCGACTTCATCACCGAGTGAGACATGGCAACGACCTCGAAGATGCCTTGGCTGACCAGAATATGCGCAGCACTGCGCAGAATCGGATCCGCGGGCTGATTGCCGGAGTTGCAAGCGTTGAGCACGACCGCCTTGACACCGTACTCGCTCAGGACTCTTGCCACTTCAGCGACAGGCACGTCTTCGGGAACTTGAGCGTTATAGTACGAAGGTGAGAAGCGGAAACAGAAGCTAATAAAAGTTCCGTTAGTCCCTTATGGTCATCACATACGTTAGGCAGTGGCCTACCTTCGATCACGTAAACGCACGCCGTGTAAGTCAAAGTGGGCTATCGAGAAGAAGCCAATTGGGCGATCCCGTAGTGTGCGCTTGAGAGTACCCCAAGTTCCCGGTCGGGAAAAGTATAGCTCGACGTTCACTTCTTCTCTGCGCGCTGCTTCGGCGATATTCCAAACCGGAAGCGAAATTATACGATAAGGTATGGGGTCTTGGAGAGCGTGGCGGGCGGAAACGAGGAGGATGTTTTGCTTCGGTCGTTGGGCCGTCGACGAAGACGGCCTGGTGGTTGGCGACACTTGGCGGATGACGAAAACAGAATTTGCATTCAGCTCGAGGCATGCCACCTGCCTCTCCAGTAACTCCCACTTGATGCTGTGAATGTTGGCGTGGCCTTGTAATGCCTGGACGTGCAGTCTGAGTGAGAGACTGCCGACTCCTCCTCCGCTTGCTCTCAGCGCTCGAGAGACGGCGGGTCTCAACAGACGCGAGAGTTGAGCTGCATAACCGTCCAGGCGCTGGGGGATCTCTTCGGCTCGCCCCTCGGAATACGGATCGTTCAATGCAAACTCTTCGACATACCAGACGATGTCTCTCTCTTCAAGAGAAACTTGCGGCTCTCCGACGACGAATGCGCCGAGGCTCTGACCAGTGGCGAGGCCAGCCACAACGATCCATGTCTGCGGAGAGGAAGTTTGCGCGACACCGAGCAGGAGAATCGAGATCTCCATCTTGGCTTCCTCGAGGTCGAAAATTGGATGAGCCCTACTCTACAACCGCATCTTTGGGGACCACGTCTGCCAATGACGTCGGTGGACGGTGAGCTGCTCAGCTGCTCGATCTTGGAGGCGCAGGAGGAGAGGAATATAGGTCACTTGTCTTCCTAAACGTCGTGGCCACGGTGATACTTGAAGTGACAAAAAAACCCTCACAACATTGCTGACGTCTTCCAAGGAGCAGAGGTTTTTAGTTGTTCGGTATCTAGGACAAACTGTTATTGAGGTGTGAATTGCAAATGCCTGGGATGTGGTTGTTGTGCCGTGACCCTGTCGTTCGCTTAGAGGCTCGGTGTGATGTGTACGTAGTAGGGGCGAATTGGCATCATTCTGACAAACGTATTACGGGACGTCTTGATAACGAATGAGAGTCGCATAGTTTGTCATTGGGATGGTAGAGGGCGCGCCACCATCACATGAAAAGTCGAAGATTAGACTCTGCTGCCTGCTCAGTATCAAGTAACTGCTAATCAGGAGATAAATAGGGCAGCTGCCTCTCTTTATCTAATACCAAATTTTGTGTTGGGCATACTACATCTCATCCCTCCGGCTACAAGCACAAACAAGGCCACGTCCGAAAGTGTCGATGGCAGAATATAGAGCCAATCCCACCTGGGCAATCTTGCTGCCCTCGGATTTGCCCGAGGGCTCCGAAGCAAAAGTCGTAAACATGTTGGGCTCCGTCGTTGCGGACTTCGAGCACCCCCTCCATGAGATCATCTGGCGGCCCGTCGCAGGGAAGGAGCAAGGACTAAAAGGGATAATGAAGGTCGAAGACGAGGACTTCCACAGCATCACGGAGGGCTTGACGAACGCGGAGGTCAAGATGCATTTGACTCAAGCCGTCCGGGGAGTATTCGCCTCTGGCCAGAAAAACGAACAGCAGATGTCAGCAAAGACTGTCATCACTCGGACGCTCGAGAACCACAGGCGATTTTTCGACGAGATCGACAAGCAGTCCCACGATGCCATCCTGCGCATGATCAAGAAAAATCCTCGGAGTGGCACGCCCTACGCGCTCATGATAGTGGGCATAAAATCCTGCATCGATGCCCGGATCTCGTCCAAGACTCAGCTTTCGTCGTACTTTGATGCCAGTGTCAACATTCCCCTGGACGAAGCCCTCAAGGCGGCTGGTGTGGTTGCGCCCATCGGAGCCAACGTCGATCTTGGCATGCTTAGGGAGAAGATTTCGGGCGTCCTTAATGAGTTCTGGGCAAAGGGCGAGCGCGTCTTCGCCATCCAGTACCGCCGGATCTCGATTAGGCGCACTATGAAGGTGCTGCCCATTCCGCACACACAGAGGGGGCTTAAATACAATGAACTGATCGAGATCCCGGCCAACCGAGGCCTTTTCGGTGCCGATGAGAAGATACAAGGAGGCAATGACGTAAGGGCGAATCAATGCCGAAACTCCGGGGATGGAAGTGGAAAGTTCCAGAACGTGGAGACGGGTGAAGTCCTGGAGCTGGGGGACGGCATGGAGCCAGTCTTATCCAAGTCTGGGGCAGTTTACATTACTGCATTTTAAATTAGTTCTGTAAGGACGAGGTGCAGGTGGCGCTCCTAAGGACTGGTGTTAGTTCCCGAGTGTTTTATTCCGTACGTCCTGGGGTGGACTTCACGAGCCACGGTGTCGGTTGAAAACGGGGCCGAAACGGATAGTGGGGGCCTTCCCCACAAGCCGTCGTGTATCCCGGTTCACCGGGCGCGGCCTGGCTCAGAGGCTGCTATTTATAGCTACTACAAATCTGCCAAGTTCAGAAGCATTTGATCCGAACATCATGAATTAAATGGAAACTGAGGGCTGAACAAGGGGCAAAAGGTGTGTGTGTGTATTAATTTCTTCCCAATTTAGGGGGAAAAAGGTTTTCTAGTAGAAATATCTATAAACGGCTACGGAAATCGGGCAAACATATAATTCCGTGCTACCTATGTCGACAGCATCTAAACAGCTAGTCCGCTGACATGAAACCTACATTAAACATGACCTTTCTGTCAACCTACACTAAACACCGAAATTTCTTTGCCCCTTTAGAGGCATTGCTAGTCAACTGCGGCGGAATATAATAGACCACTATGTCAACGGCCAAAGTAGAAGATACCTTCTAACATGTACCGAGGCATGTTGATTATTTATGCTGCTCACCAACTGAGTTTCTCCGTCTCGCAATCATGTATCAATATACCGCCGTATTGAGACCCAATACTGTAAAGATACCGCCGGTACGCTAGGGCCGGTTGTTGAGTATCGGCCAAAAACGCTCGTTTTGAAGTCTATATTTTCAGGGCCCAGACATCTATGTACTCGAAGAAAAGCGATCGGCCTCTATATAGCTTGATAAGGGCTGCTTTTCTTCTATTCCTTCCTCCCCTGAGTACCGGGAAGCTGGGTTGCCACACCAAGAAGTCACTATATATGTCCTCGCAATTATGACAGAAACAAGAAATTGCACCCCTGGAGGGTTTATCGAACATACCCAGGCAATATAAGTAGCAGACTAGAGCCAACACTCACCAACTGACCCGCCGCGGACGAGGAAGGATTCGGATATTCCGGCCAACGCCCCAATTTTAGTGATCATTGGGCAAGTGGGATGTGGGCCATGAGGTGCGTCAAGTAACCTTGTTCATTCGATCCTGCATGCAAACTCCGCTGAACCCCCTCATACATTTCCCGCGCATTCGGAGCCCATGTGAGTGTAATACCTCGCGCAGAACGCCTATTGATTAAGTGAGGCCAACCGGAAAGAAACCTCTTCCCGCTTCCCATACTTCCATGACTGCCCAACAACACCGAGAGCTTTAAAATGGCATTCTTTGATATGTTCACAAATTCTACGCCGACTTATCCGGAATCAAGTTACTGACACTCCGCTCCCTTCAATAAAAGGACATTAGATAAGCTAGGTGCCTGGTGGCGGTCCAGTGGCGTGAGATAAAGTTCGAGAAGGCTGAACCTAGGAAAGCGTGCGGTGCACGGAGAGGTGCTTAGCCCTAACACAACAACACCGTGCTCCTGTCGAGCATCGGCTAATGGTGGGGTGAGCCACAAGCAGCAAATCGAGCCTTTTATATTTCTGTTATGTCCAGTTATTGACCTTGCACCTATCGACAGTGTTCTCGGAGGTGACTCAGCATACTTTTTTATCCATCGTGGCATGGCCTTACTGAACGCATTGAGGATATCCTCCTTCCGCCAGTCGAAGATCCAGTTCATCTCAATGACACGGATTCCATGGTCGCGTCACGTACCTCACCGCATTTCCCGTTTATATCTGAAGCAGCACCAGCGAAAGCTGCGTAGGTTAGTTTCTACGGGTTGTACCGAGGTAACGTGGGTTGTTTTTGATATTGGCCGGGAAATCCTGAAAGCAATGCGGTGGACGATATGTATACGTAAGGAAATATTCATAGATATTCCCACCGAGGATGGCCTCGAAGTGAATGTGTAGAGAATCGCCCAAACCTTAACAGTCTTCCCATAAGCTGGCCCGAGAACGGATGGATGGTGCACGAGGACGTGAGACGGAGTAACAAGTGACTATTCGTATTCAGCCTCCCTAGCAACCACGCAAGTTCTACACTACTATAAGAAGCCCTGCTCAGCTGCTTTGGACTCAGCCGATACCATCTGCAACGAGATAGGTTCACTTGGACACGCAAGAATGTATAAGCGGAGTTGTGTGTGAGAAAAAAAAAAAAAAAAAAAAAAAAAAAAAAAGGGGGGGGGGGGGTTTGAAGAACACTGTTACTATCTCATAATTTATCTTTGTACAAATCAAATAGAAATATCAAACTCTGGATTAACCCAAGTGGGCTGTGAAGTCTTCTGACGAATTTTGCCTCCAAATTTGTGAAGGAGCGCAAATAAAGGTATGCCGGCGAAGAAAACAATAATTCCCTGAGCGGCAAAAGTCCAGGTCCAGCCAGAAGATTCTTGCCAGACAGCGATGAAGAACTTGCTTTGTTAGTAAACGTGATCCTGAAGTGAGACATGGCGGGTTGGTATGCTTACAGGATTAATGAAGGCGCTGAGGTTGAGAAAAACAGCGTAGAAAGTAATGACACTCATGGATTGAAGAGGGTAGCTGTCTACAATGTAGCTACTCGTGACTGTGTTTCCCATCTGGACACCAGCGGCGACTAATCGGAGGTTAGCTTGTAAGCGGACACCGCCCAGGGAGAAAAAGAAATCAAAAAGGACAATGACTTACACAGGAAAAAGGCAACCTGGCCCACCATCCAATGGTAGCCTTTATCTACGCTAATGCCCCAAACAATCAATCCAATCGCTGTGAGAAGGATGGCAGGATACGCAAGCCACAGCCTCATCTCCGCCACGCGAACACCGCCGTTCTTCTTAGCGAGTCGAGCGACAATCCAATCGCTCAACGTTCCGGAGCAGAAGACCTCCGAGAATACTGTTCCGAGGAGCAATCCAATGAATAGAAGCCCTTGGATGAGCGGGGTGTAGTCGATGTACGCGGCGCCAATCATGGTAATCACCGAAAGTATCCACCAGTACCAAATGAACGAGTAGCCAACCACTGCGAGGACGACAACTGGCTGTTTGAAAGTAAGCAGAAATCGAATGGGAGTATCCCAAGGTTTAGGGTGTTTGAGGCCGGGAATAGGTGTAAAATTGAGAAAAGGAAGAGTTTTCGTGCGTCGGAGGTCAACCTCCCTGTCCGCCCTCTGGGGCGTTGACTCGTGCTTTTCACTGTCGGTCACGTCAGGGGACTCAAGGACGGGAGGGAGTTGCGACAACATTAAGTTGCGGGGATAGAGGGTTTCGGGCATGAAGAAGAGCTCCAGGAGGAGGAGCGCGGCGAAAAGGAGCGCATTAAACCAGTTGATCCAGGAAGCGCTAACAAGGTTGAGGAAACCGCCAACTGAGGTCTATTAGAAATTGTCGAGAATTAGGGACAGGGAGCTTGAGACCTACAGATGGGGCCGACAAGAAGACCAGTATCTAGGGCGAGTACCCAAAGGCCGAGCTTCTGGCCACGCTCATGCTCGAAGAACAGATCACCAACTAGAAAAAGGTTAGATTTACACCATTGATAACTTTAAATCCCCGTCACCGCTTACCGACTGCCATGCCGACTGTAGCAGCCGGACTGACACCGAGGCCTTGGAAGAATCGGGCCGCCATGTACTCGCCATATGTCGGAGCAGCAGCGGCACCGCAGGTCGCGACCAAAGCGATAATTGTGCCAATGATGAAGATTATCCTTCGTCCGTAGATATCGCTCAAAGAGGACCAGATGAGGGGTCCGACCGCAAGACCAAGGGCGGGAACGGCAACAGTCCAGTTGACTTGCGAGTAGGAAATGTTGAATTGCTCCTGGATCTCAGCGAAGGAGGGAACGGTTGTTGTTGTGACATAAGTGAATAAAAAGTACCTACAAATGACCATAGTAAGTTAGTTTAACGTTGCTTCACATAAGAGACCCACGGAATTCGTACTTGAACATAACTATGGCGAGGATTGTATGCTTCTGTAGTTTAGACCAGTTCAACGGGTCGAGAGAATCAGAGGTCGGCTGTGGGTGTAACTTGAGCGCGGCTGGTGCTCTCGCCGTCTCGATATCACCCCTCGACGTTGACTCTGGCCCCACCGATTCGATATGCTTCTCGTCCATTGCTGGTTATTCTTGCCGTGTATTTTAGTCCGAAATCTGCTTGACCAGGTGGGCCAGAAAGTATCCGGACGGAACTGAGCGAGTAGCGACCGGCGGGATGTCACTCTGTGGAAGTCTTCGTCTACCAAGTCCGATTTCGTTGAACATTAGATGAATGCAGTTGATCTACAATGTCTTCCATCTCAGAGCATATTTCTGGATTACGACTAGGCCTGGGATGATGTCTGGTATATATCTTTCACACTCCAGCTGCTCGTATCTACTCTGCCTGCGTTGCTTCTGCACTGATTAGATCAAATGATGATGTACATATACCAGCGATGCTTATCTTCCAGTCTAACGAAATGTAGCGCCTGATAGGCAGGGGCAAGGAGAGTCAGTGCCACAAGGTATTCCCAGGAACCTGGATCGAGGAAATGTGGGCCACCTCAGACGTTCCCGACCCTGACACAGACTATCAAGCCACGCCCAGAGACGATAGATATTGATTGTACTCTCCAACACTATCCTGTATCTGCAAATACGCAATGCTTTCCAGTACGCCTTGCAACTGGCCCTTCGCGCTTAGGAGGAGTCGGCTCTCAAATTCCTCTGAGAAACATAGATAACTTGAGCTTGACCACAATGTATATGATTCATTTGGAGCCGTACACACACTTTTTTACTGATTTGCTTAACAGACTCTATCACAGACTCTATCCTTAGACTCGGTCAAGTTTCGGGGTGTTCTGCCTACAGCCAGTGGAGGACTGCCGATATGGCCATGGGAATGATTGGACAATGCGGACTAGGGGAGTAAACACACATTGACCGGCATAGGGGTCGTCATCGCACCTCGGAATCCTCCAGGGATGGCTCATGCATTAATTCTTAAATCCCAACTTGGGAAGGGCGTCATTTTGTGGGGGTGGCTTGAATCTTAGTGCATCCCACGACTTAGGAGTCCGCGGATCGCGAGCCCTGTATGATTGTAGATGTAACTATTTTATTCCCCGTTTTCTCCAAACCCACTAATACACATTGGGGAGAGGCGAGCAGTCGAGCAGAACCAGGGAAGTGGGTGAGTGGCATGGTTGTTATCTTTGACACTTGAGCCGTCCAATGGATTGACAGGAGCATCATCAAGTGTCCAACCAAGATAAGGAAATTCCCTTATCAGCGACTCCATCAGTGGAGAGACTCGGATTTGCCAAGCGATAAGAAACCCACACTCGATCGCGAGAGTCGAGGACGACATGCGCGTATATACCTACCCTTTTCAATTGATCCGATGGGAAAGGGAAAATATTACCCCGGGAGAGCAAATTAAGCAGGTCGGCTCCGATAACCGGTCAACGACTTGCATTTCCGGACTTCGCCGTACTTGACGGCAGTTATGCGCCGAGATGCCCGAACTCCGATACCGATTTTTTGAGTGTAATGGCTGCGAAAAAGAATAGAGTATTATAGAATACTGTTCTGTGATTCATATGTACTTCGTGTTTGATGAGTGTGACCCTTGATTTCTTCGTGTCAGTATCACCTCAGCCTACGAGATTTGCCGAACAGTCAAGCACATCAAACGGTCGATTTTTGCATTTCCTCCATCCATTGTCCCTTACTCGGCATTATCTAGGATATTGTCCGGTAACCTTTTCATTTGTTTCCGCGAAGGTCGTCTTGGAGCCATTCAATATTTTAACGACATTCATAATTGGGATTTTGCTGCAGATTTGTAGCAAAAATCTCAACCTCCTACGATGACCATTACTGGTGGCGAAGCCACTCGGGCGAATGAATACACGTCTCTTCTCCCCAATCGGCATTGCGGTAGCATCTACAGCGAGGATAATAATGCAGAGATTGTGGTACCGGACGAAGGTCAGCTGTCGAGGAAGCTGGTCATCGACGAGCTCACCCTTCTTCTCAAAGGGTCCATCCCCGTGGTCCTCGCCTACACCCTCCAGAATAGCCTTCAGACAATGTCAGTTTTGATTGTCGGGCGCTCGTCGCCAGAAAGCCTCGCCACTGCCGCATTCTCGTACATGTTTGCCATGTGCACGGCATGGCTGATTGGCCTCGGAGGAACGACGGCCCTCGATACGCTCGCATCATCAACATTCACCGGCGGGTCTAATAAGCATGATCTAGGGATACTCCTTCAGCGCGCCTTTATCGTACTAGGACTCTTCTATGTCCCAGTTGCGATGTTATGGGCGTTGTCGGAGCCGGTTTTCATATTCTTAGGACAGGATCCTGAACTGTCTCGCGATAGCGCCCGCTTCCTGACATTTCTAATCCCAGGAGGACTTGGATACGTCTACTTTGAATCAATGAAGAAATTTCTCCAAGCACAGGGTGAGTGCCAAAAATTTAAAGCGCTTATCCCAGTTTTAACTCATGACTAATATCAATGGCCGCGAATAGGTATCATGAGACCGGGTACCTACGTCCTCTTGATCACCTCACCTATCAGTGCAGGACTTAACTACCTTCTCGTCTACACATTCAAGATGGGGCTCCTTGGTGCCCCCATCGCGACTGGAATCTCGTATTGGCTATCATTCGGTCTCCTCGTCCTTTACGCCCGCCATGTCGCCGGCGCCGAGTGCTGGGGTGGCTGGAGCCGCAGTGCCTTGGACAATTTAGGAATTTTTGCACGTCTTGCTTTTATGGGAGTTATTCACGTTGGCACAGAGTGGTGGGCGTTTGAAATTGTGGCTCTCGCGGCTGGAAGGCTTGGCACCATTCCTCTCGCCGCACAGAGCGTCATCATGACTGCTGATCAAGTTCTGAATACTATTCCTTTCGGTCTTGGAGTTGCAGCCTCGGTACGAGTCGGCAATCTCCTGGGCGCAAAGGACCCCAAGGGAGCCGCACGCGCTGCTCATTCAGCTGCCGGCCTCAGCATCCTCCTAGGTCTAGTTGTCCTCGCCGTGCTCATGGCTACGCGAAACCAATTCGCCAAAATCTTCAACGACGACGAGCAAGTTGTCCGCCTTACGGCTGAAGTGCTGCCTTACGTCGCCTTATTTCAAATTGCCGATGGTTTGAATGGAAGCTGCGGCGGCAGCCTCAGAGGCATGGGCCTCCAGCACATCGGAGCCGCGGTCAACCTCATTAGTTATTACTGTGGTGCCTTACCGCTTGGGATCTATATGGCCTTTCATGGATGGGGCCTCAAGGGTCTCTGGATCGGCCAGTGCATCGCCCTGTATCTTGTGGGGATACTTGAGTGGGCTATTGTAGGGCTAAGGAACTGGGAGAAGGAGGTGGAGAAGGCCTTTCTGCGGATGGATAAGGCCGATCATGAGGAGCCGGGAATGCTTCATTGAGCTACATATTTGTGAATTAAACCCGTGGAGACTCACAAAACGTTGCTGCTCTGAAGAGTTTTCTTGACACAATTGTTCTGCGAGTAAGGGACCGGGTTCGTCTTAGACTACAAAATTGATAGGTAGATTTAGATTCTCCTTTGGCCAGTGAGAAATGCCTGACGATGGACGTTAACAAATGCAGGTACATGTTGTAACTAGAGCTCTGGAGCCGCTAAGATGCCGAACTGTATCCTGAAAATTTGCCTAGATGACGAATATATCTGAGACTGAAATTTCAACGTGGCAGGGCCGTAGACTGCTGGTAGCTCAGAACCTGAGCTTTTTTGATTCTCTGTCTTGACTTCTGAACTACTTCGTACTGATTGCCAATTGGCCGAGGGAGTGCCTACATAGGGAGATCAACAATAGGATGTGACCAAATCGGCTTGTCACTGCGCATTCCCTACTGGCATTGATTTTATCGACAGGTCTGATAGCTATCGGTAGCCCTCGGGGCACCTGTTGGCGATGACAGGATGACGAGTGCCGGACAAGCAGATTCCTTGAGAGTCAAGACCCCGCTCAACCCCGAGCTGTTCAATCACACTAGGTCGATTGTCCAATTAACTTCGCCAATTCCTCTTCTCTGCAGCTGGGATACGACCCCCGCTTGCGCCAGTAGTGCGTGCAGTCAACCTGACGACTTCCGATAAGGACCCACGAGGTCATTATCTATCAACCCACCCACCCTCTTTCTAGTGTGTCAACGAAACCGGGCCATTCCTATCGAGCTCATGTTTACTGCCGAGCCTAGTATTTGATTTCTACGGCATGTCATCGTATCTAAGCTTTCTAAACTTGAATTTTGGGCTTCGTCTCTAGAAGTGGCTGGGATCTGGTACATCCATGGCTACCCGGCAGTCCCGTCTCGGCGCCCGAGGGATGCGCAAGGCGAACTTCAGGATTCCGAAAGCGGCCGTCACATCTTGAAAATTTTATCATGCAGGAGAACCTTGGAGATTTATAGGGCTTTTCTACTTCGGAGGTTTTCCTCTTAAGGGTCCTTGCAGCACTCTGTTCCCTCTACATTGCTCCTGGATCTTGTGAGTTACATCAATTGATCTATCCCGCTCCAGCGAGGCATAAATTTGGCACCATGATCGCCCTGACATCAAGCTTCCTCCTCCTTGCCACCACGGTATTTGCTCATGTTGGCCATGATCAGACTCCTATGATTGCCGGTCCTCTCCAGGGTCTTTGGTATAATAGCCTTCCTGGTGATGGCGGCACTCAGGTACGTTTTTGACCGTCCCATTCGGATTGAGTATGGCGAATTGACTGCCTGTGATAGGCCGACTCCGTCTTCTCTGGCATCGCTACTTTTGCCCGCCTGCCATATTTTCCGTGCTTGTCCAGCGACACTGAGCGCTTTGACATTGCATTCCTCGGTACGCTACTGAATTTACTTCGTGAGCCGACTTATTCGGGATTAAGTCTACTGACACGTCCGCTCAGGCGCTCCGTTCGATACTGGAACGTCGTATAGGCCAGGTGCCCGCTTCGGGCCCAGTGGCATTAGACAAGGTTCGAGAAGGCTGAATCTATAGTACGTTGGCTCTGACGCAATGCTGTGCTGACCACCAATGATCCTGTCTAGCATCGGCTAACGTGGGGTTCAGTGGTGGCTACAATGTTCCTCTCAAGGCAAATCCCTTCACCGGCGAGCTGAGAATTCTTGACTGCGGTGATATTCCAGTCACATCGTAATTTAACCCCTGTGTGAACTTCTCAACGCCCCTGTTGGACACATGCTAATCGCGAGTTCCATGGTAAGGTATGACAACACTTGGGCTATCCGACAAATTGAGCAGGGTCACAACAGCCTGCTTATGCGCAAGCCTTTCACCAACGCCGAGCAGCCCGGCCCTTCGCGGGCTGGGCACACCCTGCCTCGTATCATCACCCTCGGTGGTGACCATACGATCACCCTCCCTCTGCTGCGGAGCATCAACAAAGCCTACGGCCCTGTAACTGTTATCCACTTCGATAGCCATCTGTAGGTTGATCCGTTATCTCCCAAGACTATATAGGCTAGCTAACGGAGTGCAGCGACACCTGGAAGCCCAAAGTCTTTGGTGGTGAACCTAGTGATGTCGCCGCCATTAATCATGGCACATATTTCTACCACGCCGCTATGGAGGGTCTCCTCAAAAATGACACCAACATTCACGCCGGTATCCGCACCACACTCTCCGGTCCCTCCGACTACGAGAATGATGGATATTGCGGCTTCGAGATTGTCGAGGCTCGCGAGATCGATACTATTGGTATTGGGGGTATTATCAAGAAGATTCGTGAGAGAGTTGGCACCACCAACCCAGTCTATCTATCCATTGACATTGACACCATTGACCCCGCTTGTGAGTTGCGCTCGGAACATCCCTCGCAAGAATGTGCCCCCAGCTAATGGTGTTGTAGTTGCCCCTGCGACCGGTACTCCCGAAACTGGTGGCTGGAGCACGCGCGAGTTCCGAACCATCCTTCGTGGTTTGGAGGGCATCAATATTATCGGAGCTGATATCGTTGAGGTCGCGCCGGCATACGATACCAATGCGGAGCTGACTACTATGGCTGCTGCTGATGTGCTCTACGAAGTTATGACTATGATGGTCAAGGCGGGTCCTCTCAGCATGTCCCGCTCCGAAGAGTTGTAGATAATGTATTAATGGATACCTCGCTTGAAATGGAAGATGATGAGGTATCTTAGCTTTGCGGGACGTGGAATGCATTCGCAGCAGTGGGGTTGTCTGGATTTCACTAGATATGTACGGCCTATACCCTAGTGGACTGGGCGTTATGTTTTCAGACTGCACTCCAGGGCAAATGTGTGATATTCCACTTTCTACATTCTGTAAGTCTGGAGGTGTGAGGATAAATATGGTGTCGCCTACACGTAGGTGTACCTGCTGTTCGCGACCAATTCTTCTCGATACGCCCCTGAACAGACCATGGCGGAAAGATATAACGTAAATCCAAGCTATTTGGTGCTTCTCACCCATAACTCACTCGAGACTGCCTTGTTTCTTACCGTAGATGACGCTTCGAAATCAGTTGATGGCAGCCTTGTTTACACATCGTTAGAACTCGGACTGGGGACTTCGCGGGGAAGTGGAATTCTGGTCTTCTCGTCCCTATTTCGCGAGTGCCTCCCGTCGAGACACCGAAGCCGGGTCGAAGTATGGCTTCTCCCCAAGAGAAACAACTCTGTTTCCCTGCCGTTTGCCCGCATAGTCGCTGGAAAGCAGTTAGTGATATTGTTCCCAACAATCGACGACGAATGTAAACCCACTTTGTAGCTGTGTGGAATACCGAGCGGCTATCGATGATAATTAGAGACACCATTCAATGTAATTTCGTAGACAGATAGTCAGGGACGACTTACTTGTCCCAAATTGCTAGGTCGTTCTTGTTCCATCGGAAGCGAACCTGCAGGTCATGATTTTCGACAATGAGTTGCGTGACTTAGTTTTTCTCCATGTTAGTCTCTCCACTTTTCCAAACCTGGAGAAATGGCCGCCTTACAGTAATTCTTCAAGATTTCGCTCTCCCGATCAGTCACTCCATTAATCCAACCTGCCTCCACCTGGTGGCCGGCAGCGAACAGGCTCTTCCACCCGGTAACGGGGTTGGTACGGATCACAGGACTGCCACAGAAATCAGGCTTGAGAACATAGAGAACGAATGGGGTCAAGAAAGACTGGGCTGCATAACGTACTGCTCGGCTTGGAAATCAAGACCGGTGTTTTCAGGAGCGCCGCGATAATCATCGATAAGTTCTTCTCCAAAAGTGTCTTTGACTTTGACAAAGTTAGGCTGATAGTGAGTCGCCGTGAGACTTTCGGCAAGCTTCTGGAGGGCTGGGGAAAGGCGATCGTAGGCTTCGTAACCAGAAGCCCAAAGAGTGTCGCCACCAGCATCCTCGGCAGGTTGGACAATTTTTAGGATGGCGTAGTCGGAAGGAATCCTTTCAAAGGTGATGCTGCAGCATGAAGTTTAGAAACCTGTACAGTTTTGGGGGCTGATATAGAAAGGAAAACAATAGGCGGAATGTGAGGGGAACAAACTTACTCAGCGTGCCAGCCATCGCTTGCAAACTTTTTGGAGAGGTGGGTGTAGCGCTCCCCATAAAACTTGCGGTTCTGCTCGGATGAGATTACGGAAACCTCATCGTCGAGCTTTCCATTTTCGTCGACAGCGATACCACGCTTGCTATTTGAGAGGGCATGGCGATGAAGCTGGATCCATACAGTCAGAGTCACGCCTCTCCCAGCCTCTCTGGGTTCTGTCATACCTTGGAGGTTTCGGGCTTCCCCGTCAGTTCACCCAACCTCTGGCCAAGAAGCTTTTGGTCTTCAATGGTTAGATCCTGGTTGCGGAAGAAAACAACCCCCCGCTGGGATACAAGAATGGCCAAATCACGAATCTTGTCGTCGTCATGAAGGATTTCGCTCAACTGAAGAGCGGGGAATTCGCGGCCAATCACACCCGTGGTATCGAAAGATTCGTATGAATCTAAACTGCCCGAATACTTGAGGGGCCCGCTTAGGCGAGACGCGCTGCTGTTGGTCGTGCCGGACAGGTTTTCGATCTTGGAGGGAGCGGAGACAGGAGCGGCCTCAGTGGGGCTCACAACATCAACGTCGGCAGCGGGAGGGGCCATACTTGTCGTTACTTTTAGGTTAGGAGTATAGAGTATATTGTCAAAGTCGCGTTTATGCAGATCGGTGAAGTATTGTGAGGAGACAATGTCCAGATTCTAGAGAAGATTTCCCTTCTTATATTCTTCTCTCGGCCATTGGCAGTCAAGCAGAACACCAACCACGGTCATCACGGAGGCACCATGACTACGATGAGGTGCGATTTTTTAACAATGGCGTCACCAGAATACCATCTAATACTATTTCGTGCTCGTTAAACGAAACTTCACAGGATGTCTTCCAGACCTCTCGAATTATCGAGGCGTCCGAGCCTCTACATTGACTCTCGGCTTGCGGTAGGTATCGCACCCCCTCCCAGATGTCAGGTACCTTGCAAAGAAAACACCGGGGAACCCTCGTCAATGCGATGGCAACATTAAGACATTAATAATTCAGGTCTCTGCCATCTCTGTGCTGGTTGGGGCTCGGGGTTGATTCGACTGTGCCCCGCGCCCCAAAAAGAGTGTTGATATCGCATCATCTTGCGCCATCCGCACCGAATGCAGCAACCCCCCACCACCTACAGACTGACAGATCCGGCGGAGCGCAGGCTTGGCAATAATGCCTCAGGGGTTGGGCGTGTTCCGCCGTCGATCGGAAGCGAGAGCCACCAAATACTCTTGAGGTATTATTTTCCTTGTTCACGGTTGAGGAGACCCACGATCATGGGTCTACTCGAGGACGTCGACTTGGCCCGAGGTTTTTCAGTCCCGCCTATGGAGCGGCCTGGTTCATGTCAGGAACTCTGAGTTTCAGGCATCTCGCTATCTAACACATAAAAGTTCACTGGAATGAATCTGGGAACGTCAAAATATTCTAGTAGGGCTGTGTTCACAGGATACAACTTAGAAATGATTGCCTGTATACAGCTCTCCTGTCGGTGACAAAGGCAGTTGGATTAAAGAATGTCATCTGTCCTATCAAACGATGGTGAGGTGGTGAGGTGGGACCTTCTGAAAACCCAGTTATCCTAAAAGCAGCCAAAGGGAGCTTTCCGCCGCGGCTCAAAGACGTCATTGAAAGAGATAACCTCCGGAAACTAGGCAAGCTTCTGCGCCGTAGCCTTTTCAATGCGCTCACCCAGCGTCGGTTCAACGCCATTAAACAGACCTGTAGAGTAGGAAATGTTAGCTTATTCCCCAACCCTAACGGGCTACCAACGTTACATACCGTAAACTTTCTGACGCAGTTCCTTCGAGTGGACGCCCGCCACCGAACTGGCGACGTTATCAATGAAACGCTTATCCTGACCCGGCTCCCGGAGAAGTACGTGCCACAGCATCGTGGCCCGAGTGAAGTCGTCCTTTCCGAACTTACTGCTGTAGCTGACTACCTCGCCGATCCATCTCTCATGCTCATGGGTCGTAGTCGATATAGGCCCGTTCTTTCCAGTAGCGAACTCGACTGGGCGAAGCATAGAGCCAACGTAGTTAGGGTCGTCTCCATAGTTGTCGCCAAAGTTCATGAAGCCGTCTCGTTGATAAGGGCAGTAGACTGGGCACCTTGCTCGGTTGGTAGCGAGCATCTGGTAGTTTGTGCCCAGACGATACCGGGCAGCGTCGGGGTATGCGAACATGCGAGCTTGGAGCACTATGACAGAATTAGCGTAGCTCCACAATGTTCTTGGGGAGGATGGAGAGGGACGTACTGGGATCAGCTGATGGCGCCCAACCCGGGACAATGTTCGAAGGCGAAAAAGCCGCCTGCTCGATGTCTACGAAGTAGTTCTTTGGCTATTGGCCTTTAGCATCTGCAAAAGTTTCAGCTATTCTGTCGCTACTTACGTTTTCGTTTAGCGTGAGAACGCCCACTTCACGGAGCGGGTAATCCTTATGCGGCCAGACCTTAGTCATGTCGAAGATGTTCCACCTGTAATTCTCTGCATCCTTCGGGTCCATGACCTGGAATGGGATGGTCCACTTGGGGTAGGCTCCCCTCTCGATGGCATCATACAGATCTTGGACAAGATGGTCCGGGTTATCACCAGCGACCTTCTTCGCAGTTGAAGCGTCAAATGTCTTGTTGCCCAACTGCGTCTTGATGTGGACCTTGATATACTTAAACGAGCCGTCCTCCTTGATCAGCTTGTACGTGTACCCGCTGAAGGCGTGCATATGACGGAGGGAGGCGGGGACGCCGCGGTCGCTGAACAAGTGCATAAGCTGATGGATGCTCTCTGGGTTGCCGACGTGGAAGCTTTATGTTTACCATTAGTGACACATTACGATGAGATTTTCAGCTGATATCTACGAGACTCACTCCCAGAACTATCGAGGGCGTTGGTTGTCAGGCATCTTAAGACGTTGGGGTAATTGCTGCACTCACCATGCCGTCGTCAGGCCTGTTCGTGGCGGGATGTCTCTTATGAGAGCGGTTCAAGGAGGGGAACTTGACGGGGTCTCGGATGAAGAAGACGGGCTAATAGCGCAGTCAGTCTCCATGACGATCACGACCCTTGATTATCCACAGGCGGTGCAAAAGAGTCGCGGTGGGGTGGGATAATCTTACGGTGTTGTTAAACACCCAATCGAGATTCCCCTCGTCGGTGTACAGCTTCATGGCCCAGCCATGGACATCGCGAATCGTATCTGCAGAGCCACGCTCGGGACCAACAGTAGAGATCCGGACCATACACTTCGTCTTCTTACCTACTTCCTTCAAGAAGCTGGCGGAAGTAATGTCACTACAGTCCTTTGTCACCACGAACTCGCCGTATGCGCTGCAGAAAAGGGTTAGCCAAGTAGTATCAACCAGCCTGTATGAGGGGAATAAAATTAAGTGAACATGAATTGCTTACCCTGGAGCTTTAGCATGGACGACTCTATGAGGCAAGAAATCGTATTCTGTTAGTGGAAGCCGTAGACGAGAGAACATTGAGGAGATGGATTGAAGTGCAGACGCACCGCTCAGGGATTCGCTCTCGAGCAAAGTGCGCAAGGGTCTCAATAAGCTGAGTGCTCTGCAGCAAGACGAGGCCTCCCGGCTTGTTATGTTCTTCTCGCAACTGGACTGTGTCCGTATTGTTGCGCTGGGGACAACCTGTTATCTATGTGTTAGATAGGACTATCTAGAGCCTAGTCGTAGGGCGAAATAGCTTGGGCCAGCTCGGACGTTTCCTTTCACTTTTCAAGATGGACTACATACCTTCAGCAAGGGTATAAACACGAGGCATGGTGATAGAGAGCTCGGAATGAGGATAGTAAGAATAAGGCAGATCAATTGATCATTAATCCACGGATATGGATGGTATTGAACAATATGTTTGTGGAGGAATGGTAGTGGTATCGAGCCAAATTTATGTTGTTGAACGCTTGGCAATTCGAATTAAGACGTTTGTGATTTGTTGATTCAACCACCAGCCTTATAATTTCATCAGATCACGTCTTCGACAGGATCAGAAGGAGAATATCCGATGCTCATCCACCCCTCCTCGAAAGTATCATGAATTGGCTTTCTCGTCCGGAGGGTCCTCCGACGAGTCGGGGGTCGGGATGGTCGGGCGTGGTTACAATAAGAAACCGATCGGCGGCGATCGGAGAGTTTCTGACGAGATAACGTTCACGAAGCTTCCCCGAAAAGTTAAAACTTCCGAACCCCGTAGAAAAAGGGGCAATAAGAAAGCGGAGAGGCCCCACTAGGATCGTCGATGGCATCATCCCTATTTGCGGGGAACGGTGTAGATTAGATGTGGATACGGGGAGTGACAGAGTTGAAAGCCACAAAGAGCATCAAGCTTGAGCGACGCGAACCAACAATGTAGGGTCCGGCAACTGAGTTTCGAGCTTCCACAAAACGAAAAAGTTTCCGCTACACCGGAAGAGCAATTCTTCACTATACGGGAGTTCGGGAATATTGTACCTATTCATGTAAAGAGTCCTGCCTTGGACTGGGCGGAGTGGTCCCCCAAGGGGCGTTTTTTTACCGGCCTTACGATCGCTGGCCACAGATGCGACCTTGTGGAATTCGATGAAGTGCGTTGCAGGAAAAGCGACAGCTTTGGCGCGTGTGCCAGCCACTCTTGGAGCTGTGGCCATGACTGCTATGTCGGCATGCGTGCCACTGTACACATGCGAACCGAGCACTAGAGAAGATGAGGGCCAGAGGGGGAATTCCCTGTGAGCGATGTAGACCGGTAAATCTCATATCGAGGGACATGGTGTTGCCGTCTCCACCTGGTCCCTCGCGAGTCGTTCAGGTTTGGTGGTTGGACAGGCGACTCTGAGATGCCAGAAGCAGCCTAAGAAACAGTAAGGGGAAGTAGGGGGCTTTTATATTTAACCATATATCTCGAGAAAGCTGTTTTGTCTTAGCTGCAAGCCTCTAAGGTGTCTAGACTTATATGAGATATAAGTTAAAATCTCGGTCTCAATTTGAATCTCGACGGACTCCGAACGTCATCTTCAAGGACGGGTATGCTGCGCGTGCACTCTAAGTTGGATTATACCCTTCCACATCTTACTTAGGCTCATCCCAACTTATTTGTTTTCTAGGAACCCACTCATAATTCTGGTTTAGTCTATCTAGCGAATAAGCTCCAGGATCTCCTCCTCTATTCTACGGAAACAGTCTAGCATTTCCGCCTCTTTCTTAAGAACCTCCACCCGATTTTTATATGTCTTATTATCTAAAACGTCGTATACTGCCTTTCGAACATCCTCTACACGGGGTCTGGCCGTCCCCAAATCCACCCCTATCCCAGAGAATTGGACACGACGCGCGTTTTCCGGCTTATCCTGTCCCTCTCCGGCCGCGACCATCGGCACGCCATGGGCGATTCCATGCGTCACAGCTCCGTAGCCCGCATTATGTACCCATACATGCGCGTATGGGAGTACAGCATCATATGCGAGATAGTCAGCCACTCGGGCGTTAACCGGTAACTCGATCTCCGCCGGTAGAGTGGCGCCCTTTCGACCCAATATAGCAACCACAAGCACGTCCGGCCGCGTCGACAACGCCTTGATCGTAGGAATAATAAGATCATGTGGGTCGTACTCGACTGTCCCCTGTGCCACTACAACAAGCTTCTTGTCCTTAGAATTCGTACGAACTTGGACGACCTCGTCCCACCAGTTCGGAAGAGTACTCTTCCCATTCGGAGGCGGCAAGGTTGGGACGATCCCAACAAACTTCAACAGTGCCGGCCAGTCGCTCCTCGGGTAATAGAAGCTTGGCACACCCAGTTGCAGGATTCCGGCGTGGCAGAGGTAGTTCGCGCCACTCATAAAAATACTGTCGACACTGCGCCTAGCACCCGCTTCTGCCAACTTCGCGTCAAGAAGCTGGCTCAGGGAGGCGCTCTTGATAGCCCACCGGTCCCAGTATTTTTCGTTGCTTTGGCGGCCGGACGGCGATGGATCGAAGGCCAACAAGCACCCGAAAGGTGGCAGGTCAACACTGCGAATGAGAGGAACAGTGACCGATAGGCAGAGGCTTATCGGCGGCTTGATCTCGTCAGGCAAAGTAGCACCGTAGTACATGGGCATCAGCCCGTGGAAGAGCGCCTCGCAAATGATGATGACCCGTCGCGTGGGGTCACGTTTGTGTAACTCAGCCAGGGCGTCCTTGACGCTTTGCCACTGCCCGGGGATAGCTTCCAAGCATTGAGAACGCATGTCCACGAGGGCGCGTTCTTGCCAGGGCAGTGAGAAGTAACCCGGGACGGGCGGGTCGGGGTTGCTGGTGGAGTAGTACTGCAGATCGTCCAGATCGACCTCGGGACATAGCGGGAGGAAGGTTGCGCCGGTCGCGGTGATGCGACACCTGTGAGCGGTCGGCCCCAGGAAGAAGACGGGCCATCCAAGGGAATGCAGCGCAGCAGCCACGCGGATGGCAGGGGTTAGGTGACCAGTGAGCGGGTGACAGAGAAGAAGGATGAAAGGACGTCGACTGCCAGAGTGTCCATCGTTGCCGTGCATGATTCTTTTGCGGACTACTACGCAATGGTCCTTGTGTAAGAGGGCGACGAAATTTAATTGCATGAAAAGAGGATACTTTCGATGTGTGTGATGATATTTTTTACGGATAACGGATAAATTAGTGTGTGAGGTCTTCTTATTAACTTCTTCCTCGTTCCCAGCCCCTCTTTGAATGGGAATGCATTTCGTGGGCTCAAAGCAAGTCCGCTATTGGACGAATAAATAAATGAATAAATGCCCCCCACACCGTAACATGCGAGACTTTGTTCTCTGGGCAACTCCCACCCCCTTGAGATCATTGCGGGCTCAAAACGTCTTCGCCTTGCTACGGAGGCAATGACTGTTTTCTTGGAAGTGGTTGAGTAGTTGGGGTTACTTGGGGGGCTGGCCCCATTTGCAGACGGAAGAGCCCTTTGGTGCGTTGGATAACGGTCGAGTCAAGTTTCCAGAGAACATGCATCCCTGAATACTAATACAGGAAGGTCACCAAGGAAGGGCTGATGGCTTGAGATGGACGGGAGAGAGAGAAAACTCAGTAGTTCAGAATAAATTCAGGAATCTTGGAAATTGATCTTTAAGCTGTATTTCGTATGTAGCCAGCTGTCCCTCAGTGTCCCCAAAATTTAGTCATATTCATAGCACAAATCGCTGATATCCATGACCTCAGCGATAGTCCTATCCTCGACGATGCCGTACATCTCCAGCAGATGGTCCAGAGTAGTGTCATTACCCGGATCTCCAATAACCTGGGGTTCACTAATAGCAACAAAAATTAGCTTTCCCGGACGTCACCTTTACCGGCCGAGGCAGTTAAACTTACGGGACATCATCAGGGCGGATCATGCCCATGAAAGCACCTCCTCCGCCACCACCGAATGGCGGAGCTGGTGCCCCTTCTGGATCTCCTTCTGGCGGATTTTCGGGATCCTCAGGGATAGGGCCGTCTCCATCAGGACCTCCAGGAAATCCAGGGAAATCTCCTGGAAACCCGGGGAAGTCAGGGAAGTCTCCCCCAGGGAACCCACCTCCAGGGAACCCTCCTCCAGGGAATCCTCCACCCAGTCCACCACGATTGTTTCCTCCGATCGCACTCAAGCGAGTTTCGGGATCTTGTTCCTGCCACTTGGCCCATAGTCGATCTAGCCATGTGTGATGAAGCATGAAGAGCGGGTCCCCGGGGCTGGAAATTGGGTTTAACATCTACCGTTCCTAAGAGTCAGTAAAAACTCGGGCCGCCTCTTTTTTCTTCTTTTTTACACCAGGTTCAAAAGTTGGGAACGCACCTGGGCCCCGACGCCTCCGTGACCTGCTCCATGAGGGCCACCTTCAATGCATGGCCAGAAGTCCATGAAGTCAGTCATGTTCATGCACCGCTCGAGGACACTCTCTTGAGCAGAGGTGCTCGCACGATCGCTTATCTGACGCTGGATGCAATGATCACTGATTTCGTAGCCCGGGCCGAGAGGGTTGGTGTAGTTAGCGAACGGCCCGTCCTGGATGCACTGGGAGTCGCCAACACCATTGCCCCCAAAGCCGAGTTCGGGGTCAAAGAGTATAGATTTCGAGAATGCCCCAGCGTCAAGCTCTTCTGCCCAGTATCTATTTATCGCGTTAATTTCCTTCACCTGTACCCGAAATATGCTCCGACAAAAGACTCACGGCTGGCCGGCCTCGTAACCGCATTCGGTTTCGAGGGCATACTCATGGGCATACACAAAGAGGCGGTGAAACGGAAGAAATTGACCCTACTCAGCGGTATGCGGACCAAAATTAGCAAAATCGTGAAACGCAAAAAGGCGGCTCTCATACAACGAAGTGAGCGATTTCGGCCTGGAGGACATGAATGGCTTGGAAGTCGTCAAATTTTGTCCTGCTACCACGAAGGTCGCTGGTGGAAGGCGTGTTCATCAGGCAGAGTTCGGCTTCGATGTATGTCTGCTTCTCCTCGTCAGAGAGTGAGTGCCTGAGCAAGCGAGATACCATCAGTATACGTTGATCCACCTGTTATCCTCTTCCCTTTCGTGTTAGAGTCTTACCAAGAGCGTCGTTTCTTAGTAGATGTACAGGCAGCGGTCTCCTGTCTTTCCTGGATGGCCGGCGCCCCAAGGGCAGTGCCGGCGGCCAAGAAGCTCACGACTAGGTTGCGCAGCGAAAGAGCCATAGTTCGTGGAATCGCCCAATGAGCTTGGCTTGCCAATCTGGAATAGTCGAGAGGGAGTTCTCGAATCCATCGTGACTCGATATCGCACCTGCCCTGGGGATATATACTGTCGCAGTTTAGCAGAGAAGATAAACGATGCACTATTAATAGCGGTTATTATCCTCTTGATGAGTAACGCGTAATTAGCGACCATGCGATTCGCCGGGCAGTATTATTAGCGAACGTAATTATCCTTGCTGTCGAGAAGCCTCGTGGGCCACGTCATTTTAATCAATATATTCAGCAAAGAGAAGACGTTCGCTTTTCATATTCATTCTTCCAAGCAGACAGACGAACTGTTCCGCGACGGCCACGCGGCTTAATATGGATCGTGGTTGGAGGGAATAATGGGTATTATATCATCCCCCGTTATATGTCAAGTTTTCACAAACCGAAGAAGCTGGGAAGCAAAAACAACAGTCGTTGTCGGGTCAAAATAACGTTTGATTCAGTCGTGACTCGTGAGAGAAGGCAGCGCTTTATATTAACCCCGAATCCTGTATTCAGGATTACCAGGAACCCGTGCTCTTTCTTCCCGCCCCTCTGCTCCGTTTTCGTCGTCATTGATGTTGAGGGTCCGGTAGATTTTTCGGCAAATGCGAATCTTAACCCCGCAGTAGGTCCACGATCAACTACATCAGCGACAGGTGCTCCTTCCAAGATTTGTTATGCTTTGCAAAAGTCTAAACAGTGTTTCGACATCGTCAACTGTTGGGTTACCTGAGTAAATGATACGTACCCCGATCTTGGCACCCACGCGTCCCTCTTCGCCTGGCCGGTTAATGTGTGAATTGAAATCGAGTCTCCTCTTCACCTTGTCAGTCGTCATCTCAGGGTGGTGATGCTGCTGTTCGTGATAATACATGACATGCCATTCTTGTCTTGTCTTGGGGAAGTTGAGTCCGGTTTCGCCACACTAATTAGTAGGCCTTAACGAGGATATTATTAGACGCAATGTTCGTCGAGGCAGTGTCCACAAAGTTAATGTCACCACCCTCATAGCGAGGGATGTCGTTCTCGTAGTACATATTTGACGCTATGATACCTCCAGTTGACACATCAGGCGGCATGTAGCTGGCAAAGACGGTCCGAGAGCTCACATTATGGAATTTTGTGAGTCCCCCCTAATAGCCGACTTGAATCTGGTGAGTTACAAAGGAGCATGTTAGCTCGTACCGGGAGCATGGTGGAAGGCTGGGGAGGGTGTTAGATGGATATATCTTACGAGGAGTAAAATCGAAGATCAGTCGGGACCCTAGGCTACCGAGCGCTTAATCTTAGTGTAATTGATGCGTGCATAGACTAGGTGAAGGGCGGAGGGAGCAGCCACACTGAGTTAACGTGGTCATGAATATAATCGCCCCCTTTTTCGGATGATTTCAGCTGTATAAGCAGTAAGTGAGCACTATCGCAGCAACCACATGGGGGAAGAACATTTGTGGGGAAAGCTGTCGAACAGAGTTCCTTGGAGTATTGAAGTTGGCAGGGTTGAAAGACTGTCCCATAACAATCCAACGGCAAAAAGTGGCAGTAGACCGAAATGCTTTAAGTTTTTCCAGACAAATCCGGGCCTTACGGATTGTCGGTATTGTCGGTAATGCAAGTCACCCTCTGGTCCGTTAAAGGTGACGCGGTCAATCATGGTCGTCTTCCTTTCTACTTGTATTGGTTTGTCAGTTAGCACAATAGCAAATGTCTAAGGAGGACAGCTTCCAAGCTTACAAATTATTACATTATATTCTTTTCCCCAAACCTAATGGGAGGTGTGAACCGGCGGAGCCGCATCGTTGTAAAGGCCAACAGTCCGTAGATCCAAGTTGGGTTCATGAGCACCTCGTTAACCGACAGTTCGGAAAGGTACAAGCCTCGAGAAGAAGTAGTAATCTCCCACTAGCGTGTCCTTGGAGCCCCCAAGATGAAGAATGCCGACGACGGGGACCGGGCGGTGATGCCGGAAACAGACATAGCGATGAAGAAGAAGCTGAGTCCCGTTCAAAGTTCACGCGCATGTACATAATATTCTTACTCCTCGTCCATGAATCTTAACTCGCCACGTAATATGTGGCCAGTCCAAAGGGTACTTGCGCTTTTTGGGATGATGTTATCAAAGGCCCGGTCTCCTCGAGCATCAGCACGCTTGCTCCAAGCACTCTCCTGAGATTTGGAACATCGCAACACAGCCGAGTTTATAGGATGTCATCAAAGTGTTGACGATTAACTTCAAATTCAACTGGAGAGCGTCAGTCTTGGAGGGAGCAGGGCAAATGGGATTGCAATGATTAAGTTGCAAAGCAAAGGTTGCCAAACTAAGCACGCTCTGGACTAAGTAGATATAACCCGTCAGCCAGGTCCTACTTAAGCCTGCAGATCCTTGTGGGCCTCCTTAATCATGTCAGCACCCTTTTCGCCGACAGCGGAAACAGAGTTCTGGATACGACAATCCGGAATAATGGGAATGACAGAAGCATCGATAACGCGCAAATTCTTGACACCGTGGACCTTGAGTTTGGGATCAACGACACCCTGGCCAATGTTCTTGGACAGGCGGCAAGTACCAGTGGGGTGGAACGCCGTTTGGCCACGGTCTAGGACCGCGCGTTCCATTTGCTTGTCATCGTCGAGGGGCATGTCCCATGGATATTCGGCAACCACGATATCCTTGAAGCCCTCGCCCTTGGTCAGGACGTCGTAGATGAAGCGAATTCCCTCGCGCATGCCGATAATGTCAAGGTCGTCGGCAAAGAAGTTCAAGTTGATGGCGGGCTGGGCAAGGGGATCGTTACTCTGGAGAGTCACCTCACCTGGGCCAGAAACGGGGCGGACGAGATCGACGACGACGGTGATATGGTTGCCCTTCTTGGGGGTTGGGAAGTGCCACTGGAAGGCCGAGCCGAACATGCAGACAAAGTCGAGCTCGAAATGAGGCTGGCCCTCGGGGGAGAAGGGATCCTTGCTGCCATTAGCGGCCTTCCTCTCCTTGTAGAGCGGATCCTTCTGAAAGTAATCATCAATTCGAGGGAAGCCAAGAGCTCAAGGAGACCAGAGGCCTTCGGACCGGTCCTATTCTTTTGTACGTCTCAGCTGCAACGCTAAACTTTGAGCTCTGACGGAGAAGGTGGTCGTCGGCACCGTAGCCATCCTTGACCTGGAGGACGAACGGGACACCCGGGTGGTCAATCAAGTTTTGGCCAACGTGGTTAGACTCCACCAAAGTCCTGATGCCATATCGTTCGAGCTGGTCCCTTGGGCCGATACCGGAAAGCATAAGCAGCTTAGGGCTCTCGAAGACACCCTCGGAAACGATGACCTCGCGAGTAGCGTAGAAGCTCTGCTCACCACCGTTGGGACCAATAACGACGACTCCCTTGGCCGTGAGGCCAGCGTCAAGGATGATGTTCTTGGCGTGTGTGTAAGCCAGGATGGTGATGTTGGGCTTGTTCTTGACGAAGAGATACGATCCGGAGCGCTGTCCCTTGTAGATGGTATCAAGGCAGTGGGTAAGGCCAATCATTTCTCCGTCGTAAATGTTCTCTTGAATCTTGTGGCCGCGAGAGACCCAGGCCTTGGTGACACGGTCACGGAAGTCGGCAAACTCGTCGAGGAGCTCGGCATGGGAGACCGGCAGGGGTCCACCCTTGCCCACTTTCTGGAGATCCTTAGAGTACAAGCCAAGGTCGTCATGGTATGTGGCACTCTTGCGGAGGTAATGAACGAGGGGATCCCAGGTCCACTCCTGGCCGCCGAACTCAGCCCATCTGTCGAAGGTGGGCTTGCAGCCAGGCACCCAGGTGAAGTAGTTCAACGAAGAGCTACCGCCCAGGACCTTACCACAGGTGTTCGGCTTTTCAATCCTCTCATAATCGTCACGACGGACCAGAGTTGTCTTGTAGCCCCAATCGTAGTCGGAGCCACGAAGTTCCATGGCGGAGGAAGGGGTAGTGATGAGCTCTTCATTCTCAGGGCCACCGCGGCCAGCCTCGATGACAAGGATGCTGACGTTGGGGTTCTCGGCAAGACGGCCAGCAACACGTTGCCAGCGGTGCCTCCACCGACGACAATGAAGTCAAAGTGAGCTCCGTCTTTTGGGGCAGGCATGATGAAGGATATGAATGATGGTGGTGGAAAGGTTCTTGGATTGATTGTCTCTTGACTGACAAGTTTTAATGAGAGCCTGTTTGTGAAAAGGAATCTCGATCACAGGGATAATCTCAAGTTTATATATTGAATTTTGCTTCTAGTTTCTCTACGCCTCGTGCGTTTCCTGCGTCGACATCCTCTACATCGACGTCCTTCACATCCATCTTTGTCAAGCTTTTCGACGTAATTGATGGTAATAGATCACCGCCCCGGCGTACAAACACCCGTTATCGATCCCACGAAGCTTAGACCCAGGGTCCGGGGTGACCATTGACTTTCCCACCTCTATCCCACACTTCCATCCTGTCACTTTTGCCCTCCCTTCGCCCTCCGTCGCTCATCGTTGCCCATCTCCGCATGCTTTGGACTGACGATCCCAGAACTCCGTCGAATCTGTGGCTCCAGCTCCCTGTCCGAGCTTCAGCATTCTCAGCCACGGTCGAACAGGCCTGGGTGCATCCTTTAACGGTGGATAAACCAGCCAGCGCGTATACGAGCGAGGAAACCTTGACCATTGCCTAGAAGAAAATATGTCAGTATCAGTACCTCAACAGCGGCGCATATGTTCTAATTGGGGGAGTAAAAATCTCTTACGAAGGTTCGTTAACTAGATCCAATAAGGCTTGGAGTTTGTCTCCCTAGTTTTCTAAAATTGTAGGCTGCTTGATAGTTGGGTTTGAAACCCTGTTTATCTTCTCCGGTAGTGTTATCGTGTATCAAGGAAGGATGATAAGGCCTCGCTTTATATACTCGCGAAGCTTTTGAGTCTAGCAGCGAATTATTACTCGAGAACCCTGTCAACGCACTCCGAGCCCTTCATTTTGGGGTCACGAATTCAAAGTAGATAGGTGATCCACTTGCAAGAGAATGAGCCAAGGGCCTTCGCTTCCCAAGACTCGAGACACGCTCTTAGCCAAACGTATTGCCAGTTGCTTTCCTTCCCCGTTATAATCGAGCATAGCGAGGCGAACTAGCACATACGGCCATAGCTCGCAGAATATTGAGGGTCCCGTCCGCTCCCCTGTACACAAGCTGCGAAGCGCCGGACTAGTAGTTGGGTCGGTGACGACCAGCGAATCCCCGGTGTTGTATGTTTCTTTAAGTTTTTTTTTCCCCCTGTTTTCCTCTCCTTTTCCCTTTCCGTTTTATCCCCTTCGCCCCAAGTGGGTGAGACGATAATGATCCGTCCTCACGCTCCTCCGTTGGCTTAATCCTACTTACAGAGACCCTCTCAACGCATTTCCTTCTACGTTTATAGCTAGTTGCTTTTTTTTTTTTTTTTTTTTTTTTTTTTTTTTTTTAGATACGAACCTTTGTGCTCTTGACTTGAACACGGGAATTGATTTCGGCGCTTGGTTCCACTATAGATTCTACGCCAACAGGACAAGGTACAGCCGTAGCATCTCTAAAACTAGCTAGGAGTATTGGAAATGATCAGGCCGTGGCACCCAACTGTGAGGCTAGACATATCGGCCAGGATTTGAACACGATAACTACAGCGATTTCAGTATTCCTTAGTTATTCTTACTACGTTTTCAATTTTTTTTATCTCTATCTAGTTGATGGGAATAAATTTTTTACGGGTTGGGTAGAAAAGGGAAGAAAAAAGGAAAGTCTCGATGTTGTTTCAAGATCTAATCTCTAAGAAGGCTGAAGAATTATACTAATTCTCTAAACCGAGGCTGTTGAGAGTTCGCAATGAAATTAACACAATTCAATATTTACGCTGGAAGTAGATGTAGCTCAAACTGATTTCCATAGCAACGACCGACGGGGCAAGGGATCGCTTTTGCACGTCCCATCTTGATTGGCCCTCGCATCTCCCCATTCTTGCCTCCAATGACAAAAAAATACCTGGTCAGATGAGAAACTACTCCACGCTCCTACGTTCCGAAATCCAGAATTTCATCTCCCAGCTTAGGTGGCTACCCAAGAAGCGGATTAGCCCCTCTTTCAGCCCGGCCTTGATTTCCGCCAAGGTCGACTCGCATACTAAACTCATTCCAACTCTGGAGAAGCGGACGATGGTCCACCACCTGGGTATCCGCTCCAAGGAAAAGAGCTTTGGCTTCTTCCCTCAGGTGATATCCGCTCGCGACGGTCATGAGAGTCCAGAAATCATTGTCAAGTCCCCTTCTTCGTGGAGCTATCTTGGCCCACTACTGCACCCCAGCCGCGATTCTCTCCCCGAGTCGCTCCATCGCTGGTTGAGAGGCACTCTCGAAGGAGAGCTACTTCCATCGCTCATCGCTTTCCTCATCCGCATAAATGAGTTTTTGCAACAAAAAGGTCTCGGGCATTATTGGCTGACGATACGCGCAACCAACGCGACGTCAGAGTACGACTGCCCTCGATGGCATAACGACGAGTATTTCTTCGACGGGGAGCCAGAATCAGAGGAGGGGAACTTCGGCAGGTGGATCCACTCTATTCAAAAGGCATTGCTTATGCCTTCCTCGCTCGAGCACGCCACGAACTGGAAATTATGTGGAACTATCGTGGGGCCCTCGACGCTCTTTATTCCGGAACCGCACCAGATGGAAGCCCGCCAAGTCCGGGACCGTGTTCGACAAGAGTGTAGTAAAGACCACGTCTGCCCGTCTATCCGGTGCGTTGGATGTGCGACGGCAGCCGAGGCTGTACGCCATAAACTTGGCGAGGACTACGTTCGATTCGGCAGCGTGCAGCCTCAAAAGGGACAATTTGCTTTTTTCCGCGTGGGATCGACCGAAGGGGCGATGCATTCGGAGCCGAAGATGGATTGTGACCGCATCTTTGTGAACGTTGTCCCTGGCACGGAAGATGAGCTCAAGGCTCTTGCTTCGAAATGGGGTGTTGAATATCCTAGGTCATGGAGTTTTCGGGTCGTGGATCAGAGACGGGGCTATGTCGGAGACCTTTGTGAACTCTAGGTGCGAGCTTATTAATATAAAGCAGCTACATGAGTCCCTGAGCTACGCTTGATGTTGACGCTGGTGAATTGGTTCTGATAGAACCTAACGGCGCTGGCTGTCCACTTCCATATGACCAACAGTATCCGCGATGAGACACAAATGCTGCCACTTGTCAACGCAAAATCAAGAGTTAATCCAGCGGATGAGGTGGACGAGAATGAGTCAAGGCCGTGGAGGAATCTTAGCCACCTCTCAGATTCAAGGTCTTTGCTACACCTCAGCAACATTCATATATCTTAAGATGACTTCACGATGTGCCCGAAGAGTCTTTATTCAAATGTGTCGCTACTGAACTGCTCAATCTCCGGACTTGAGATCAAGGCATACGTAATTGACACTGAACTTGTGCACGGGATCCCTCACCTTGAAGAGAAGACGCTTTGACTCGACCCTTCCTTTCTTCATTCCCTGTAGGTTCTCAATTATATTGCATCGAATCCTTATACCACATGAAAATGTGACACGTCAGACTGCCATGCAGGGAAAGCCCGCGGCGGAGCAAATCGGAAGAAGGGGAATTCTCCACTTCGTCAGCAAGATGCCTGCTCTTATGTTCCTTCTCATATTTCAGGAGGCGGTGGAACTGCACGGCGTCCGCCCCGGTGGCTTTATATCCAACGGTTACGGGTCCGTTATCGTACGCGGTATGGATGAACATCCAGGAAGCCAATCACTTCCGGAGTTATTCCATCCTTGCAGCGGGTCGCATGGATCTGTGATGCAGTGCAACGCCCCGCTTGTTTGAGCGAGGCAGTACGAAGTTCTCTTTGGGGTCTGGCAGGTATCAGGGGATTCCCGGAATGATCTCGCCCAACTATAAAATCGACCAAGTCAGGACAGCCGACGAAAAAAAAAAAGAAAAAGAAATATGTTAGGGAGACAGAACCGGACGAAAACACCTGTTCGTTCTCTTGCACAAGGTCATGATGCTGGCTCATTCATGGCAAGTGGCATCGGTCGCCGCGGGCAGTGTTGCGATCGCCGCAGTTGTGATCAAGTATCTTCTTTCAACTCGACGGCCGAAAGATTACCCGCCCGGCCCCCCGACTATCCTCGGTATCGGAAACCTTCACCAAATCCCTCTCAAACAGCCATTCTGCCAGTTTCACGAGTGGTCGAAGACATACGGCGACATCATCGGGCTCAAGGTCGGGCCAGCAAATATTGTTGTCCTCCACAGCCCTGAATATGTTCGCGAGCTGTTCGACAAGCGCGGCGCTATTTACTCCGGTCGTCCGTATAGCTACATTCCCGCTGAGCATGTTTTCCGCGAACACGGTGACAAGCACATTCTGAATCTCCAGAATGGGGTCTTTCTCCGGCGGTGGCGTGCAGCTGTCGCACATTTTGTCGGTCCCGTCGGTCTCAAGCAAAGCCTCCGCTTCCAGGAGGAAACGGCATCTACTCTCATGTACCGGCTTCTCCTAACAGAAGGCCACCAAGACTCGCTGGACCACATCAAGCACTGGGCCCTAGCCACGCCGCTCCTCGCCATTACTGGTCAACGCCTCGAGGACCGGGGTAAGGCTTTCGCCGACCGGTTTTTCGATGCTCAGGAGAAATGGCTTGAGCTTCTTGAGCCAGGGAATACCCCACCCGTCGACATTTTCCCATTCCTCCGATGGATCCCCGAGAGGTTGGCTGACTGGAAAACCAAGGCACGAACTGTGCGGGAATACATGTTTGAAGAGTATTTCGGGTATTTGAAAACGGCTAAGGACCTGCGTTGCGAAAATGACAATCAAGGAAGCATTGCTGACCTCGAGTGCTTGATGACAAAAATTCTTGGCGATGCGGACAAGGATGAAGGAAAAGGAAAATCGTTTACGGATGACGAGGTGGCCTACCTGGGTGGCGGCCTCCTTGACGCCGCTGTAGACACTACTTGGGCCACCATGATGAGTCTAATCATGTTTCTGACCGCGCACCCTGATATTCAAGAAAAGGCATTTGAAGAAATCAACCAAGCAAGCCCTACAACGCCGCCCACCGCTGATGTTCTCGACCGGCTGCCCTATGTGCGAGCCTGCCTATCCGAGGTAAGAAAAACCAAACCCGTTCATCCGTTTGTTATTGTTATTGCATTGCCGTCAAAGCCATTGTTGCGGGGAGCTGACTCGAGATTGGGACGGCTCGTGGTTCCTAGACATTCCGCCTCCGCCCGCCAGCTCCCAATGGACTCCCCCACGTTCTTGACCGCGACGACACCTTCAACGGATACAAGATCCCCAAAGGGACCACATTGCTTGCAAACGTCTGGGGAATCCAGAGAAACGCAGACGACTACGATGATCCGGAGGAATTTAGACCCGAGAGATACTTGTTACACCCTCTCGGCCTCAAGCCTGGCCTCGAAGCTGCTCACGGGCGGAAGGCGACATACACCTTTGGGGCGGGCCGTAGAATCTGTCCCGGAGAGCAATTTGCAGAGAATTCCGTCCTTATGACTGTAGCTAAACTTCTATGGGCCTTCCAAATCACTTCGCCCGAACCGCTTAATCTCTCCGTCGAAACGGGATTTCACACAGGCTTGGTTTTAAGCCCCATGCCGTTCAATGTCGATTTTGTTCTGCGGGACGAGGCGAGGAGACACGCTATTGTGCTTGATTATAACGGCTCCTTATCTGGGACAGGTCTGAATGCCCACAACAGTCATTAAGGCCAAATTGTTTGTCTTGGGGCGGCCAGGAGTTGAGAAAATGGAATACCTGAAGTAAAGCCGAGTGTCTGGGTTTGAGGTCATTTATTACCCCAGAGCCGGACCCTCGGTTTTGGCCTCCTTGGCTAAAATCCAAATAGATTGCAAGGCGAAGATCATATTCGGCTCTTCTTCTATACACATTTTTCGGGGGCCAAATCCCGCGATTCCCGTCCCAAAGTAGTGAGTCTCACATCGAGTGCAAGAATCTCGTCGCGACAAACATGAACGCGACGAAAAAAAAAATGGATCGGGAACCCTGGAAATATAGCTCTAACGCATGGAGTCTATGATGATTAACTGGTTTATATTAATGTTCTCTTCTCCCTCCTCGAATTAAGCCCTCTAGTGAGCCTAACCTAACTGTGGCTAATATGTGTGTGTGTGTGAGCGATGTGGCTAGCATGTGTCGAAGCTTCTATTCGGCGTGGTGTTGCACTTTGGCTTTTTGCATGGAAACTTCTAAACTCGACCCAGTTGATGATGCGGATGCCTGTATCCAAAAAATAAAAGAAACAAGAGAACGTAAAAGTGACGAAAATATAACACCCTCCCTCCCCATTCTGCACTGCGCTCGACCCTGTCGATGGAACAATAACTCGAGGAAGGCGATGCACTATCCGAGATCCCGGATTTATCAGAAGTCCCATAGCGTGCCGAATGCATGTAGGCCGGCTGCGAATTAGATTTCGTCAGACCATCAAGTATACCCTTGAAAAATACCGGGGACCCTATGACGAGAGGAGGGTGTGAAGACATACCTGCGGCGCAACCTTGCATCATCTCATCGTTGCCCTGCATGTTTGAGGTGATGAAGATAACCTCCGCTCCGAAGCTGTGCCATGTATCGACGAGGAGTTTGACAGTATCGGGCCGTCCGCCTCGTTTCTTCGAGTCCCAGAGGATCATTCGCTCGGGCTCGATGTGTTTATGGATTAAGCCCGAAATAGTCGGTCCGAAAGTCCTCTCCTGATCGGAGCCAATCCAAATGAGGAACCTAGAAAGAATGTCAGAGAGATCATCGCCACGGAAGATAATAAACATGACATACCAATTTGGACTCTGGATGCAAGTAGAAAGGGCAGCCCCGATACCAGTTCCGGTACAGACGCGGATTCCTCGCTTAAACATCGCGGATGCATGTCCAACACCGGCTGCACCATGTTAGCGAAGGGGCCCGGGTTTCAATGTTGGGGGCCAGAAAGTTACAGAAGACATACCAAACTTCAGCTCCCGAGTCCAAACGGCTTTTGGTGGATCGTCAACCAGCGCCTTCGTGAAATCTCCCTGTACGCCGCAAATCATGTAATGGCATCCGGATTTACGGCCTTCGCTGATGGTTCCAAATGCGTGGTACTCCATGACCGAGGTGCGGCTGATTCTTCCAAGGAGACCTTGCTGCATCCCTCGTTCAAAGCGGAGAATCGCGACTTTGGGCGATGGCTAAAATGCTAGATTAGTTCTATAAGGCTGACAGAAATGGGTTCACTTCCTCTCACGGGAGGAGGAAGAAACATACAATTTCAACTTCCACGGGGACCTTCCGAAGGGTGCACCACGGGATAAGGACGCTGAAGAGTCGTGAGCAGCAGTTCAATGTTATCAACTCGATAGGTAGGACCACGTACAATACTGTCATGAACACAGCAAACCAAAATTCTTGGGCACTGAGCAGCGAGTTCGCATCAGCTCTCCACTGCCCGAGTTTGATATCGTAGAAGTTTCCGAGGATCACAAAGATCCAGGTAGCCTAACATTGGTTAGTAAAAATCTCCTGGACAAAGTAGTGTCGACACGTACTGCTAGACCCAGCCATCCAATGAATCGATGGTGGCCCTCAAACACGTTGTGGTAGTTGCTAGTTAAGCAAAGTCAGCGGCTGCCTACGATACTGCAGGAATCTTGGTGATAAAGAGAACTAACTTTCGAACCCAGGGGAAGGCACTGAGAATGGAAATGAGCACAAGAACGTTCGTAATGATTCCAGCAACGACGACAGTGATATGCTGGACAGACATATGCCGAACGATATCGACAATCTTGAAGACCAGCCAGCTGGAGACTCCGTTAGTGCCCCATTCTCACGTTTGTTTGGATTTCGTCGTTGGCTTACCCAGCGCCGGAGAGGGCGCAGCCCGAGTGGATGCCTCCGACATGTTGTAAGACTGAAGTGACCGCGAGCTTGAGGAACAACGGAGCCCACTAATAAAAGGTCGATCGTTAGGGTATATTTCCCAAGGAGAAGAGGATGGTGGTGACATGTAAACGAAATGGATATACGAACGCTTCTCAATCCATAGATGGCAATGATGTACAGAATTCGCAAAAATAGTTCGTTTCGCATCAGGATGGCGAAGAGCAAGTTACCAAGCACCAACGCGCCAAGATGGTCCTCGGCGTACGGGAAGCGGCCGAGAGAGGCCAAAATGATGCCAGTTAAGTTCAGCGAGACGACAAAAGTGAAGAATTTTCGGTACGTGTTGAACCAAAGATTGAAGCGGATCCATCGACTGATCTTTGGCTTCGGCCTGGCTGGCTTCTTCGCAGGCTCCTCCGGGGCTTTAAATCCTCTCGGCCATGACAGCGATAATTCCGGCACGCTGGTGAAGGGCGTTATTCCCTCGTGGATGGGCGAGAGAGGCCACTGATTCGTGTCGATGTGCAGCGACTTCTTCTTGTCGGAGCGGGCGCTCGTAGGTCTGACCGGCACGCCGTTCGTCTTCTCATACAGACCCTTCTCTGCGTCGTCGATACTCTTGATTTCGTCGCTTGACGCGATAGACTTTTCCTCATACCATGGCGAAGACATGTCGAATTCTTCCCTGGGGGGATGTGTGGAAATAACGAGTGACTTGGAGCCGAGAACGAGAATTTGAGTGAGGACAGGGATTCTTCGGACGAAAAAAAAATGGAAAAGAAAAGAATGAAACCTCGAATCAATCGGGGAACATGCAGAAAGACCTGTGTTGAGCTAGTCTAAGTTGTTCTCCGGTCGCACCAGTGTCGATCGTTGGTCGATTATGGGTCGCAATGAAAATAAAGAATGAATAAAGACGATCTGGTAAGGAGGTCCTCTAGTTTCACTTTGTCGCTCTAGTCCTACAACGTTCCAAGATCCAGAGATCGCAACGTCGGTTCCGACAACCCGCGGGGGCAGTGGATAGTTGTTGCGAGCAGTGGCCAAGACGATGTGGGTTGGGTGGTGGGTTACATGGGGATCCGGGAGCTGATATTCCAGGATCATGAGCAGGGACGAGGCATCCACGTTTAAAGGGTCCCGTTGGAAGAGTAGGACCACGTCCGGCCAACTCCGGGAAGCAACAGGAAGACCCGGGACCAGGACCAGGGGTTGGTCGTGCCCAGTTGGGCAAGTGGAATATACCGAGCCTCCTGCCAAGGACAAATAAACTTCGTTCGCCGCCAAATAGGCTATGTGGAGTGTGGTAGACAGATTTGCCGGCTTGCTCGAGTGGGTTTAGGGTGAGGGACTGCACATTGCAAGGCAATCGCAGGCCGTGTTGGCCGTGTTGGCCGTACTGCCGAGCTCCATAGTCTTTCAAATGTGTCGTCAGATGGATATTTGAAGCGAAATTGTTATTGTTCATGCTCACTGGCTATACACGCTGCTATCTGCTACATGCCTACAGGCTGGCCCGCTGCCGTCATTTGTGCAATTATGTCTGGGTGGCTGTTGCTCCGCAGTCTCTGGCTGAGATCCATTAATGCTCCGATTATCCATATTAACCCCAGATTCGGGGGCGGAATCTGCACCTCCTCACGCTGACACGTGGGGGCCGGCAGAGTAGAATTCCTCTTTTTGCTTCGCTGTACTTCCATACTGAGCTCAGGAGATCTCTACGGTTATCGCTTGTTCGGACAAATGGGTCCAAAGGGGGAAGTATCGTTGCCAGATTCCCCTCCTTGCGAGTGCCAGCTGATAGCAGAACGGCGACATCAATATTGAACAAATCAGTTCACCACCACCTCCTCGATACTGTCACCACCACTACCGCCACCTCAATAACGATGTCTTACGATTTTTATACACTAGACTTACTATATATAGCGGCACTCCGGGGCCAGAGTTGCGTTCTTTCCCTATTTTTTCTCCTTTTTCCTCTTTCCTCTTTCGTATGAGTTCTCCTCCATTGAGAACCTCGATCCCGCCTCGCGTGGCGGTGTCAGGCCCTCGGATTCGGGGAGTTCGTAGGCAAAAGAGAATAAAACCCACCAACAGGAGAAAGTACTGGCTTATCCGGGGCCCCAGACGGCGGAACCGACGGGCCGGGAGGAGGTCACATTGGTCAGTCTTGTCCAAAGTAGGGCTCCACATGTTCCTCGCAGATTCCTGAATGGGATGCCTCGATGTCCGTGGTTTCTGTGGTTCCGTGAAGCCTCCCGCCAACCCAAATTCTCAACCCTCGAGTGAGACTCTGGGCCGCCCACACTCTTTTGCTTGGGAACCCTCCGTGCATTCCCCCATCCCACCCTTCACCCACGGCTCCCTAGCCCAAGCTTCCCCTGCCAAGCCAATGACGTCGAACACAGCGAACTCCGCGGCTGAGCCTTGTTCGTTTGCTCTGCAGATCGAGTGCATCCCCCTGGCACTCAACGCAACCTCGAGTATAATTTTTCAAGTCAGACAGGGCTGGATTTTCCCATGGATCATGGATCTTTCCTCGGCCCTTATCAGAAAACCTTATTCTTAGCGAAGAGATCTAAAACCCTGGACCCTAGAGGTGGTATTCGGAGCATTGCGGAGTCATCCTAGACGGTCCGATAGCCGAACCGTTCGTGGGTCACGGATGCTTAGAACATATTGTGCTGCATCATGTTGTGATCCAGAGACAGTTCTTCCACCATTTGACAATTTCCACCTTGGAGATATTCTGTGCCAAGAAGGAAAAAAAAAAAAGCGAGGAGGTGAGCAGCTGAAATGGGTCACGGCAGACTCTCACCTGTTCTCCCTAACGCGTTAATTTTCGCCCACTAGAATAGGACATGAGGGAAAAAAGGAAGAAGGCAAAAAAAAAAGAAAAGAAAAGAAAAAGAAAAGAATGGGGAAGAAGAAAATAAAAAGTGGAAAAGGAAGAAATAATACGGCCATTTTACCCTAGCCAGCCAAAGCACGGCTGGATCGTTTCACGAAGCAAGCCAAGACAAATTTTGCCACATATCCAATTTATTCGTCCACCAATCTTTTGCGTTTAATTGAATTGTATGATGTAAATATGTATCCCCGGGAGATAGATTTTGCGGAGAAGAGAGGCATTGTCCCCCAATCAATTGTCCCGCAAATCTAGGGTCTCGGCTTAATGCTTAATATGTGCATGAAATACTCATGTTAATGGTCGGTCTCGACTCTCGATGTTCCGCTTCCCCGCCTCTACGACAGCCCAGAGGGACAATAAGGTTAATGGACGTTTTCCGCTTCCATTACTTGTGCCCACTACGTTTTGCATCAGAGAGACGGTGGGTGGTTTTTTCGCCCCCAACGTCTGTGAGCATATCTTAGATTTACGTCGCATTGCAGAAAATTTCAGTCCATCAAGCGTCTTCTTGGTTGGTCTGTCGTAATGCAATGGGAAATTATGTCACTCGTATCTTGGATGAGCAGTGTTCAATAACAGTTGATCATTACATACAGACTATAGTATTGGAATATGTAGGCTTTCCAGTGTCCGCGTTAGAGGGTACTGTACTTTTATAGCACGTGGTCAAGTATGAAGCGTCTTGTTGGCCTTGATATTTAATGAGCTCCTTACCAGGCTACTTGTCCTTACCAGGCTACTTGTCCTTACCAGGCTACTTGGTGATGGAACCTATACTTTAGAAACTTCTGCCCGGAAAGGTGGGTTGCTTGAGACATGTGAAAATTCCAATCGTGGATATGATATTAATACTCGTTCAATAGCATCATATGTTAACCGTCAAATGTTTAGTCCCTTTGTTACGCACCCTATGAGCTCCGGCACACAAATCCATGGCCTAGACGTGATGTCTGTTAAGAATGGTGGGAAAAACCCGCTGACCGGAACGTTAAACACAAGTCGAATCCAAATGGTTGAAGAGATGGAAAGAAACAAGACTTTAAGATGAGAGTCGGGTGCATAAGAGGAAAGAAAAAAAAAAAAAAGGAGTGTGTTCAATGCTTCTCGGATATACCTTGATTCAGTTATTCAATGGACAGATGGCACCCAGGTGTCGTGTCGTATCAGTTATCACCTCCTGTGACACACCCTGGGGCTTTGGTATTCTCGTCCTTACGCCATGTCGGGCTGAGATTCAACGTAAGCTAGCCTACAGAAGTAAATGGTGAAACACTGCTCACAATAACATTCAACAGGAGGGGAAGAGTTTAAGGTGTGAACGAACGATCCGACTCTTAATCAAGATCCCGAAGGATATTCCTCTCATTAATCTGTGTCATTATGGCTATGATACTTGACATCCTTAACGAATACACCTCGCCAACAGTCCCAGCCAGGGTCCTAGTGTGCAAATCTAACTCTTAACTCTATAACCAGCTTTGCTGCGTCATCGGAAAAGAGGATTCTGGAGCAACCACCAAGTTTAATACGGGGTGAGACGGAAGTGTTGCCAGATTCTTGCTATCCGCTTACCGCCGCATTCACGAAGATGGAGGCTAGGTTAACGTTTATTCGAATATTGACCGCGAAAGAAAAGTGAATTCAGCCAGACTTACGAGTGTTCGTCCTCGCATCCAGAATGTATCTGAGCCATCCCAAAATTATATCAAAAACATGTCCAGTCAAGGTGATTCTGACTTTCAATTGCATGCCCTTCCTTGCAGTGTTCTTATCGCGCTCCTGAAGCCCACTGGCAAGCAGGGCTCTAGTATTTTGGGGACGGACACAGTTATCGCGTCATTACGCGACTAGGGTTATGCTAGGAGTGGGCCAGGCGACCGTGCAGAGGTCTCGTGGCACAGGAAAGCACCAATATTTGGCCCAATCAAAGCGGTGTTATTTATTGCCTTGGAGAAGGTGGAGGGTAAGATGGAGGACGATGAGGAAGTCGTCATGCCCCTAGCCGTTGATACCCCGGCGGTGGCTCCCAGGGACGTCTTTCACAGATATCTTACAAAAGAGTCGGCTCGACATTGACTGCCATGGGTAGAACGACTAATGAAACTGTGGCGTTAAAGTCAATAATAATGAGGAATAAACGCGGCGATTCGTGTATTAATATGCATGAAGGTTAGGAAACAAACATTCCCGCAGTAGGGCTGTACAATTTTATATACACAAGCTCCATTCTAGATGCGGACGGGATATCCGGGCGTTTCGTTCAATTGCCCCATGTCGTGTCTACGAACCTGGAGCAGGCCGACTTTCAAGACTAAGCCTTCTTAGATAGGAGATAAATCTCGCCCTCGCTGGCATTATCACTGCCGACGAACAAGCCACGGCCGGCGGGGTCCCAAGTCGATGCTGTGAGACGGAAGCAGTTGCTCATGGTCAAACCGTTAGCAGTGCAGCTTCCCGGGTTGGTGGCGCCGAAGATATCCTTGTATCCCTCTCGGCTGTCTGGGGCAGCGACGGGGTCGTATTGTCCGTTCTCAAGCTGGGTGAAGGGAATTTCGACAACCTTGAAACCAGTGGCAGGCTGACGATTCCATGAGCCGTGGAAAGTAACGTACATGTTGGTGGCGTTGGCGTCGAAGCTGTTCCAGATGGGAGCGCTATGTGCTTGGAAAGTGAGACGCGGCTTGATGGCTCGGTCATTGCAGCCCGCGTCCGTATTGCCACCCTGCGAATTGATGACGAAGTGGTCGCCGGTCTTCAGCTGGCCGTTGAATGGAGTGGGATCCCAGACGGAGAAGCAGTCGGGATAACCAAAGAATTGATCCCTGTCCTTGGTGGGATCACCAACTATAAACGGGTAAGGTGTTAGCGAGCTCTCTGGGAAAGGCCACGGATTGGATGGATTGTCGAAATTAACGAATGGGAATAGGTGACATACGGAAGTTCAGCTTCTCGGCCGGGTTGTCGATATGAATATCGGCTCCATTACGCCTAAAGTCCTACACCAAACGTGTTAGAAGACCAGAAAGCGTGTGCATTCGTCAGAGGGTGGATAAGAACTTACATCACCGCTGTTCTCGACACCCCAGACATGGCCATTGGGATCGGCCGTAAAACCAATCTCATTTCGGAGTCCCCAGGCAAGAACCTCGCCGTCGGTCTTGTAGTTGAATCCGTTGGCCGGGGCCTTGTCCATATCGAAGATCTTGACAATGGCTCGCCCCGTGGCTGCCTGGACCGACTGCATGTCCAAGTTCGAATTGCTGCCGACTTGCAGCATGACCAAGTTGGGCGACTTGGGCGAAACGAGCAAGTTCCGTGTGGAATGGATGCCCGAGTCCATCCCAGTGACGACCGTCTTCTTATTAGAAACTGTCCTCGTGGCCGGATCGTACGTCCACGACATCGCATTCCTTTCGGAGCTAGCATATAGCGTCTTGCCATCTGGGGTAAGAGCAAGGCCATGGTTAAGTGAAATATCAGAGATCAGCATAGTGGAGGCACTAATGCAGCCATTTTCGCCAAAGGTGTGGATCGAAATGCCCTTCCTGGCTTCCGACACGAGCATGTTGCCGAGGGGATCGAAAACGATCGTTCGGACGCCCTGGAGACCCCCGGCAATCTTCAAAAACTGCCAGCCTGGAGCGACAGTGTATTGCGGGAAGCGCATAGCGGAGACACCGGTGCATGTCGTTGGGACTGGGAGCTGCGGGACCTGGGCGACGACATTTGCTGCAACAACCCACAGAAGTTAGTTTGCACCATCACAAACAAACTGGACTTTGCCCACACGGTTGTGTTGAAATACGATAGATGGTTTTCACGTACCGGCGCCGAGAAAGACGGCCACAGCCGCGGTTACACTAAGGATGTGCATTTTGGAAGCCTGGGGCCAATAGTTCGGTGAGTGACAAGGCAGGCGGAACGCGACGCAGTGGACAACGGGACGACAGTCTGGGCAAAACTAATCTTGGCGAACCTCGAGATAGTTAAATAGCTCAGAGAGCCAAGTCTTTGCAAACCCACATCGACGGAAACACTTACTCCATTGCGGGGACGAACCCCTCGCCACGCGTCGTACGCCATTTACATTGCTAGTATTCGCCGGAGAGGGTTCTGGCGACCGGATAGGACGGCATAAATAAATTGGATTGGCTGATGCCGTCGATTTCTCCATTTCGATAGATTGGAACCGTGTCCAGAGGTTTTATGAGGGGGCAAATGAGAAGCTTTAGCCATCAGAAATTGGGCTTCGGCGGCTATAATCTCCCTATATTATCTGCGTAGGTCATCCCGTTACCTCGTCCCGTTTATCATCCTTTCTATATGGACCAATTTCGGCACCTAAAGCCGGAGTGCTCGGATCCAGAAAACCAGCCGCCGATTCTGCGACCACAAGTGGCAATGTGATTCCCAATAGAAGCTGTGTGGCTTCAGTAACCATTGTCCATGACTGCATACTGCGAGGGCCGAGCGACGGGTCTCGGATATCGGAATCCCTAAGACGTTATGACTTGTATCAAGATGTTTTTCGATATAAAGGCCGCCACGAAATCAAAGTCTAACTTTAATGGATCAATTCAACCTCGGTTGATACATGTATTCTCTCACTCGATTTCAGAATACCTATGACTGGCCACGTTAAAGGCCTTGGAAGATGGTAAAGGATCGTGAGATTTTTTTCCCACGCTTTCTTTTGCGTAACTGACATTGCTACCCCCCAGCCTTGATGTCTTTGTCCGGTTTGCTCAAGTCAAAGAATAGAGGGGCAGGTCCGATTTGGAGCTATAATATACTTTACCGAATTGTAGCCTGAACGAAAGGCAATAGGCCAATTCTAGAACTTCACCTGAGATTCTCCCGAACCCATAATACAGATATTTGTATGACGGAACGGCTTGGGTAAGTCAGCCATTGACGGCGGAATGCCTCAAGTGCTGTGTCGGCACGAGAAAATTAAGCGCCTTCACCGACTCTTCAGTCGCAGGCCCTCTGTTACTATCCTGGGCTGATCAGAGTTTTGATCATCATTGCCTTGGTGAGAGAATATTCATTCCCTATCTACCAGCCTTCCCCTTATCTTGGCATTCCTGTCCGACGGGTTTCTCTTTCCGATGCGGCAGCCAAACTTTGGTTCCTGTCCGATTATCCCCGTATATTGAATTGAGCCCATATTTAGCCCCAATCCCCGTGGACTCCCAGGTGCTTGGAAAGGATAACCCCCCCGTAAATAGAGTATTTCAGCTCTTGGCTGTCCGAGGAAAAACATTGGTTTCTCGAGTCCTAAGAATTAATCGAGATTGGAGGTTTAAGTAAGGCCGCAAGAAGAGGACTGAAACTTGATATAATAGCTAACGGAGACGCCATTCAACGTAGGGTTGTTCGATAACTCAACACTCCGTGTGCGTCAGTAATGATCCGGATCACTCGCAACCCAGTTGGGCTCAGAGACATTCCCAGAAGTATCACAATCGAGATTTCTACAGCACCTATGCTATGAGTAACTATTGGGCCATATATGTCCCTCCATCCACTAAGATCGAATTGAGAGACGAGCGTGAAGGCGCTGTCTCAACAGCCTAGCCGCCGTGCTACCTCGATGAACCCTTCCTCTTCCAACGGTACCCAGATGTCGACCCATTCTCGAGCCTTCTCTATCTCGTCTGGGCCATATACCTCCTCCGCCAATCTCTCCACGTAAATGGTTTTCATCCCACGACACCGAGCCGCCTTCAGATCCCCCAAATGTGCGGCAACCAGCGCGACGTGTTCCGGTGGCAGACCTAACTTTGACACCGTGCCATCATATACAAGGGGATTAGGCTTGTAGGCTCCAAAGTCGGCCACGGAGAAGATAAGTTGGAATCCGTCATCCAGCATTCGATTGAGGTCCTTCAGCAGCTCCTGGTTTCCATTGGACAGTGTTGCCGTGGTGTACTTGGCGTTTAGCCGCCGAAGACCGGCGATGGAGTCCGTCCACGGCGCTAGACGATGCCACACGAGGCTCAACTCCCGACTCTCATCGTCGCTGTAGGCTTCGGAGATACCCCACTCTTGAAGAAGAAGGATGAGGCTGTCATAGTGGTGGGTATCGACGTCCTTCCAAGGCGTTTCCCCTGGAACGAAAGAGGAAGTAAATTTCCTGTACGAGTTGCGCCACTGCTGAGCGAAACCTTCGGCATCCTGGCGCGTGAGTGATTTGAGCTTCTCACGAGCGGGTTCCGTGACGTCTTGAGATTCGGCCTTGGAGGTCCATGATGCCCAGACCTCGGCAACAACAGTCGTCCGCCAATCAACACAGGTGCCAAAGACGTCGAAAGTCAGCGCCTTGATATCTTGGAGGGGTGGCATGTTGCTTTTCATAAACGATACTTTGGTGGCAGGGCAGATGATCTCTGAACAGGGAAACTAATTAATTTTGGGAACTAATGTCTCTGCTGAGCAGGTTGGGGATGGGGTTAAGTATCAACTCGGAGTCAGACCTGTCGAGCAGGAAGCTTGATGCAATAGCACGTGCCCCACGCCCTTTCGCTGCAGATTGCTCAACTGAACCAGTCATTGACGATGACACCATCAAAGGATCTCGGTCATTTTGCTGACGACGTCAATCAAAATGATGTCCCCACAACGCCCCTAAAATGGCGCGGGGTCGGCGGACTAGCCTGTGAGCTTCAGCGGCCATCACACAAGATCCCACTCTAATATATCCTCCCTAGTTTCCGTCGTCTAACATCTCACACCGTTGTTTGTCCATGTTCATCCCACTTAACCCATCCCCATCTCTCTACCTCAAGCATAGGACTTGCCCGGCCGCAGTTGGACGTAAGAATAAAAGGGAAAGTTATCATTAGAGTTTATTGCCTTCACTCGCGCGCACACGCCTCAAAAGAAGCCCGGTGGACCACGAGACATGTCTACATCTGCAAGCAAACAGCTTTCTTGATCTTCCGATTCGTCACTTACAACACTTACAACCCTATTTCTGTCCTAGAGTAGCAGGGTAGAATACGTACGCAGGTGCACGTGAATATATCCTATCGCTAGGTCCGAATTGGAATCATGTGAAATTGCAGTCGAAACCAACCCATCCCACCCCCCCCCCCCCAAAAAAAAAAAAAGGAGGCTCGTAACTCCGGAGGTCGAAGGCCATAAGGTGAGGCACATACACAATAGTAACTTGGTCCATTGGCTCCAAGTCTAGGGACCTTTAACAGCGTACTGGTCAACATCGCTCTCCTCGGAGCTCCGCCTGTCTGCTCCGCTCTATCTCCGAGCTAGTCGGCAAAGGACGAATCCATATCCGAGTCATATTTCACACACCGAGCATCATCTCTTTCTCAACTGCGACCTTGACATTCCATCATTGATCCAAGCGCGATAGCTGTGTAGATACCAGATGTAAGAAGCCGTGACGGAGACTCAAAACCATCATCGGCCATCGTCTGAAGCTAGTCCTGTGAATTCTGTTTACCGCATGGCCGTTTATTTCTCCGCTCGTGGATCTTTGAAACGCATAGAAATCTCCTCATACACTCCAGACAGTTTTGCCAGCACCTATATATGATCGGGTACCCGAAATACCCGCGAGTTGAGGGGAAATGGTGTCTTGATGACCCTACAAAGCTCATCTCCCTGTTCTTCGGGTCAGTCCCGCAACTCTAATGTATATTTACATCTTGTCCGAAGAAGCGAAAGAACTATGCTCGCCGACATCTAACCCATTCTTGACAATTATAATCCCATCGTTATGAACTAATACGATATCCAGGTTACGCCGTACCTTTGTGGTAAAAACCGGGTTGCCGGTGCGCCAGATGGAGGGAATATAAAGTGCCTCTGAAAACCACCCACACGTATGGATTTGCTGAGTTCAACGGTGCAAATCTAACCATTTTTAGACAAGAAAACGAAACAAGGAGAGTTGAACCTCTTCGTGATTCCGATAATGCAGTCAACATCTATTTTATAGGCTACATTTCGGGCGACCGAGTTGACCGGTCCCGGTGTGGGCCCCGCCGGGTCGAGGCCAATGAGAGAGGAAGGCTCACGAGAGGATTGGTCCAGGGTAAAAATCCTGGTGGTTTGTGTGCCCAAGATCCCATTTTAAGGTCCACGGCTTGGTTGCACTGTCTGTGCAAAGACGAGATTGTTATCCTCGCTTGTAATGGAGACGGCATCAGCATCAGCATAACTAGGGATCTCGTCGTGCGCGCATCCGGAACTAGCAATACCCGCTCGGGTTGTTTGCGAAGACCTCCTGTCTACCGTAGTGCTTTGCGTTAAGTCATCCCAATTAAACACCTTGACAATACCTTTTTCAAAGAGGATAAACTGTGATTGCGTGTGATGGAACCACTTCCATGTTTTACGCTGGACAGTAATCGAGGACAATCTTCCGTAATGAGTCTGATTCGGGCGAAGACACGAGGACGAGCAAGCCGCACTGGTGGACAAGAACCTGCCTGATGGGGGATTCGCCTTCGACTCGGCCCTCTAGTAGTAGCTCGGCGCTCCAAACCCCGGCGAGATCGATCCACATGACCCGGAAGCAATTTGATGAGTCCGCGCTGACGACCAAACGTGGTTTGTATGCCCAGTCGATCAGTGTATCGCTGGTAAAGGTTCCTCGGTGCCTGTAGAGTTGGGTCACGGTGTTTTCTGGATCATCGAGGGTGCAAATGTCGACTGTGCCGGTATTTCGCCCACAAAATCTGATCGAATGCTCATCGCAGCAGTATAGTACTGTGGTTGTAGCCGTCCGATAAGCTGACGCGTGTCCAGTGACCCCCTCCATATCGAGGACCCACTCGCTCGAGTCGCTGCGAACTGAGTCGGTGTCTTGATTTATCAAGGCGGAAGGCTTCCAGACGCTGGCCAGGGTCCCTCCCACGCCGATGATCCTTAGACTATTACTCGTAAATACGAGGGCCGTTACGACATCATTTTGCCAGTGGAGAGAGTGTAGTAGTTGCAGTGTCTTGAGATCCATTATCTCTATGCCACCAGCTCCATCGGGGGGGTTGGGTATGTGGAAAGATGGAAAATATGATAGAGACGCCAGCATAGAACTCTAAACCAGAGTGGATCCAAAGTCGGTTATTACCAAACTCTCAGTTCCAACGAACAATTAGTTGTCACTCACCACCCTTCAATGTCTCCATTCGGTGTCGTATCACAAACGTCGCTGAATCCTCCTTTAACCTGTGCCCTCTCCCTCAAACAGAACCCCTCCATAGATAAACACTATTGCCATAGCAGAGACTAGGGTAGATAGGTGGTCATCTCCTGATTATCTTGACTGCTGCAACCAAGGGCTAGACAAGGCGGCAGAGAGACAGATCCATAGACTTACTGGAACTGGTTCACAGCGACCCTGAACCGGCGTTTGACAATTCCCGAGGACATGGAATAGGATGTTAGCCCAGTGGGGTAGTGGGAAAATACCCGCAAGGCAGATGTGGCCTTCGGCGGTAATGATTTTACATTACTCGCTACAATTCCGGGAGGTCTGTCGACTGCCGGAGGGAAAGGAAAGTTGGAAAATGCATCGATTCCTGTAACGTCTGGCAGTGTCCCGGAAGTGTCGCTTTGGGGACTATTCCAGCAAGCTTCGATTAATAATGGATTGGTTAAGCTACCACCTTCCAGCTTCCTGGTAAACCCTATAGCCCTAATGGGTGGGTGACCTATGGTGGTAGTGATGAGAGACAAGCATTCCAGGAAGTGCTACCCCAACATTACATTATTAGTATAGTATGGATCCTAACGGGCAGGCAAGTGAAGCGATGACACCCCTTCTGGCTTGAAGACCGATGCCCTGGAAGGTAACATTCGCTGCCCTTGCATTCTTAGGTCCTCGTGTTTCACCGCCCCAGGAAAACTCTTTCATAAAGTCCCTTACGAGCGTAGCGTTGCGACATGCTCCTGGTAATTGTGAACCTGATTGAACTGCACACATCCGGGTGACCTTCCAAGGGCGGAAGGTAGCTGTATCAAGTCTTCCTGTATGAGCTGAGACGCAATGAAGATTATGACCTCTCCAGGGTTTAGGCAGATCCAGGGGATGCGGCTGAACGAGCCAAGGAGAATCTCGGCATGGTGAGCGCTCCATCGAGGACTGAGAGAAACATTTACCAAATAGCCTAAGAGAAATTCAAGAAGATTACCAGGGCAACTTTATCTCAAATCTAAATTCGCCGGGGAGTCCTCAATAAGTTCCTCGAGTCCAGCATCGGCGACTTACTGATTTTGGACTAGGAGGTAGCTAGCAAATCTGGCAAATAAAAGGCTACAATCGGGGATCTTTATGTAAGAAAAAAAAAAGTATACTTCATCTGTCCTATCTTGGGCGATTGACTAAGAGATATCGAACAGTACAAGAAGGTTAAGTTTTAAGACCCTCATTGAGCGGTTTCAGCCCTGTGCTCACAGCCGAAAGTCCAATTGCCAGAGCAGACTCCCATGTTCCGAAATTAACCTTGCCCATATTGTTCCGGGGAGGAAGCCAGCGAAAATTTCCAGCAGGCACTTAAGAGGCAGAGGGGTTGCCGTTGAAGGCGAGGTAGTTGACGGTGCCGCTGGGAATGCCAGAAAGGAGGCTCTTGTTGGAGGTGCTGGCGATGTACGAGCAGAGAGCAGCGGGGGTCTTCTTGCCGAGGAAGGTAAGGAGGTAAGCGCCAAGGCCAGCAATGTGGGGAGAGGCCATGGAAGTGCCGGAGATGGTGTTCTAAGATTCTTAATTAGTATGTGAAATGGTGAATGAATATTGTGTCCACTCACAGTAGCGGAGGTGCCGCCGATCCAGGCGCTGAGGATAGAGGTACCGGGAGCGAAGATGTCAACAATGGAGCCGTAGTTAGAGAAGCTGGACCTGGCGTCGCCAGAGGTAGTGGCACCAACAGTGCAGGCCTTGGGCTCGGAGGCAGGCGAATAGTTGGCAGCGTTGGCGTTGTCGTTACCGGCAGCGACAGCCAGGAAGACACCGGCGTCGACGAGGGCAGCGGCGGCGCTGTTGACAGCGGTCGACTTGCTGCCACCAAGAGACATGTTGGCGACGGAGCCGTTGGGGCAGTTGCGGGTCTTGGAGTCGCTGGCGACGAAGTTGATACCAGCAATGACGCCAGAGCTAAGGACATCAAGTTAGGCAATTGAACCGACCGTATTCTGGAGAACGTGGGGGACTTACTTGGTGCCGGAGCCGTTGGCGTCAAGGACCTTCACGGCGTAGAGCTTGGTCTTCTTAGCGACACCGTACTTGGTACCGCCAATGGTACCGGCGACGTGGGTACCGTGACCATGACCGTCAGTGTTGCTGCTGTCAGCATAGTTGGCGAGGAAAGTGGCACGGCCCCCAAAGTCCTGGGGAGAGGATCGTCAGCCTGCATGTCATGCAGGTAATTTATAATTACGGGGGGTAGGTGTGGAGCAACAGGAACTTACGGAGTGGGAGGTGTAGATGCCAGTGTCAATGACGTAGGCACAGGTGCCCTCACCAGCGCTGTCGTCGTAGGTGTAGGTGGTCTTACCCGGAGTCTTCTGGGAGATGCGAGCGAGACCCCAGGGAGCACCAGTCTGGGTAGTGTAAGTGTTGATGGTGACGATGGCATCTTGCTCAATATAATCGACCTGAAAAATCCCAAATGCCAGGTTAGCTCATATATAAAAGGATTTATTATACGGTGTGAGGAGAACTCACGGTGGGGTCGTCCTGGAGGGTAGCAAGAGTGTCGTCATCAAGCTCGGCAGCGAATCCCTTGAAGTTAGCGGAGTCGTAGACGTGCTCGGGCTTGCGCCTGAGGCTGTTGATGGCGCTGTGGGTTTTCTGGATGGTAAAGTCACCCTTGGTGGGCTTCAGGACAACAATGTACTTGTTCGGGATGACCTCGGCGTCGCGGGGGCGGAGGACCGGGGCGGGCTCCTCCCTGCGGCGAAGGGTGGAGGGCCTGGCGAAAGCCAAGGGGAGGACAGTGAAGAGCAGAGAGAGCTTCATTTTCAGGAAGGTGTTTCTGGGCGGGCGACTAAGGCTGGATTCAGAGCGAGCACGGTGGACTGTTGTCTTGGAGCTGAGAGCGGTGGCACTTGAACGAAAAGGAGAGTCTATATCGCGGGAGATATGCCCGATATTTATATTCGAATTTTCGGACGATGATAGCCTCGATCGCCGGCCTCTCGAGAGCTCCGTGTAGTTCGCCGCCATGTCTTCGGCGCTGGCTTCCACTGGGGGCAGCTCAGCATGGGCTGAGAGTCGTGACCAAGCCAGGCGCTTATTCTACCGCGCCCTCGCAGATAGAGCATACCACATAGCGCTGTGAGCCAAGACACAGAAGGACTTTTGGTGAACGCCGTAGCAGTGTCAGTCTACAAAGGAAGGTCTACGGAGAACTGCCGGATCTGGGGTATTCCGGATGCCGTGCGTAGTGGAGGCCGATTGCGAATCATCTCCGATGTGACGGTGTGAGACGAGAGGGACTCTTCGCTGTCAGATGTAAACGCACAGTGCTGCCACTCAGACTCCTTATTTGTTAAGAGGTATTGACCAAACATACCTTGGATCATGTGGAAAATCCCGTATATTTGCGCAGGATGGGGCGGCCAAGTGAACGCTCGAGCAAGAGTACCACAAGGATTGCAACGGTGTGATGGTCGGGTGAGTTGCAGCGACGTGCGCCAGCGATGCGCCGTGCGTTTATCTACAAAGGTTCTCGCGCCACCCCTCTCCTGCTATCTCGAAAAAGAAGGTGTTCAGAGGAACTGTACCAAGCAGCCTGGCTTGGAGAAAGTTCCTATGTCACCCTCCGATCACTCGTCGATTGGCCTTCCACTTTGGGATTTATGACAGTTCGCTAACAAGTCCCGCCCCGCCAATTCTACACTGAATGAAGATGTTATACCGAGGTCGTGGGGGTTCGATCTGCCGGACCAGGTGGCCAGGCGCTTTGGTCTCAAATGATACTGCCCACACAAAACTATAGTGTAAAAATACATCACGTATACATTTCTGTTTTATCGGGGACTTTTAATTCTTCATCTCAGATCATAAGATAGCGCACCAAGACCATCCAAGACGGCTTTTAGCACTAACCAGGGGCGTCCCGTCCCTTTTCTTCCTTTTCCCCGCCTTTTTATTGCTTTTTGCCCCTGATGCAGGCATCTGAGACTAAAGGAGCTGGCCAGTAATTTACAGGCCGTGACAATGGTTCCCATATGCACAGATGAGAAATGACAGGAGGAGAAGAAGAGTAATATTTACAAGGCGAGAAGCGAGGAAACATATCACCCCAGACGGGCGCGATAAAAAGCAAAAAGCGGCTCTGCCGTAATTTATCCTCTCTGCGTTGCTATCCAGTGGAGACTAGGACGGCAAGCCATATTGGTCTCCACAGCGGGATCTGGCCTCGCCTATGTACTTCGTACTTTGACAGGACCCATTTCACTCGCTTCTGCAACAGCTAAACGTGCTCAATGTTCTCACTCAGCGGTGTTCATCATTCCGCTGCTTCCAGCTTTGCGTTGCATCAAAGCCCAACTCCCCACGCTGCAACGTCCAGTGCCCTCTTCGAAAGTTCCTTGTATGCCAACTGATTCGTGCCATGCTTGGCGTAGATATTGGCGTAAATATTGGGTCTCTGCAGATGGCGTTCCATTCACGAGGTTGACGTTGATGTGGTCTTGCGACTCCAGGCCCATTGCCGAGGTAGATTTGGATTCTTGAGGCTGGAAGCTGACATGGCTGGCCCACAATGCGGGAAGGGAGGGGACATTTCAGCAGCGGGCCTGGGATAACCATTGGCTCTGTGACGTAGGTCTAGGGTCCCCTTTAATTAACGTATCGCGCAAGACTAGCTCCTCATCGAGAGGTTACAGTGTGACCCTATGGCGCGAATTGTCTCAGTGCTGATTAGGATGCGCGACTGGGAAGTTTGTTGCAGGGAAGTGAAAGAAAGATAGGAGTCGTTCCTGATACGGAATTCATTCCATGTCCGATCTTCGTTCCAACTTCCGAGTCCAGAACAAGTAGACCGACATATTTTTGATACTCAACATGCATGCGATAAGTCGACCTAACCCTTCCCGAATCGATGCCAGGATTGGAAAAGATAGTTCCATCTACCCGACAAATCGAAAGCTGAACAAAAGTCCTCGATTTAACTACGGCGTGCTTTATGCATGGGACTATTCTCGATTGTTCTCGACAACTCGTCGCAGCTCTGATGGAGAAACTCTCAACCTTGGCGGTCGAGGTTTCAAAACCTTCCTGTTTGAGAACGAACACAATTATCAACTTCTTTATTTGTAGGGGAACTGCAGATCATGATCTTTGTGTAGGCATAGACGGGGCCAACCGGGTCCCCGATGAAGAGAGAAGAGTCAGAAGCACGCGATATGTGTGAGAATGACCCTTGCTCACGACCCGCCTCGCGAAAAGTCCTCTGCCTGATCGAAGGGGGAAGGTGTGGTCATCCTCTTCAGTCAGCACTTACAACAACTATCATCCCTTGCAATGAGTCCACGTTCCCGAAAACGACGGAGGAAGCCAGTAAATGCCTCGCGCACAGGACATCGAGTAACCTCGTCTTCTTTTCCTCGTTTTATCGTTTCATGAAATCTATCTGCGTTCGGCGTCCATCTTCAAGGAACGAGGGACGAGGGACGCGAAGGGCCAAGGAGCTATGGGAGGCGTTCTCATCCTAAGCATGTAATGCTTCGAGCCGCAGCTTGCCGGCCATCAAGCACCAGGCCGTCTTGGCTAACCAAGAGAGAAGCATGAGATCGACTGCCGAAGGAGGCCTCTTCCATCACCGATGCCCTCAAATCTCCTCATCGGTGGGTAGGATGATGGTCCCCGTAAATACTGAGAAATCTTCACTCCCACATTTTCATGTTAGGGTGTTAACGACTAGGAGCCTCTATGAATGACACAGGTCCAAGATTCGACAAGTGTGTAAGTTAGCTCGCCGTTTCCTTCACAAAGCCACGAGCGAACTTATAGGCTAACATCAGTGGCTACTATGCAGACGGGGTAATGTTTTGAGAGTTATGCGAGATGATATGGACTATTCCATTCATGTTCTCTCTAATTGGTAGTTGACTACCTCCTGCAACTCGTGCTTCCAATCCTGCTATTAAACAACTCAGCCGACTCCGGTCTTCTTGTCGCTTCCGGATATCAATATATAATCGCCACGTCCACTCTTCGTAATCGGGTTCCCGATAGTTCATCACTCGTACACTCCGGTTCATTTATATAGACGCTGATGAAGCGAGGAGAGACCTCCGCGTCCCAGTCGAATACTATACTCTATACACACCTAGGCCCTAGGAAACGCGAGTAGCCTTTATCCCTCAGCGATCTCCTGTAGGGATAAAGTGTGACTATGTTACGCCTCAAGAATGTGAAAGAGAAACATCAAATCCGATTGCCTTCGGTTGGCCATAACTTGTTAGCCACTTGAGTGCATCAGCTTTTCGCCGTCAGCAGCATTACCAATCACGGCCCCGGACATGGACTGAGACTCAATACACGTCGGCCGCAGTTTCCATTATAAAGTACCTATTTAGAATCGTTGCCTACAAATCTGTTCTTCCTCTCCATCTTCTGGTACCTCGTAGTATCTGTTCCACCGGGTTTTCACATCGCCAGGGCCGAACCGGCTCGCGAAGCACGCCCAAGCACGCCCAGTCTTGATCGATTAGAATCTCCTGACACTCTTCGATTTGTGGCTCGCTCGACTTTAGATGTGTTCTGCAAATCGGGATAGTAGGTACACGGGCCTCCAATGACTCCAGTGGAGGATCTCATTTCATATTAAGTGCTAGTAGATGTGGGCGCTATGAAATGCTGAAAAGGAAATCCGGGACCGCTAAGGATGATACACGTTTCTTACACTCCACCATCGATCATGTCCCTCATTTTCCTTTACCCAGGCTGATGCTCCCAGACAGGAATCTTTCAATTCAGTAGAGGCCAGTGAAGGCTTTACAGTCTGACCCCGTACGCAAAGCGAAGCGTTCATCCGCATACTTGACCTCCGGCGTAATTTTTGCGCACTCAAATGTTCTCCCCTAAACACGCTCATCTGAGAAGTATATGCCTCGTATGAGATACGGGTTATAAGCGAGGTCATGCCGTGACCTAAAGATTTGTCTGCGACCAGCTACTCAGACATTATGAACTTCTACTCGCCGAGGACCCGGAAGAAGAATACTTTGCTGATCTCCCTTGGGGCCAATTATCAGCAAGACTAGATGCTGCGGAGTCACTCATGAGATCCTTTCCCTGGCGGCTATGAAGAAATGGTGAGCGAAGAGGTCGCGTCTGTATTGCAGGGATGTATGAACGGGGTTGGTGGAAATAGTAGTACTAAGACACAATATATCCGATGATAGCGTACTCGAGGTCCCCCCGAAATGCAGCAGCTTTCCACTTTTATCGGCGGCCCATTTTATATATCGGCATTTCGCCATATCTCTTGACCCTGCCAATGGAGGGGAAGCGGAAGAGCATTAAGCAGGCGACACATCATCGCCCTCTCTCCTACGCCACGACGACCTCTTCTTGTCCCTCTTTTCCATCCATTTTCTTTTGTGCCATTCTTTTGTGTCCTTATGACCGGAGTTCCTCTGGTTTATGAGCTTGTTATACGCTTAAGGTATCACGAGCAAAATGCCGTGGAAGCCGTAGAGATGGTGAATATAAATAGAAGCGGCCTTTCAGTGGTTCGCAGTATTAACGGATACCCGAGCTGTCAGTCAATTCCCCTCTCCTGCGGCTCTCCTTTCGGGAGATGATTCCCCATAGTCCGCGCCACTAAGCCTATCGCCGGTCATTCCGGGAAAGGCGGGCGAATTAGTATGAGCCTGAAAGGGTGAGATCTCCACTTCCGTCAGCCAGCTGCATATCCCTTTACCAGATCGGGTGAGAGGGGTCTTCCCCCGCATTTGATCCGGAACATATATTAAAGTATGTGGAGTTTGACGTCAAACAGACGTGTTGCATGATCACAAATTCTCATCGGTTGACTTAAAGACTGGGGTTTTCCCGGTCAACCTGTTCCTCAAACCTAACGCAGCAAAAATTGAATTAATCAACGGCGGCCTTCATCAGCCATGGCTAAGGTGTTTACAAGCGGCGGCGTTGCCATCATCACTGGTGGTGCCTCGGGCATCGGTCTTGCCCTGGCCAAAAAATGCCACGGTTACGGGATGCGAGTTCTTATCGCGGACAAGAATGAAACGTCTCTGGAATCGGCACGCAATGCCTTGAACGGGGATATTGCTGTCTTCAAGATGGATGTTGGTAGGCTTGAGGACTGGTCCGAACTGAAGGCCAGTGTGGATCGCGACTTTGCTGGTTAGTTTTAAATTCCGTCCCCCCGCGGTCGAGTGCCAAGAAGACGGAATGAGCTAAACTCGGCGCGTTTGTATAGGTCGAGTTAATCTATTGGCGCTGAATGCAGGAATGGGTGTCAGGGGGGCATCGTGGGATAATACGGCTGCCTTCCAGAGTACCCTGCAAACCAATTTTATGGGCATCGTGAATGGCATCTCGACATTGTTGCCTTTGGTCAAGCAAAGTGCTGCAGCCGGCGACTACGCGTCCATCGTCATCACAGGATCCAAGCAGGGCATTACAAACCCTCCTGGGAATCCAGCATACAATGCGTCAAAGGCCGCTGTTAAAGCGGTTGCCGAACATCTTAGCTGGGACCTACGAGCGGAAGAACGCATTTCAGTTCACCTTCTCATCCCAGGCTGGACTTTTACAGGCATGACCAACCGCGCCGGGCCAGACGCACCCAAGCCGGATGGTGCATGGTGGCCAGAGCAGGTGGTTGACTATTTGGAAGAGAAGATGAAGGAAGGCCAATTCTGGGTATTGTGCCCTGACAACGAGGTGACAGAATCGTTGGATAGGAGAAGAATTTTGTGGACAGCTGGAGACATCGTTAAGGGACGGCCTCCGCTGAGCCGCTGGAGAGAGGACTGGAAAGCCCGGGCGCAGGAGGGAATTGACGGGATGGGAGACCCTGCCCAGAAATAAAGTGGTCTCGGAAGAAGAACGGAGTGCTTCTCCAGTGCTCATTGGTGTTAGTCCCGTAGCATTGGAAGAGTAATCTGAATGTTTCAGGGAGGTGTCTGGTACGCAATTGAGGATGGAAAAAAAAATAAAATAAAATACTATCGGGGATTGACATGATGTTCATGCCGCATTGACTTCACATGGTACGGAGAGACCCAGCTTGGACGGCAGGTCCGCCACTCTCCCGCAAACTATCGACTCATTTAGTGACGTTTCATCGCCCTAATCCTTGCTCTCACAGCCCTGTTGAGAACCTTTTCTAGTTTAAGGTTAATATTCCTCGTTGAAGGCCGCTCAGGCCGTCCAATTCCTTAGGTCAAAGCGCGGGCGACCGTGGTTATCTTCATGGGTGTCTGCTAGTCGGAAGCTGAAGCCGATCGCCATTCGCTGCGTTGCGCGCCACATTATCTCCATATGCAGCCTTTTTGCAAGGGTATGTTCAGCGGAAAGCCGCCGCGGAAGGAAGAATTGGAAAGAAGCGAGCCTGCATTGGAACAGATTCCCGCTTCGTAGGGATTACCTGTGTATTAAATAGAAAGTAATGTCCATTTCTCCTACCACACATCGTTCTTCAAGTCCTCTCCTCTTATCTATTATCAACCCGAACGGAGGCTTCTTACGATTCCATGGTCTCTAGCAGCCATGAAAAGTACGGTCATCATGTTGAGTACCTTCGCGCTCACTGTCTTGGCGAGCATTAATGGGCCGCTGGAACGCATTCACCCGCGGCAAACCGAAGCCCCTGTCGAAGACTCTGTTACCACACTGCCGAGTCTAAAATCACTACCCGCGAGAACGTCCCCAGTGACGACGGCAAAAGCGCAGGTAACCAATGCTGACTGCACTTCGAGCCTCCTATCCCTCAGCAGCAAGGCCCCGCCACCACCAACAGAAGTCTACGATTTCTCGACAACCTATTACGAGACAGCATCACGCACAGCCGACAACGCGCCGTCCACAAACCGAGAATGTGCGTGGGTAACCGCTCTACCGGAAACGCTGGATAATGGAATGTTGAAGTACATATCGGATCGAGCGAGCTGGTTGTCGCTTCCGGATATTCTTGGCGAGCACACCAATCTCATCAGCCAATGCCCAGGCGTGGAGGTTAACACAGATTTCACAACGTGGTGTCCGGCGGAGTGGAAAGCATATCTGGTGCGATTGACCGAGCGCAACAAGAACGTGCTTAGCAGAGCCTCGGATTTGCACATCTACGCCTGGACAGGAAGCTTGACGATACTGGTAATGCTGGTAGGGGTGGTAGATGGTCTCAGATGATTACCGTGGAATCTGTTTTCCAGACGACATAGTACATAAATAGAAAGGGCATATTCAAATATTAATAACGATTACTTGGTTGAAAGTTATCATGACTCGTGAACGACTACCACATCCGTCTCTAACTTTAACTGGAACAGTCAAAGACAAACTTCTACATTCCGTCTCTTTCTATCTCGGTCCTGGTCCCCAGTCTCTCTGCTGGTCGGTCGCTTAAGGCTATAAAGAACTGCCCGATCAAAATCAACAATCATAACGCGTGATACCTCAGCGTTCCAGAGCATATTCGTAGGCCTCAGGTCGTCATGCTCAACGCCGCACTCCAGAAGCTCCTCTTCCGAGCGTTGCCACTCCTTGTCCATATTGGTATTCCCATAGCCTTGAAGGGAGATAGGCTCACCTCCATACGACATGAGCATCATCCGCGTAATGTGCGCGCCGCCACCCAAGATGTAGTCCCGCATCAGATTAAACTGGCCAAGGTAGACGGGCACAACAGTCCCCTGCAAGGCCCAGAGCCGGCGATATACCTGCTCTTCGTGAGAAAGATGAGAGCGGTGGCAGGTTTGAACACCCTTGGCGACCAAAGTGTATCCATATGGGTGTGCTGTGATTTTGAAGAGGGCGCCAATAGCCCCAAATTTTCCATGAGAGTCTAGAGCCTGGCAGTCATTATCAAGATTTGCATTGAGCTGCTCCCGCACGATCGCGGCCAGCTCAGACGGCTTTATCTGGTGCCTGTCTGAGGGTGTACAGCGATGGAGGGCAATGTTGGGACATTTGTCGTCGAGGGGAAAACCGTATTTCAAACCAAGGAGGCATTTCTGGGTGCAGTAGAGTTCAAGGGGTGGCCGGGGAGGCCCATGGTGGGATCGTTGTGTACCTTGCCCTTTACCTTGGCTTGCTGGAGAGGCCTTCGTTGTAGATTTGGAGCTGGCAGAGGGCCGATGAGCCACACCTCGACGATCGAGTGGGTTTCTAGGAGTAGCACTAGAACCTGGTGCGGCTGAGTCTGAATCGTCACTATCATTGTGACGATCCTTCTTCTCTGGATCTGGTCGACAAGTCGAACCGCCTTCTCCTTCTCTAGTACCTGGTGCCAAGATGGTAGGCTCGATAAGTCGCAGCCGCTCCGTGGTAACAGGATCACCAGCACTCTCGTAAAGCGCTGGCCATCGAACAAGCTGGCTCTGAAATGATTCTTTTTCCTCAGCTGAAAGAGGCGTTCTCTTTAGGGCGAGGAGTATAAGGGATAGTACTAGAGCAATAGGGGTATGCTTCATCAAATGCGCATGCTGATTGAGGACTTTCTCCTCGACGGGCTGGCCATTAGCCAAAGGGGGGAGCTGAACCTGACTTTTAGGCAAGGCGAGGTGGTAATAGAGAATTTCTGGTTCAGTTGGATCCACGTGGAGTAAAATGATGCCTTCGCCCGACGCGACATAACTATAGACAAGGCCGGCGTTCACCATGTAGTGGAATACCTGGGCAAGAACTTGAGCGGTTTTGTTTCGTGCAGACTCTCGGGCAGAGAGGGATGGCGCACGAGAATTCCTTTGGGATCGGCTACTTGCTACATCGTCCCGGGACTCGCCTACTACTGTTGCTGGTTGCATTTTGGTGTAGTGATGAATGGCGTTGGGGAAAATTGTGAGGTCAGAAGATGTTCCATCAAGGGCAAGTCGGAGGACGGTTGGATTGAGCTTGTGAGCGGCTTTGTATTCAATGATGAACAGCTGGCTGCGAACTTTTTGCGCGTTCTGGCGGATACACCACCGATCGGGGATGCTGCGGCGTTCGGGCGAGCGCTTCTTGGAGGGAGACTGACTACTCGAAGACGGAGGGGATGAAGCAGGTCTCTTTGACAAGGTTGGGCGCTGTTTCTGTCGTTGGAGGGGGCGGCCACGCTTAGGTCTGTTTTCTGAGTGTTGTTGGCCATCATCTGCTCCGGCGGTAGTGAAGGTGGTAGGAGTTGGCGACGAAGGAGTGGCATTATCGATCTGAAGGTCAGGGCGACTAATCGGTGTCGCACCCCCCGCCGGGGTGTTGGTATTATCGCCCTGAAGGCTGTAGGGGTTGGACCTGAAAATCACCCGGGTCGTGTCCTGCGGCACGAGCTTCAGATACTGGGACATGATGTCCTTGGCACGCAACTCTATAGCAAGCAACTCAAATGGCCACAGGTCTTGCTCTTGAGCCAAAGGGCTAGGCGATAAATCTCGTCCGACCTGCATGATATCGGATAGACTAGGGAATAGCTGCTGATCCCCGAAAAGCGTACAGAGCGAAATGAAACACTCTTCGTGGAGCTTGGGAAACTCAGTCCAGGGGCGAAGTTCTCGGGGATAGAAGCGACTATCGACGTTGGTTAAGCCTCCGCTCGAGGACAGATTCGAGGACGTTTGCACGGAGACAGGTTGGAAGAGGAGTGAGTAGCAGTAGTAGAGGCAGGGAAGAAACGACGTGCGACTAGAGAGGGCTTCTGCAGTGATTCGAAGCTGCCGTTCATGTAATCTTCCTCGACGCTCCTCTTCTTTCTCACGACGTTCCTCCTCCTTCAGCCGCCGCTCCTCCTCCTTCTGCTGGCGTTCTTCCTCGGTACGTCGTTCGGCATCTTCAGCGCGACGTCTCAGGCGATCCCTTTCTTCGATGATCTGACGAATAGCCTCAGGTGAAAAATCCAAGTCGTCCATGTTTTCGCTTTCCCTTTTATTACTTTGTTAAAGGAAGCGTGTCAATAAATGGGAGCCAACAAGGATGTGGACGGACTTTGTCTTTGTTGTTTGTCGTTGTTTACAAGCGGGGATATTCTTATATCGAAATGCGGGATTGATGCCTCAGGTCCAAACTGACAGGATGGCTTATGTCAGCCATCCTCTCGCTTTCATTTCTCTTCCAGGTCATTCCGAAAAGCACATTCATCTTCATTGCAATGCATGCATCTGCTTCAGACAATAGCTTCCCTTCTGGAGTTCGATATTTGAACGACGAGACTCCCAGAGCTCGTGAAGCAAATCTCTGAGACCCAAGATCATTGCACCTCTTTACATATATTTCGAAGAAGCATGTGAGATGAAAGTAAGAGGAGGGAATTGTAAGCTCTGTTTTCCCAGGAGCTACAAAGTAACACTTTGTGGAGTGGTGGAATTGTGCTTTCCATTGGATTTAGCCTAGACGTATGAATGCAGCCTAAAGAACTAGCCAACCATGCACGATGCAACACAATGGCAGAATGAAAGACCCGGATGACTAAAGTCCTCTCAAATCTGTGATGTTGTGTCCTTTCACTGTCTTTCGATGTCCGAGACAGAATCCCTCGCCAATTTAGCTCAACTCCATCGACGTTGGTATGCCCTTGGCGAGATTTCATGGAACATTCCCGTCGCCATGATCTCGGAGCTTCAGTCGACAGCGGATCTCGGGAAAAACGGCCAAGATGAGGAAAAGGAGGCATTTCTCTCGGTGCCCCTAACTAACGACCATGTTCCTCCATCCACCAAGGAGGCCGCTCGGAGGAGCGCGATCCGGTATGCGCGGCTGGCTTTGGAGGTGTTAATGGCGACTGCCATCGTAATTCTACTAGCTCGCTCAGTTAATGACGGGCAGATGTCTACTTCAAAGACGAAATTGTCACCAGTACCTACGTGTAAGACTTCCTCTGTCATGTTCTCGGGGGGACCATAATCCGTTGCTAACTCTCATCCGTGAATCTGCAAATGCAGTTCCGCGGAAGATGTACACATTTGCGGAAGAGCCGAGGTACCTACATGACAAAATGTTTTTCAATAAGACGGAAACTCTCAGGACGCTTCATAACTGGATCGAGCTGAGCTCTGGTATGTATTAAAGGAGTTTAGGAGGTCAGGCTTTCCTCCGCCAGTCACACAGCTAATGAATACGGCCCTCTCAAGACAGCAGAGGCTATGTTCAGTTTCAGGATGCAGATTCTTACGATCTCCCTAATCCATACATAACACCCGTAAATCGCACCTCGGACGGGCCAGGCTATATGGTATCGCTGTACCATCAACTTCACTGCCTTGTATGTCTCAGCCCGCTATCAGTCATCCCATTAACTGTGCCCACCCATAGCCGCTAACTAAGCTCAACAGTCATATCTCGTCGAGCATTTCCAAGCAGGATATTCCGGCGTGGAATTAACTGATGAAATTGCCCACCACTCGTCTCACTGCTTCGATTACCTCCGACAGGCGATCATGTGCGCAGCCGACACTACTCTCGAGGGTGACACAGAGTACGGCCCGGGCTGGGGTTCAAAGCACGAGTGCAAGGACTACGATGCGGTTCTGAAATGGGCGAACGAACATGCCACAATGAGATGGAGGACGAACATGCCGGACGAGTCAACGCTGTGATTTTTTCAGTTCGGAAGCGAGCAGTCGTGATGCCTTAATCAGGCCAGTAAAGAAAACCCGTCTTTTCGTATTGATGGACACCATTCGATATAAGCTCCAAGTTGTGCCCGCTACCGTAACTAAGCCTAGTCGGTGTCATGGAGCCAGCTGGATAACCCCACGGCCCGAGCCGACCGCCTCATGATCTTGACAACATGGCGGACCGGAGACCACGCAGTCAAGGCAAATCCTCGCTTCTTTTTTCATATCGTCAATCTCCCCCATAAACTGCGTCGTTGAACGAAGTTTTGTGTGACCACACGTGATATAAGTTACATCCGTGTAGGCCGGGTTCTCGCACACTTTCCACATCTTGTCGATAACCTTGGAAACAGACGTGCATTGTATACCTACCGGCGTACACTTTTTCAAAATATTCTCTAACTGACGGCTTTGGGTTTCCGCCCGCGCTTTGCGACAGGTAACGCACATGGCACTGCCTTCAGCCATGATGCTCATGAGAACAGCCCTCATTTTCGATCGTCGTTCTTCCACCATGACTAGTCAAGCAGAAATTAATATATACTCTTCTGTTAACGTATAAGTGTAACAAACTTTCGTGAGACCTACGAATCGATTCCGCGGGGAGTGCCTGAGCAATAAGTCGATCATTCAGAAGCGTTCTATAAGACTCGGCGTAATTGAGAGAGAGTGACAAGCTGTGCTTGGAAAACATGTGCTTGTTGTCCAAAAGATACGCCGCTGCCATCAAGCGGCCCTGATCTAGCAAACTCAAGCTTCCCACGGCGTCGGGATCAGTTTCGCGGTCTAACCAGCAGGTACTCGCAAACTTTAGGGCAGTGGTCAAGTTGTATTTGTCCGCCATTACTGCCAATCGCAATGCCATCTCCGGGGTGGGATGCTCGGTCCCAGGTACGTTGTTGTGATGGATAACGTGGCAGATTATCACCATCGCCTCAGGGTCATCTTCCTCGAGAGGAAGCTCCAAGGACTTGGTTTCAAGGAGCTCCCGACCTTCTTGCCATGTGGGCGAAAGCATGGCCGCAAATACCTTGGAAGCACATTTCAGAACGTGGGACTGAACCCTCAGCCGCTGCTTCTGGTGTCCGACAACCAAGACGACATCACCATCTGGAACAATGTCTATGGTTGTCTGGGTGCTGCAAGTCTCGGTCGAGGCATCCATGACTTCCCGAGCTGGATCGTAATGTGACACTTGTGCAGGCAGTCAAAATAAAGAGGATAGCTCGGTGCTATTAGTTGTAACTGATATTATGTTTCTTCGACGTTGTAGGTCCCCAACGTAGGAAGATATATTCGACAACTCTGCCCTGTCAAGAGAAACTCCTCTCTGTGCCTGACCACAGACGCAATGTCGATTGTCAAGGCTGCAATTCCGTTTGTTGGGTAGAACAGGATTCAGTCACGTGAGAATTTGCAATTCGCCTTCTTTCCTGGTGTTTCTGGGGGTTACACGACCTGGTTGATGTTGGAAATATTTGAAGGGATATGGAAGCAAAACTTCGCTCGGACATGATCGGACAGCGCAATACCGTTGGATCTCACGGAATTCCCAAAATACCACTGTAAAACAGGCCCTTTTTGACGGCAGAGGGTCTTCCGAAGTCGCACCATAGAGAAAGGGAAACGTTTTGGGAATGGGAATTTTCGGCTAGAGTATGTGACGTAGAAACTGTTTCGGCAAGGAAGAAATTACTGGGATAATTTCCACGGAATTGGCCCACTCTTTCCAACATAAAATCGAAGGCAGTGAAGGGCCAATTCCTTCCTAAAAGAGTCAATAGAGCAATGGCTCCTTCCTCAATCTCTCAGATAATGTTCCATCCCGAATATATCTGTGCCTTAACCAATTGGAAGATCCAGGGCATCCTTTGAACAGGGAGTCCCTGATTCATTTTGCTGTTATATATTATTTCAGGTTACCTCCATATATAACCGTTGGGGATAAGGTACGTTAGGGGATATTCACTCGCACACTCTAATCGCATGGATTTTCACCGAGCAGGCTTGGTGCACTTGTTCGAAGAAGTGAGAGGACTGAAAACATTCACCAATTCAAGTCTGGGAAACGTGTACGGTCGATGCAAACTTACATGGGAAGAGAGTCAAAGAAAGGGAAGAAAAGAAAACCTAACACTGAGTCTTGTTAGAGAGTGGGAACTGGGGCTGCCGCACGCGAGAAAGAGCAATGCATTATTATTACGCATTTGTTCTGGAACAGGAGTAAGCCGCATAATAAGAGCACAATCCACCACTCTGGGCGGATCCTGTGCATAACTGGCCAATAAGCGGTTGGTGGCTACACCCTACGATGCGGGCCGACAGGGTAGAGACCGTCTCATTTGACCATCGACCGGTTCCCCTCACCCACATCGAAATTCAGAGCTTGAGAACACCAGCACGGGGATGGATGAACAGGTGCAAGACAAACTGTGCGACTTGTGCCTTCAATTTGTTGGCGATGTGACCAAATTTGACTTTCAGGCACAAGAAACGTACTCTGACAGGTGGATCAAGGACCATCCTCGATACTGGACCGATTGGGGCCATGGGTTCTTTCATCACGACTCCCACGCAGACTTGCTAGGGAGCAAAGATCAGGGCTGCGCTCTGTGCGACGTAATCGAAGCCAGTTTCTCAGCGTCGTCTCAGTCACCCAAATGTGTTGGCCGCCTTATACTATTCCCATTCGCGAGATTCGCTAGGGGAGAACCCAGAAGCTTCGTCGCATCATTCGATGGCAGCCCGGGCTCTCTGGCACAATGGGGTCGTCAAGACCAAGCCTTCTTCTTTGGTCGACGCCGCCCATGGGATTCCGGCGTGTCGACGACGTCCCCGGAGTACCAAGATCGGTGGAAACGGCAGCACGAAAGAGATTTTCCCCGCGCGGTCGCTCGAAGTAGTGCCTCTCGCGACGTCCTGGAGACTGCTCGCTTCTGGCTGCGAGATTGCACCACTACTCACGCCAAGTGTTCCCGAAACCCCGCAATTCTCCCAACGAGGGTCATAGACGTTGGCACGAAGCCTGGGGATGCTCCGGTCCTGTTCGTGACCGAGGGTCGCGTGGATAATTATGCGGCTCTAAGCCACTGCTGGGGAGGCAATATTCCCTGTAAGCTCATCAATTCTGTCCTTGGCGAGTATCAAAAGCGGTTGCCAGTCGACCAATTACCGCAGAATTTTCGAGATACTATTCACCTCACGCGTGAGCTGGGGCTGAGATACGTGTGGATCGATGCTTTGTGCATCATTCAAGATTCCGCAGATGATTGGAAATTGGAGGCAGCTAAGATGGCCGAAATATACTCGAAAGCGGCTGTTACTATTTCTACCCTTAATTCCGACAGGAGCACCTCGGGATTTCTCAAGCCTCGACAAACTAAGGCTGCTGTCGTGAGCTCTGAGTTCACTGTTCAAGAGCTCCTCCCTTCACTCCTCGACACTCTTGAGGATTCCTGCCTTAACACGCGAGGATGGTGCATGCAGGAGCGTCTACTGAGCATGGCATTACTTCACATCGGCGAATCCCAAGTGTTCTGGGAGTGTCGCGCTGGTTACGGGTCGGAAGTCGGCGACTTTAACACTAGCAATGATCGCGTTGGTGTGAGTTTCAACTACGCGACAAAGGAGTTCATCGAGCTTCGACAAAAGTTCAGCCCAGCTACCTTCCAAGGATGCAACACGTGGTATAACCTTGTCACGGAGTATACTGCCCGCAATCTCACCTTCACCGCTGACAAGTTTCCTGCGCTTGCCGGTGCCGCCAGAGTATTTCAGCAAGGATCTTCTACCGCCGAATATGTGGCCGGGCTTTGGAAGCAGGATTTAGCCAATGGACTTGTATGGGGAGCTCTATCTAAGCGGGCTCCCGCGCAGAAAGCCGCTGGATTTAACTTTTGCTACGACCTCGCTTCCCCTACCACGAAGCGTGCTCCGAGCTGGAGCTGGGCTAGTGTGGATGGGCCCGTGCAATTCTACGGCGGCCGCAAAGAAGACCCGGGCATTTACGAAGTTCTTGATGTTACTATGAATGGAGGTTTGGATAACCTGGAGGATCCTCCTGTTGAGGGAACTCTGAAGCTTCGAGCCCGAGTTGCTCTCATGCATTACAAGAAACCCGAATATGGCGACCACGTGGGTTCTTTGACTTTTGAAATTGGCGGTCCGCGTGTCTTTTCGTTTTGCGTGATGGACTTTGACCGGAAGACGGATAGGGAGTGCTGGGTGCTTCTCACGGGAGGTGACAAGCCAAATTGCTTGATGCTCCGGAAGATCCAGGACGATCGGTTCTCTCGGATTGGATTTGGAGTTACATATATGTCGATAGATTCTGAGTATCTCGAACGGTTTACTGTCCAGGATATTATCTTGATCTAATCACTCAACATTGGGAACATTCCCACACAAAGCACTAGGTCACATTTCTACACAATCGACGGATCCGCGTCCCCCAACACTCACTGTTGACTTCACCTAGGGTCTGTACTCTGATCGACGTACTACCAAATCCACAGAATCTTATTCAGTCACGTCAATGAGGCTCTTCAAGAACTGTGAGTTTAAGGATATTGCAAAAGAATATTTTATTCCAAAACTGCCCCGTTCTAAGCATCCTGGTCCCGTGGACCTCTAGAAAGTAACATGAGGGTTCTCTTGGAGCGATCAATTCAATACATGAATGAGATCGGTTAGGATACCCATTTAGAGAACATCATTGAGGGCAATGCAGGGGAGCCCAACGTTGATCAGACCGTTCTGGAAAACACTCTTAGTATGCAGGGAAAGAAGGTAGCGCAATGGTAGTGCATTACTTACCTGGGAGACGGTGCCAGAGTCGCAGCAGGCAGCAGTCTGCTTGCACTTGTCGTTGAGGATATCATCAAGGCCAATAACTATTAAATGATATTAGCATAAGGATATTCAAGATGAAACCGATGGATGGGAAAGGAAGTCAACGCACGGGCGGTAACGGAGAGAGAAGAGCATCCGTTGAACAAGCCCAATCCGCCGAGAAGGTTGGACAGCAAGCCCAGACCAACAATCTCCTGCTCCTCGCTGCAGCAGTTGAGTTGCTTGTTGAAAGAGCCACAAACATTCTGAGCGTGGCCGATGGTCGGGTTCTCCGCATCATTGGTGGTGGGAAGAGCGACGGCAGAAGCCATGGCGGCGAAAGCGGCGACGAGTTGGAAACGCATTTTGAAGAATGTAAGGAGGAGTGGGAACTTGGCTTTGCGCAGAGGGCTGGTGGATTGGATGTGTTGCTGGCTTGGGCTGTTGGATGAGTGAGAGAGATGGAGATGGGGTGGTGTTGACGGTGGGTGTATCGCCTGTTATATAGTTCTCTCCAGGTCCTCGTCACGGACACTTGGCGGCTTGGAAAGAACTGGAGCCTTGGGTGGTCTGGGATATCTTGCGGTGGCGCCGAGATACGGAAACGGAGATGAGTGACTGACGCAAGTCCGTCGATCTCAGCTCCAGCCCGGGAGCGCCACTTCATTCTCCCAACAAGACCCAATTCCCCAGCCTAGTGGTAGCTGAGGGGCGTCAGGTTGGCCACCCGATCCTTCCTCGGTTGTAGTGCTCATTCAAAGTTCCTGTCGATCTGGTATACGCCCGTGTTGATCATTGCCGACTACGCTCGCATACCTCAGCCTCACCCGTCGGTCTGTTGTGGAGGGCAGACTCACTCCACACTTCACAGGGGCGGTGAGATCTTAGGCATATGCGAGTGCTCATGACGAGGCTAAAAAGCCCGTCGTGGGTGTATGGTGGCTTGTGATCTTCACTCGTCTTCACCCTGTTCCATTTTAATTGAGTGCCTCTTCCACACAGATTTCTTTGCTCTCTCGAGGCTATTCTCTGCCTGAAGTGTTGTCTCGTCTCTCAAGTAGGAACTACCGAGTGGCCCCCGAGAGGTCGGGACTATTCCGGGGGTGGCAGATTATCCTTGCTAGGAATCAGGAACCTTCCGTAATAATCCAACCCGGGAAGTTGAGAAGTCGATCACTCGAGCATTGTTTCCGTCGCCCTACTCTTACCGGATATTCGTACGAAGATCTGTCTCGGACTTACTTGCGGGCGGTTGATGTAATTGGTCCTGAATCAGTATCCCACATCCATGGATGCATCACATATGCATGTATATTGAATACCGCGACAAAGGAGCTGGTACTATGCATCGAGATCTCTGCCATGCGGATAGGGACGATCTGGCCCAACAAACTGCTGAACCAGAACAAGTCGTGCCAATACAGACTACACAACCTGCCTGTAGTCTGGACCACCAAAAGGTTAGCCCAAAAATCGACTTACCTTTCCGGGAGAAGGATATAAGTCATGTCCAAAACGACTTCATTTCTTCACCCCAGTCACAAAACCTAAATCAAATCAAATGGTTGATTCTTTCAACGCCCGTAATCACCGGTGTGGCGCTGACACAATTAACGGTGGCATGACTGAAGTCTCGGTTCCTGATCCATCCCCTCTTTTCTTGCCCAAAACTTGCGCTCCTTGCTTTTTCCTGCCACCGCACCAACCCGCGGGATTTCCTGGATTACTATACAGAGGGAGGTATCCCCATTTCAGCTGAGTCGGGCTTGAGCTAACGGAACTCCTAGCATCCCCGTCGGTTGCAGTACTCAACCACCCGGACTCCCCTGAGTGCATTTCCTTCATTCCTCTTTCCCACCGAAGCAATGAGAATTTTGAGACCTGGATATTCCCTCTTTGGCCACCGCCATATGTCCTGCCACGTTTCCTTGATCCTCATTCTACACGATAGTCTTTTTTTAAAAAAAAAATTTAAAAAATTAAAATCCTAAAGGTGGCTGTACGATCATATTGCACTCGCAGGTACTTTAAGACAAACTCATTTGCAGTTGCAGTGCCGCAAGCCGTAGTGAAGGCGTCTACCAGAGATGGCAGTTTACAGTGATGGGACTTACCGATGGAGCCAGCAAGGTGACACCGTTGAGAATGTCAGACCGCCAAGGTTGGGACCGACCTGAGAGGATACATGAGATACAATATTGTAAAAATTTTCATCCCCCCAATGCACCAAGCTTGGCCATTCAAGGGATTGACCACGGCACGCCGCTGCGATTGTCGATCCGGCCTCAAAATGGACAACTATCCATTGATCTTGCCTGGGCGTTAGTAAACAACTTGACTTTTGATGAGTATTTGCGAGACTACCCGTCCAAGACTGACTCAACCTATCACACTCAAAACTCGAGTCCTGGATGGCATTGTTCCCACGTGAGTCGATCCTCATATGTCGTCTCAACATCCAAGACGAAACAAGACATTGGCTCCGCCGAGGAATTCTCCGCTTAAGGGGTAGAACGTCATGGGGTCTAGGATTAAGTCCCCGTCATTGCCCCGCTGTTTCCGATGGCAAAGCGAAGAAGAGGAAAGACATGGACGCAAAGAGGTGGTGATCTTCTTTGGACACTGAAACTGTTTGAGACAAGACCGCAGACGCTGGCAATGCAAAGTGCCGACGTAACAATACCGACCAGAATGAAAGAGAAAAAAAAGAACGTGGGGATGGAAAGAGCAAACTCGCCTACACGAACATACATGAGTACCAACGCTTTACGGTGAGGGAATTGTCCGTCCCTCTCGCTCAACCCGTGGACGTCGTATTGCGAGCGATCAACACAGAATCGCCGAGATCATCAGAAACAATTGGAAATGCCCATCTTACAATCGACAGAAAGGGATGAGGATAGAGAGATGCCAATGTTTTAAGGGAAGAGATGAGTCCTTCCCGAGGTCCGCATCCAACCAAATGATCGCCATCAAGGCAAGGCGTGTGGAGCGAATGCGCAGTGCCGTTTGGCCACCACCATGCCCTCCCAACATCTTTGGCAAATTGGGAATAAGTTGGACCCCCTACTTTCGGCCACCCCCCCCTTTCGGCCACCCTTTTCCCATACAAAATAGCGATTTGCAGGGGTCTATATCTCCACCAATCCTGTATATATAATAATAAAATTTTATATATAGCTTCTTTTCATAGCTACTAGCTAGGAAAAAAATATAAACTTGAAATTTAGCAAAAGGGTGGTGTGTAGTAGATAGTTAAAGTACGCCTATATAAATTATATATAAATTAAAACTAATATAATTATAGTAATAAGAGATATTATATAATCAAAAAATATATAATTAATTTTATAAAAAATTATCTTTTAAAAAGTATTATTTTTTATTTTATAAGTATTTTTAAGCTAGAGTATTATAGTAACTACTTTTCCCTATATAAAATTTACTAGAAAAAAAAATTACTCCCTAGAATTAAATATTAAAAAAATACTATAGCTTAGTTCTTTCTATTATATAATCTTACTTATATTATAATACTATATTATAAATTATATTATCTATAATCTATTTATTATAAAGTTATTTAAGTTTTATATTTATATATAATTTATATAGGCGTACTTTAACTATCTACTATACACTACCCTTTTACTGAATTTCATATTTGAATTTTTTTCTGCAATAGCCTTATAAGAAATAAGCTATATACAAAATTTTATTATTGTATTTAAAGAATTGGTGGAGATATAGGCCTTAAAAAACTGTAACTTTTTGCTATTTTTGGTGGGAAGTGGGGTGGCCGAAAGGGGGGGGTGGCCGAAAGTAGGGGGTCCAACTTATGGGTTATCCGGATGTAGAAGAAGCCCATTGGCCTCCTAGCACTGGCCGGCGCAAGCCTTATCCACTCCAAAATTCTAGCACTGCTTATCCGGTTTGAATTCCTCCTCGGTCCAGTCGCAAGGCATATCTTCAAAGCTTTTGGCTGCCGCTGCCATGTGAGTCGAATCAGAAACAAAGGCGGTATACTTCGTGGTATGGTTGCCTCGCTTTCCAGCCACACCGTAACGGGCCATGCATCCGTTTTCCGGTGGGTGACAATTTTCTAAGAATGGGATATCCCTGTGTGCGTGACTTCTTGGGGATACCTTGTGGCGGATGGAGATTCGGTTGTCATCATAATGAATGTAACGACCCTTACCACCATCCTTTGCGGGAAAAGTTGGAACTGGGGTCCAACGGTCATGGTATGCATCTCTATGTAGACGGGATGGCAGTTTAAGCTATAGCCCACGATGCACGCCGCTCCGGATGCAGTCTTCACTTACACTATTAGGGATTCCGCCGACTCTTCTTCGGGAATTGATGGTGTGGCTGCCTCTTGTGCTGCCATCGCATTTTGGAGATGCAATATCAGAAGCCCGAAGCTGACTAGTTTCATGGACGGCCGATTAGACATCTGTTGCATAGTTATTCTGGTCAACTATAACCGGTTAGCGAAAAGGCCCTTGACGTCTGTGCACAAGAATGAGTGAACTGGGAAAGAAGCTGTTCAGAGCTTCGATGTTGAACGGGATATCTTGCTGTTATAAATCTAGAGTATCTCATACGATTTAATACGACGCACCCTTGGGGAATGGACGCATATATATCTACGATGGTGAGCGAATCAATGATAGGGCAGAAATAGGGCATCTCTCGTATGGTAATATTGGGTGCGGCGCGGCTTGCGGGGCCTCGCCAAACCATGCAGACCGGGAGGGCTCTGCCAAGGTCTGATGATGTTTCATTCCTTCACGGCCGTAGCATCAATAAAAAATTCTGTCATTTTTTGCTGCCTGATTCGAAATTTGCAACAACCTTGTTAGAGATAGAAAAAGGTAGGACTAATGTATGGAGGTTAACGTTTTCTGATAGATATGCACACCAGCAAGGCCGCTCACTACCCCACGAGGAGTGCATTATATCGAAGGAACGAAAAGAAAAAAGAAGATAGCCCCTGGCCTTCCACCCCTCAGCTTGGTCCATATGTGTCTCTCGTCCAGTGTCGGAACGAGCTGAAAACCACGTCGATGCCAAGGGGCAGTAATATCCACATCGGCACGATCTCGGCTACTTTTGTCGGACAGAACAGCTCGCCCGCCAGTTTCAGATATGCGACGAACACCATCCAACTTCCGACGTGAGTGGCTATCGTCATAGCTATCATAAGCCAATAGATATAGACAAATGCAGGCCTTGTTGTAGCAATGTACTTCCCCCAGCATGGGTCCCAAACCAATTTCTCTAGCCAGTCGGTCGGCTCAGTATCTTCCGAGTCGTTTTTCTTCGTGCGGCGAACTGTCATGATAGATCGGGCGATTGCCTCGAGTATGGCGATGAACAGGATGAAGGCGAGGAGGAAGTTGACGCTGATGAAGCAGAACATCCAAAACAAACACCCCGACACGGTGTGCCCTTTCCCGGACCTCATGCCCCCGAATCCGCAAGCTCGGAGTAAGACGATAAAAGCTGCTAGCATGGAAGCTATCATGAATAGTACGGAAGGAAGAATCATCATTACTGAGCCGACAGACAAGTACTTCAACTTGTCCGTTGGTGCCATTGGGTTGGCCGGAGAAGTGTATTGGTGCCAGTACTCAACTGTGAGATATCCACCGCCGAAGAAAGAGATCCACAAATCGAAGCCCATATCCGCAATTCCTCTTCGTGTCCATCTAGGAGATAGGCCCATAGACCGTAGAAGAAGGCGGGGCGTGGACGAATGGCGAAAAAGACGATTTCGAGGACGAGGTCGCCCTGGCTGAAGTAGTTGGATTTGTTGAGGATGTAGACAGTCAGGTAAGCGGTCAGAAGCTCTGTAACCACAGTCTGAGCAACGGAGATCGCGTCAAGGGCCCAAATCCTTTCCTCGGTGAATTCGATATGTTCGTCTGGTGGCGGTTCTACTTGTTGCATTACCTGGTTTGGGTGTTGGTATGCTGGCGTCCCGTAATATGGGTTCATGTTGCCCGTGTGGTATCCGGGGTAGATCGGATAGTTATAGCCTGTGCTCGAGCTGGTCCTGTAGAGATCGGCGATAGGGCTGCAATGATATTGGTTACCGGGATTCTGAAAGAAGGTGTGTTCCCGCAGCATATTCATATCCTGCATTTTAATTCCGCCACCCCCTTCTCCTGGGCTCTGTACCGGCTTTTTCAAAACCATCCTAGGAGGAGGGAAAAATTTGGCAATAAACAGCGCGATCATTATGCTCTGAAGTATACGTCCTACCTGTGTGATGATCCATGTGCGCGAGCTTGCACACTTGCTAGCCCCGGTGTAGTAGTGTATTTTGGGGAGCCAGTCAACGCGGACTGCGGTGTCAACGACGCATGGCTCTATCTCGCCTGGCTTCTTCTGAATCGTGCAGCGAATATATTGGATTGCTCTGTAAAGTCAGTCTGGTCAGTATAGCGCGACTCTGAAAATAAACTCGTCGTGTACTGCGGTTCATGGGCGACTTCTTTGCCGGCGGAAACCTAACACGTACGCTTCTGTCTGACAGGTCGTGATAGCATGAACGCCCAAGGGCCTCGAACCATTTGCACATATATCATCGTTTTGACCGAGGTCAAAGGCGCAAGTCTTTCGCATGATCTGCAGTAATTGAAGAAGAATTTTATCAGCATCGAGCCTATCACGGGCCGTCTGTATGGCACAACGCATGTTGACGCACTGGTAAAAAGCTAGGAAAGCTGCAGGTATCATTGACGTCGATGAACACTGGAGCTGTGTCAAATGGATCTGAAATACCGAAGGCGGATTCCCATCTAGAATCGTCTGTTAGCGAAGATCAAAGCTGTCTGTCAAGTTTGTCAAACCTTAGAGCCATCCCAGAGGAGGCAACTTAGAGTCGAGTCAGGATTGTGTAAGGAATGGCACTAACAATCGTTGTGAGCAAGATGCCGTCTGGTTCGCAGCTACGAGTCTATGACCAGGCGTGATAGAGTTTGCAGGGCATGCTTCAAGCGCTGATATATATGGTCCGCACACGCGACTAAGCTCCTATTGCCAGATGCGATCTCGTTAGTATGGTATAGCACACCGATCGATGAAACGGTAGTGTGGAAAACCGAACCTCGTACAGAACTGGAGTAGAGAAGCTGCAATTTCTATCTGGTAGTGCTGAAAGGGCCATGGTGATTTACATGAATCTGCCGTCAAATCGGCCTGTGACAGAACGGAATGATGGTCCTCTCGGTTTGGGAAAAAGAAGGAAGGAACAAAGTATAAATGCCTTGCCTAAGCCTGGATTCGAAATACGAGTATCGACGCCATACTTGAACGAATTGGCTCCATCCCTATAAATCTCCCTCATCCCTTTAAAATATAACCATGAAAAATACTTCGTCATAACATGCCCTGGGAGCCAAGTTGTGGCTTGTGTGGTGTGTAGTCTGAGGGCCAGCGATTCTCGTATGACGACAGCAGTGCACCTCAAACAGTCGAGAAGCCAAGGCCCTGGCGAGGAAATGTGTGGCAACCAATATTTCAAGCCGAAAACGGGGGTTTGGCCAACCATACCTCTTCATTGCCCTCTGCCCCAGTCATACAAGCGCACAAAAGGGCAGGACAGGTCTCGGCAACGAACCACGCTGTCCCAGAATATGTCCCGATCGAGATTTCACGTAAACTACCGCCTCAATCATAGGGCAAGCCAGAGAGTCTGCTAGAAAAAAAATGGACAGATAGTAATACGCCAAGAGCCAAGGCAATAATAATAGCGGCGCAGCCTCGCTAGTTTTCCATGTCAGCACAGACGTCATAAACTACCAAGTAAATTTAACTGATAACCTGAGGTCCAAATGGGCAGCAAGCCGACACACCACTCCAGAATTTGGCCGGTTTCGGAACAAAGTTACTCTTTTTCCTTTCGTTATTCGTGCCGGCTGATCAACTAGAGCCTCGGTTGAGCGATGAACACTCTCAATTAATGCCTTTATAACCCGTATATAAGCACGTCTGTATGGTGTGGTTATGCAGACGATTTAGTAGACCGGCCGTGGCGGTCGTCAGGGCTGGGTTTATTTTTTGGTATATGAGAAGCATAAAAACCCAGCCAGTTATAATCAAGCCTCTTTTGCTTCTTCCTTTCTTTCTCTTTTATTCCTATTTTCCCTTCCTTTCTTCTTCTCTTCTTTATTACATGCGACCTGGTGAGTAGAGATGAGATGACAGCCAGCAAGGAATTCATTCCCAGGGAGGTGTGATAGGGTATTTTTATCAGGTTTCTGGGCATCCTTATCTTACGGGGAGTGCTCTTTCTCTCATTATACTCTATCACTCTCATTTTTGCAGGTCGTGGTACAGCGGGGCCAAAGTGATAAGTAGGATGAAGTGGGCCTGCCCAATGTTAGCCGAGTAGTAACTAGTCTTGCAAACATCCCATTCCTTACTCCTTTTCTCATGCGGATTTAACTTAACTGGGCCCTGTCGCATTTTCGGTAATGCCGAATGTCTTTCCGGTCCTCGGGAATTCCGGGTCGACGTCAAAAGAGGGGCCGACTCCGACGACGCTTCGTCGCCGGGCCCCACATGCCGAGATTTATACGGTTTCGTGATAGGCCATGCCTGGTCTAAGTACTCCGGAAGTTCAAGTTGAGGCTAGCGTCCGCGACCCAAATCCTGGCTTGTTGGAAAGGAGGGATCTGGACTAAGACCTCCTCGTCCGTCGATTCCGGTTCACTTGTCATGAGATATATTTCGGACAGGTAAGACATCCACATGCAGACCGAAGGGAAGTCATTCGTCGGAACTTCCGACTTGGGAAGATGCAATGAGGCCGCTTGCATGAGGAGAAGTGCCCCCAAAGCCATTACGATTGACCCGGTACAAGCTCTGCTCACGGTATGGGCATCAATTTTCATTAAATGCCGATGTATGTATACTTGGCGATGGCGGCGTCGATGGCATATTGCGGCCTGGTCGACGTGCTCAAGCCTGCCTCCACGGAAGTGGGTTGTATCCCAAGCGGTGAGAGAATGTTTTATGCCGCGGATCAGGGGCTCGAAAAGAGGTAGTCTAACGCGCGCTGGCACCTCTAGAGGCAAGTTCATGAGCTCCAGCGTCGCCGATACCCGTGCAGGGTCTGCTGGTAACAGGAATCTTGCTACTCGGAGTGTGATGATTGCAATTGACCCTATGCGTTAATTGGCGAAACGGCCGCAAAAAGGGATGTAAAAGAGCGTTGAGGGATGTCCGCGGATGAGTAGACAACGGAAAGGAGCTACATGTGCGTCGAGGCGGACGGAATATTCGGATGGTGCAGATATGTACCCACCCCTTAACTTCTGTCTGGGAGTAAAGCTGATGGGTCACGGAAGTACGCCTATATTTTCGGAAGGGACTTGAGATGATGCGTTGTATCCGGTGTGCGTTAGTGACCAACTTGGAATCTGGAGTTTGAATGATTGATCGATGCAAGCTCTTTTCGGGAATGCGGGGGAGCGGTGCCAAGAGACCCGGCGGGAGGAGACAAGACCAAGGTCCCGAGCCTATCGAGTGGATTGCGGGTGAGAAACCTTAATCCGGGGAAGATGCAAGTTGCTAAAGGACGCGTCAGACGGATCCTCTTTCGAGGAGACGCTTTCATGTCGCTACTTTCCGAGTCTATTCTTGAATGATGTATCCACGGTGTCTGTCGCTGCAGGAGCTATCGCGTGCATAGCGAAAACGACACCATAGGACGGTTCAGTGCTTGAGGGGCTGGTATCCCCAGGCTCGGGGGCCCACACTTACCCGACCATGGCTGTCCGAGCGTGTCATGCCGAGACTTTGTCGGGCGTTAGCGCGCGACTCGTTCCAGATCCAGAGATTCCAGACACACCAAATGGCAGCTTACCCCCGATTTCCCCAGATTTCCCCGGATTTCCCCAGATTCCAAGTCTCCGGGAACTAGCACTTAATATATTGGCCTTCGTGTATCCACAACATTGTCGCATCCCGTCGACATCGCCACCACCTTCCTTTTTCATGGGCAACACCATATTGCACTTGTGAGATTAGCGGCACAAAACGGAAGCGGCACCATGAACGAGACGCAGATCGCAGTCGCCATGGAGAAGGGAGCACAGCAACCTGTCGTCGAGAAGAGGGTGCAGACCCTCGGCACAGTCCGCTTGCGCCATCATGAAACGAACGAGATTATTCGTATTCCCGTACCTTCTAATGACCCCAACGACCCTCTGAACTGGTATGCGTCTTCTTGCGTCTGTCCCATGCTTACTGACCCTGGACTGAGCATCTCCAAGGTCTCAATCGTACAAATATGTCATGGTTGTTGTCATTTGCCTCGCTATGATGATGTCCAACTTCCTTGCTGCCGGTAAGCAAAAAAATCCCCGCAATGTTTAAACAGCACGATACATGTGTCCTGACGAGTACGTGCAAAAGGACCAACCATCGCCATTGTTCAGACTGCAATCGACTTCTTTCCCGAGCTTCCCGTCCCGAAAGCCGTCGGTCGCGTTGCCTACTTTTTCACCACGACGGCCTTGCTTCAGGGGACAAGCAACTTCTTCTGGGTCCCCCTAACGAACAAGTTTGGTCGGCGGCCGGTCTACATTACGAGCTATGCCATCTATTTTGCCGTTTGCGTGTGGCTTATTTTCGAGACGCGCTACGGCGCTTTCCTTGCTGGTCGAATTCTTTTGGGTATCGGTTCAGGTGCAGCCGAAACCATCGCGCCGCTGTCGATCGCAGATGTTTTCTTCCTTCACGAGCGCGGATTCGTCATGGCGTAAGGCTGGTCATGTCAATTTAGATTGACGCAAACGAGCGCGGGATTGCTAACGACCTTTTGCCGTGGATGTAGCCTCTACACCTCGTTCTTGTCGATTGGCGTTGCCGCTGGGATGATTGTTGATGGGTAAGTCTTTGGCAAACCCCTAAACATCCGGTGCTGGTCAGCCCGGTTCTTTCTTCTCAACTAAGCATGCCGGCGGTATAGATTCATCGTCCTCAACCACGACTGGCGTGTCATCTACCAGGTTGCCGCTGCTCTAATTGGTTTTGTTCTGCTCCTTGCAATCTTCGCGTTTCCAGAAACTGCATACATTCGACCTATAGAGGGCATAGAAGACAGCGAGACGGCCACATCTGATACCGCATCAAAGAAGAGCGCCCCACCAAGACATCTCGAACTCTCATCGGCGGCCACGCCCCCTCCCAAAGAAACATACTTTCAAAGCCTCAAAATATACCACCGTGTATGGACCGAAGAAAGTTTGGTAAAAATGTTCGTGCGGCCCCTGGGCCTCATCATCCTTCCTCCCGTGCTATGGGCTGCCTTGGTTGAGTCCGTCACCATCGGCTTCGTGGTGGCCGTGTCTTCGAACGTAGCCCCTGCCTACCAACAAGCCTACGGCTTCGAGCCTTGGAAAGTCGGTCTCTGTTTCATTGCCGCCATTATCGGCTCGCTGATGGGAATCCCTGCCGGTGGCTGGTTGGCCGATGTGGTCGCGGATATTTTTACTCGAAGGAATGGCGGAGTGCGTGTCCCAGAGATGCGACTACCAACCATGATGCTGTGCTTGATCTCGACACCACTTTCACTGGTCCTCTACGGCGTGGGCATCGAAAAGCAACTGCACTGGATATGTCCGACGATTGGACTCGGTCTGCGTAAGGAAATGAATTAACCCTCCCTGAGTTTGCTGAGGTTGAGAACGTAAAATGAGAAATTAGACACTAACATATTCAAGTCAACTTCTCCATTGCGCAAGGTACCAATGTCTGTCTAGTCTACGTCATCGACGCATATCGACCGGTTGCGGGCGAGATCACCCTGACCGTGATGGGCTTCAAATGTAAGTTCCTTCTTGATGTACACCATCCTCGGAAGTGGAAAAAGAATGTCAGTAACTAAGTTGTGCATAGCTATGTTTGGCTTCCTGCTGTCTTTCTACACCAACCCATGGGTCGAGAAGTCCGGATACATGGATGCATTCGGCGCGATGGCCGGGATCTCTGTGGCAGTCCTGATTCTCTGGATCCCGCTCTACATTTGGGGCAAGGACATTCGCCACGCCTCCTGGCGCTGGCCAATCCTTTCGTATATCCACTGGGAGGAAGATAGAGAGGTTGGTGAATGATCGAAATAAGAACATGTCGTGGCTTAGTCAGCGATGTTTCAGATCAAAAGTGTCTTATCTATTCTGTTGTGGCTCCAATTCAAGTGCTCAGCGAATTGTCTCGTCTATTCTGTAAACGAACACTGGGATTCCGACAATCGCTACACAACGGGTAGTAGACAAGCAAAAGAGCAGATTTCAATAACAGGTTCGATGAGCAATAGCAGTGGGTCGAGAAGAGCAACGCTCACCTTCCCTCTTACACTCACAACCGGGTTCTCACATGCGCATGCTTAGCGCATGGCCACGCGCACTTACACCGGGGGGGTGTTTTTACTTGACGCGTAGGGGTCATCCGACATACAGCGGACTTGCAAACTTGCACCTTCCTCGACTACCAGGGTAAATTACGACTTTCATACTCAGCACCATTACACTTGATTACAAACTGTCTAGATGATCTATAGATGTGTGTCTTACTGCCTTCTCTAGTCGGCGACCGTGCGCTCTTCCCAGCCATCTTCATCAGAGTCTCAAGATAGAAGAGCTTGAAAAATGGTGATGCCGATCTGAAAGGCTACTCTTAAGTGTACCCATGCCCTATGTCTTCACTCTCTGCTCCTTCCTTAACCTTACGTCGCGAGCCGGCGTAAGCCATTTTCCGGCCGCGTACCGCTGTGCTTGATCACAAACTCTCTAGATAATCAGGACCTCCTCATGTCAGTATACTAGAGATCTGTAGATATATGTCTCGCTTTCTCCAGTCGACGACTGTGCGCTATTCCCAGCTTCATTTTATTATATAACAGGGTACAAAGATAGAAGAGCTAGAAAAATGATGATGTCGATCTAAAAGGTCACTCTTGGGTCTACCATCTACCCAGTCTCTATATGTCCTCGCTCACTGCTCTTTCCTTAACCTCTGCCAACGCAAGCTTTAGACGCGTTGTCTAGCAAGAAAAGTCGAGAGATGTCAACAAGAGATCACAATACATCAATCGAGCCCGAAATACCCGCGTTGGACGAAATATTGACAGAGATTTGGATGCATATTATCGACCGACTTAAATTCTCGATTTATTTTAGTCTGAAAGGAACTAATATGTAGTGGTAGGAAGAAACTTTCCCTCAGACTTATGTGAGATGTGTGTGTATGCCGCCGTGGAATTGAGGAAGGAGCATCTTGCTTGACTACGATCGCGACGCGTCTCATCGCAAAAAAAAAAAAAAAAAAAAAAAAAAAAAAACCATGATTCACGACTTTTAGCTGGTGTCCATCACGTGCTGGTAAGAAATAACGTGCCCCAAATGTCTTTTCGCGTCTCTTCATGGTCACAAAAGCCTTCGGTGCCACCCTCGTCGAAATTCCAACCCACCGGCTACATCTACCCACACTTTCCTTCTGTTTTTGATCACAGAAGCCTACATCCTCTCAAAACTTCTGTCAGTCTCTTTACACTCCCCCAAGGATCATGTTGGCGATCTGGCTAGGAATTCGCCACGAATATCCGATATCAGTGAACAGTTCTGTGTCTTTGCTGCAAGGCTTCAGATGTCTCCTTTCTTAAGACCCAGCCCACTCCTATCAGGCTAGGGAAAGTGGTAGGTATCTACCTCCGCCTCGAATTCATCTGGTATCGCCCGGGAGGCTCCTGTTGTGCTCCTGCATTCGCTAACGTTTCATAGGTGTGGACGACCAATCTCTCTCGAGTTTGGCACGTTGTTTGGTATCTCCCTCTGCGCTCTCCTTGTTCTCATGCATCTGCTAATCTTCGATAGGTGTGAACCGCCATTTCTCTGTCGAGTTTGGCACGTTGTTTGGTACTCGTGCTCTCTAACTAACTCTCTACCGCCCGTCATTGCTAATGTTCCTTAGGTACGATTAAGGGCTCTGTTTGGTACCCATTACCAGTCCCGCTCGACGTCTTTGCCTCCAGCTAATTCTGAATAGCTGAGAACCTTATTCCACCTCGAGATCAACGCTCCCCACTTGTCACGGTGTGCTTTTTCCACTGGCCCAATGTGCCTTGAACGACGCTGATAGCTCCTCTAGATGACGTCTTCCGCCAAGGCAGGTTCTGCTACGGCTTGGAACAACAGAACCTTCGTCAAGGACTGTGCCGTCTTCGCTAGCGACGAGTTCAGCCCCGTCCTTGCTGCAGGGAAGCCCCTAGGCACAAACCTCCCAAAGATTGGCGCTCGAATCTTTAGCTTCAGAGCTGCCGATACGGATCCGTGGATAGGCTTTGTCCTCGAATTCCCTTTGGGGAAGAGTCAAGAAAGCAACGATGACTCTGGTTTTGGCGTCCGCTACCACTGTAAGCCTTTCGTTCTCTTTGACTCATTTCCTTTGCGTCCTACGATGTTGTCTTGCTAACGAAGGATGTGCAGTTGATCGAGCGCCCAATGCAGGTGGCAAGGACGGCCCCTCCGGACCTGGCATTCGGCAACTTGACATGCACAGGATTACCGTCAAGTTTCCTCGCGGCGATGTCGCCTTTTCCTGCCACGAAGCGAAGCCAGAGCAGCTCGCTGTCTTCCCAAACGCCAAGAATGTGAAGAAGGGCTTGACAATAGTTTCGGCCATGCTGAGAAGCCCTGCCCGAGTGGATGGATTTGGCATACCATTCGCAAATCCAGAGGACCAGGAACTCGAGGGTTGGGTAAACGACAACCAGCCCATCGTCGACGGCGTGTCGCTTCTCGACTTTCTAAGTCGAGACACCTTCCATTTCCTAGTCGACTACCAGCTTCGGGAGACGAAATGGGAGCTAAGGGAGGAACTACTCCCTCCCTCTTTCCATTACCCGTACGGCGACCAACATGATTGGAAGCCGGAAAGGTATAAGCGGCTCTTGGAGACAGCAAAGAGCGATCGGCAATTTTTGCCTGCCTATTCGTAAGTGCCTCCAATCTTCCTACAATCTCGCTTACTGACTAACGATGACGATAGATATCCTGATGACAACGCTCATCTGGCGGTAGTGACACAAGCGAACATCCAGGATATCTTCTGGCTTCACCTAGCCGCAGAGGAAATCGCAAAACGCCGATTCCCAGCCTACTTTGTGCCGATCGGATTCGCTGGTCCCTCCGACGCCAAGACCTTCTACGCTATCGTCGCTCTGACGCCGCAATTCAAGGCAAAGTATGAGGCTCCTTGGCGTCGACTGGCCAAAGGCGGGGTGTTGCGCGTCAACCTCTACGGCACCGCCGAGCAGGTAGAGCCCGAGGCCTGCTGGGACGCCATGCTGGTTGAACATCCGGAAGGTGTTCAGCTCCTAGCGGCCCATCCGACCGAAAAATATGAGGTCGTGCTCAAAGTACGACGTCCCAAGGTCGGTCCCCAGTACGCGGCCAAGACGTTCGTCGGCCGCTCAGAGGCCAACCGTTCATCGAAGGCAGGGAGCAACCACTAGAACTGCGTCTCCCTGGTCTTTGATGCCCAATTGCCTGAGCTCGAACGCAAGGTCCATGCGATCTGTGACTTTCATCCCGAGTCCAGACCTACTAATCCCGAAGCGTTCGAGGCCATGGAGGATATGTCTGCGGCGTCAATGGCCAGTTTTTATGAGCGCCACGGATACCGTATGGATCTTCATCGCGCTCTCATGAGGGGGACGGGATTTTACGAGTGGATGACCCAGGGCGGTCCCGCCGGTGGTGATGTGAAAGGTCAACACTCTATTGAGGTTGACGATTCCTCTAGTATGTCTCGCTTACCTCACATCGTGCTCCTCCACTTACTAACCTTTGATAGTCATTAATCAGGTAGCCGAAGCTTTGGATTCTCGTACACTGGGCAAGTCGAAGTCTGGAGCGCTGCGATCTCTTCCGGTAGTCAACTTTCTCAACATCCAAGGCCAGAAATACATCGAGGCCTTAATGCAGGAAGTCCTACCTGAAGATCGTAGCAGGCTTTCCAAATATCTCAGTCATAGAGCACTCGGTCTCGGCATGGTGTTGGCAGTACGTCTAATGGCCTTTTTGGGGGGGTTTCAACGTCCTTGTATTGATCCTTCTGCATGGATACTAACATTTCCGACAGGGGCCTGGTTTTGGTAAAACGACAGTGTTATCTGTCGCAACACTCGCCATGCAGGCTAGGCTCGGTCCCATCCTCGCTTCCGGCCCATCGAACATCGCGGTAGACAAGTTCGCCGAACGCCTGGACAGAGTCACCAATTCTGTGTGTGACCGCTACAGTAAGGGAAAGCCCCATGACGCTGAAGGCCAGGCACGCCGAAGGTTGGTCGTCCGCGGTTACCGTCTCGAACACGAGTACTCCGCCTTTCTGCATTTGCTCGAGAAGCCTACCGATGCCGACAATGCAGCCCCGAGCCGAGAATGGGGTAACCCGTCACAATGGAAACTCCATCTCTCCGTGGCGTTCTGGGCCCTCGTCTGCCTTCGAAGTCAGGCAACTGAAAACATTCGTCAGCTTCACCCTGACGATTGCCTAGCCTTACACAAGCTCCGTCTCAAGATGGACAAGGACGTAGAGTACGAGCGTCTGCGAGCTGTGGCATCTGGAGGCATGGCCTGGGAAGAATACCAAGGAGGACTTGGCCCGATCCAGCCGCACCTCGTCAGCCATGTCTTTGAATGGATTGTTAGCCACGCTGACATTCTATGTACCACTCCCGCCATGACAACTGTGGGCAAGGCGTACCCGCGTTTTAAGGGCGAAACGGCAAGGGGGGTGGCAGTTGACGAGGCCGCCAACATGAACCGGGCCGACCTGGCTTGCGTCTGGGGGAATACCCTACTCCCCTGTTTACTTGGCGGCGATCCGAGGCAATTGCCGCCGACTATCATGACTGGCCATGAAAAGGACTCCACCGGCCACTTCATCCACCGTCTGGCAGATGACGGCAAGATTTCACCTCTGGCATTCTTCCAGGCCACAGGAATGCCCGTATTTCGCCTACGTAAGCAATTGCGTATGGCCAAGGGCATGTTTGACTGGATTGCTGAGGAGGTTTACCCTGAGGTGAAGTTCCAGTATGGTGCAAATTGTACCATCAATCTTCCCCAGTTTAATGTCGGCAGAGATCTAGAAGCCTACATCCAGGCAAGGCATCCTGGGGTAAAGCCCTGTCCTCCCGGGCAATTGCTCCCTGTCTTCCTGCATTGCCAGGGCTCTCGTGTGTTTATCGACGACATGACCGGGTCCAAGAGATGCCCTGGCCAGGTTAAAGCTGCTCTGGACTTTGCGACAGCCTTCGTGAAATCCAAGAAGGCTGATGCAGCTCGACTTGCCATCATTGCTCCATACGCAGCCAACGTTCAACTGGTTGGGCAGATGGTCAAGCATCCCGAATACTCGGCACTCAGGGCGATGCCACCCGCATCGACAGTGGACGGCTACCAGGGCGGGGAGGCGGACATTGTTATTGTAGTGATGGGTACCACTTCGGCTTCTGGCCCGGGCTTTACGAGCGACGCGCAGCGTCTCAACGTCATGTTCACCAGACAGAGATGCGGCCTCGTGATCGTCGGAGACCTATATGTCTGCGGCCCTGTCGACAAGCCTAACTTTTCGAGGAAGGTCAAGCTAGTGGACTACGATGGGCATGAGACCTGGACCACCGCCACTCTGCTCCGGAAAATGTACAACAGACTGTACAAGGCTGGTCGGGTAGTCCGAGTGAGCAGCACCATCTAGGCAATCTGATTTTGGTTTTGAACGTGCTGGAAGAACTGGGGCCTGTATTGTGGAGTAATAGTTACTTGAAGAGCCTAAGTAGAAAATATGCAATCGCCAGTGGATTTGAGTTTGCCAGCCAGGTGTCTAACAGAATGCAAACAGAAGTTTAACTTGAATTTGCTCTGAAATCAGTGCAACAATTTTGATCAATACCGGATCGCCATGCCTCCTGGTGCTGGCTGATCCTTTCTTACATCCACTGGGAGGAGGATAGAGAGGTTGGCGAATGATCCAAATAAGGACATGTGGTGGCTTAGTGGGTCATGTTTCGGATTGCCATTTGCCAGTGTCCAGCCGCTTCGATTGCGGCTCCAATTCAAGCGCTCAGCCCATTGTCTCGTCTACTCTGTAAATAAACACTGGAATTCCTACAATCGCGATTCTCAAGGTGACTCAATCGTACGAGGTAATGTCCTTTTACGCCAATATCCTCTAAAAGACCTGTCCAGCGCCTATCACAAGCCAGATGGAGCGTAATATTCCGCCGCTAGCTGCACCGGAGAGCCTCGAACGTGACTCGGGGCCAGCCTCAGGACGGACGACCTCATTTCCCACATGGCGTTCGACCTCAAAATCCTGGCGGATTTATAAGATCGGGGGAGTGACGGTTCTGGGAAATCAAAACAATTTAACTTACATCGGTAGAGCCACACATCTACAACCAGCAGACGGTTTTCAGTTTCAAGCAGTCATGGTCCCCATTCCAATTCTACGGGATGTCTTTGAACGAATCCACCTCGAAAGTACCACATCAGAGAATGAGATGTCGCCGCGAATTCATCCTGCCACTCTGGAAACTCTCCCCGTCGAAATGGTATTCCACATCGTGAGCAGCCTAGGCCCTGTGTCCCGTGCTTCGCTAGCCCTCACCAACCGCATACTGCTCAGAGTATTAGGAACAGACACCCTAAACCTTGACGACCAAGAGCGTCTGAAATTCCTTCAGCTCCTGGAAAGGGACGGCGAGCTCCCGGACCATATTCTTTGCGCCGCATGCCTCAAATTTCACCTCCCAACCGTCCCTCGAGACTGGGCGGAAAAGAACAATGATGAGATCCTTCAGTACCACAGATTCCCCGATCAACGAGATAAATCGAGAATATGCGAGGAGAGTCCCCCAACACTACAGCCCCAGGTGCCGTTTAGCGCAGTTGCAGCTGTCATGAGATCGACACGGCATGGCTGGGACACTTATCCCTTGTCGATGCTTGATTCCACAACCCCCTTCAGCCACCCAAATGCATCAGAGGGTCAGGTGAAGGTCACCACGAAGGCTAAAATATTTGATGGACACTTGATCCTCCAACGTGAAGTGTGGATAAGCCTAGGTTTTGAGGCTCAGGAAGCGTTACAACAAGAGGCATCATTAAGAAGGCAGATTCTGCGATGTAACAGCAAGATGGGCGAATACCTACGAAAGTGTTTTCCGCTCGCATATTGCTGCCCCCATGATGAATGGTACTCGTGCTATGATTTTGTATTCAGCTGCGATTCCGCGATTGGAACATGGACCCGCCACCATCTCCGCTGCCTCTGGTTTCACCCAATCGATTGCTCCGGCGGATGCGGCTGGGTCCCTGGCATGGCTCCTTTCCCTGCCTCTTGCTCCAACTGCTATACCGCATATCACATGGAGAAAAGAGATGCCAAGGGAACAGGGCATAGAGCTCTGGTCATCACATCGTGGCATGATCTCGGCCGCGGAGAGAGTCCCTACGAGCAGGAATGGGCTCTATTTGTTGATGAGCCATCTCGGATGCCTGAGGAGATGCAAAGATGCGATGAAAGTAGAACTCGGAAGCTCCATAACATCTGGGACTCAGAGGCACGTCCCGTGGAACATGGTACATGATGCTACTAATAATAGCCCATACGTTGAGTCATGAATATCATAGTATGTTGTTAGGAATTAGCGGATAATGGATATCTGCTTATCATTAACGCTGACGTGGTGAAGCCATGAGATGTAAGTAAACAATAATATACTGGAAGAGTGAACTGTGTGGGCACTGGGGATGATAGTCAAACTTCAAAAGGATAGTTTCGACCACGATGCCGGCGTCGTGTACTTCAAGGCACCTTGTCACCTTCAACCTGTCCGAAGCAGACACCTAAGCCTCTGGTGGCCACACTCCATCTCGTCACGTCGCGTGCCGCAAAACGGAACAGAGCTTATTCACGATAAATGCCAGAACGGGTATTGAAATTCAGGCGGTGTGTACGTGGGTCCAGCGTTACGCCACTATGATGTCTACAAGAACAAAATTCCCCAAGTGAAATGAGTGCTGTCATCTTCAGTCTATTCGCCCCCACAGGCTTCCAGAATCCCCTTCTCCTTCTTCCCCTCTAGCCTAGCTACTATTCAGGGTCCCTGGGCATATTCTCTCAAAAAAGCCTGTCGCATTCTCCAGGGCCCAGAATGCCCTCCACTTCTCAGTACTATCGTGTATGTTTCTCCCGGTGCCATCCTGTCCATCCGGTTCCCCTCCCTGTCGTGATGCCAGAAGTCTTCCAGCCATGCCTCGTCTAGAAGTCTCCTCACCTTCCGGCCCGTCCGATCACCGGTTCCGGCGCACCTGTGCAATTAAGCCCCCAAGACCAGAGGCAAGGCACATCCTGATCGTGGTTCTGGGAGTATGAAGTAAACAGTTGTGAAAGTACAACCCGCAGCAACCCAACAGAATCCCATATATTCCGAACTCTTTCGACCTCAAGCACGGAACCGTCCCAAAAGGTATTGTTAAATGAACATTGATAGCCTATCTATGTTTAAATATCTACAGTGAATCTAAGCGGTACATTTATCATTAATCAATCCGTTGCCACTACATCTCCCTTTGGCTCTCCTCTTACCGTTTCGGCCGCCCGGGATTTTTCCTTTCGCCAGCTTCCCCTCCCTCTACGCAGCCCGCTCGTTCGGGGCTTAATAGTAGAAAGTAATCAATTGTATTGTAGATTGGTGCGTGGGAGGTCGTCCATGATTGGGTGGCAGAAAGAGAAAGATTGAAGAGAAGTCAAGATGTGGTGGTCAGGGATGAACTGGAGACGGCTGATGGGTCCCAACACAGCAACCAAAGTCACCGGCGTGCCTAGTGCCCATATGATTGTTGCGAAGCTCAAGGTCGCAACACCACAGCACACGGGTTCCCAAGCCCCCCAATCAACACGGAACTTTTTCTATTTCTCCTGGCGTATTCGACAGCTTCGCCGCCGAACTTGGAGGCACGCCTCACATACATCGTGGGCAACCACGACCAAAAAGCAAACCAAACTCCCCCACAGCCACTAAAACCACCAGGGTGCCCGGTGCCCACATGACCGTCGCCGAGGATAGATGCCGAAACCGCAGCGTACGGCCACCCAAGCCCCCCGTTCGACAAAAACGTTCTCTATCTGTCCTGACATCGGGGGACCCGGGCGTGTAAATTCCAGTGAACACGCCGTTCAGGCGGCGAGCGAAAGACAGGCCACTCCAACAGCCATGGCGTACCCGATGTGCCATGGCCACTTAGGATCCTCTTTTTGCCGAGGCGGCGAGAAGGTGAGAACCGCCACGCACATCCCACATCCCGAGGACTGTGGTGAAGACTTGGATGTGATGGGCGATCACCTGACGCTCTCATCGGAAATCCGGGATCTCACGTTCATGATGGCGAGCGTCGAGACTGTTAGAGTTGAGCGGCGCTGAAGCGACTTGACTGGTGGTGGCTTCAGGAGTGGGGCGTATTCCAGAGTAGTGACCGATCGACCCAATCTGACGCTCAGCATCATTATAAACCAAGAGAAGTAATGGCGTGCCATTCCGCTCTGGCGATGGCACCACGAATTGCCCTCCGCCATGTATGGTGATACCAAGGCGGATATCAAGCCCCTGAGCCTCTCCCCAATGCCCAATTACTGCAGCAAGCCGGCCCGCCGTAAATTCATTGGTATTGGTAAAGCTGAGCTCAGCATTTGCCAAGGTCTTCTGAATGAAAAGAGTTCAATAGATCATCGATAGTGGGCTGTACCAGACTCGGATATTGGGCCCATATGCTATTTATTACGGCGTAAAGCCCGCAATATAGATTCGAGGATGATGTAGGAATCGTAGCCTAGCTGTTCGGAAAGCTTTGCGCCAGAGCTGGGACTTGGGTACGCGTTCTTGTCTGGGGAGGATTTGATGTTTGGGGTAGTGCCACCAGGATCGGCACAATAGATGATATCCTCGACAACGCAGTCGGTCATTTTGCCTTGCCAGGGGGAGAACAATGTCGATAGGCAATTGGGTTAACTTAGGCAACTCGGCCGATGGGAGGCAGGATCGAAGTGCACGAGTAGCAAAAGGAGGAGCAGGATTGGATCGAGCGACGCTGGCAGGCTACCACAACAGCAATGCCAGGTGTCGAGAATCGAGAATCGAGAACCAGCAATAGAAGAACCGAAGACGGCAATCTCGACTAAATACTTTTGGCTGTAATGCACCAGGCACTCGCGTCTCTCCTTCTCCCTTTGGATGTTCACATGGCGCTGGCGCTCTTGCTCTTGCCGAAGCTCCTACACCAAGAAGGCGGGATCTTGACGCCAGGCCCTCTCTTCCTCCTTTTTCTCTGCTCCGCCTTGTACATGTTTATTGGCTCCTCAGTAGCCTCGTGGATCGCCTGGAGCTGCAGCTCCGTAGTTTGCTGCTGACCCTCCTCGCGGGGCCTCCTTTCCTCCCTCTCCTCGGGGTTGCGTTAGCAACGGGCTTTTCCATTACCGCCGTTGCGTTATTTATTTTCTTCCGCTTCATTGAGCAATCTTGTATTCTTGGGCGTATTTGGGTGCCATGTCGGTCGGGTGCTGGCACCCCGAATACCTCTCCGCCGGGGATGGTGGCACCGGGGCGGACAATAAGCCCATGCCCCTCTCCCCAGTGCCCGATTACGGCAGCAAGCTGGTCCGCCGTGAATTCATTATCGTTAGTATATATTCCTAGCCGTCCTAGCCGGCGCCCAATAATTCCGCCGTACTAAGAAGCAATTAAAGAACAACTCTACGGCGAGAGTTATTAGCTCTAAGAACAAGTCCAGACGACTTTTCTATAAGGGACTAAAAACCTCTCCTCACTGTATGTGAAATTCAGGCTGCCTTATATTCCCCCCAATTATGGGACAGTCCTAACTCGGAAAGCGTTCTGCCGCGGCAGACTCTGCACCCAACTCCCAAAGAGCTCATTCGCAACGCCTAAGTTAGCGACTAATATACTTTTTAGGCGGCGACGGACTTACTGCGAAGGTCAGACACTCGGACGCTGTGAAGCGGTCAACCCCATTAGGCAGTTTCCGAATTCTGGTTCGCCCATCCTCATCAAAGTGGACGAACCAGGTGAAAGACCGGAAACTAATACCCAGGGCCCTAGAATTAAATAACAAGACTACGTGAAATCAAATACGCTATAGGTGCTTCACTCCATTGAAACTAGCTCCTCTTGATTGTACCTTCCGTCGTGCCCGAATCACTCCACCCATTGGGCTGCCACTACCCCTGCTTTAGCTTCCACGGTGCGGAAATCCGTAGTTTTCCTGCTGCTTGGTTTGTATTAGCCAGAAGCCTGGATCACATTAGGGTCTGGACTCACGCTTACATATGGCTCAGCAGGCATCTCGTAAATCATCCTGGATGCAGGCAGCTCTCCCGGGGAGCCTGACTGGCAGGTAAGTGGTGGGGAACCGGCAAGCTCAGTCGCGGTCGGCTGCGCCGAGAGTTCTTGTGTGTGAGGTAGTGGGCTTGGTCCTAGGGATCCCAATTCGGCAGTCGGCGGGCTTCTTGCACCAAGTTCAGCAGCAGATTCGGTAGCGGGCTTCTCCTGGCCATCGATCTCGGGCTTCCCAATCTCCTCGGCTGTTTTCCCAATCCCTCCCAATTCCGACGGTCCGGTTGCGACATTCTCAACGACTGGGTTCTGCGGGACTGGGTTCTGCGGCATCCCGGGCTTGGACCGCTTCCTCAGGAACCAAAAGAGAAAAGCCGCACCGGCGAGAAGACCTATTCCGACAACGGATCCCACGACTGCACCGGCAATGACACCGGCCTTGCTAGACCCCCCGCTTCCTTCATTCCCGTCGCCGCTTGAGGACGAACCGTTGCTCTCTTCGGCAGTCGAGTCCGCTAGGGTGTGGTCGTTAGCGTAAAACTGACCTAGGAAATGGGTCCCTTACTCACAGCTTGGCTTAGAAGTAATACCGGGAAGCTGTCGATACAATGTTGCAGCGGATGTAGGTAGCCCCAACTTCTCAATGCAGGTCCTCAGAATAGCCGAAGGCGTTACATCTGGTGAGGCTTCATAAATTCTCAATACCCCACATTCACCAAAAATCTGGGCGCTAGGAGATGTCAGTAATTAACTATCCATAGATAAGACGCCATCCATCAGCATCGTTCAGAAAACTGACCATGTCGTGGATGTTGTATCAGCGTCCACTTTATCTCCATCCCTTACAGTCACAGACTCGAGAAGTGTATTGACGTTATAGCACGAGTAACCATGGGAAGCTGCGGTGTATTTCCCTAGTGAGAGGTGCACACATCCGCCTGTTCCCCCTCCTGTGCTGAAGCTTGCACTCTCGCCCGTACATTTTGCCGTGATGGCTGAAGTCTGATTGTTAGCAGTGGACGAACAGCTGAGCTGAGAAAGTGAGAGTAGGGGATAGGAATCGTCGTACTCTTGTCTCCGTCTATATAGTAACCGATTATAGACGGATCATCCACGGCTAGAGCAAGAGAGGAGAAGTAGAACACAGCGAGAAGTGGACGCATTGCAGCCAAGGATGCGTGTCGCCGCCAAGAGGCCGTTAGGCTGAAGGTGGAAAAAATTGAAGTAGTCAAGGAAGGTGTCTTTCGTCGCTGCCACATATGCAGCCTCAGAGACAGACCTCCCCTGGGGCTTGGGGAAGGAGAGTTTTCATGGACTCTTGGCAGCCCTACAGCAGAATTTAAATTGATAAGATGAGGGAATTGCCAAGAGATTGGTAGCGTTTTGTGAAGATCGTCAGCACTGCATTAACGAAGGTTCTGAGAGATCCGATTGGCCTGACGAATGTGTCAACCATACCTGGTGGAAATTAGCTCCTTAGACATAGCCCTTTTGTTCTTTGGGATCGGCGCTTTCGAAATCCCAAAAGGGTTTATTTCCGAATTTGGTGGGGGAGCACTTCCGGAACCGTGGTATCATGTCACCTTTAATCCATCCGTAGGATTGGGACTTCGCAGTCGTTTCCTACTTCGTTGACGGGTGGTATTGCAAAACGCTGCAGTGTGGTACAGAGCTCGGTACGTACGAAGTAGAGCACTATTAAATCTCTCCGGCGATTGGTCTAAAATTTCAATCCCATGAAAAGATAAGCTTGGGCAACATTTCGTCGCGGTTTTGTCGTTGCGGGTAATATTACCGCCCTGGCTGACCACACCTCTCAGATTCGGGCAAGGTTCTCCCTACGGGATCATGCGCTTCCTCCTAGCCCTGAGAGACCCGACGGAGAACGCCAACCTCGTGAGAATTGAGATCTTTCCACCGGAATGTCGCCATCAAGCACGACTTCTTGGGCGAAGGTCAACGACCAAGGTATTAACTCGAGATGCCGAGATGAAACTGACAGAAAGATCGGCTCTGATCGCTGTTACTATTATTGCACATCGAGACCTGTCAATTATCGATAACTCTCTGTGCCCGTGGAGTGGATAGAACCTTTGCTTCCTGTTGCATCAAATACTTCCAGTTCTATAGGGAAGCCCACCTACCAATCGGCTACATCGCCCTCCCCAACGGGCCGGAGATCTCGTACATGTCTTTCCCTCGGTCACCCGGCCCAACACATCCAACCAACCCCTCCTAGCACCATCTACACCTCCATGAGCTCCGCCGCTGCCCTAGCCAACGACGTCACTGTCATGTTCCTCCTCCTACACCGTCGAAGATATCGGAATTTCTCAAGCACTGGAACTCTTTCACGTAACCTCAGCTGGATTGGCGAGCACATCGCGACGCTTGACCCTGGCATTTTGGGTGGCACCTGTTAGACTGTTAGCATCGTATAACCCAGACTCTTCACGACTTACTTGTAGGTGGTCCCCTTGGTGCTTATTAGCTAGCTTACTGGATTAGATTTCGGCCGTTAACAGCCGCAGCAATGTGCTGCACTCTTCTATACTCTCGTAGCCACAGTATTGAATGACGTCACGAACCACGCTGCCTCATCAGGGCACCCGGAGGTAAAAAAAACCTCAGTGAGACCACTCGCCAATGCTACCCATTTGGGACGCTTTGTTCCAGCGTGGGAATTGTGTCTTTCGCGATTCAGCTCTGTCCGAGTCATTTCATGGTGGAGCTTCTCGGTTTCTATCTTGGTGGTGGTGAGGTTATTGTTTAGTTTGTTCACATCCGCCGGGTTCACTTAGTTCCACAGCGCCATCATAAGCGACTCTTGAGTGGTTTTTGATTGGCATCACACAAGTAGCACCGGGGCTGCCCCATTGGTGTCGTAGGTATTGCAGGTGATCGACCGCAGCGCTTTCATGTCAGCCTCTGCCTCATGAGAGAATCATTGTCTTGGCGAGCAGTCGGCGGGCAGGGGAGAATTGGCTTTCGTGTTGGGGGTTGTTTACTGCTGGGCCCCTGGGGGCCCGTCGAATTCTTGGTTCCCGCAGTCTCGCAGTCTAGAGGAGCGTCGGTGGTCGGCGAGCTCTTTTGTTCTGATGGGCCTTGTGTGTTCTCGTCTTAGGAGTGTCGAGCTTGGGGCTTGGGGTTTTGGTTCTTTGCTCGAGGGTAGCGTCACTCTGCCAGATACGTGGCGGGAGGAACAGTGGTGAAGAATTGACGTGCCGACAAATTAATGGCAGCCGGGGCTTTGGGTAGAAAGTGATGTATGGTCCATCGGTGCGTAGGAGGCTTTCTGTGATTTGATGGCAGGAAGACATGAGAAGCAGAGTTGCTAGGATCACGTCTAACGTCCGCCGCAGATTCCCGGGAACCACCCTTCCGTTGAGGTAAATCTGTCTTGCTTTGGAGTCGAAGGGCCAGGGTGGAAGGGGAAAGCGAGAAGGAACGAAGGAACAAAGAGTGGAAAGGTGAGGGGGAAATGAAGTGGAAGGTGAGAAGAGAAGATGAGTCGATGTTATTCAGCCCGTCGTGACTTCCTCCGAGAGAACGGCACAGCTCAACCACCTTCGACTCTGCTCACCAGTTTTGGGCTTCTCTTCAATCTTTCTCCCAAGCACATCTTTCTGTCGAAATTTATGTCGCCAATGTCTCGCAGGAACGCACATTCCGCGCCAAGTGACTAACTGGGCTAAAGGCACGCTGTCAATGTGAACACTGAGAAAGTGGCTGGGGGGATGATCTGGTCTTCTCCTGCTGTTTGCGGCAAATGCAGTTTTCAATAGATCGTCAAGCAGGCATGTGTAGCCTTGCAGTTGTGAGTACGATGGAGATCCAGGGGTGTGTGTGTGTGTTTTTCTATTTAACGCCATGTGAGGGTCACCGGCGCAGCCGGTCCCTGACCCCTATTGGGACATCAGGCGGTGGGCAGTGCTGCGCCCCCATGGATGGAGATCCAGTGGTGGAGGAAGGTATAGTGCGCCTTGTGTCTACGGGCAGTACACCACGAAGTATCTCGGGGGTGTCTGCCCTGGTGTAATATCGGCTCACCATTTGAGGCAAGGCGCTTCGTCTTAGCTTCGCCAATTCAAACCGGTTGTTACCTGCAACTTCATCTTATGCTGTTGCGGAGCTGGAACTCGCCCCATGTGGAGAAGGGGAAATTAAGCAAGTTGCTCTAGAACACCGTTAAGGCCGCGCATCATGACTCATGAGTGCACAACGGAACATAATTTTGAGGTTGAGTAGAAGTAGTAACTAGGCGCTATGGCTTATCCTCATATCCCGGAATCGTCTGGGCAGAATTGTCCTCCATCGCTTTCCCATCCACCACAATTGCCTCCGCTGGCTGAAGCACGTAGAGCATTCTTGCCCACGACGTTGAACTCCGATTCCTCCACGCGTGGTTGGTCCCACGCTGAATTGAGATATCACCCCTTTTCATATGTCGCGACTCGCCAGAGTCCAATATCAGGTCAATTTCCCCCTCCAAGACGACGCCGTAGTCGAGACTGATCGTTCGGTGCATTGGCGAAAGAGCGCCCGGAGGCATATCAACGACGCGGAGAACAGTACCTGAACAAGTTGCAAAATCAGACGTCCGTGATTTCTCCATTTGTCTTCATCCATGAGGGAACGAAAGGAACAATCAAAGATGTCACACCTGTTGGGATTGTTATCCCTGGGAGGTTCTCAGTGTAATGCTGGTACGTGGATACGTCTTTGTCGCCTGACAGAGAGACTGGGAATTTGTTCGTCGCGTAGCAAAGGGCGAAGCCCACGCCGTCTGGGAGAGTCTTGAATGGAGCTTCATCGGGTAGGGTGTCTGAAAATGCCGTCTTGCCCTCGTTGTCGTGGGTCGTGATGAAGCGGTTTATCTGCCTGATGTCCTTGGGAATTGTTGGTGTAGACATTTTGACTTTAACTCTATAGCTTGCCGATCTGTAGATATCAATATCGAAGGGTGTGAGACGCATTCGGGACTGCCTCCTTATGGGAGATGTAGTAGAGATCGTATTGCCGTTTATGTGACCACTTGTATGATGTCTACTACCGCCCACTTTCCGTGTTGCCACACATCCCGATGTGGGGCGTAATGTAATGGGGGTCGGACGGATCGGGTACTGAATCTCAATACGGAGTAGCTGCTCCCATGGCATGGCATCCAATAATGAAGCGAGATCTTTCGGTTAGATGCCGGCAAATGGAGGAGTCGGATGTGGGAGAGACAAATCTTGAGGCAACCTCGCCCTTTCTCATTCAACACCATGTCGCCGCGGAGAGTAGGTTAGCCATATTAAAACTTTGCCACAAAGCCCTTTGGGTCACGCAAGTTCAGGGTTTGCTGACGATTTTCTGCGCAGGTAGAGAAAAAAACAAATATTCTATTTCAGCATTGGGAGGCGCCTGCGGCAAGCGGAGGACTGCTGGAATCCAGGTATAAATTCCACCCTCCAGCATCTCTATCCTGCAATTAGAGAGGAGTGAGTGATAGGGATAGATATAGACGCAGGATAAGTAGCCAAGCAGTATTAAAATAAGGAATTCTTTAATAGCTTGACTTGCTTTATATCAAAGGAGAACAGGGCTACGATGAATTTTACTCTAGTCAATCCGCCTTGAGCTCGAGACACCTGGTACACGAGACGCTTCAACTACCTTTATGCCAAGAGCCTCGTAGATGGGCAGCCCGGCCACCCTAGGGATAACATTATACAGCGTTGGAAGAGCCTCCCAGTTCAAGGGATCCAAGGTGATGGAGGCCGTTTCTGCCTTGTACACCTTGTGTACTTGGCTTGGTACAGCCTTTCCCAAAGCGCTGCGTGTTCCACGCCCGCCGTTCCACGATCTAACCGACCCCATGGTCAGTCAGTGGACGGGAAGAGCTAGAAATGCCCAAATTCTACTGTTCGATTGACCTGTGGCGCCGCGAAGACAGCTACAGAATCCAGACAGGATGGCAAGGAGCGACGTTTGGCACTTTCCTTCTTGATGGACTCAAGGAAGTTGATCCATCCAAGGACACAAGGGAAAAATTGACGGAGAAGGCGATCAAGGGATTTTCACTTACAAGTATATCCCGCGGGTTGGAGATTTTCAAACAGGAGAGGTAAAAAAGTTCCACCCGAGACCTCTCCGTTTTTTTCTGGGCGTATCGGACCTCATACCCCGAACCGCCTAGCCGTTGCATTTTATCCAGAGTGGTAGGGGAAAATCTGGCATATGCAACAGTCCCGTGGCTCCTGAATCGGAACGACTGGGATGGGAATAGATTCTGAAGTACCGTCCGCGAAGTCTTGAACTTGATCAAAGCCGTGGTGAATGTCGAGTTGAGAGCATTCCTCGGGCTATTATTAAAAGTCTGTTGGGGACCAGACATCGGGCCAAATCGTATTGGCATTCTCCAGTAAAGATTTGGCTTTCTCGCCCAATCCCATTTCCGAAAGCATTTATTGAGTGTCCCATTCATCGTGGCTAAAGTTATAGTTAGTATATACTCCATCACTTTTTGGAACAACACAGGTCGAACTCTGATGGCGGGACGGAAGCCGTCATTAACCTACAGTATAATTTTCTTTTCCTGAGGTCTAGTCCCGCAAGTCGTGAGTACTCTTGCAAGCGATGAGCCCTCTCCTTACGGATATCCTCGTAAAGGTGGGGCCTCTCAGGCACGTCCTTAGGCCATACGCCACGCTGGAGAACAACGCCAAGGGAGGCGCCGTTCCCGATAGCATATGCAGCCCCTAGTCCCTGGTCAGCCTGTTTATAAGAATTGCCATATATATCTAGATATATTACCCTAAATAAAGCGGCAGTGGATTTCTGATTCCGTTCGCGTTCTTGAATTGAATACTTACGTGGTAGGAACAGATGAGCTGCGTCTCCAAGGAGAGCCAACCGATCCTGAACCCAGGGAGAAAGCACATCCATATCCAGAAGCTCCCAAATCTTTAGCGAGTCCGCTTCTGCTTTGCCCAAAAGCGCCAGGATCGAGGGATGAAAGTCTTGGGACACTTCCAGCGAACGATCCTTGTGCACGAAGAGATTTTATTCGCCTTCAACCGCCTCTGCCGACTGGCTTTCCTCCCTGGGATGGATACGGACAAAGTTGAGATGCCTGTTAGACTCGCAGGGATACATAACAATTTGCTGGTCTTCGCCGTACCAGATGATGAGCTGGCATCCCTGGTCGCGAAGTCTCGAGTGATGGCATCATCGAAAGCAGCCCGACGAGGCACCAGAAAGCGAAAGGCAATTTTCCCGGATGGTTTCGACCCAGTGTCCCGTCAATCAAGTTTCGACCGAGTCACAGACTAGAAGAGGCTTAAAATGAGCGCGCGAGCTCTCCTCCACTCGGACGGACACTCATTTTGGCGCCATCAGCACCCAGGGTAATATCCCCTCGCACGCGCTCGCCGCTGTCCATCGTGGCAGCCACCGGCGCAGGATCAACTTCAACAGCACAGCATGCGGTACGTAACTCCACCGGATATCCCGGGTTGTTACGAGAGGTAGCTCTTCTCTTGAGATTCTCATCCAAGTGAACACGGTGGATCAGGCTCCACTCACATTGCCCCTGAGAGATTGTCTCTGTCAGTCTAAAGACTGGAAGCATCAGATCCAGCACCTGGAATGAAAATCGCAAGAGGGATGCCTGGGCCTCTATAACTGAGCCCCTGCTGTATGAGGCTCTTGTAAGTTGACCACTGATGTGGATATCTAGTACGGTTACTGACAATAGATAGGGTGAAGCGCTACGGCTAGCAGGGCATCCCAAGACGTTATTAAATGACCTTGGCAATTTGATGGGCAACGAAGAATCTGCGCGAGCGACCATTCAAGCACGGTGACCTCGTGACCTTGTTGACGGAGGAAGATGGCCGCACTCAGGCCCGCGATGCCCGCACCGAAAATAACGACCTTCAATGGCCGAGATTCCCCTAGGGTCTGGGCACCGTTTGCCGCACCATTCATTGACATCATTTTCAAGGGATTGTATACGGATGATGACTGGGATCAAAGCCGGGGAAAAAAGTATAAACATTCACAACAGTTAACTAATCGCGTGAAAGTGGCCCGTGTTTATTAGCTGCGAAATGTAGGCATGAAGATGTAGCACAGCAGTTTAGGATTATATTATCATTGTTATCTATACCTCGTACCCCGGGCCCGGCCCCGTTGTCTCATTTTCGTCTTTAGAGATGTGCGGTCCCTCGATTTATACGCCTGCCCATTTTGGGCTGGCGCCGTTAATCGATCCGGTCCCCACCACTGCTTCGTAAACTCTCGTCGGGATGTGGGGGTTCGAGGGGGCGGGGAAATGCCGAATAGGACAAGCTAAACTCCGCTCTGCCCAAACTTACCCTCGGTATCTCTACAGAGTGAATGCAGGGAGCTTGCGTGGTCTTGGGTCCTATTTGAGCATCGCTCCTTTGAAGAGGTATTCTCTCACACCCTTTCGAGCCAGGCAAGTCTCGAGTTTTCGTCTGAATTTTCTGCCATAGGAATTGGGATATTGCAGGCCCGGTCGCATCCGACCCCGCCGACAGCCATGTCATCGCCCAAGGTTGCTCTAATCACTGCTGCCAGCACCGGGCTGGGTGCCGCGATTGCCCGCACCTTGGTAATTGAACTTGGGATGAGCGTCGTAATAAACTACCACAGAAATACTGACCGGGCAGCGAAGCTGGTCCAAGAGCTACAAGATGACTGTGGTGTAAGGTACGCGAAGTCCGGGGCTCCTGTGCCGGTCGTGAAAATGATCCAGGCAGATGTGGGCGAAAAATCAGATGTTTACCGCCTCGTCGAGAAGGCGGCAGAGGAATTTGATGGTCGGCTCGACGTGGTCATCTCCAACGTTGGCTGGACGCGCATGCGGAATTTCTCCGACTTGGAGGACGGCCTCGACGAGGAAGATTGGGACCGTTGCTTTGCTGCGAACGTCAAGTCCCATCTGTGGCTCTTCCATGCAGCCAAAAAGTACTTGGAGGAGAGTAATCAACGAGAAAGAGGTGCTGCCGTTTTTGTGAGTACGGCGAGTGTTGCAGGTGTTAAGCCTAGTGGCAGCAGCTTGGTAAGTTCCGGTTATCAACAGTCGGTGAAGTCGGTGAATGTCGCAGCTAATGAAATTTCGTTTGATCATGTAGTCTTACGCCGTTACGAAAGCCGCTCTTATCCATCTCGTTAAATCTCTTGCGACTATTTCAGCTCCTTCGATCAGAGTCAACTGTGTCTCGCCCGGTATTCTGTTAACAGTACGTCGGTCTATCCTTGTGGAGGTGTAACTATTCCGATTCTAATATCAATGGTAGGAATGGGGTCTTTCTTTTCCGGAAGAGCGACTGAATGCGGCCATAAAGGCAAACAAATTAGAAAGATTTGCTACTGTTGAGGATGTCGCCGAGCAAGTCAAGACGTTTGTTGTTTCTAAATCTGCGACTGGGCAAAACGCCATTATCGACTCCGGATTTAGTCTCTGAAACGGCAGGTCTGTAAAATAATAAAAGAGATATTGGAGGCCGGCATTTTCTGTATTGACTTTATTATTACTCCAAGCCGGCTCTCTCCGTGCCGCGAATCTCAATGCCTACTGAGAAGATGAAGGGGCCTCGGAGGTAGAGGAACAAGGAGCATCGGCGCGCGCAGACTGTAGCATTAAGAGAGGAAATGTCAAGAGATTCACAGTCAAGTAGATGGCCTATCGCCGAGACTGTTGCAACGTGTCCTCCCATCCTGTCCCCTTTCAATATGAGTAATCTTGAACCATGACATAGTGGGACATTGCTGCTTCAACCGGCACAAATACTAAATGCTCGATCTCCTGTGATAGAACTACGTAGCATGTTTTGGGATGTGCGTATGTAGCCAGACTGTCAACAGTGCATATGAGTGCTGTGGTTCGCCGAGGACGCAAACCCCCAGTTTGCGGGGGATGGCGACACCCCCCATTCCCCGCATTGCCGATGCATCCCTCCCCCGCCCCCGCCTCACAGTCGTGGGAATGACGAATGTGGGCAGCCGAAGACTAGTTGGTCGAAGGACATCGAAGTCTCCGTGGAGAAGATACGCAGCGGAGCTAATGGGTAGAACTCGTAAAGCCTTTGACTGCTGACTTGAGAAAACAGATTGTGATAGACTCATAAAAGACTCAGGCGCATTGATCGTACAGCAAGGACCGTATGTACTGTGCCTCACAAGTGCAAAGGCCAACCCACAGGTTGTAGATTGAACCTGGCATCATGGCTCCTACCTACCTCAAGGAAGCGAACCCCGCAGCAAAGGCGGCGGGCGTCAATCCTTCCCTCGATGTTACCGGCATAGTGAAAGGAGTCATCGACACGATTCGCAAGGACGGTGACGATGCCGTCCGCCGCTACAGCGAGCAGTTCGACAAATGGTCGCCACCTTCTTTCAAGCTCTCAAAAGCCGATATCGAACACGCCATCTCGCAAGTTTCCGAACAAGTCTTACGAGACATTCAAACGGTTCAGTCCAACGTCCGGAAATTCGCGCTAGCTCAAAAAGACTCTTTGAATGAGTTCGAGTTAGAGATGGCGCCGGGCGTATTTCTGGGTCAAAAACATAATCCGATCGATTCCGTGGGCACGTGAGTCAAGAATGCTCCTTACGGCAGCTACGTATGATCTAAGGTACTGACAAGCAAACCACGTACCTTTTATGAAGTTATATCCCAGGAGGCCGATACCCTCTCCTCGCTTCAGCACACATGACAATCTTAACCGCCAAGGTCGCTGGTGTTAGGAACGTCATTGGGTGCACGCCTCCCGCCGCTGGAAAGATCCCCAACGAGACCGTGGCGGCCATGCACTTCGCTGGTGCGGATGAGATATTCATCTTGGGTGGAATTCAGGCCATCGCCGCCATGGCGATCGGCACAGACTCTGTGCCGAAAGTTGACTTTATCGCAGGGCCCGGTAATGCGTTCGTTGCAGAAGCTAAACGGCAATTATTTGGCGAGATCGGGATTGACCTTTTCGCAGGTCCGACCGAAGTGCTCATCGTTGCCGACGAGACGGCTGATGCGTTCATGGTGGCTACAGATCTCCTGTCTCAGGCTGAACACGGGCCTGATAGTCCCGCGGTGCTGGCTACTACTTCGGCAGATCTTGCTCGAAAAACGATGAGCTTGTGTGATGAACTCTTGAAAGGACTGGCCACCGCGCCTATAGCTAGCGTTTCGTGGAGAGATTATGGCGAGGTGATTCTTGCGGAATCGCTCGACGAGGCGTATCATATAGCGGATGAATACGCGTCAGAGCACGTGCAGATCCTTACCTCTAGACCTAGAGATGCGCTTGAGAAGATGAAAAATTACGGCGCGCTGTTTCTGGGGCCCATGACTTGCGTGTCGTACGGTGACAAGGTAAGGTTCTCATATTCTAACTTGATGTTACTGGAACTTGAAGCTCTAACTCAGGAACAGTGCATCGGAACAAATCACGTCCTTCCTACAAAAGGCGCGGCGAGATATACAGGTGGACTTTGGGTCGGCAAATTCCTCAGGACCGTGACCTATCAGGAAGTCAGATCTGCGGAGGAGAGCGGCAAGCTTGGACGGCTTTGTGGTAGGGCCGCCCGGGTAGAGCTGTTCGAAGGCCATGCGAGGTCGGGAGACCTTAGGGCGCACTTACATCTTAAGGACGAATTTGACTGGATTAAATCTGAGTCGTGAAAGGATGGCTCTCACCACATCGAGCATGGACGTAAAGTGCAAGATAGTCTATGCCAACACCTATGATTCATCCTGAAGTAGAAGGCTGTCGGCCTGGTTGCTATATTAGATGCTACACCGAGGGACCGTCCCCCCCTTTCTCCTGCTTTTAACTGCGACCGAGATTCAGACCATCTACGGGCGTTTTTTAAATACCAACTGGCACCCATCCTATCCTCAGGGTTAGTTCATGACTGGGACAAACGTAAGAAGGGGCTAGGCCATATCGAGTCCTCACCATTGGAAACAATGTCGCGAACACCCTAATCTCCTCCGACCTGTCCGTGGCATGATGCGTCCAATCCAGCTCCAGGGCCGCTTTCCCAATCATTGCTGCCATAGAGAGCGGCACATACTTCTTGGCGAGGCAGTCATGGGCTCCCGCGCCGAACACGAGCCAATTTTTAATCTTTGATTCGGCGTCTCCGGATATCCAGCGCTCGGGATCGAATGTATCTGGGTTGGGGTAAACGTCCGGGTCATGCAAAGCCGGGTAACAGGATGGGATAATCATGGACCCTTTCGGGACGGTGTAGTTTGGCGTGACGGGGAAGTTCTTCGTTGCGAGATATGGAACGAATATGACCGGTGGTCTGTAGCGAAGGAGCTCTTTGATGACGGCCTTTGTGTAGGTGAGTGATTCCAACATGGGAAGATCAAAAGGTTTATTCCTATCACCACCACGCGCAGCTAAATTCTCCTCTCGTAGACGATCAAGAACGTCCGGCCTCTGCGCGAGGATTTGGAAGATCCATGTTGTGGCGCTACTGGACGCATCCTGAGAGGCAAAGAGGAAAGTAAAAAGTGTCTCGCCGATCTCCTCATTCGTGAATTCGCGAATTAAATTACTGGGCTTTTCCACATCTGTCTCCCCGGCAGCGATTCGGTCCCGGTATTCTTTTGACTTCATCATGTGGAGTACCCATTGATCCACGATGCATGTCGGCTTCGCACCCTTGGCCATGTTTGCCTTGCAAGCAGCAGCGCATTTCGTGAACTCGACATGGACCGCGTCAGCAACGCGCTTCCCTAGCCAGGTCTTTGTAAAGGGGATGTACATTGATAGTGGGATATTGACGAGCTCGAGTGCGGCAGTGGCAAGGTAGTAGTCGTCGGCAATCTTCTTCACAGCATCCTGGGATATATAATGGCCGAAGAAGGTGCGGCACGAAAGCGCACAGTTGATCTCGCGGAACATGGTCATGAAGGCCATCGGACGGCCCTGGTTCGCCTCGCTGGCGGCGACGAATTTGTCAAAGTACTGGGTAAATACCTCGTCCTGCACCGGGAGGTAGGTAGCTATCGCTTTGTTCGTGAATAATGGAGCCAAGCCCCGCCGATACTCAGCATGGGCTTTTCCCTGGAGGAAGACCCACGCTTTGTGGCCGATGATGTCTTTTGCGATCGGTACTAGGCAGGGCTCGGCGAAGGTGGGCGACTTGAAGACTTTGTGGGCTAGGTCCCGGTCGGAGGCGAGGACGACGAATCTGCAGGTCGAAAGAGTATGTTAGCAAAGGCAAGCAAAACGCCTCGTAAAGTTGCGGCAAGGACGGAGATGGAAAATAATACTTGTGAAACACAGAAACACAGCTCAGAGGCCCACTAGCCCACTGGGCAAGATACGCGTCGAACTTTGGATGGAGTGCTTGGTGAAATGGGCCGATGATCGGAATCTTGAATGGAGGCCCAGCAATGGAACCTTTTCTTATGATGTATGCAACTATTGCAAAACGCCGTCAGCTAGTTGGGAAATTCTGTGTTTGTCCAGCGTTCTTCACTACCTTGGTCGTAAACCACAACACCGATCAGAAAGGTGACCACGTATTGCCATATGGGCCATCCCATAAAAATAGCCGGCAGACCGCCCAGTACCTGGGGTAGCTCGGACTGGGCGCTCGAAGTGTTATTGACGAACTCGGGAGCCATCTCGAAGTCCTTGATAGGAGACGTGGACTTTTCCAACTCAGATGAGAAGAGAGGAACTTGGACACTCATTCCCTTTTATAACGAGAAAAGATCGGTGCCCTTGGCCACATATTCTCAAACTGCCCTACCCATTTTCGTAACCCCGATCAAGCCGGTATCCGTCGACTCTGGCCGGTTCTGTTTCAGTCAAAATCTCTGGTCAATGGGCAGATGCTGGCAGATTGCATTAAAAGCTGATTACCGGATTAGTACTAATCTCCGAATGTCGTACAGACCGCCAAGACTCAACCTGCAGGCCCGCGGAGTCTAGTCCTTTTCCGTTCAGGGCGCGACGCAAGGACATCCAAGTCTACAAGTAATGCCTGTCAAGCTCGATCCACCAACTCATTTTACTCCTTGCCAATTCCACACACGCCAGAACTCAACTTCTCTCTCCCCCAACATGCGCCAAACTCTTCGTAGATCATGTGCTGCATGCGCAAAATCGAAGCATAGCTGTGACCTCCGGACACCGCACTGCTCGCGGTGCATCAAGCGAAAAGTCCTCTGCGTCTATGCAAACGAGCCCCTGACAGCGCCACCGCCGCCGTCGCAGGCGGCGGTACCGGCACCGGCAGTCTCGGAATGGGGAGAAGGCGGATCAACAGGACCCCTTGCCGCATCTAGCACATTAACTCAGTACAGATTCGGGTCTCTTGATCCTTTCGATTCGTACCCGCAGACGAGGCTCCCCAGGGAACGCGTTCAACGTCTTATCCACAACTGTACGTATGTTCTGAAAGATCTTCGTCGGTCCGAACCTAGCTTACCAACTCAGTTCTACACAAGATCGCCTTCCAGTATTACCCTCTCGACCTGAACATCACCTCGAATCCGTTCCTCGTCTCCTGGTGGCCACTCGCACTGGGTGATCCAGCCCTGTTTCACGTCTCGCTTCAGACAGCATGCCTCGACGAAGAGTTGTTGGCCCAACGGGGATTTCAAACCTCCGAACTGCTCATGGCAGATTCCGTCGCCCTGCTCCGACGAAAAGTTGAAGACCCATCATTGGCTCTACAAGATGGTACCATGAATTCTGTCATCACATTGGCGGCCATTGAGGTGAGACGGTTGCTCCGTTGGATTCTGCTTCTGCGTCTATTCCTTACTGATGTTACGCTGTTCGCAGTTTGGAAAAGGTAATACCAAGGTTAGCGAGATGCATGTAGAGGGCGCGAAGAAGTTGGTCAACATGAGAGGTGGCATCAGTTCAGTGAGGCAAACCAGTCCCCTGACCGCGAGGATGGTGAGCTGGTAAGTTGCGCACTTCTCTGTCTATCAAAGGTCTGCTACTTACGTGTGGTAAAGGGTCTCGATGCTTGTAATGGGCCACCCCCAATTCCAGACGCAAGACGATATGGGTCTTGGAGATGGTATACCTCCCATTCCGGAATGGCAGTTAGACTCGACCAGTTCCCAAGAGGGTTTATTCGAGTTCCCTGGTGTTGAGGTTGATAAGACGGTTATGAACGTCTTCATTCGCCTCCGGAATGTTTTCCAGCTGACACAACGTATTCCTTTAACGCCTACACGACTTCATGACCTTACTTGTTTTGTCATTCATCGACTTCTACTCTCTGCCCCGGATGCGACTAGCGCGGACGCGTCACCGCCGATGACAGAATGCATTCGTTATGCAATAGTACTCTACATGTTCATCACTCAGGGTCCGACATACTTCTCGCACGTGGTCATATTCAATATGATTGTCAACCGATTCATGCACCATCTCGGCCGACTAGAATTAAACCGGCGTGCACATGACTCACTTGACGTTTGGCTTCTTGCAGTTGGGTTGGCGGCTTCAGCTGGCACGGCGCAGTACCCTTGGTTTACGGAGAGAGCACGGGTCATTGCATCATCCATCCCGCTTATCAGTTGGAACGAAGTGCTTGTCTACCTGAAGAGTGTATTGTGGCTGGACACTCCACAGGGCCAAGAGATCTTTCAAATGCATTGGAATGCCATTTTGAATGGACCGAACCCACTAGGGTTACCACGTCTCACAGCCTGTGTCTCGCCGGGTAGTACTGGCCCAGGTTCGATATGACACGCGATCTTTTCTGTCTCCTCACTGAGAAACAGTTTGCGTATCTGGAATGCACCCGATCCACCGCACAGATCCGTGGCTGAGAGCAAGAGGCCAACGTGGTTTGGATAGACCAACACTGGGCCGTTTGTCACGACCGATTTGAGAGAAACGCTGCACGGCCGTCTTTCGGGAACCAGACTTCCCATGAGAGTACACATTCCACTCCTTGAAAAGCTTCGTTCTCGTCACGATCTGTATTTCTCATTCTAGGATGTTACGGGGGAGCCCACCTCGATGCCCCGACGCATCATAGTTGCCAAAATATAGAAGATTCTCGTTCAGCATGGCGACAATGCCCGAGTCCACCTCTGCATTGCTGTCGGCTCGCGCAGGCATGACTACGCCATTCTCCGACACCCCCGGCCTTTGTTTTCTCGATAACCAGAGTAGTGTTGCCGCACCTTCTATTCTTGTTGGGACTGGGTGTCTTGGGAATCTTGAGATCCCGGTCAGCTCACGAAGCGCTGAAATAGACCCACGTTATGACGATCCTCTTGAAAAGTTGAGAGTCATAGCTATCAGGATTCCGCGTCCAACATTGGTTGAATGGACATAGGAGCTGATTTATCGTCAATTCAGAGAGGAGGCTCGGATGTCAGTGTAAGGGATCCCGACGTCTTTTCACACAGCTGCTAACACAATATCCCTCGCCAGTGTGATAGTTATTGAACAATTGAGCTCCAATAAGTACATGATTCAAAGCCTCTGTTACGACGATAACATGATGAGTTTACCCATCTGTGGAGGGTTTGTTTCGTTTGGCAGGCTGTATTCGCTCCGGGTCTTTCCGCATTTCGTAACTCCGCGGAAATGCAAGAATCGAAAGAGGCAGTGGGCATGAGACTCTTTATTTTATTTTGCCTGTTTTTGTCTTTTCGTTTTTTTCCCACCCTCGTTGACAATGCAATGCCATCAACTGAAGAAACACCACGACCGCAAAACATAGCTAGCAAGATCTAAGAGTAAGGAAAAGTCTATCAATTCATATCCAAATGCCATCATTGTTTATATCCCATAGTTATGCCAGTCTATACCTTTATTCTAAGAACCCAACCGCCTTTTGCAATTCTCACGACAATCCCAACCATTGCGCCGAGAAAGACCACAGAACCAGCCAAGATTTGAGCGTAGAGATAGTCACCATGACCACGCTCGATCAAAATGCCCGAGATAGACGGGCCAATCAACAAGGCAATACCAACAACGCTAAGAACCATCCCAACCCGAGTTCCCGCCTTGCTCGGATCGGGAGACATCGTCGTTGCGAGCGTGGGGAAAAGGGCTTGCAGGGCGGCTGCGACGAAGCCGTTGACGATGGCAAAGGCGTATAATCCGGCTTCGGTTGTCACCGCCGCCCAACAGTATATCAAGATGGCAGCTAGAGCGCTGAGGGGGATTGTGATGTTAAGAAGACCCGTCCACCTCTCGGCGATGATGTTCGGCACGATGCGCCCAACTATGCCGACCGCGTTGAGCACCATGATCAAGTTGGCGGGCTCAGAAGCATGGATCTTGTCCCGCGCGAACGTTCCCATGTAGAAGAAGGCAAAGTACAGCCCCCAAAAGTTGAGAAACATGCACAGCGTAAACGCAACGAATGGTACTTCCCTCAGGGCCGAATAGTCAATCCACGGCCCCGCCTTCCGCGGTGGTATGCGAGGCGTAAACCAAATAAGACAGGGAAGATAAGTGGCCAGCATGATGAAGCCCATGGCTCGCATCGCCCAGGGGAATCCGACGTCGTCGTGATTGATAAGTTGATTTATCAAGGCCGGGTAGACAAGCCCGCCGGTAGCCGCGCCGGCAGCGGCCAGCCCGACGGCAAGGGCCCGGTTCCTTTTGAAGTAGGTGGATAAGACAGCTAGCGCAGGGCAAAATGTGCAGCCGTTACCGAGGCCAAGACAAACGGCCTGTGAAAGGAAGATTTGCCAATACTGTGTGCAAAGAGAGGTCATGAATATCCCGAAAACCTGGAGGATTACACCTAGCGTGAAGGTGATCTTAAAGTACCCGGCATCGGTGGCGCGTCCCGAGACTACCCCGACTAAGAATAGAAAAAACATTTGCACGCTTCCGATCCATGAGATTGCGGACTGAGACTGGTCGAGTGTTTTTGAATAATATTCCTGGAAGATTCCGAAACCATTGGCAACTCCCCATGTATTGAAAAATACAATGTGCATCAGCAAAACTTGAACCCACGCCATCAATCCCCCGTCCGGAGGTGGAAGGGGCTGGACATCTTGGGCATCTGCCGATTGATCGTTGCCATCCGAATAGGCACTTAGTTGTTCGACAGAATTCGCCTTCTCGGGGTCCTGATTCATGATGAGGTTTGACGCAGTGGGCTGGTCACCTTGCCCTTGTATAACTTGCATGGTGTTGATTGGAGACATGTAATACCGCTAAACTTTGGTATCAAATTCGAATGAGAATATGCGATCCAAGAAATTAAAAAAAATCGTCCTGACATAAATCTCTTCGTGTGCGCTTCTCCGTATTTGTATACGCCCTTCCACTAACACGATGCCAGATCTGAGCGATCTTCCGTTCTTGCCGTACCTCCCGTCCTACCCGATCTTCCCAATTTTGCCGTCTCTCTTACGCCCGAACCCACTAAGACGTTCACTCCTTGACCATACCGAGTAATGGCAGAAGAGCTCCCCAGCTCAACATAACGAGAGTTGAAGCGCAATTTTCAATTTTTTTTTTTCGCATTATTGGCCGTTTTCCATTAGAAGATCCCAGAGTTCTGTCCAGCCCAGAACGTCCACGCCACTGGCACGTGACAAGAGTGAGACAAACTCGGACTCGCTCTTCACCACGACTCGAGTCAAGTGCCGAAGCAGCATCCGTTAGTGTCGTCGCCAAGCTTGAACCTTCAAGCTGCATATTTCCCCCATCCCCAAAAACCCCTCCAATTCCACCTCAATGTCCAGTGTGCAGAAGCGGCGACGTTCAAAGGTAGCATGCGAGACATGCCGAGTGTTCAAGAGGAAGTGCGATAGCCATCAACCCTGCGGACCCTGCATCAGGTACGAGTATGACTGCACGTATCAAGAGACCACGTCACGGGGGAAGAAGAGGCCCCGCGCCGCCGCCCCGGTCCCGCCGCCTCCGATTTACACTCCGGCGTCGTATAACAGTCCTTCCATGATTGTCAGCGACAGCGAACCGTCGCTATCGAATGCTCATAACCATCTCCGGTCCCTGGAGGCAAATTCGGGGGCAGCCTTCGCGCGGAAACTCGCTCTCAAGATCGACCCCAAAAATGCCCCGCGCATGCACTTGTTTGCGTGGAACACATTTCTTGGTGCCCGCGATGATGTCAACAGTCTTGGACCTCAACTTCAACGGCCTCAACCGATCACGGGATTATTACCGAAATCGGACATGCAGTCCCTCACAGCAGTCTATTTTGACAAGATAGACCCCGTTTATGGCTTCGTCGACCGCCAGGAACTAGAATGGCATGTCGAGAACCGATGGATGAACCCCGAGTTACATGGTCCTTACGATGGTGTTCTCTGCGGCGTTGCGGCCCTGGGGTGCCTCTACTCAAACGTGAAGCCTGGGCCCGTTGAGCGTAGTCTGGTGCAAGCAGCCAGGTCAATTCTGGAGGCGTCATTATCGGATATTCCGACGATGGCGAGTATCACGGCGTGGGCTTTACGGGTCACCTACTTAAGAATCACGGGAACGCCACACATGGCATGGATGGCCAGCTGCGTTCTCATGCACATGGTCGAGGCAGGCGGCTTACATTGCGAGCCATCCAAAGACACCGTCTTGCCCCTCGCAAGGGACGACATCGACCCGGAGGTACGCCGCAGACTCTTCGGGGTCGCCAAGCATCTCAACACGTGGATGTCCTTCGACATTGGTCGCTCGAGGGTTGTATTACACAATGCGACTACCATTGTTCCTTCCCCAAGACCGGGAGACTATACCGCCGAGCTCATGGAACTTTTGCCGTACGTTGAAATTCTCGATCCTGGAAGGGCTCCGGAGCCAGCAGAGCTGGAGGCAGCCCTGGACACCATTCTTCGCCGCACTCACACTGTCCCTCCCTCGATCCTCGCTCGTTGCAATTTGGTGCTCTGCCTTTGCCGACGCCTGAAGTCTCTGAATGCAGCCTTTACCGCACCTCTTCTCGAACAAATATTGTCAGTCACATTAGAGGGTATTCAGGCTGCCCGGAGTCTCCTGGAACAACGTGCGCCGTGGCATCACATGGCCAACATCCCGTTTCAAGTCGTGTGTATACTCCTTGCCATTGACACCTACGCATCGATATCGCAGTTAAGGGAGGCAATGGATTGCCTTAGCAATGTTGCGGCTGTATACAAGACAGAGGCTACACAGGAAGCTCTCGGAACCGCATCGTTGCTTATCCTGCTACACCAAAAACGGAAGGAGAGATGTGCATCTAGACTGAGGGAGATACTCGAACAGTATCCCGTCCCTGACGGAGAAAACGCCAGGGGTACCTCTTGCGCTCCGCAACTGGAGGATCTGGGCTGGTTGAGCGGACTGGCGGCCGAAATACCGAGTCTCCAGGACATAGACTTTGACCAATTTTTGAACCCGGATCTCTACTGGGATGTTGGGAACCAGAACCATTGAAAACGATTACCTGGACACGTTGATCCTGCTTCCGAGCCTTTCTTCTCTGTTACTAATATCGTCCTGACGAAGATTACGAGTTAGCTTTCCCACTGGTGTTTTAGTGCCTGCAACTGTTCAGTGTTGCAACTCTCAGAATGTATATACGATATTCTTCTCCAGTCAGTATCACGGCAATACTCCCGTTAGCCTTGCCCCACGCTGGCAGACTCTTTTCAGCCTTGATGAGGATCACTAGCTTCCTGATCATACATAATGCCAATCTACATACCTTGATGGACTGATTTTCCATTTGGCGTCTGTGAGTCAAGATGGTGTCGGATTCTCCGAGAATGGTCCTCCTGAGGCGGCGCGGCTGGTAGTGAGCTGCAAGCATCTCCGTGAATTCGATATGAGATAAATAGTGGTCTTGAGTGAAGTGATTCTGCGCAGTACGAACCTGGCCCGCGGGATGAGTTGTATGAAATACTATGAATCCCGTCGTTTAAACTACGCAGCTTCAAACTTTATCAGCATTCTCTTCACCAGTACACACTTCGGGTGCCCTCCAATGACGCTCATGTCTCATTACCGTCTCTGGCAGGGTCCCCTGGAACATAAAAACACGAGGAGACATATAGAGATCTATATATTATAGAGATATCTATATTTGTGAACATAGGCTCGGGAACAGAAAGATCGGTTTTACTATTGTGTGGGATGCAGTTTGTGTTGGGGTCGGAAGAGCGTCATTTTGTCCCTACGTTCACTTAAACCTACCCAACGAGCTCGGTCGATATACACAACGATATTTGATTGGCGAGCGAGGACTCATTCGTATCTTGCACTAAATCGAAAAGATTTAGGGAGTAGGTCGCTGGGCATGTATTCATCAACTTGCCTCTCGCCTAATGGCACCGATGCGATGCACTAATGCACGCAAAACGGTGTATCTAAGTCCTTAGCTTGGCCCAACAATCAACAGTAAAGCTCATCTTGGTGCCCAATTGCTAGTCCCCCCTTGTTTACTTGTTTTCTTTTTCTTGTTTTCCCACATCATTGGCAACTGCCAACATCACGTGCTTCCACAGACGTTGGGGCCAGACTTCAACCCTTGCTTCTGTAGCAGGTTGCAGCCTAGATAGAAGCTTGTGTTTCCCTCCGCCCAACCACCAGTCCCTCAATTCCTCTCTTCCCCCTTCTAGCTGCGCTGCATGTTCATCGCCTTTCTCCTCCTTTCTCCTCTTCCGTAGTCTTTGGTGGAACTTTGCTTCTGTTGTCTCTCGGCTCCGTTATTCACCAATGATACTGCAATGGCTGCCTTGGCTGAACTTCCGCAGGAGGTTCTCGACACCATCCTCTCCAGCCCAGATCTTTCTCACCATGATAGAGCCAATATCCGCCTCGTTAATCGTTTCTTCCACCGCGCCGTCTCGCCTCATGTCTTCCGCCGTATCCACATCAGTTGCCTCAAGACTGATCGCGATGCGTTCTTGGCCATTGCGAATAGCCCGCATCTCGCACCGCTCGTCAAAGAGCTTGTCTGGGACGAAGTATCTGTAGAGTACCCTCCTTCGCGGCCGCTGCCCATGGATCTGGTACCTGTCACCGACAGAGATGATGAGACGAGCATTCCGGAGGTTCTTTCGCTGATGGAGAGGACCGCACAGGAAATCCCGTGGCTGCCTTGGGTTGCTAATAACCCCCAGTCTCGCGCATCACCTGAAGAGCTCCAGGAGTTCAATCAGATTTTCGAAGAATTCCTTCCGATATTTGTCCGCGCGGTGGAAAAGTTGTCTAACCTTCGATGCATTACTTCGACCGCCATGTCTAGCGACCGGGTGCTCTGTGATGGGAGCTACCCCTTGACACTGAACAACTTCCTCATCCTTGGTGACTCGCATAGAAGGCGAGATGGTTTCTTGAAATTCGTTCTTCCCACCATAGCGCGTGGCGGCACCTCCATCGATACCCTCCGCTGGATAGACAGAGATGTCGGCCAAACCATTGCGTTAGTTGTGGATACCGATCCTACTCCAATGACGTCTCTACGTTCCATCGATCTCTGCTTTGCTTTTACCCCGTATGATAGGAACACACTCTACCCCTACAGGGAACGAGAGAATGTGGTGAAATTTTCACGATGGATGCACGCGGCCGAAGCCCTCGAAGAACTGTGTCTTTGCTTTGAAGACGAGTGGGGTAATAGCGATGAGAAAGTGACGGCGATTGTCCGGTATCTGTTGATGGCATCGAAAGACCCGCAGCTTGGGGGTTGGAAGAACCTCCGCACCCTCGCCGTCCACGGTTCATTTTCGGCGGAATGGGTCGCGCCGTTTGTTGCAGCACATGCGAGCACCATCCGCCGCGTCTTGCTCTGCGGCGTGAATGTAACTCACGGCACTATTGATGGACTATCGAAAATTGAGGACCTGCGACTCGATTATCTCGAGATCCGCCAAGAAGGTTTCAATGATGAGGATGACCTTGCCGACCGTGCGCGACTGCTAAAATATATCAACAAGGAGTCAACCGAGGTACCGTGGGAGTACTGTAGAAATCGCCCTAACGATCCCATAGCCACGGATATATGGGAGGAAAATAACAATGCGGAAGACGATATGGAATCACTGGCATCGTCTGACAGCCAAGACGCTCGCCGTGCCGAATCTCCCTATTGGTGTTGGGGCCGCTACCACACACCCGGCTCTCGGGGCTTCCAAGTGTACTACTGGCCCGTCCCGGAAAACATCGAAGGCAGCTTCCCTACGGAAGTCTGGAAATTTACTTCTCGCGACGGCACGATCCAGTACGGGGCCGAGCCATATGATTGGTTTGAGGATTGGGATACTGGCGAGGGTGATGTCGCGGAGCCGGTGCCTTACGGGCAAGACTTTCTCCAGGAACTCCGCGACTCGGCAAGGAAGGGTTATGAGATTGGCTGCTACTTCGGCGGTGCGTGGGACCAGGTCTTTGACTTGCTCAAGCCACCCGAAGGCGCGATTCTGTATAATGTGGACGAAGATCCGTTTGTCCGAAACAAAGAGTTGCGTTGGGAATTGATGTAGGATGCCTGATGTCGATATTATCTCAAAGACCATCGCAAGCTTCTTATCGGCCTCGCGAGCAAAGAATGTCTCCCCAATGGCTCTCGCTCCCAAAGGCCTCATTCAAGTCAAGGGGGCAGGGAGCTCCCCACTAAGCCCTAGAGACCGGGGAATGCGGCTACTACCCATAAACATTAGGTTAATATCCATAGCTAGACTAGGGTGCAATGACAGAATTGCCTCTTTTGGTCATGTTATCTTTTAGTCCATTTTGTAGGAACGGTCTCCAGCACTCCGGTTGGTGTGGTTTACCTGCTTCCATATCTGTCTGGTAAAAGTATAATTACTTGCAATAGTAAGGCAGTTCTAGAGAACTCTTCCGTTCTTGTTATCACCCACTCACGCCTATCCTGCCAGTAAAAGGATAGGTACACAGACATGCAGGGTAGTTCATACTTGGAGCTTGAATGAGATGGGGTGCCGGCAGAGGAAAAGGGGAAGAGCCGGTATATCAACGCTAGGGAAATTTTCCCGAGACGACGTCGAATTAAGGACGGGAGGAGGTTTGCGGAAGAGCTAATATAGGCCTAGCATCGGCTAAAAGCTCAAAAGTGTGGGTAACAGAGCAGATGCAACCAAAGATCCCTGCTGATCATCTGCTGATAATTCCAAAATCCTGAAGCTCCTTCCTTTTTGCGATTGGGGCCAAGACTTCTACAATCAAGCCAAGCCTCCTTCTTGCATTGGATTAACAAGAAATGCGACTGCGTTGACTGGAGTTCTTATCATTCATCCTTGTCACATAGGAAGCGAAGGACCTTTTGACAAACAAGTTTGATCTTCTCTCGGAGTAACTGATCAGAGGCTGCTTGGTATTAACGCCGACGCCTGCCGCTGGCACTCCCCGAATACCTTTTCCTTCGCCTGTGACCCAAAGTATCAAGAACTGCGTGCTCAGCATTCTGTATTCTGGTGGCTTCCTTCAGTAATATCTTTCCTCTTCATTTCCGCTTAGGACGATTCCCGTCCCATAGGCGTCATTGTATCCCCATCCCACCGTCCGCACAGTAGTCCGCCTTCATCCATTCTCCATGGTCGATCGTATCATTATTTCGTACCGGGGGAGCTTTGGTACCCTGATTTAATCTTATCTCCTTCGGCAAGTTCCCTTCTTGGGCTCGCCGTTTTCGCCAAGGCCGCCCATGCATATTGGTGGCTGTGAGACGCTGCGGGGAAGCCCAAAGCAGAAGCTTCTCTGTGTCCCATACGAATCAGTTACCTCATGATCGTCGACGCTCACACTCCATCCAAAGCTCTCCAGATTAAGTTTGGTTTCGAGCTTCCTTCCCAGGCCGCCAAGCTCTATTATTTACTTGACTTCATGTGACTACCAATCCCTCCGCAAAACTTCAGTTGGACTGATTTCGTGAAACCTGGTTAACTCGACATTTTTGAGCGCCCTGCTGTAACATGACTCGAGGCGATGCGACAGGACCCTGGGTAGTTCAAATATCACATGCCCCCCCTTCGTGCTGCCCGACGGGGTTTTCCACCCTTCCCTTTCTCCCCCGCCAACCAAGTACCTACTTCCTGGAAGTACTGTGTCTGCTTCTGTCCCTCTTGAGAATAGCGTTATCCTCGAACACGCAGATAATCTGCCAGACATCGTAATGGCGACCGGTGCGGATCTTGACATCGTTGAGGGAACTCAGCGCCCTGCCGGTGCCACAGTCGACCCCGAGAAAAACCGGTCTGCTGAAAAGACCGAGCCCCCACATTACGCCGATGATGCCGAGTCCTTGTCCGGCCCCAACGGCGAGGTCTATCCTACCGCCGAGGAAACGGAGACTCTTCGCCATGTTCATGGAAAAGTGAATTGGCTAATCTACACGATTGGTATCGTTGAGATGGCGGAGCGTTTCGCGTACTACGGTACCACCGCCGTCTGTAGGTCTTACCTATCAATCCCCCAAAAACCCCAGTCGCGTTAGTTCGCCACAGCTAATGCGAAGCTTTCTTCCGCCTGTACCAGTCGTCAACTTCATTGCCATGCCCCTCCCCGAGGGCTCGACGACTGGCGCCGCTGGCACCGACGGGCAAGCTGGCGCCCTGGGCCTCGGCCAGCAAGTCTCCTTCTCCGTCGTCATGTTCAATACGTTCTGGTCATATTTCATGCCTCTTCTCGGTGGGTATCTGGCGGACACTTATTGGGGCCGTTACCTGACCATCCAATATGCCATCGTCATTGCAATTATTGGTCACATTATCATCGTCGTCGCCGCCATTCCCAGTGTCATAAGCCATCCAAATGGCGCTCTCGGATGTTTCATTGTGGGCCTGCTATTCTTCGGCGCGGGTGTCGGCTGGTTCAAGGCCAACATTTCCCCGCTTGTCGCCGAGCAGTACGAGTTGACCCAGCCTCGCGCGACTGTCGAAACGCTCCCGTCTGGCGAGCGTGTAATCGTGGATCCCGTGATGACCATCTCTCGCGTCTACATGCGCTACTACTTCCTCATCAACGTCGGTGCTTTGACAGGTCAGATCTCCATGGTCTACGCCGAGAAGTACGTCGGCTTCTGGCTCGCTTACCTACTGCCGACCATTCTTTTCTTCCTCTGCCCAATTATCATGCTCATCTGCCGCAACAAGTACGCGAAACGCCCCCCGACCGGTTCCGTCCTCGGCAAGTCTATCGCCCTAGTGACCTACGGCATTAAGAAGAACGGCATTGGCGCCTTCAACAAGGATTACTTCTGGGACAGCATCCGACCCAGTCAAGTTGCTGACAAACCTTCCTTCATGACTTTCGACGACGCATGGGTTGGCGAAGTTCGCCGAGGTTTGAAAGCCTGCGCAGTGTTCCTCTGGTATCCCATATTCTGGCTCGCCTACAACCAAATGAATTCGAACCTCGTAAACCAAGCAGGAAGTATGAGGCTAGGTGGCGTGCCAAATGACGTCGTATCGAACTTGAATCCTTTCGCGCTGCTCATTCTCATTCCTGTCTGTGATAAGTTCGTATACCCGGCCATTGCCAAGACTGGGTTCCGCTTCACTCCCATCAGAAAGATCACCCTCGGCTTCTTCATTGCCGCTCTCTCCATGGCCATAGCCGCCATTATCCAGCACTTCATCTACGTGCGGTCTCCATGCGGTTACAATGCCAACGACCGGGATTGCTACGACGAACGCGGGCCCCCGGATATGAGCGTCTGGATCCAGACGCCTGCTTACGTACTCATCGCGCTTTCCGAAGTCATGGCGTCTATTACGGGTCTCGAGTACGCCTTCACCAAGGCCCCGCGGAACATGCGAGGACTCGTTAACGGCGTCTTCTGGTTCGTGCACGCCTTTTCCAGTGCGATCGCCCAGGCCTTTACTGGTCTCGCTAGGGATCCGCTACTTGTTTGGCTCTACACTACCGTTGCCATCATCTCGACCTGCGGTGGCACGGGCTTTTGGATTTGCTTCCGCAAGCTGGACAAGGAGGAGGATGCCCTTAATGCTCTGCCGGAGTCGACATATATCGGCCGGAACGTGGAAAAGGAACTGGAGAACAAGTCGGTTGCGTAGGGATCACGTGCCATTCACGTGCCATTCGCTCCTTTCAATTAATGCTTCTGGCATAAGCGGGTTCTGCTACTTAAAATGTTATGAGTCAAGATGTGCTCGGCAGGCGCCACCGGGCGAGCTGTGTCACTTCGAGCGATGCGGATCACGTTGAGTGGAGCGGACTTGCCATAAGAAACTGGCGTTCTTGTCCCAGTTCCTTTGCACGTAGTTAGGAAATATCGATAATATTTGATCTCGAGTGCTTTCGAGACTAGCCGTTGCTGATATGACCTCTGCCTTGGCCTTCAAGTAGCATGACCACTCGTACTGCCCCGTTCAACCCATACGCGACTTGGCGTCTTGCTAGCAACGATGAAAATGAGCAAAACCAGCTGAACTGATTGAGCCCTCTGACCTTGCCCGAGCTACAGAACATAGAGACCTCTTATAATTTTGACAGAGTAGACTCGTAAGAGGTGACGCAGTTACGGTCCTCTAGTGTATCTTTGTATACGAAGTATATCAAGCCGTAAATTCCGTATGCTCCTCGGCAGGCAGGTGCGGAGGGGGTGAAGTCCGACTTTAGACATTTAAAATGTCTTCACAGTCGGCGACACGACGAGTTGGCTGTCTCCCTCTTTTGGATCACAACCCCCCACCTCCTGCCTCAACTGTAACTCTTCTCCAATTCAAAACCACCTGGGACGGTAGAGGATGAGATATTCAAAATCATAAAAGCGAGGGCCAAGGTCCACTAGTCTGCAGCTAAGATGTAGGCAACAAGACATGCCTTTGGAACAATATCGGCGTCGGGCCAGGGTAAATTACCCCGAGATCGTTATCTCGTATTCTGCTATTACCTGGTAGAATTCGCTCGCCAACTTGGCTTGCCGAGCGGGGAGAGTATCCAGGTATCATGTGTCGTGTTATTTTGGCGTATCAGCTGCAGACTCGCGAGCTTGGTGGGCACGAGACAATTTCGTCCTCACCCATCGAATGAACTCCTGGAATGTCTTGATAAAGATGTGGGTTCTTCTCGTTCTCGTTAAGAAGATCCCTCAGCAGGACACGCTACCTCCATTACCTGAGCTAGCCCAGATAGTCTCTCGTTAAACTTGTCTGAGCGACGCCTGCCGCCGCTCCTCGGCTACGATGACGATTCCCTCTTTCCTCCGACCTACTCTCTGTTTTCTCACTTTCGCTCTGTCGTTTGCACGGGCAAATCCTGTTCCTCAAGAGATTTCAAGAGTCTCACCCCAGAGAACCGTCAGTTATGGTAGTGCCGAGTTTGGTGCACGCTGCAAGAAGTGTCCATACACCCTCTGCCCGATCGTTGTTGACCCAATAAGCACCCTGACCTTTACATGTTGGACTTAGTGAGCAATATTACCGGCCATCTCCGCGCCTTTCCATCCTCTTCTATTAGAGAAATCTGACGGGTGAGATGCAGCGGTGATCTGATTGGAGATACACAGCTGTGGTGTATGTCGTTTGAGTCGTTTCCGGCAGCTGGGTCTCGTCTGTGCACCCAGCCCTGACTTTCGTCCTCCCTTAGTGAAAACTACCGATGATTGCTATGTTCCAGAGTTTGATACGAAAGAATACGCCGGCGAATGTATGCGATGTCCGTGTACCAATTATTCGTCCTTCTTCGTTAACCATCTTCTTCTAGACAAGAGAGATTTGGACGCCTGCAGAGATATTCCATTGCAGATTACCACCCAAGCAGCCAAGGTCAGGTATCTCTCCGAATGCAAGTGGAGCGCCGAGACGAGAGCCGAATCGGTAGCGTACTATGGCCGGGACCGGGAGATAACATTGCTCTGTTGGGAAAACGGGACAGAAGTCCTCGGAGATTCGTGAGTTCAATACCAGCATTAGTTGGCCCATCCCAAAGGACACGCAGAGGCCGTATGCTTATAATCACTGATGTTTGGAAAAGATACTGGTACAGAGTAGGTTTTCTGATGGGTTTTCTTTCATTTGTAGGAAGGCAGACGCTAATTGGAGTTGGATATATCAGACGACAGACGATTGCGCTGTGAGTGGCAGTGGCTTATGGAGAGTGCCTGGTACGTAACTGCATCGTCGACTCATCCCATGAGCTGACTTGCACTCATCACTAGTACCCAGATCGGAGCAAATTGGACTTTTGCGGGCCACCATCCGGTTCCCGTCCATACCGAGATCAACCTCTAACAAGCACTCCAATAACCCTTCCCCAAAGCGGGTCTGCCCGAGATGAAAGACTGACCGGAGATAAGGGAGATGGCCCCGCCCTACTCTCGCGTAGATTCCTGGTAGCGGAACAGATTGGAGAGGAGTACGCCTACTGCCACAGCTGCAGGAGCATCGTTACCAACGAAACGTGCGGTATTGTGACTATCTATGAGTATAACCAAACGGCTATTAGTCAGTGTTTTCATCAGGGGATGCCGAGCGATCCTATGTCCTGGATGGTGAGGAAGTCCCGACTGCCATTTGAGCTTCTTGCGGCTAACTAAGAAGGGCACAGCTCACGACAGATTGGTGTTGGGTTAATGCAACCGAGTTCTGGGTGTTGCCCTACGATCGTGAGTATCGCAAGAACCACATGCCCAGTTTCAGTCGATGTGGCTGGCTAATCTTCAACATGGCAAGGATACGCATTCCCCAGATGTGAGCATTGGGGGTATTAGGAAATTAAGTTCGAACACATTACTGTCGTCTGAGAGCCTAGTGGATTATTCTGAAGTAGAATAGTGCCTTACGGGCGATGCATTCTCCCACGATTTGAAGAAACTGTCTATTCTTGCCATTCCGAATATGCTAATAATCATACCTCTGTAGGCGTGTTATTTCTTTCTCACCAACCCTTTGAATTCAATGTACCCACTCGATGAACCGCCATGGGCCCGAGGAAGCGCCCGATATTGACTGCCAGCGAGCTTCAGCAACCCGCTTGTGTGACCACATCGTACATCGTCGTACATCCAATGCGATTGCACACGCCCGGGTCACCATCATTGCAAGCAAAGTTTACCGTGGACGTAGGTAATGCAGCCGGGCACCCGCACGGCCGCGTAAGTCGTACGCTGGTTACGCACCCGGGTAGTAGGCAGGTCCTGCAAGCCGTGCCTGTCCTCGTGAGTGTCGGGCAAGCGGCCTGTGGAGCACACGGCAGGGTCACGGCTTGGGTTATAGTAGATGTGCGCTCGACGACTCTTTCTGTTGTGAGGGTGACGATCCGCGTCACCTCCTCTGTGACAGTCACTTCTTGGACCGAAATGATCACCGAAGTAGTGGTTTCCGTCACGCTTTGAGTTTCAGTTTTGACTTCCGTCGTAACCTGGGTCTCCGTCACGGTCTCGGTCTCGGTAATAACGTCGACATCGCTAATATTCGTCGGGTCCTGGGGGATTTCGGGCCCTGTGGTTTCCGGGCTTCCAGCGCAGGTCGAGCCCTTGCAGACAGTGGTCGGCGTGAGCGTGACGCCTTGAGCCGAAACGGCGCTATTTCAAAGTGTTAGTCTCCCGACAACTTCGCTTTCTGTATGGGGAAATGCAATGAACTCACCGAGTGAGGGCGACCAGCGCCAGAGCTAGATAGAATCGCATCGTAATCCTTCGTAGCTGTCGTCCCCCCAAGAAGGTGCGATGAAGCTGGTAACAAAGGAAGAAGAGGGGCCACGGGCCCCTCGAGATTTAACTCGGGGCATTACATCTAGTAAAGTAACGGAACGGACGGGATGTTGGTAAATATAGATGGGTATCTAAATCTACTCGGCCGCATCTGAAGTATCTAGGATTCAGCTCGTTTGGAGCCGTCTGGGCATTCCGCATCAGGATTATAGATTCACTCAATTCCTGGATATCGGAACGTTCCAGCTATCGACCCCCAAGGCACATGCCTGTTCGTTAGTGTCTAAAATAGCAAAGGGGCAAAGACAAGGAAGAGGGGCTCGCACGTCAAGGCAGAGAGATGCTAATGTCGGTAAAGTCGCGAACCAATCACGGTACCAAATTTTGATTGACATGTCAGTAATCAGTATGGCTGAATTGGCGGGCGCTGATGAGAGGAGACTGTCCATTTCCAAGGCCGCGTGTTCCCATAAAACCATAAAGGCTAATTATCATCGACCGTGTTCCGCAGCAGGGCGGAGACTTGGAGAGGGCCACAGATGCATGATTCTTACTTGTCTTTTAGCCCGAGAGACCTCGATTCTGCTTATGGGCCGTCTCCTCGGTCCCGGACTGGCGTCGCGTTTCAACCAGATACATTTATGTTTCCGCACACTTCGGAGTTCAGACGTAACCTGACCAATTCCAGACTCTCCCCTGGCTATATATAGCCCTGACCTTTTATTATTAGGACGCACAGCCGACTTTGATAGCGAGTTGTACCTCGACACCAATGAAGCAATAAGGAGTGCAGCTCTGCTACCTGTTCCCCAAAATAGCCAGCAGGGCGGGCTTAGAACTGCTCCGGAATGCATTGAAGAACACGAAGTTGATGCGGAGAAAAAACGAATCGTCTATGTCACACACGAATGCATTTCAACTTACAGGATTCGCTGGTCCCTCAAGATGGTGGTATTCGCCCTAGTTTACATCGAGTCCTTGAGCAAACCTTAACGTGGACAAACCACCTAAGGACTAAATATTACCCATAAAATCAATTTATTCATATATGCATAAGCTATTAGCTCAGTCCTTCTCAATCTTCTCAAGTGGCTGATACTTCGGCTCCCACATTTGCACTCGTATCCACTCCTCCAGCTCGGACTCGTCGCTTGGGATCCCTTCTTCCTGCGCCAGCCCGTCCTCAACAGCTGATTGAATAACAGCCTTGGCGACCCTTACACTAAGCTCCCGCACTTCCTCAACATCGGGGAGTAATGGCTTTATAAGATCATACAGAGCGGGAGCTTCAGCCGCCAGTGCTTTGGATGCGACGACCAGCATCTTCGCGGATACGAGTCGCGTGCGAGACAAAATGGCCCCGAGGCCGATGCCGGGGAAGATCGTCGAGTTATTGCACTCCGCTGTCGCCGGGATTAGCATGACGTTCATTTGGTCCGAAAAAGGGGGGGGGGGGGGGGGGGGGGGGGGGGGGGGGGAGGCGTGTCCATCTTTGCCTTACCGATCTCCTTTTGCGTGCCGTTGTACTCCACTGGGGGGAATGGACTCCCTGTCGCGATCAACGCTCGACCGTCTGACCAGTTGGTGATATCCTGAGGTTTCGCCTCGGCAAGGCGGGTTGGATTGCTCAATGGGAATATGACTGGGTGCTCAACATGTTTCGCCATTTCCCTGACTACTTCCTCCGTAAAGGCTCCGGGTTTGGTGGAGGTGCCAATCAAGATATGTGGTTTTACTTTCTTGACCACGGAAAGCAGATCGACGTTCTCGACGTCGGGCCACTCGCCAATATCCTTTGCGAATGGGACTTGGGCTGGATTGAGTTTGTCCTCTTGTGATTTAAGCAAGAGGCCCTGTTTATCAATGCACCTACAGTATTATATCCGTCAGTACCAATCCTTCTTTGCGAAGTGCGCAATTTGCTTCCCATAGGAACGTACCAGATCTGTTTCATGGCCTCGCTCTTCGGCTTTTGCGATTCGGTGGCGATTGCGTCACTAACCTGCTCCGCAATACCTGTCCCAGCTGAGCCAGCACCGAAGCAGATGACGCGAACATCACTCAACTTGACCTTGCTAACATGGAGTGCGGTGAGAATGGCTGCCAACGTCACGCATCCCGTTCCTTGAATGTCGTCGTTGAAGCAGGCAATCTCCGAGCAGTACTTGTCGAGGAGCCTCCTCGCGTTGTGTACACCAAAGTCTTCAAAATGGATGTACGCTTTGGGGAATCTTCTTCTCGCAGCCCGAATGAACTTATCCACAAACTCGAAGTATTCCTGACCCCGAACACGAGGCTGTGGGAGGCCCAAATACAATTCGTCGTTAAGGAGTTCAGAATTCTGCCGCACCCAAAGATTAGTGGTCATCTGCGTGGGCTGACATGATTTAGCTGAGCGTGACCGTGAGTTCTTACATTTGTTCCACAATCCAAAACGACGGGAAGTTGTCTCGAGGGATGAATTCCACCACAGATAGTCGCGATGGCCAGCTTAGCCATGGAAATCAAGATGGCACCCACGCCTTGATCCCCGATTCCTAGAATCTATCCTGACGAGGCCAGAGCATTAGCCGTTCCGAAGACCCACCACATACGTTAAGGTTTCAAATATTACCTGCTCCCCATCACTGACAACAATGTAGTCAATGTCGTCGGGCGTCGAAAAGTTGGAGAGACACTCCTCGATCTTATCTTGATCTCTTATGTTTAGGAAGCAGCCATCTGGGTCTCGGAAGATGCGCGAGTAATTTTGGATGGCGTCGGCTTCTGTTGGCGTGTAGATCACACTAAACATCTCCTTCAAATAAGTTTGCAGCAGCTGTAACTAGGTAGTACTGTTAGCTAGGAAGTGTCTTCTCCTCTTCAAATAGTGATTCGCATGAGATCTAGCCTTATAATAGAGCACGTCGTTTTGTGCTTTCATGCTGGCCATAAAGACATTCTTCGCCAAGTCGTCGGGGCGGCTCTTGTATTGCTGATAAGCTCTCTCCACCTGCTCGTCTAAAGTCTGTATCCTCGGCGGTACGAGACCATAGAGCTTGAAGATTTTCCGTTCATCATCGGGGAAAGCGGAGCCTTTGTTGTATCGTGCCGTCTGGAGTAGAATACTACCCTAAGCAGGCAGTCAGTAATATCGGAATCTGTACGGGTTCAGGGGGGGATTTGGGAGTACCTCGTAGGGACACTTGATAGAGGCTGGTGCTGCTCGTGGCAGATAAGAGTAGTTTGACTTTGCCATAGCTTCAGTGCTCCTCATTCGTCCTTGTTACGAGTTAGAAGATCGAAATAAGAAGACTGACGGGTTCTGGGGCATCTGGGAAGACGTCGAGAAACACGGGGCACAGTTCTATTTTAACTTTCCCGTGCTGTGGATAAACGGGGTCAGCTATGTTTAAGAACCTTCCTGATGGAAAGATGACGCACTCACGACTAGGGCCAGTCCGAAATTGGTTAGGCGGAGATCCCGGACACAACCGCTCGCGCCGAAGTTCCTAGGCACACTATGTTTTCAGAAGGGCAATGACAGGCAAATGTCCTCTACGCCAATTCAACCTATAGTCGTGCTGGCGGTTAACAACGCCTGCCCTCATCCTCGTCTGAGGTTCATACTATTAAATGGTAGTCGCAGTGAGTAACCAGCATAGGAAAGAAGCTGGGATAGATTCTACCGGCCAATGTCGGCCGTGGCGGGTGGTGGAGTTGACTTGACGTCATGCAAATCTCACGCCATGTCGAATACGAGCTATCTTCTTGTGGGGGATGAGACCCTTCTTCCGAAAATTCATCAGTCCTCACTGGAGGTCTAGACTGCTGCGCCTTTTTTCGACATCCTTAAAATATGGATCATCGGTCTTAGAACTGCGTTGAAGACATAATAAGTAACTGTGAAGCGGGACAATTCCGTAGTTAGGAACAGTCAACTATTACTATTTAGACAAAACACTGATCAGACGTAAGTTAAGATCTATAAAGGAATACAGCAGGAAGCTCTGGAAGGCACCTCACTTCCATCACATCACAACTGCTGGAGCGTGGCCTAGGAATGTGGAATTGGGGTTGAACGCCTAGAAAACCAAGTCACGCAGAGCTTGAATAATTATCAAATGGCCATTGAACTCCATCATAATGACCGTCTGGAACATTCGCTTACTTCACAGCCTCCAAGCCGAAGGCATATAGTATTTCTTCTCAGATAACCTCGTTATCGAACTGGCGGGATATAGCAATAATAAGGTAACAAGAAGATACGAGCGTGAATCCCAGGGATTAGTAGCCGCGTGTCATTCTTTGGTCAGCGACTACAGCCCGCGCCACGTCCAATAAATCGGGTCATCCGTGTCTAAATACTTCCTTGCTTGCATTACCGTAGCCTCAACCATGTCCCTTACCAGCTCATCGCTGCACCGCATCCACTGTTCCAGCAACTGTCCAGCCCTCTCATCCGTCTCTTCCTCGCTGATGCGCCCTAATATGGGAGCGCAAGCCATCTCCAGTCGTACATACCCGTTCAGGTTCACTGCTGCATTTGGGTCGGCCCCAATATGCCCAGCTAGAACCTGACACACGACACCTGCGTGGGGTGGAGTCGCGTGTCTGAGTGCAAAGAGTGGGGTGTTAGGAGTATACGGATGTTGGCCCATTAGATAGTAGGGGTGAGGTTTGCCCGAATCAACCACCATATCGATTATTCGGCCGACGTCCATGGCGAGTTGGCGAACCGTGCCCTCATCCGCCTTCGACCAATCCATTCCCACCAAGAAATTCTGCGCTCGAATCCTCAGGACGTCCGGTAGCCTGCTAGGCTCTCTGCTCGGATCTTGCACCCACTCACGAGTCTTTTTCTTCTCCACTAGCGCGATGGCATCTTCTAGCAATGGTACCACGACCTTTTCCCAGGACCTTCTAGAATAGCATCTAGACTCGAAGGTGTTGTAGTTACTCATCCGGTCCAGAAGCCAGTAACACGCCTCAACCTCCCCTTGATCCATGAATGCCTGGAGGGCTTCTAGGGTATTCCTGCCAATATCTTCGTATGTGAGCTCTTTTGGCCTTTCATCGTCTTTGTCCCATCTGTGGCACATCAGTTGTTCCGCTGCTCTGCTGAGGCCTAGATTGATGACACCGCCGCCAGGGATATCTGATGGTGGTCGATACCATATCGAGAGCCAGTGCTTTCCGCCGTTGGTATCTAGGATTTCAGAGGTCTCTCTGATCCTCTTGTTGACCTCCACAAGTCCGGGTGAAGGGTCAATTAGAGTCATGCAGTATTTGTGCATCACAGAGTACATGGCTATTGGCATGAAATGCCCATGATGATGAATAATATTTTCCAGCACCATGGGAAAAACTGGAATGGGCGGAAGGCTTCCATCTGGTAGGAATGAGTCGAGATTCCAGTGTTTGAGGAAGGCGCGCATCCAGCGGCCATTCTCATCGACGGATTTCCGGACCATTGGGAAGATGACTCTGGTTAAGAATGGAGAAGGATCCGGCCTTTCCCCATCTCTACTCGTATCGTGATGCTGAATTTCATCATCTAAGTCAGGTGTCATGCCGTCTCCCATCAGCTCTTGCGCCCAAGACAATAACTCTCTCGCCATGGCGCCATAGTCCATTGGATACCTCTCTTCACTATCCAAGTCGTGAACGAGTGGAAGATTAGCGAGGCTCCAATCCTCTTCAGTTGGTGGCATCTTTTCGTTGATAGAAGCTGCTCTCGGAACAACCACAGTCTCCAAGAGAATGAGGATCGTCTCCTCTAGGCGCTTCTCTTTATAGCATGCCTGCATGAAAATCCTTTTCAGTCCTGAAAGCACAGCCATCCAAACATCGCGATGACCTGATTCCTGAAGAAGGCGTGAGAGAATTTCCATGACCAAGGAAGGATCCAGAAAGTCCGGGTTGTCAATAAGAAGTTGCGCCACCATCTTTACGCTCGAAATTTTAACAGCGGAACTCTGCTCCGCGGTCTCTCCACCATCATCGGATGGCTCATCCCTGGCGGTCAACTTTAACTTTGACAATAGAGCAGTCGTGATGTCGTTTACCAATAGAGTAGCGGCCCTATGTGGGAGAGATCGTAGGAATCGGCGGCCGAGAATTTTTCGATGCCAGCTACTATGCTGAGGTCGGTTGAGAATTACATGCTTGACGAGTGGCAATGCGTATTGGGGAGCATCACTCCGGGCGAGTCGTTTCAGAACCATCATAAACATGTGAGGAGCGTCCGTATCTCGCGGACTCTTCGCCATCCGCTTCAGCAGAGAATTGGCAAGCCTCTCCAGAACCTGCGCTGGCATAGTTGAATTGCATTCCCTTAACAGCCGCAGTTGAGTAAATCCATAGTTGTCCTCGCATTCTAAGAAATCCCGGTCAAGGTATAAAGCTGGGAATCGCCGGTCCTTAGCCGATGGGAAAGGCTCCATTAGGAGAGATTTGTCCTCGCCGTCCCTCGCATTAATAGAGAGAATGGCCGCGGCAATTAAGGGATCTCGAGTGCGACAGGTTTGATCTCTGTACTGGGAAAGGGTGTAAAAGCCAGGGAGATCTGGCAAAGAGTGGAGAGGAGGAGGAGGCTGGGGTTCAGCGAAACCCCCTTCAGTCAATGACCGGTGATATCGATGGGCAGATTTGATGCAATCCACTATGACAGGTTCGCGATGATGAGGGCGAGAGTGACTCAGATCTGATTGCTGGTGATGGGTGATGGGATCAGGGTACCATTCGGTAGGGGTCGACAAGTTGTGGCGGTTCTCTGGAAAGGACAGATATCTGATCTCCAGCGATGGGGAAATGTCAATTTCTAGCTTGGCGTGCTCTTTGCATCGTCGAAAGATGTCTCGCCAAAACAGTGATGCTGCCAGTTCATCTTCTCCGTCCCTGACAAGTTGTGTAGTGGCGTGATTCCACGCCTTGATGAGCCGCTCTTCCTTCTCTTTTCTGTCTTTCCCAGCTATTACATAGAGCTCCAGACATGGCAAATAGCCGTGGACGTAGTAGGCAATTGCCTGCCGAGTTTCCTTATCGCTTGGCAAAGGAGCCGTTGCTATCCCATGATCCATGAAGACTACGCTCTCTGCCAATTTGTCCAAGTAAGGCAATGGGCTATGAACTCGGGGAGCTATGGGAAGCATGAACTGGAATGGCAATCCCCTCGGCCATGGCCACTGAAGTGTCGCCACTGCGGGACGCATTTTTGTACGGTACTTCTCCCAGAGTTCGCTTCTCTTCTCCACAAACTCGTTCCTCAACCTCTGCCCAGCCACTGTGATTGCTTCTTTGCCGCCACCCCATATTCTGACGATGCCTGAAGCATTCCACCTCCCAAGAGCTTTATTTTGTTCCGACAGGACATAATGTTCCTCGTGGTAAAGAAGGATGTCGAGTGTGGGCTTCATAACGGCTTCCCATGCCTGGCCGTCGCTAAGGCCGAGAAGATCTTGAACTTGGCGCATCCTTCGCAAGCGACGGGAGGGTACTAGTTCGAATAACCTGAAGATATACAGCCAGTTGTGCTTTTCCGTATGCGGTTCTCGCGCCAAAAGAGTTGCTGTTTCGGCCAAAAGTGCCAGGATGTTGTTCCCAGACTCCACGTAGGATTTGATGGTCGACACCAAATCGCACTTTGGGATTGTATTTAACGCTCGAATATCCGGTATCCCCGTGAGGAGGTGAATGTTATCTTTCTCACTCTCTAACCAGTCCCCATATATGATGGGAACGACAATGGGGTCCTTATTAAATCGACGAGCCCACTTCAACGTTTCATGGTATAAGGAGACAGAACCAGATAATACAGCACAGGCAATTGCTGTCGCCGCCCGTTCGCCCCGGTCGTGCCGATCCGATGCTTCCCTCGATTTTTGCTTCCAGATGCCAACCAACTCAGTAGCCGTTTGTACTGCGCTACTTCTGTGATTTCGGTCGGGAGATTGTGATTTCAGGGAGACAAGTAACATGTTAGCATCAGCCTTCTGCGCGAATTCATAGCCGAAGATGTTGGAACGGTCACGGGCCCAGGGATGCGCATGATCGATAATGTGGTCTTTCGGAAGGGCCTGTCCCAATCGTTCAAGGAGACCGATTGCGTCAAGACAAGGCAGCGACGTGAGAAAGAGATAAATTGCCCAGCTCTGCTTTGTTTCTTGCAGTTTTTCGTTCACTGCTTCCGTGTCTTGGTCCTGCAGTTTAATCTCGTATTGCTTCGTGTGCTCGAGGAGTATTTCCAGAAGCTTCATC